AAACCCAACCCCCCCCCCGGTCTTGTACCGGGGCCGTTTTTTTTTTTTTCTTTAATTTTTTTTTTTTTTTTTTTTTTTTTTTTTTTTTTTTTGCTGTTCAGAATTCCCGTCTCTATTAGTCTATAACAGGTAGTTTGTAAAGGAGCTATCATAGTCGGATTTTGTCTCTACCCTGGAGATCAGCTGAGAATTTTAAACGAAATGGTGCATGAAAATCTATCACCCCCAAACCTAAAGAACTGGAATGCTTTTGGGTGCGTATGTTGTCGAACCTATAACGACTCATTGTCGTACTATAATTCTCCTCCACGGATTGAGCTCCAACGGGAGAAAGTTCGGGAGCGAGCTGCTCGAGACCGGTGTAGGATCGAGTGGCCGGAAACTCCAACAGTTGCTGCCCAACGTTCGCTTTATCTTTCCTGCCGCAAAACCCTCGTCGCCCTTCCGCATTCAAGAGAACAGTGCTCACACAATAGTTTGATCTTGCACGTATTCCCGATCCAGAGTATCGGAAAGAAACGCGGATTCAGGGGTTAGTGGAATCTGCCGTAGAACTAGAGCAGCCTATACGCCAAGAAGCCTCGACAGTATCACCACAGAACGTGATCATCGGGGGGTGGGGGGCTGAGCCAAGGTTGTGTCATGTCGCTTTCTGTACTTGCTTGCTCTAGACTATTCGCCGGGTAGGTTTATCGGGACGTCTGGATATCTGCCGTTTCGTAAGGACAACGAGGAGGCCATTCGAGACGACTATGCAGAAATAGGCGACGACAATCCGTTTGCTACCTTAGAACCCGTCGGCGAATTTGAGCCATAGGCTCGGGATCCACGACTTGAAGCTGCTGTGTTCGAGAGGGACCTTCTCTGTTTTCCGCCCTTGGCAAACGCCACAGAGGCAGACACGGCACATCCCACACCAATGTTTCTCGGCCACGGAGACGCAGACGAGAAAGTACCATGTGAAAAGGGTGAAGCTGCAGCGCGGGCGATGCAGGCTGCCGGATATGAAGTTATCTGGAAGCTTTACCACGAACTTGGTCGCTGGTACAAAATACCAGATGAGTTCGACAACATTATCGCCTTTAGATATTAAGTCCAAAGTTGGTTGGGTTTTGTCTGAACGGCAATATGAGGCTCGGTTGGTGCATGGTACTTGTATACGGTAGCAGCATGCTACCTAGGCACTGTAGGTAACTTACAAGTAGGTTAGATTATATTAGGTTAGAGGTATGTAGGTACGTGTCAAGACTTCAAATAGTACTGGAACACCAACGATATTGTATTTCGTATTAGCTCCTAATCAGCAGTCAATCATATCTGTTATCGAGACATGCTCAAAGTTATGTTTGCCAGTATGATATCTTGCAGATTTGTGGCTGAGAGAGTTGGCAGGATGAAGGATCGCTAAAACCGTAACTGGTTAAAAATATCCGCATGGGTGACAGCCCTACCATCTTCCCTACCTCTTGCAAGGACGGACGTTAGCTGCACAAATAAGAATATTGCAGATGTTAGAACACAGTCTATCGTAAATCAGCCAGAATCGATGGCTTAGCAACAAATAGACGGAGGGTAGCACATCTTATAAGTACCTAGGTAGTCATCGTGGCAGACGGGCTAGGTCGGCAGTATAATGCGAATTAACTAAAGCTACCTAACCTTAGGTACCGTATACGCATCTACGTCGAATTAAGCTCGCGGATCGCTGAATGACTCCAAGGAAGGAATAAGTTCGGCCCCAAGAGGCGTCAATTCGGATCTTGGCGGCTCCCGGATAATCTTGTCCCCTGATAGAATTGAAACTTGCCATAATAAGAGAAGAGGTATATTCGGCAAAAGACACGAGCCAATCAAACATACTTTAGAATAGCCGATCTCAGTTGTTCGGAGATAAGGCGATGGTAACATTGAAGCAGATATGCAAAAAAAGGGGGATCGCCCCTGAATGGCATCTATTATGGGTCGCGTACGTACATACATTGATAAGGGTCAATGCCCAACCCAGCCAGCTATCTCTTTAGATGGATCTAGATGGTACAGTCTGTTTAGTAGTATTAACACTCGATACACCGTGCCCAGTGAAAACCGTGCCCAGTGAAATAACAACGATAACAACGATAAAGATGGACTGTGGAAATGTGGCAAAAATACAAACTTTGTCGTCATTGTCCCAAGTGTATTAAAGAAACCGTTCCGGCTTTCGTTTTCTTATTCCACAAAAGTAATTATTAAATCATAAACCAGCTGAAATACATCAAGAAAAAAGGTACCCAAAAAAAATCTAAAAAAATCCCAGCTCATATCGTGGTATCAAATTTTTTTTCCCTTAAATTACGCAAGGGGAAAGTTATCTCGGAGCAAACCGGGCGCGCTTAGGGGAGTGAATCGACAACTCGCCTGATCTGGCGTGGTTATGTCACGGCTGAGCCTCTACATACAGGCGTCGGCCCCCGTTCGGTAATATTGTCGATCTACGTACAACATCTGATTGCACTTAGATCTCAGACCGACATTATCAGAGCCTCAAATTCGACTGGGTATACGAGCAAGGAGTTGTCGTCGCGTTGGCCCAAGTCCCGTAATTCACCATTTGCATTGGCCGGCGTGACCGCATCCGGTCCACACACACCCGGGACATCCCAGAGAAGGGTCCCGAATACTTGATATAAATAGTCCTTGTGTCCTAGGAGTACGTGTCTAGGTTTTCCTTTGAAGCCTCGACGACGTGCCTTTTGTGTTTCTGTTGACCCTATTCTACGTATCTTTACTCCTGCTCATATTTGCACGTCATGGCTCACTCCCATCTCTCGATAGATTCCCTCCCGAACGAGGTATGAGATCCCTTACATCCAATATGACCTAGTCAATATTAGGAAAGGAAGTATTAACATAAACACCCAAAGATCATTATCAATGTTCTGAACAATTTCCCGACTCGCTCGCTGTTGCCCCTTGCTGTTGTCTGCCGCCGCTTCTATGGACTTGTTGGCCGAGTGCACTACACCCGTCTTGTGGAGACCTCGAGGCTGCGGGACCACGAAGTAATCCTAGAAAGCTTTCACCCGAGTGAGAAGCTCAGTACGCCATCGCTTCATTGCGAATTCCAAGGGATGCACGGCCTCACCGAGGCTGGCGAAGTTGCTAACCTCGGAGAGCTCAACAACATATACGCACGCTTTCGCCCACACCTCGACTCCGAAAAGGCAACTGGGCAGATTATTCAAATGCCGTCGCACGAAATCTCCTTGGATTCCGGCGAGCTCTTCTCACAACTATGCACGATTACCAACCTTGTAAAGGTGGGCCCAAGACGCGGTTTTTTCTCCAGCTTCGCCAACATCACCGACAACGTGATCCGTGTATGGCGTGACTGGTTAAGCGAAGCAGCAAAGGCAGCAGCAAGGACGCAGCAGCGTGTAGATTCGGATTCAGACGATCGGACCATCTTATGGACCGATTCTTCCAAGACCGTCGGCATCAGATTCCGAGTCGTCGAGGATGAGAGCGCACCAGCACCCGTCCTCTTAGGCCGAGATGACGAGCCCTCGGTTTCGTATTCATTAGAGTACCAAGGTATGTTAACCTTACAAGAAGAATTCGATATTTTAGTTACCGACCATGAGCTTACGATATCATCACAGAATTGCTGATAAGAGCAAACTGGCTACTTCTCAGCTTCGAGTCATCCGAGACTCAAGAAGAAATGCATGCAGGTAAAGCAGTCGTCATTGCATCCGTGTGAAGAGCAAGACTCGGTTATTATTTCAGATGCCTGCTACCGAATGATGGTTGTCCCATACAACCTGAGGCTAGAATAGCAAGAGACCATTCGTGGTCTTGGCTACGAGACCATGATAGCGACATTCGCGGATCAAACCGTGATGCGACACAAGACAACAAAGCTGTTGAACATATTGTTCCGTCGGTGCGAAAGGAATAATATTGGCCCAGTGGACCGAACCGAACCCGAAATGGACACCAACCAACGCGAGCTGCATTGGCTGATCCCGGCCGTGCTCATTTATTCTTCGACCAATCTTGGTCGGAGATCCACTACTATTTTTGACTCAGATTGAAGAATGGTTGACTCACATATTTTGTTCTTCTATTTTTAGGAGCCGTTTACTTTCCTGGTACTGGCGCAATTTACCAGCCATGCTATAACTTCTTGCAGTGCGCTGTCCCATCAGAACGACTGTTCCAGTCGATAGCTACGACGTTCGTTATGTAAACCGCCACGAAGCGGTCGGGTACGGACTTACGGAGACCTTAATGAGATATGATTTGTTCATTTTCTGGATATAAAATTGGGACAGGAGGCGTTAGTCATATAAGACCGTGGTATTCGGCGGTAGGCTTTCGTCGTTGAAAATTACTGGGTGGGCTTTAATTTTTTACATAGGTTAGGTACCTACATAGTATACCGCGTATGGAGAGATAGTGTCTCTTGGAAGACGGACTGGATAGATTTAGAGATCGGATATAATAATACCTTAGAACTTGGATATTCACATATTTTTTTTTTCTTCATTCTACTGATCCGTTATTAAGTGGAGAGATGGGATGACTTTTCTGTAGAACGTAGAACGTAGAACTGAAAACGATGATGGGCTTTTTTTTTTTTTTTTTCTTTCATTCAAAAAGCGGTTCGGACCATCGTACGAGATAGTTGACGATAACTCGGGCGTAATTCGGTTGGCATCATGGAAAAATGCCGAAAATCCATACGATACATAAAAATCGACGAGCTTATCGGTGATGTCTCACCGCTGATGACCTGAGGGCCGTCGACGAGCGCGAGACGATAGATGAGCCGTGCATGAACATACATTACGTTAGGTACCTACTTCGTACCCAACTTACATATGGTCGATTCAAGCCAGGGAGTCCGGTTCACCTATCGGAGGCTCACCGTCGTCGACCCTCGCCTCCCTACCCGGTAATGCCCGTATGCCGTCCGGGCCTGGCTGCGTCGTTCCTGCATGGATCGCGGCCTAGGCGCATACCGAGACTAGGCCGAGTCATACACTAGCGCACGCACATAGGAGGTATGTATTTACTTATACCGTAAGTGCATACATTAGTGTTGCTGCTTCGAAGGCGTTGGACATTAATTCTCCGATCGTGCACCTACCTGGACGTAGGCTAGGCCACATTCACATGGAAGAAACTTGAATAACCTGGTACGGGCACTTTAACACATGTAGTAAGGTAAGGTTATCTTACGATGGATCGCCTGTTACTAGTCTTTAGATTAGGTAGGCATTGGAGATCCATAATGATAAGAGACCTAACTAATAAGCTAACGGCTTGCAAAATCAATTTAGTAGTGTATGTACCTAATGTATGTATGAGCTGGCTCGATCGGTTTGGTGGTGGCCGATTCAGTACATAATGGTGCGGTGGGTGTCCTCCTGTGTTGGTGAAGCGCGGGATGATCCGCGACGTGCTCCTGCCTCAGGCAAGTTTCATATTGGTCCGAGCGTTGTTGATCGGACTAGGCCGAGTCACTCTGTTATTATCAGTCTGTGTTATTATTATTCTTTTTCTTCTGACAGCATAAAAAAAGGAAGTATTTCTACTTCTCTAACCTATTCCCGTCACTAGACAGAGTCAATAATAATGTCGAAATAACTGAGCTATTTTCAGGTACCTAGTATAAGCGACAACGCTGTGATTCTTACCAAAAACTCATTTTCTCAGGATGATACTGTAGGTGAGATGTTGTGCAGACAGAAGGATTTTTAGCTTTGTACACTTGTATCGCTTTCACACCGCCAACATCCTGGCTGGGACTTGCTGTTTCGTTTCATAGGTCCTAAAACTATCACAGGCCATTCGATTCACCTTAGGATTTTGCAAGTAATCGAAGGACAACATAAATGACTTGGAGGAAATCAAGAAGATGCCGGTGATGAGTTACTGTTCGGCTTTGATCAAGTTATCATTGAGGATTGACTTGAACTCTGGGCTGTTTCGCTTGTGAGCCGGACTCACCAAACCCGGGACCACATTGTGAGATACAGCAAATAATACCCTTGTTCGCGTTGACTAGCGTCCGCAATACCCATGAGGCTCTACGACGATCTCACGCAGCGAGCGTCCGTGCCATCCTGCTGGTGAATGGAGATTGAACTCGGTTCTGCGAGCGTCTTTTTGTCGTTGATTTTTCTTCGTTCGCAACTCCAACGTGGTGTGGTGTTCGCCCGTCTTTAATATCGTATTAACATTCCATTGCGCTTTGGTTTCTTCGAAGTTGATCTTCGTGGGCCTGGTCGCCCCTTATACTAATTGTGTGTTTTTTTAATTGCTCTATTTGGTCGTTGGTCGCTTCGTGTGCCGACGATAAAGTTGGCCGCATCGGATAACGGTCGCAAGATAGCCACCTCTTGAAAAAAACGTGAACGAGGGGTTTCTAGCTGAAGGAGGGGTCATAATAAAATAATCATCGCCATGGCAAGCCTTGAGTCCACGAAGCCGATGGTGAAAATACCAAATATTAAGAACGGGTTACCTGCGAGACCAAAACCGCCAGTTAATTACCGGAAGACGCTTCCGCCGTTACCACCGCCATCGCCATTACCTTTGCCTTCATATCCCGGTGAGAAGAATAAGGGGCCGGATAACAGCCGAGTATCGACAATCTCGAGTACATTGGAGTCATTGCTGACGGTTCTGGGAGGGAGTGGAAGCGATGGAAGGTTATCATTAGGCATACCGTCGATGGTGGAGCGGTCTCCGAGACCAGTATCAAAGGACCTTAGACCAGAGACCGCTGCTACCGCAACAACTGTAGAAACTGCGATATCATACTCGACTACACGATCGCAACGAACTATCAAGTACGGCACGGGAAAATTTGCGAACGTCGAACTATCTCCGCAGCCTAGTGAGGACCCCGAGGATCCCTTAAATTGGCCATTATGGAAAAAGCATCTAAACTTAGGAGCGCTACTTTCCATGGTAGCACTAGTGGGGACGATGAAAACAGCTTACATCAGTGTAAACAGCGTTATCGCGATGGGGGAATGGGTCTCATATACAGCAGCGGTTGCCCTAACCGCCGTTCCCTTACTGTTATCTGGGATAACCGGGTTGGCTTCGTTAATAATATCGCGGATATGGGGCAAGCGGCCAGTATACTTGATTTCAATGGTATTGATATTTATAGGGACCGCTTGGAACACAAGAGTGAGCGGAGATATAGCGCAGAATATGACTGCGAGGGTATTTCAGGGATTGGGCTGGGGCGCTTTTGACACTCTAGTCCTTGGATCGATCCATGATACATATTTTGTCAGTAAATGGTCCTTAAAATCTTCCCTATGCTTTATATGCTAATTATATTAACTACCTACCTTACAGGAGCATGAAAGGCAATCCAAGATTATTCTTCATCATGCCATTTCAGTCGCGACTATGCTGGGCTCTCCGCTCCTTGGAGGTGTTGCTTCAGCTGGTTCTAAGGGATTTGAGTTGCAATTCGAGATTATGAGCGCTTTCCTAACGATCTCGATCTTCTTGATTGTGCTGGGCGCTCCGGAGACGGCGTACGATCGTGCTATATTAGACGTCCAGGTGCCAACCATTACACGTTCCCAAGCGCTCTGGCCTAATATAACCTTCACAAAGGCGGCCGTCTTGCGGTACGTGGCTGAGATGAAGCCTTGGTCATTCCGAGCGAACGAAATCAACTCATCTTTAATATTGCAAGCCCCCCGTGCGATAGCGGCCCCTACAAATGTGCTCCTTTTTACCGTCACACTTATCCCATATGCCGGTTTCTGGAGTATAGTGCATTCGCTTTCAATGCTCTTTTCACCCCTCCCTTTCATGTTATCCTCCGCATCCATTGGTTCCTTAATGACAGCCCCGTTTCTTCTCGCTACCCCTATCGCTGTCGCCCTTGCTTTTCCTTCGTTTCTCAAGCGCTTTTCGCGAATTGTCCATCTCGCAATCCTTGCTATTGGTACTACTTTGGCTTCAATTGGGATGTTAGGATTTGGTCTTTACCTCTCTGGCTCGATGAACACGCCTATAGATAGTGATGTGGAGCCTTTTACTATGCCGTGGAGTTATGGGCTGAACCGGGTCAGTCTCCCGGTGGCGTCATTCCTGCTCGGTCTTCTAGCAGCCGGGTCTCTTACTCTAGATAGCACGTTCTGGCCCGTCATCCAGCGATCCACGGCTTTCACTTCGGCCAGCCTGGCGGTTTGCCTTCGTAACACAGCGGATATGCATGGCGGCCTGACAAGCTTCCGGAATCTTGTCGCGGGTACCCTTATTCTAGGCCTACCTAACACGGTCCTCTCGTGGGATGACCTCAGGACTGCCACATTAGGTATGGGAATTACGCAGATTATCATAGCGATAGCAGCGTGTGGGGTGTACTGGTATTTGGATGAGAATTTGAGACGGCTCGACGGCCAGGTGATGGGTCTTATCGATTTGTCTATGTTGAAGAAAAATGCTAGCTTTTTTGAGACAGATTAAGTTAGGTGTTTCTACCTCGGGTGACTTACCATTTTGAGGTAGAAACTCGACTCCAGGGATACATATAAAAGGTATTTGTCAAGTTTTGAGATATTTTTAGGAACAACTACGCCATACTAGGCGCGATGACCCAAGTGACCATGTAAATAAATCCCTTACATGCGCTTTCGCTCTCCAATTCTTTTAACACTCCACTTATTAAAAGCTCAGGCGCCTGGCGGTCCCTTGCGCTGTGATTCACAAAGCTAAGACATATAACAAAATACCTACCTAACCCACCTATATTACGCGTCACTTTTAATTTCTGGTACTAGAGCTGAGTTACGATTTAGCATGATACGAACACCGCAAATTTCATCTTGAAACAATCTATAACCATGGATACAAGTGTTAGCGTCCCTTCGGCACCACTTACCGGCGGACTGTCGGATCCGCCTGTGAAGTCGAGTCGAAATATCGAAATTGAGATACCTCCCTCTTCTATTGCGGACGACGAGGCTTTCGTAGCGACCCTCGTGGGAATCATCAACGCTGCATACACCGAGACCGAAGCTGACATTTTCAAACCCGGCTACGTACGAACGTCTGTGCAAGACATAGGAACCCTCATAAGATCTGGCCAATTAGCGACTGCATCAGAAATCACTACTCCTTCCGGCGGTCGTGTTCCTCTGGGATGCATTTCTATTCAAAAGCTCAGCGACTCCCGTGCCGAGCTCGGCCTGTTCGCTGTTGCGGCTGAGCTACGTCGCCAGGGGCTTGGCCGGGATCTGCTCAGGTTTGCCGAGCAGTGGTGCCTCGACAATTTGGGGGGTCCTGGAGTTGCGATTGCGGAGCTTCACCTTCTATTCCCAACACACTTCGAGCACCCATTCAAAGTACGCCTGCAGGAATGGTATACAAGGAAAGGTTATCATCTTACAGGGAGCCGAGACTTTTTACTTGATTACCCTCAGTTAGAACCGTTACTAGCTGGGCCTACTGAATACCGCATCCTTCAGAAGAAGCTTACTTAGATAGCATCGGAGGGTACCTATATATCTAAACAAGTAAGAGTCTCTCTTAAATCATTCACGTGGTGCATACCACACAGATATACTTAGATATATGAAAAGAGCGGTTGACTACCTAACCTAGGTAGTTAATGTTATATTTATACCCAAGATCGGAATGTTTGTACGTGTTATGACTCTGGAGGTATAAGCAACGCCAGGTCGAGTAAACCATCTTTTCAGAGTTTCAGTACAAATGGCACTTTAGAGGTATTTGTCTCAAAATGGAGCCTTCGACGAAAAACAACCCCTTCCCAGTTCCGGGTCAGATTCCAATGCGGCATGGAGTACCCGTGACGTCGACTGTTGGGTAGTCCGCACTGGCCCATTCTGCATAAGGAAGGCGATGATCAGATAAATGATCTGAAATATTAGAACTCTGATAACCAAGAAGCATGGTGCCTGCAGACATTCTTCAAAGCAGGATCGGAATTCATTCGGTGTTGAAGCTCGTGTGTGGATCATCATGATAAGGAAGAGCTTAGACGCGCCATAGCGGTGAAAACCCCCTCCCCATGACGGGTCCTCCTTTGCAGAGCTCAGGAATAAGGTACGTTCATGAGAGGTTGAGTGCTTGGCATTTTAAAGGTATATAGGGGGGTTTACTCATGGGATTGACTTCCTCTTAGGTACAACTATGCAGCCTGGATCTTTGTCAATGCTCTTCGGGAGCAGTAACGTTAAGAGCCAGTGCTCAAGGTGGTTTGCCTTAAATGTTACATCGAACCCATCCTTGGTCCAAAGCTGCTAGCCAGAATCATTAAATCTAGCATTAAGAATCAGCGTTTGAATCGAAGGGATTTCTCCCGTTTCAACGCGTTTATTGATAACCTTCGAGGTCTGTCGTGCATTATCGAGGTTACTTAGGTCAGAGAAATAAGGTCGTCAGGATGTGATGTCTTGGTGAATACAGGTTTGAGGGCATCCGCTGTTGTCGCATCTCGGACAACAAATAGGCTATGGTATCCGTTATATTTGGGCTGAGAAACAAGCTGTTTGGCGATAGCATTCCGAGCCCCCGTAAAGCGCCGGTGACGGGACAGGTTTTGAACAAGATGTTTCATTGTGTAGACATCTTGTTAGTGGTATCTATGTTGATATCAAGATTTGACATAGGTACCTAAGGCAGAATATATTAAAATTGGTTAAACCAAACGAGTCTTTCTCCAACTAGGCAGTCCGGGCCGCATTTGATAATATTGGATATACACTAGATACTAATGTAGTGGTAAAATCGCTTAATAGAGACATGAAGGTCGGGTGCTGAGGTATGCTAGATGGTAACCCCAGATTAACGGATATTACTCCCAACCTGATAGTAGCTCTAGGTACAAACAAATACCGTTACTCGCGACAATCACTACGGAAAAGGTAAATGGGATATAAACAGTACCTAAGGTATACGAATATCGAAGGCGGAGTAATATTGGAGGTATTAAAACTGAAAATACTAAATACTAGAGATTGAGCCCAACGTAGGTCCTAAGGCCGGTACAAATACACGATATCAAACTCATACATGCACTTCACTCGCTGCAAGCGGGTCGGCAACCCAAACAGATGTTAATGCTTCCCGGGAATGAACTTTTCTAACGTCCTCTTCATTTTTCCGAAAGAGCCACGTCTCCTCTGCTTAATAGTTAGCATCTTTCGAGACTTGACATGTTCCGGATACCTAATAAGCAACTAGTAACCCACCTCGGCCCGCGCAGCTCGCTCCTCAGCTCCATGTATCAGCTCGTATTCGGCCTCTGCCGCTTCGTCTGTGATACCTCGCTTCGTCGCAGCTTCGTACTCATGCTCTTCTTGTTCAGCATGATGTATCATGTCGTGAGCGCCCCTAACGGCGTCGTCTGTCAATCCGCGGCCCTCAGAAGGCATAATTAATCTTTTTTTTTTGTTTGAGTGATGATAAATGGCTTCAATATGTCTGAATACTATTGAGATGTTGATGTTGATGGAGAACTAAACTAAACATTATCAACAATTGAAAGAAATGCTGGGATCTATATAATTGCGTTGAGTTCTTAGAAGGGCCATCTGTCTCATGATGTCTCGTGACGGATGACTTCATGTTCGATGTTAGGTGTGCGACGCTGCGCGAGCGAGACTAGCATCCCATTTGCAAACCTCGAGATCGACGCGCGCAAAGATTCGAGCATTTGTTCATTGTCACGTCATATGCCGTCGATCCACTGTCGTTCGTCTGGGGTAAATGCGGAGGAACGCGGGGGGAGAGCACATCTCCAACGCGCCGTCATCGCCGGCCATAACCTTAGATCTACAAACAAATCGATCGTGGCGCTAGTTCACGCAACTGCTTCACGTCATATGCAACATTTAGAAACATTAAGTTTAATTAGTGTATATGATGGTGCTGTCAATTTGAATTAAGTCCTGCCATCCCGGCTCCGCAAACATGGCATTAAATCGGAAATTCCGCCAGAACGTTCTAGCTCGGCAGATGGACACAAGGGTACCTCTGTAGGTCTTCAGGGCTGAAAATCCATCTTACCTTGGGATGGGAAAGAATAGATGCACTCACTACGAATTGCTTATAGTACACGATACCTCTTCACAAGTTTAGGCCATCGATGTCACGCGGCACAGCTCCAGGATACGCTAGAACTTCGCAACTATTCAGCGCGCACGCCAGTATCTCCTGTCACTGACAAATGCTTTGTGCGATAAGAATCTCACGACACATTCACACCACTACAAGCGGAAGCATTGCTCTCACCATGATAGCTAATAATTCCAGGGACCAAGATTCTAGATCATTGTTATCACCTTACGAATTTGCCTGTTAGCTTGCGGAGCTCTTTCTCTTCTTTTCCTTTTCTTTGGATACAAGAGAGCTAGCAGCTGTGTTACTCATCGCAAGCAATCTTTGCTAGCCAACGTCCCTACCGAGTAAGCAATTGAATTATTTCTTCAAGTACCTAACCTAAATAGCTGATAAGACGACGACCCGCATGAGATTATTACTCCTATTTCGTTATTTGAGGCATAGAGGTATTCAACCCAAGCCGATAAAATGGCATCTCAGTGTACGTCCTAGGACTCCATCCCGGTTTAATTTAGAAATAGTGCAATGTGTCGGTTTAGTCGTGCGTTTTTAAGATGCCGCCAACGGAGAGAGTCAAATGCGATGAAGGACGTCCAGCTTGCCGACGTTACATGAATCGCAATGAGGCGAGCATGATATTTCGTTATGAGACGAAAAAGGCGATCGACCGTGTTAGCGCTATGACGATATCCCCCGCCGCGATATCCCCGCCAAATTCTAGACGAAGAAGCCGATCTACGAATGGTGGGTCATGTTGAAGCCATTCCTCTACAGAATTTATTAACCCCTCTAATCTCACGGCCGAGGAGGTTTCCGGACTAAAGTTGCAGATGCAATATCCATGGACGAAGACCGTTTCGATTCATCTGAGGCCTAAACCCGAAGACGATGCTATCAATAAGTTGATGGTTAAATATGTTTTATACCCTTACAGCGAGACATCATCACCACGTTTCCATGAACATCTTCCTAGTCTATTTAAATAGGTGAATGTGAAAGGTCGCTCGCTTCGCTTTACGCTGGGCGGTTAGAGTTGCGGCGTATGCCGACTTGTCGAGGGCTGCGAATAACAATGCACTAGAAATAAAAGCCTTCCATTGCTACGGATTATCGCTCTCGACACTTGGAAAGTCGTTGGAAATAACGGGAAAAACCCCTGACGATTATGATCTCATGACTGCAGTTATGTTGGATGCATTAATAGTATCCAAGGCTCTTCCGCATATGCTAAAAATCTAGACTTCGTCGATAATCCTTCAATGAAAAGAGCTCATGCTCAAGGAAGTATGCAAAGTTGGGAGTCCTAATATATGACCAAGCCCTGTAAATCTCCCGTCAGAAACAGCTATTGACTCCAGTGTAAAGTGGCACAGATCTTGAGGCTTCGGGGGTCAGATCAGAACTACAATCCTCGTGGCTGGAGTCTATTTTGGCTCGCTCATCATACTCATCATAGAATTGTAGGCCAGCCTTCTTTCATAAGACAATAGGAATACCTCTTATTTACGACTTACAGCAAAATCAACAGTTGACTTTCAATATGAAATCCCTCGATGACTCGGAGCATTGGTTTAGTCAACTAGATGACGACATGCCGTTTGTTCGCCTCGAGAGAGGCTCTCTTCGCATTAGTAAGACGTGCGAGCGTGCGAGAGCGTTACAGCATGCCTTGACTAGCGGCAATTCGTCAATATCCGAGACCCTTAAAATAGTACGCGAGCTAATGCAGCTAGATGAGGAGGTCGTGAGCTGGGGCAGAAGCCCGGATGGTCTTACAGAACTTTAAGCGTCTCCGACTTGCCCCCTTTCCCAACTTCAAAACAGCCCCTGACAAGTGCCATTCAACTTCATTCGGACCTTTGGATGACCTATGAGTGGAATTGTCATTGAGCAGTGCGAATAATTGCTCATCAACAAGTTTTAAATTGTCTAGACGTACGTTGGCCCTCTTCGTTGTGGGCCGTGACAAGCATGCGAATACTGGATGAGGTAATGATGTTTGAAGCCATGGTGGTGTTAGGTAACTTCCTATCTACCTACCTAGGTAACTAACCTATAATGGTAGAGGTTGCAGTAATATGTATCAGCGGTATGCACTGTTTCGGCGTTTGGAAATCGATAGAGCCTCCCAGATTTTCATGTTTGCCCAGTTCGAAGGATGAAGCCATATTCAAGGTACGTACCTCGCGGCACTAACCGGATCCAGTAACCGGCACGAGATGCGCTCCTGCGCAGCTGAATCCACGACTGCCCCGACAATCCCATTCCGGTAGGAGTTAAAAATCCCGGGACGGTAGCGATCTATGAGGAAGGCACGAGATACTATATATCAGAAATCATGCATACCTAAGGTAAGAGGTATGTACCTAACGTTAGGTATATACCTAGTACGATGTCCTCTACTCTAGTCTCTAGCCTTTATGAGTTGTTCCGCGCGTATAAGTATCTTTAGAAGGGGTATAGAATTGACATAGTTATCAGCAGCTCTCTAGAATTTAGATCCCATTCCTTGGATTGTAGTTAATGGTGCAGCATCTTGTTGATAGACTGCTGCTTTTCTTGTTTCACTTACACCGTTCTTCGCTAAGGAAACTGCGATATAGGCAGCACTTAGAAGAAATATTCCGAAGTACGTCCGACTTAGAGCGCTTCAGCTTCTTTGTCGTAGCTGGGTACATAATACATTAGAGCCAGTGGAATTTTCAACAAATCAGCCCCTATAGCTCAGTGGTAGAGCGTTCCACTCGTAACACGTGATTCATAATCTGAATTGCGCCGAGACGAAATGGAGAGGTCCATCGTTCAATCCGGTGTGGGGGCAGTTAATTTTTGAATTTTTTTTCTTTTACATCTCAACTCTTTTTTTCCCTGAAGCTCCTAACTTGTTATGTGTTAGGTCTTGTGTACCTAGCTAGTAGTTAGCTAAATACACACTTACGACAAACGAACGGTACGGTCAATATTCACGTAGTTAGCATACAAATTTTATGGTGTATGTAAATAGATACTCACAGATCGGGGAGGTACCTTGCTCTCCTTGCTCTGGGGTTAGTTAGGTATGTCTGACTAGGAATTGTAACATGTGCCATAAACATCATTCATTATGAAGATATTATATTGATAATCTGATGGCACAAGCTGCAGTATATAATAATATAAGAATGCTAAGCATATTGACATGATATATGTACTAAAATTTGCTCAAAGCGTCGAAGCGACCACCCCTGCCTGTGAGGTAATCGAACTCGCATTTGCTAGCATCGACGTCGTTCCTAGATTCTCTTTCACCTAAAGTGTCCTGGATTGACCAGGCAATCCTCTCAGCTCCAATCCTAGCACCTATCAGATTCGGGGCGCCCGGTCCAAGTTGCAACCCAGCAAGTCTGCCGGCTATAAATAGGGGAACGTCATCTTTCCACTGCAGTTTATCGAGTTAGCTATGTTACGTGACTTGAGAATAAAATGGGACATAAGCATCTAAGATAGACTAAGGAATACTGGTGATAACTATCAGGACCCCGGGAAAAGGGATCAAGGAGCAAATAACGAGTAAATACGGGACAGGCTTACCGCCATATTCTCTGTGATACAAGGCAGGCCACCACAGCTCTCGATCGGATAGTCAGAGCACATCGACTTCAAAAAGGGAAGGCACTCAAAGTTGCTTTGAACACCGGTTGCGAAATAGATGTGGTCGATCTGATGGAGCGCTTGGCTTTCGTCCGATAGCGATACTGTCCAAGTTTCGGTGCATGGATCCCAGCTCTTACGCTTGATGGTGGTGTTCTGCAGTAAACATAGTCGGCCAGTAGAGATATGCCGCTCGAGAAGCTTCTTATACGGCGGCGTAATACTACCTCCGTTCCGAGCATTCTTTATCTTCTCCCATCTCTCCTCAATAGAGTCGGAAGTCCAGAAGGCAGCCTGCTCGAAGTTTCGGAACTTACCCACCCATTCCAGTCCTACATCGAAAGGCTTCACTTTAAGGGGACCGCGCATCAATAGCCATACCTTGTTTACTCCGCGACGAATAGCCAAGTCAGCTAATTGGGCCGATGTTAACCCTCCACCAACAATAACGACGTTAACTTGGGATCTCGCTTTGATTTTTTGTTTGACGCGAGCAGACGGAAATTCCTTGATATGCATAGCATGGGTTGCCCCCTCCGTCCCCTCTGTGAGATTGTCGGGGATTTGAGGGGGGTTACCACCTATGGCTAACACCACAGTCTTTGCGTAATGAACACCCCTACCTGTTCGGACTGTAAAAACTTTGTCTACTTCAGAGACGTCTTCGAGGTAGTCGTATCGAATATCTTCAACTTCTTCATGGCTTACAACATTACCGCGTAGCCCATAACGATCCATGATACATCCGCAATGAGAAGCGAAAAGTGGCGTCGAAGGAACGAAATAGTCGTTTCGATCACGCTCGTCAACAGTAGGCTCTGTCCGCGGTCTTTCATAATTAACTACGCCTGTCTGTATGGGAAGGTTGAATAGGAAAGCTTACATTCTTCCAGCCCTTTCTCTCTTCTTTCTTTGGTGTTTACTCAATTCTTTCCCAACACAGCCCCGAAGCTCGGTTAGCTCATTACCCCTATCATTTCTATACGTGAAAGCCAATAGACCATCTCGTTCCGCAGGGTCGACGTGAAAAAACATGGGACTCCGAAGGTGGGAAATATCGAAAGTCATGAATAGAGTATCCCATCGCGCCATCCAACAATTATCCGTAGCGTCGAGTACTAGAAGATCCAGTTCTCTACCACCTGGCGAAGCGACAGATGACTTTCGGCGCATCTCGGATCCGTTCCTATGATTTTTAATGCTGGCTTGATTTCTGTGTTTCCGTATCCAGTGATATCTTTGATGTTCGTCGTCTGAGAAGTTGGCTGCCGGCATACGTTCGGACAATCGTGCTGCGACGGCAAGGCCGCAAGGTCCTGCGCCAACGATCACAACATCGTGAATCCGAATATCACTCGTCTCTTCGGTAGCCATGTTTCCTTGCTGGTTTTTATGAGATGCACATACAGCAAGTGTTCAATAACCCCTGGGTCAACTGGTGGCTATAAGGGTACAGGTAGGAGAACCCTGATGGCACCTCCCACTTTGACAGCGATGACGAATGATCCCGAAGTGACTATTTCCTGGAAGTTATTCGTTTAAGCGCATTACATCCATGACCACTCCCGCCATTGCAACTTCGTTGTTTCGCAAGGAACCCCACTAAGATAGGTCGGGAAGCCAGAGCGATACATACGAAACATCTCGCTTGTCTTCTCGTGTTCGACGTCTGATACTACCTAAGGTACATGGTCATGCACAGTTGCCAAAGTTATTTTCCCTGATGAGTGGTGAACTTCGTATCATCGTGAAGCTATTAAGACAAGAGCTCTTATTCAAAATGTTCGGCGACGTGATGAGCCACAGCAGTCTCATCTCCTTCAAATTCGCCACAGACTGGGCATGTTGCCGTGGCCGATGTTACATCCGGGATAGCATTTGCCACCGTATTACTCCTTAAGGACCCATCTGGATGGTCAGCAGTCTGCTTGGGACCATTTTTGTTCTTGCCCTTACGCCTTGAGGGAACTATATACGCGCTTAAGTCAGCCTGCTCAGGTGGAATTTCAAGCGGCTCTTCCAGCCTCGCATCTCGATAATGCGGGCGACGCGCACCACGCAGCTGTGAACTTGGTCCGCCTATCGCTATCGAATCCACCGGCTCACCTCCGGTTGGTGTTGAAGGACCTCCCGATGCTGCTGCATCCGCGGAGATAGTATTTGATGTTGGAGTTGTGCTCACTGTACTTATTGTGCTCATACTCTGAACCCGTCCGATGCGACCATCAGTAAGTCGCACTTTGATACCACGATGGTGATCGCCTCGCGTTAAAACATCCCGCACAGTTCCGCTCACTTGGCGGCCCGTGCGCTGGTCAGCTTTCAAAACAATATTCACTGCTGCACCTGGAACTACCTCGGTCGTCTTCGGAACTCCACGGTTCGCCATGGTGATGGTGTGCAGTGGCGTCTGGGGATGGGATGGGGGATGGGGGATGTGGGATGTGCTGAGATCGGTAAACAGATTGGGATCAGATCTAGGTATTTTACTTTGATAAAAATATGACGAGTCTGAAAAGTTACTCTGTTGCTCTTGGCCCCTCCCCGATATAAGGGAGGGGGTCACTCCTCCATACCCTCTAATTCCAAACACCCGTCAACTCGAATATACGCTTTAATGCACTCCGCTCCAGCGAGGTACGAAGTACTTCGTACATCTCCCTTGAAATTCCATGGCTCTGGGATTTGTTCTTCTAGCTTCTACCTCTCTACAACAACAAGGTGAAGGTACCTTACCTTCTAAATAAAAGTATTAATCCATGGATGATTGCAGCTTGCATGCAGCATGCATACAAGTTTCGTCACGGGACTAGGTTCTTATAATTGACAGAATCGGGAGCGATTCTATGCATATTTCCATCTTCGGCCGCGTTTCTTCAAATTTTTAATTTTTTTTATTGCCGCGATGCGCAGATCCTGATCCGTCACCATGCAAGTGACGAGTCGTTTTCTTTGGAGAGATATAAAGGATTGTATGCACTAACACTTACATGAAATATTACCGACCACCATCGTTTCAACCTGTCTTACGATAAACAGTCAGAGATGTGGCAAAAATGAAGCCGTATTTGACTGAAGCATGGGTTTATCTGGATGCAATTCCAGGCGTAGATAGTTTACAATTGGAAAATATAGCAGAGATATAGCTGGGTTATTTGAACCCTAAATATATTTTACCTTGGTTCGAGATTTGCGACTTATTTCGCTATCCGCTCGGGCGGGAACTGTATTTGCGGAATCGATCTCCAAAGCCTCGTCTCCTTCTTTACGACCCTCACCGACTGCCGGAAATTTTCTTTGTTCTACTTCATACGATTGGTTAAAGTAGTCTCCAGCTAGCTCTCCATCCCTTGCAATGGACACGCTAGGTTAGCTTGTCACCCATCGACTTAACCAGCCCCTGTTCCTGTATCGCTCCGATATAAATGTCAACCGTCTCCTCGACCACCAACTCCTTGGGAGCGCTTAGCACCCAAACTCCCAAGGGCCTTGCAACTCGACTCGGAAGCCCGCCCTCTACACCACTCCTTACCCCGCTGGACTGACTATCTACACAAATCACGGCCTCACTCAGGATGCACAAGATTTTGGCGGGGCCAGCTGACCGCTTGCCAAGACCTCCTTATGACGCTGAGATAAACGCGATATTCAAAGCTCTAGATAGTACGCCTGAGTTCTATGAGGTCGAGAAACTAAGGAAGGACACGGCAGCAAGGATTCAGCCCCTCACGAAGGCTCTACTTACCGACAAGAGTGTCAAAATCGAGGACGTCACAATCCCTGGGCCTCGAAGGGATCTAACGGTGTCAGTTGTACGACCAGCGGCGGCAACGGGTGATCAACATCCATGTATATTCTACATCCATGGTGGCGCTTTAGTCGCAGCAGATCGCTTCGCGGGATTGGATACTAGTGTCGTATGGGCCAGGGAATTCAATGCCATCGCCATCAGTGTGGAGTACGGACGTGCGCCCGAGAATACCGGAACACAGCCTGCAGAAGACTGCTACGCGGCGCTATTATGGGCTGGTAAGCACCTCTCGGAATTGAGAATTGACCCTAGCCGCCTGCTGCTGTACGGCACGTCAGCTGGGGGCGGGTTGGCTGCAGCAACAGCATTGATGGCACGTGATAAAGGTGGCCCAAAACTATGTGGCCTTGTCCTTGAGTGTCCCATGCTGGACGATAGGAACGAAAAGGTCTCGTCCCAACAGTTCTCTACTGGCCCATTTTTCAACTCGACTTTAAACAGGTTTGCCTGGCGCTGCCTCCTTGGGGAGCGCGTTGGGAGCAGCTCTGTCTCCGAGTATGAAGCGCCCGCTCGAGGGCAGGACCTCTCGGGGTTACCACCGACATATCTTGACTGTGCGTCTGCTGAACCCTTCCGGGATGAAATCGTGGCTTTCGCCTCTAAATTATGGGAAGGGGGGGTCCAAGCAGAGCTTCATGTGTGGCCTGGTGGCCCCCACGGATACGAAAGAATAGTTCCTACGGCGCCCTTTGCCAAAATGGCGAGGCAGACCAGGCTGGCCTGGATTCGTCGAACTTTCTTTCAAACAGCCTAAGGGGCTTGGCTATTAAAACTGGCATTGCTATTATATATGATAGCTACTACGTAATCACATTATGTGGCTCCATGGTCAAACAATTCTGTGGCCAAACGATACAGCGGTCTGTGGGAGGTTGTCTGGACTGATACGGGTATGGGGGGCAGGTATGCCTCCTATCCGCCCCACGTATATATCCGGATTGTGCGTACACAACAGAAAATTCAGGGCTTGATTTTACATTGGCTACCTATATAGATTTTACTATTGCAAGAATGTACAGTATTCGCTAAGCTTCGTTGGATGTATCTTTTTAGTTGGTAAACAGCCCTACCAAGTGTTTCAGGGTGTATTAATATTGTCTGCCATAGTTAGATTCGAAAAAGATTGATACAAAATGACCTTATTCTGACTTCCATATTAGTATCAACGGCAAAGATTGCCCGAATCTACCGATTAAAGTAATAACTAATATTCTTTTATTCGGGTCGAGCCGACGCGAACATGAAATAAGCATATTCTTTCCCTTATGGGCCAACCAACCTTATAAAGATTATAGAGACTCATTTCTCCCGCCTCACTTTTCGTTTCATTATCCCTGTTGCCACGCGAAAGAGACCACAAAGACAAGAGAAATAGTTGAAGCTAAAGTAGCAGTTACTTACTAGGGACAGACTAGGGAGGTGGTTATTAACATAGAAGCTCAGACCATCACCTATCCAATAAATCACCAACAAATATTCAGCCCTTCTGGAAAGTATTCTCCGTTTAGCAGTTGGGCAAGTAAAGGTAGGATACTTTCTTGAATGGACACGCGTCAAGGACCCGCCCAGCCGCCCCGAGGGATGGTGCTTTCATCGAGATCTCTCATACGACCGTGTATCTTTCTCGCCATCCGAAGACAATACCTTACTTAGGTAGTTTTTATTGAATATACTGCGCTCTGACATGGATGAAATAATAGCGTGCGGTTCTCCATATTATCTATTACGCATGGACGTGATTTATCCCTGTCGCCGTTCACGTCCCTGTGCGTGGCGTTGCCATACCTATAATATTTGGTCTATAACCCCAATTGAAATAGTAGAAAGCAAGCAAATCGTTACCTAGGAATTTCTATCTTACTGGTATACGACTAAGGCGGTAAAAGTTAATCAATAACCGCATCAGCTTCCACCTGATACTTCTAATGCAGCCACCATTCTCTTTGCATTCAAGCAAGCATGAATTATGAACAACTCAATCTTGACAGCATCTAGAACGGGCACTTGCAATACGTACGTCAACATCACACCACATTGATCAGATCATTCTAGCATATAGGAAATCCAAACTCATTATCGGCTTTTGTTTAGGTTATGTCCGAATACCGCCCTGAGTCGATCCCAAGATACCTAACTTACCTCCTAGTCTGCCTACAATACCTGTCACGACATTATCGCCTAGAAAGACTGGACGCAATATACCAAATATTATCAAGGGGTTCTCTGCACCGAAAACAAGATAGCTACCCCTAAGGTACCTAAAGTGAATTTATGCCTAAAGAAACATACAAACTATTCCACGTGAAAAAACACCATCTCGATAATACTATTAGGTTTCCTACTAGAAGACAAGCAACAAGTTACCAACTGTCAGATAAAAATGGTACCTTACACTAATAGAAAACCAAATGTAATAAATCTCGGCGGTACTTCTTGTATTACAATGACGTATAGCATATAGTATATGATCAGCCTATCCCACTAATTGAAGCCTACCAGGCAACCTAGTTGTCTTGCAAAGTATATCACATCCATGTTGTTGCTTAAAGGTACCTTGAAGCAACTTTGGAAGAATACCTTTTAGGGCACACTTCACCAACCTAAGGATATACTTCTACATAAATCAGAGGATAGGCTTGATATAGCAACGCTATTAGTTGGATATATATCTTAGAATAACTACCATAAAGGTATAATTAGGTCCTTACCGTCTTACAGGTATGCTAAAGAACTCCTGATGCCAACTATATTAACCAACTATTCGTTAACTTAAATACCTATACAGTGACCTCAAACTTCCTTTACGACGCACATGTAGACAGCTTAGACATGCCAAGCAAATATACTTCACCCGTACCTTTATCCCCCCATTGAGCCTCGGCGTCTAGCTCAAGCCATCCCGCACAAAGTGTCCATCTAACCCACTTCTATTGACATGTACCGGGTACCTGGTATGTTTTTGACTAAGGTAGGTACCTAATCATCCCACGCCTTCTAAACAGCCCCCAAGTCCTAGGATTCGGTGTCCCAATCCAGCTAAATGCATAGTACTTTACAACTCCTTTTCAACATAGAATGACACGTCACTTTCAACCTCTAATGTGAACAGATTTACATTTTAGACAGTCACGATTATGCTAATGGAGGTCTTTAACGCTACGTTCTTTACTTAGCAAACCTCGAGCCAAGTTATTATTCGAACATATTCTATCGTATAATAGCCTGAACACGATACTGCGTACTTGCCTGGGTACCAAGGGGCCGTCGATGTGTAATATACCCCAGGTAAGTATGGAACTAGTCACCTCTTATGTAAAGATCACGATGTGAATAGTGCAAAGGGAAGCTCAAAAAGCCATGTATCCGGGTAGACACGGACAACATCCGAATTTCGTGTTGTCCGACAGTTAAAGCCACTCAATCAAGGACAACTTCACGGTCCTTATGCAATGAAACGAGTGCACATTACTTCACGTATTCAACTTCATGATTCCACAAGGGCCAGTGTGACAGTCGATAGCAATATCTTCCAGGGGGGCTTCATCGTCGCGATACGCTTTGGCTGGTCTATCTTTACCCAGCGGGGTCGGCTGACCGTCCGGGGATGCATTTAGGGGCCCATCACCCAAGCACCTACATCCGCCGTTAGCATCGTCGATTCGAACTAAGAAGCAATGTACCTCATATATTAGCAACTCGGCTTTGAACTATCACATCTCCAACTGCAAATATATGAAAGTTTAAAATCGAGAGAACAACTCACAACCATAGGTAAATAATCACCTACCAATTTCATTTTCATTGCGGCATTTGCGGGTATATCATCCCGCGTAAATGTAAGCAGCTGGTTGGAGCAAACGTGATGAAATTCCCTCAGCCTCCTAATAAAATCTCAGTCCGCATGTATTGTACATGCAAAAAGCAACGCCGTAAAATCGGCTACAAGGGGTGTTCAACTAGTTGGCGAACAAGGGCGTGGCCCCTATGGAGTAACCCCGCGGCAGGGGGGGGAGGGGGGGGGGGGGGGGGATAAGCTTGCAGTATTCAGTATTCAGTATTCACCACTATTATTCTCACGAACTTGGCACGCCTCGAGTGAAACATGTGACATGATATAGAAATGGGAAGCTATCTGTTCATCGGAGCCCTCGCTTCGACGTTGATCTGTACCTCCTAGGGGCCGGTAAAGGCAAAAGCTCTATCTATACCTTAGGTATGTGATCTTATTAATGCAAGAATCCATAGACGTGTTTCTAACTCAACTAGAAACAAGAAAAAAGCCGCCCCTATTCGTGGCTTGTTTTGAGGTTGGATCAAGTTCATGACATGGGAGTAATCAGGAGATAAAGAAATAAATAAAAAAATAGCCGCTTGGGGCGCGCGGAGTTGTTCCGACCCCAACGTTCACGTCTCACAAGAGAAAGAAAAGCCCGTTGAGAATGATGCAATAGCGAAGGGGCGTCTGAATCGGTGTATGCACAAGTAACAATTTCGAGGTCACCGGTGTATCAACTATCAGGAGGGCTTTTTACTTCGACCAAGTCATGATACGTGGAGCTTCTACTAATAGGTATACCTACTCCATCAACTGTAATTGTATTAGTCGGTAGGTAGGTACCTGATATCAAATTTCCCGGACTCCGACCTAAACCTCCGTAGACCCTTTTGCGAAGAGCAGAAAGACTTTTATCATTTTCTGCTGCCTCGCTTTCCATCAGCACTCGCTGGCACGTTCGTCTGTCTGTTTTCCCGGTGGTGATTCTTCGTGACTCGGGCCTACGTTTAAGACTGGTCAGCATCCTAGAGGTATCGAAGTAGGTAATATAGTAAGTAGAGCTATTAGGTAGCCATTATGATGTCAAACTTACTATTTTTGCAAATTCAAGTGTCTGCTTGGTCGCTTGCCAATTCTCCTTCAGAGGGCTTATCATGATTAACATGAGCGTCGTGTAGTCCTTGCCAAGAAAGGGCTGCAAAGCCGTCGTGAGGGTATTATTTCTGTATGTCGGCGGTTCATTCTTGGCCAGGCTGGTCAATACGTTTCTTAGCTCCATTAGTGACAAGTTGATATCGTTGCCTTCCTTGAACGCAGTACCTGCGGTTTGTGCTTGCTCCGTTCTCTCGAAGCCCGCGAGATCTATAAGGTTAAGTCGACCTTCGTACTTTAAGCCGCTCTCATTCTTAAGTTCCTTAACAAGCTTAAGACTAATGATAAAATGGGATCGAGAAGAACTGTTATTCAGGGCGGTTGCGCCGAAATGTCTGTTCTTCATCCCGATGTCAATCAAAGCGCTAAAGTCATCAGCTGTGTCGAGCTCATAGAACTCAAGATCATCAACACGACGTGTTTCCCGTCTTATCCTTTTTCTACCTGCTTTTAGTGGTTGTAGTTTCTTGCCGTATATTTCAGAGCAGCATCCGCTGATAATCAATTCAATATCAAGATCACGAAGGCGTTTCTTCTCATTAAATATCATGATACTCGCCCTGGGAAGTATGCCATCGTTCTTGTAGTAGACCCCCTCTTCCCGATGTTCGACTTCATCTATGTTGCTCATTGTATACGTCTTGCCAGTACCGGATTGGCCATAGCAGAATATGCAGACCTTCTTTCCGTCCAAAGCCGATTGTATTAAATGGCTTATTCCGTTAAAGATGTTGCCGTTTGCCTCCTCAGGGAGGTAAACTCGGTCGAACTCATATCGCAATCCTTCTTCTAGGATTGCTAACTTGGTAGCATGGTCATAGAAGTACCCCGTCTCCGTAGTGTATTCTAACAATGGGCCTGAAGTATCCGGCCGGATGCGACACATTACGCGCACAATTCCCTGGGGTGCATGGACTTGCTGGAAAAGTAGATGCTTTCGCTTCTTTTCTAAGTCTAATTTACTGACCAAGGTTTCGATTTCGTCGTTTAGCTTTTCATTGCTACCCGTCTTTTCCTGCAAATTTACTTGAAGCAATTTCTGACTCCGTATCTCTTTAGCTGAGCCTTCTGTTTCTCTTGATGTACGCTGTAGCACTGCGTCTTGTTTTTGAAACATAGTCTCGTGTCTAAGGAGTATTGCCTGCATTTTTTTGACCTGGTTTTTAAGTTTTCCAACTTTAGTATTGAGTTCCTGAATTTTCGTTGTACATTCGGGTTGTATGCTGCTATGTCGCGAATTACTCCCAGTGTTCTTCCATTGGAGCGAAGCGATGATGGTCTCTAACAGTGAATACATTTCGGTGTCGTATATTTGGGCTTTTTGCTCGTAAGGATTGTTTCTTCGACAGTTCTCCCTGGCTGCACTAATTATGTCAACTCTACGGGCTTAATAACCCAACAAAAGAGACTCGGCCCTTTTATCTTTGGGTTTTAGTTGTGTCCCATCTGATGATATTCTTCTTGTAGTTTCTACGCCGCGTCCGTGTGTTGCCATCTTGATATAGTTGGTCTCTTCTCTTTTCCTTTTCTGTATAGAATGATCTACCTAGTACCTTTTATTTAGGCTTGGCATCAATTTCCTCGAGATAGCGATGTCAACTATTTAGTACACGATGAACCTTTGCGCATCATCTGGATCCAGCAGAAAATGCTACAGGGTGTAACTAAAGAGCAGAAACAACACCGTTGTTCAGTAAGCATCCCTAACCTACCACTACGGGACTCTATGGCTATATGTGCTAAATATGTTCTTTGTCTTACACGTCTACTCTAGAATCCTATCTACTTCTTAAGCACCTAACTTATGTCGGCACCCCAAGCTGCATTGTACCTATTATATGCTTTGGCATAAGTCATTGCTACGATTCATCCTATAACATAACTATTGAAAAGTCGGATTTGACTATCAACGTTGTTTCTATAGTAGATCCCCTGGCTTGTTATTTACCTAACCATCATGTCAAATACAGAGAAACCCAGGAATGCGTTAAATACATAGAGGTACCTATTTCACGCTTCTCTTATCCTGGCGGAGAAATACCTTTTATTATAGTTTATGCTGCTAACTTGATGGCGTATATTTGTTCAGATGTTGGTAGTAAGTAGTCTGTTAACCTTTTACCTAGTTGTTTACTTAGATCTAGGATCGGAACCAAGGTCGGTGCTGATTCTGTGGCAGCTTCGTCACTTCGTCACTGATGTTAGATGCTGCACCACACGTCCTAGTGATACGCTCAAAAACTTGAGGGTACCGTCGCATAATATACAAATTAAGACATCCATATCCATATATGTAATCGGCGACGTGGATGATGTGATTCAAGCCGACCTGGGTAATTATACACGAGATCTGGACTCTACCAACCCTGTTTCACCAACTCGCTCACCCTTTTTACGCAAGCCTTGAATCCCCTTTGGAACCTCTTCTGCCACCTTTCACTCTTGAGCCTCTTTCGCTTCAGACCCGGCCGCTCGTGAAACCTCTGTTTCTGTGCGTCATAACGGACCCTGTTTCCTGATACTTGGATGTTTAAAATCTGGAACGTCCGCGCTACATCGGAATTTTTGGTGACGTGAACAGTACGGCCAGTTCGCGGGACCAGACGTACTGGGGGGCGGGTAGGTGCTGGTCGTGGTTCTACTATTTTGTTTCTGTGAAGCTCGCCGATTTCGAAGTCGATCTCGGGTGCGAGAACGTCATTGTATACAGAGATATCTGGCTTTTTTATTCCATCGTCTTCTTCCTGTTCTCGGAACGGATCGGACCATTTAGGTGAAGTATAGTTCTGAAATCGGGCTCGGGATAGAGGTGACCTAGGAGAGAGAACAGGGTCCTTAGGAGGGGTGTCGCTGCTATCGACTGACCGAAGGATCGGAGAGGTGGATATCAGCCTTATGTTTGATATTATTGATGCTGAGCTTCGGAGGAGTGGCGTTGATCGAGCGGCGACTTGCGCTACCCGGTAAAACTCGGCCCTATGGAGGATTAGAGAGAGTATAAAAGGTAATGCGTATTTTAAGTAGGTATCTATTTCGAGTATTCGAGCTTACATCTTAAGAAGGATTGACGGAACTTGGGGTCAAGTCTCTAAATTGAGAGACTTGAAGAACCAGAAGGCTTCCTCCGATGTTTTTTTGCGATTGAGGAAAAGCGAAGCTTCCAATCTTCCAATCGTTGCGTTGCGTTCGGTTCGGGTTTTTTTTTTTTATGTGCATCCGTACGGTTTACATACATATCAGGTACCTTAGGTACATACTTTAGGTACATGTAGGTAGTATGTACCTAACCTATCAAGATAAGCCCCACGCGTGGCTGTGCCTAATCTTTTTAGGTACCTAGGTACATACCTAGGTCCCTTTCCACCAGTAGTAAACTCGTCCAATTAAAACGGAACCTTGTCAACATCTAAATCTCGTGCGAATTAACCTCTTCGCGCTGCTGAACATTTTCGTTACCTCTTATCAAGTCTTTTTTTTTTTTTTTTCTTTCATTCGAGTCCTTGCGATTCGCATACCTCGTTTCGCCAATCTACTCAGCGCTCCTCCCTACTCCTACTCCACTACGTTTAGTAGAATCTGATAGTATTCAGCATTTCTATTATGGCATATAATCCTTACGGAGGAGGTAAGTACCAGGTAGCTACTTGATCTATAGATATCTACATTTCTATCTATATCTGACCTGCTGGACGTGTCCGGTCCGGTTCTCGAAAGAAGTCTATAAGGACCAGAACAATGCTAACAAAACAACTCATCTGAAGTGCCCGGCTTCGGCCCGCCTCCGACGTACGGTGCGTATCCTGGAGCTGGCGGTGCTCCAGGTGTCCCGTCTGCTCCTGGTCTAGGTAAGTAGCTGTCGCAATCCGACTTCTCGACACCTACCCCTTGGTACCGTATACTTATATCTACTATAGGACCTCCTCCAGGCATGTCTGCCCCAGGAACGGCGCCACCACCTGGCGTTCAGCAGCACAACATCAATCAAGCTAATCGACCTAGCGGTCTGCCATCAAACTTCCAAGCTCCTCCGAACATGCCCAACATAAACTTCAACGCCCCCGTCATTCGTCTCGGCACCTCGACGAAGCCTCCTACCCCAGGAATCCCTGGTCGCAAAGATAGCGAGACCCCTAGTTCTGCTGGTCCCAGAGCGGGAGTAGGGATGGAACGTGGTCTAGATCAAACACGACAGGCTATACGTGAGAACATGCAAGCGTTAGTGCCGCCTACCAGAGAAGAAATTGTGCGGACTATCTTCGTAAGTGGCATTACGGATGGTATTAGTGGTAATGAGGGCATCGAGAAAATACTCGGTGCCGCGGGCAAAGTGCGCCGTTGGGATAGAGCTGTCGATGCTGGCGGGAAAGAAATGACGTTTGGCTTTGCCCAGTTCGAAGACGCCGAGTCCCTCTGGCTTGCCTCCGAAATCTTGAAAGATATCGAAGTGCCCGTGAAGAAACAAGTACCCTCGGACGAGCCCGCGAGCGATGACGACACCTACGCGAATTTCGAAAAAGCAGTTCTTCAAATCAAGCTAGATGAGAATTCGACGAAATACCTCGAGGCCTATAAGGAGAGTAGACCTGATGATGCCGGAGCAGAGGCAAGACGAGAAGCTGCTAGAGGTGCGTTGAAGCAGATCATAAAAACTCTCTTTTATCCTCCTTCGCAATCTAGTGCAGACGCAGATGGGGACGTTCCCATGGGTGACAGTTCAGCTCAGAACGGCGAGAGCGTTGAGGTGGTTAATATCCCCTTGGCACAGGAGGACGAATTAGCCGATATCCCTGCTGAGATGCGCGAGACCGTTGCTGCCGAAATAGCCGCTTTCAGAGAACGCAGCATCAAGCGGGATATGGAACGCCTAAAGAGAGAGGAGGAACTTGAGGCGATGGAGCGTCAAAGGAACGGCGCATCTAGGCCCTCTAGATTAGCATCTCCTCCGCCTTCCAGTTCGAATACTATTCCTCTCGGACCTCGCGGTGTGCCAAATGCGCCATCCGGCCCAAAGGGACAGAAGTCTGATATGGGCAAAGATTACAACAGGTCAATAAATTTTATTAATGGCGGAACGACGAATGGTGGTTTATCTTACAATAGGGATGATGAGGATGACTCAGCTAGCGATGAGGAGCTAGAGCGCCGTCGTATCGCCAAGCAGAATGCAGAGACTGAGAAGCTTTATCTGGACGCTGAACGCCGATGGTTAAATAGGGAGAAATCTCGCACAGCTGCCTTGGAACGAGAGAAGGAGCGTGACGAGTCAGACGCAAAAGATTTTGTCAAGAATAAAGAGAAAGTACTCCAACGGCTCAAGCATTTCGATGACGATGCGGAAGCATCTCGAAAGTCTGAGGAATATTACAAGGATCGAAGCGCTTGGATTAGGAATCGCACTGCATTTAGGGCTAGGGAAATAGCAGCTGACGATACGGATCGACAAGCTGAAGAGCAAGAACGCGTCAAGGAAGAGGCAGAGCGCGAGCAGGCTAGAGGTATGGCCGACTCGTTCCTTGAAAGGCAAGCTCAGGAGATGGAGCAGCGGCAAACCAATAGGGTTGGAATTGCCGCGCCCCAACCATTTAAGCTGTCACTTGGTGCAGCTGCTCAGAAGGCACAAGCACAACGTGCCGCGCCACAGAGGAAGACCATTGCCGAGGTTGAAGGTCTTCTCGAGGACGAAGACGAGGATGCGAGTTCGAGGCGGCAACTTATACCTATCCAGTTCGAGCCCGCGGCCGCTGCGGCTATGTCGGATGAAGAACGTGACCAGGCCGTTCGTGCGTTGGCGCAAGAAATTCCCAACGAAAAGGAAGGACTCTGGGAGTGGGATGTCAAGTGGGATTACTTGGACGAGAGTGTTATTCGCGAAAAGCTCAGGCCTTTCGTCGAAAAGAAATTGGTGGAGTATCTTGGCGTCCAGGAGCAACTTCTTATTGAAGTTGTGGAAGAGCATCTTCGGAAGCACGCGAAACCTAGAGAGCTAGTAGAGGAACTGGCAGAGGTATGTGACCGATCATGATGATATCGTCGAATTATATACGCTAACTAAAATATTCTAGGCCTTGGATGACGAAGCCGAAGCTCTAGTTAAGAAACTTTGGAGGATGGTTATTTTCTTCACGGAGAGTGAAAAACGCGGGCTTTCTGCATAGATGAGAGGTAACTCTTATCTCTCGTATTTTTATTTATTGGTCGTTTTCTGTGATACACTCTACTTCGGTAGTAACTGTACAATGGAAAATTTAAAAGTTGGTCTTGCAATAGTTAATAATTCAACTCATAGTTTCAGATATCTTACGTATGGGGAGGGAGCATAAGGGAAGGAGTGGAATGCCCTTCGGATATCCGGTTGGTGGGAATGAGCCGTAGTTTTCAGACGGGCATCTCAGCTTTCATGATGAAAGTGATAAAAAACAAAAAGAAATAGGGACTCTATGGATAGATAACAAGAGCTATTCTAGTAATACAGAGTATAATGGAGCTATGCGGCTACGCGTTTTTGTAGTACCAATTATATTTTGGTGGTTGAATCCTACCTGTAATGTTCCTATACGATAACCCCTATTGTGGAGTGAAATAACTTGGATACGTCTTTGATACATGATACCTGTAGGAGGTACCTAACCTAATGCAACGTGCTGACCTTGACCGTTAGGAGTTGTACCCGCGGCCCCGGGCCCGGTTTACGATTTGCGGAGTATAGTGGATCTAACGGAATGCCGAGGCAATCCTCCATAATGAAACCCCACTTGACCGGTCAAAGTAAATTAATTCCAAGGTGAGAGAGTTGGCTTAATAAGACGTTGAACTTGAAAGTCTTATTAGGTATTTAATTTACAAATTCTACTAGGAATTGACATTTGGAACTCACCCCCTTTTTTTTTAACCCGAGACAATTCAATTCAGCATTCAATCCACTATGTCTTCCCAACCATCTTCTCCCATCACAACACCACCACCCACCGTCCCAGACACCATAATCTCATTTCCGCAGCCTCACGTCCTGCTCGTGACGCTCAACCGCCCAAAACAGCTCAACGCGATACCGCGCCCCCAGCACTTCGCCCTCGAACGCCTGTGGGATTGGTACGATGCCGAGCCCGCCCTGCGCTGCGCCGTGATCACCGGCTCGGGGAGGGCGTTCTGCGCAGGCGCCGACCTCAAGGAGTGGGATACTCTCAACTCCTCCTCCTCCTCTCCTGACAGTCCCGAAAATGCAAAAGCATCTTCGGCAGAGGAGGAAAGCAGTCACCAGCAGCAGCAGCCGCAGACGAAACGCTTCCCGCCCGGCGGGTTCGGCGGCATGAGCAACCGCGGCGGGCTGAAGCCGATCGTGGCGGCGGTGAACGGGATCTGCTTCGGGGGCGGGATGGAGATGGCGATCAACTGCGACCTGGTGGTGGCGGCGGGGTCGGCGAGCTTCAGCCTCCCCGAGGTGACGATCGGGGTGATCGCGCTGGCGGGCGCGCTGCCGCGGCTCGTGCGCAGCGTGGGCAGGCAGCGGGCGGCGGAGATGGCGCTGAGCGGGAAGAGGTACGGCGCGAGGGAAATGCTGGCTTGGGGGTTGGTGAACGAGGTTGTGGAGGGCGGCAAGGATGATAAGGATGATGATGGTGGTGGTGGTAGCAAGGCTGTGCTGGAGAAGGCGCTGGAATGGGCGCAGCGGATCGCGGGGAACAGCCCCGACGCGGTGATCGTGTCGCGCGAGGGGCTCAAGTTAGGCTGGGAAAGCGTCGGGCCGGAGCAGGGGACGGCTATCCTGCTGAAGGGGTGGTTTGCGCGGATAGAGAAGGGGGAGAATGCGGTCGAGGGCGTGAAGAGTTTCGTTGAGAGACGGAAACCGGTTTGGAAGAATAGTAAATTGTAAATTAAATACAGGTAGGTACCTCTACCTAACCTAACCTAACCTACTGTAATCACTCAAGTTATTGGGTTCGCTTTTTAGTAATTACCTAGGCTTGGCATGCTAATATAGCCATTCTAATGTTCATTATGCTCTTATAATATCCACATGATCGACGAACTCTTACAAAATAAGTATTTCTTGAGGGTTTCCCCAGATGTGCCTACCTGAATCTATTAATAACATATGAAGATAATAGTTTCATGATCAATGTAATCCAATATAGCAATAATTGAATAAAATAGTGAATAATCAATAGCAAATAAATTCCCACATGGTAAGTAAGCACAGGGTAGATAAGGGGGGGTCAGATATAGCCTCCGAGCCAATTGAGAGGGGTTTTTCACCTGGACATGTACTAATGAAGTAGGCTGACGGAACACAGCCGACGCCTGCCCACATGGTGATCTAGGCGGTAACTAAGAACAGACATGAACCACTACTTATACGAAAGCATCACCAAAGAGCCATTGAGAGTTTAACAAGTCTTATCTCTACTGTAGAACGCCTGACAAGTCTCCAGTACCGGTCCATCAAGAACCTCCAAACCCTTAATTTAGATATAAGAGATCATAATATACTCTGTGAAGTACCTATAGCTATGAAATTTCACTTATTTCATTCTCATCTTGTCGATAGGATACTGAAGGCAATCAATACAGATTTGGGATTGGTGTGCAAAGCAAACCCCAGTTCCAAACAAGCAGAACAAGAAGATGTGGTTCGAGTATCGGAGTTCGATTCATCCCATCACTTGTTGTGTAAGGACTGTTCACAATTGAGCTTTTCCAGATTCTTTTCACGTCCTATTGAGGGGGCACAGTTCGTTGCGAACGTTGGACGACGCTTCCGATCCGGTCGAGATTCTGATTGCAGCCTGTGCGGTATATTATCAACTTGCAGAATCGACGAACCCTATTCGGCTTCTACAGATGAACCAGATTACGACGTCTTGGTAGCATATCCATTCTTTGTCGAAGACTGCAAAATACGCGCGTCCCATACCAACCTTGACGGGCTTATACTTGCCATCAGGCACCAGTCCCTCTATTTCAAGACTCAATACACATTCAGCAGCTTGGCCTATCATATCCTTCAAAATGGTTACGGCTTGGTAACGAGAGCCTCGGACAACACCTCAATCGTTGCCAAGCATAATCCTCAATTCGATGCCAGAACAGCTTCAGCCTGGCTTCAACACTGCAGAGATTATCACGGCCTGGTTTGCATTCAACGCCAAAGCTTCACGGGCGCCATCAGCTTAATAGACTGTCACACATTGGCCGTAGGATTACACCGCGAGGACCAACCCTATATAGCGTTAAGCTATGTTTGGGGGGGATCCGACATCCGGGGAGTTAGGTGGCACAATAGGAGACTTTCGCTATGTCTCGAGCAGCTCCCGCAGGTCGTGCGCGATGCGATTACTGTGACCTTATCCATGGGCTTCCGTTATCTGTGGATAGATAAATATTGCATAGACCAGGACGAACCTGTGAAGAGAAGCCAGCAAATCCAACAAATGGATGCTATATACGCTAATTCGGAAATCACGATTATCGCCGCCACGGGCGACGACGAAAACTACGGCCTTCCGGGCGTTAGTACACGCCAGCGCACAGCCCAGCCGACAGTCCGATTCGGGGAGCTGAATATAACCTGGGCCTCAAGACGCCCCGAACAACAAGTAATAGCATCGAAGTGGAACACCAGGGGCTGGACGTATCAGGAAGGCTATTTATCTCGACGCCGCCTCATCTTCCTGGACGAGCAGGTCTATTTCGAATGCAGCAAGGGCGTATTCCACGAGAGCGAGCACTTGCCTGTGGAAGGCTACAGCCCCTCCTCGTTCGAAATCGCCTTGTTTTCCAACCCGTACATACGCAACGGCGCGGCGGGATTCTGCTACGCGGTGGAGCAGTACTCCGCCCGGGAGCTGAGCTGCGACTCGGACGCGCTGCGCGGTTTTGCGGGTATCATCCGATCCTTCTCCGTCAACGCGCAGGATCCCGTGTGGCACATCTGGGGACTTCCTATATCCATGAGGAACGCCAACATTAGCGACGAATTGGCTCGTTCGCTTTCGTGGCCGCATGACGACCCAGACGTGCCATGCAATACCCCGGAGAAGCGTAGACGGCGCCATGGGTTCCCGTCCTGGACGTGGGCTGGCTGGACGGGTAAGGTGCATTCGAATTGGATCTCCCGGGAAGGCCAGTCGCAGGTACACCTACGTATAAACCATCTCGAAGACGACAGAGGTAAGGGGATCCGCTTACAGGATGTGGTCAAATCTATGCTAGAAGAATCTCTCTGTGCTTTCCGTATCCTCTCGGTTGAAGCTGTGGTGGTACCATTGCAGCTTTTCAAGTTTGAGTTGGCGTCTATACCCCGTTGGACATTCATGGGGTTGGCCGGGAACGCCTACCTATCCGAAGGCAGTGACGGCGAGAGGATGCTCGCAGAAGGCTTGAACGAAACGGATTCATGGAAATGTGTACTGCTTTCGGGGAGCATAGGGAAGGGCTTTTGTATATTGACCCTCATGAAGGACACGAATACAGGCATGTGGGTTCGAGCAGGCGTGTTCGATATAACGCGCTCGTTCAAACTCGAAAGAGACAAGATTGAGTGGGAGAAGCAAAAGAGAACATTTCACCTGGAAACATTGAAGATAATCTAATAACGTAATATATATAGATTTCAAACTTCCCCTTTTATTGCTTAAATGAGTGGTGAAAGGACTCTAAATACTCAATCAAAGACAAGTATAAGTCGGGTGAATTCAGAAACAACTTTCGGTGATAAATTGTACTTGCTGATAATTAATATATCACGCCCAAGAAGCGCCACGCCGATAGACGCTGCACAAGTTAATTACCTGCCTAAATATTTCGTTTGCTCATCTAGGTAAAAGGGAACACGTTGTTTGACATTCCGCAATGTGTCACTGTTGTGTAGATACCTAGGTGGTATTGCATAGTAAAGGGGGCGACCTAATTGGGAGAGAATAGGACCCCAACTATTGATGTCACACATCCAGATGTACTTTTGAGGCGAAGGCTGACGGGAGCCAATACCTGAAATATGAATACTACCACCACTACTCTTTAATTTATGAGCAATAGAGGCTCAGCTCAAACCATGTTAAAGGCCTCCCCGGCCCCCGCTGAGGGGAATATTTAGAGTCTGTCAACTTTCCATCGCTCTTACGTTCGACGGATTTTCTACCACCTCCTCCTGCGATGGATCGCGTAAACCCCTCTTTGGGTACTGTCTCGTCAGCCCAATACATTGGTGTAGGGATACCTTCCATTGTCCTTTCCATCTGTTTTGTAGCGATCCGGTTATCGAATACCTGGAGGCAGGAAAAGAAGTTCCTGATTGAAGAATGTACGATTTTTCATCGACGACACTGATTCTTGAGGTTCATATAATAATGCAAGACGCGTTAGATATTTGCATCCTTGCGATCGCCTTGTCAATCCTTGTCTTTGCGCTAGAAATATACGTAGAGAGGACGTACGAGGAAGAAACACGAAAAGAAATCTGTGAGTTTTAATATCTCTATCGAAGTCAAAATCTTATCTATTGAATAGCAGCATCAGAGACCATAAATATATCTACATCGTTTTTCCTAATTGTGAGTTGCCCTGAACTATTTCTTTCGTCTCTTTTGCTAAGATGCTGGCCCATCTTAGATGGAAATGGCTCAAACTATTATTGCGGCTTTCCTATCCTTTTTCGCCAAGATACCCCTATTTATGCTTTACATCCGCCTCTTTGGATCTATCAAGTGGGTTCGGATGACATGCTATTTTTCGATTGCTGTCACACTTTTGCAATTCACAATAGGTTCGTCCCTATTGGGGGTATTTTGCAATCCGGCTGGAAGCAAAGTTTTAAGTCCGTTTGGCGTCTATCGATGTAGTACCTGGATTTTCTACGTTGTGCTGTGGAACGGAGCCATCGCACTGGTCACCGATATAATACTCTTTGCTCTCCCATTCCCGATCATCACCAAGCTGCAGCTTCAACGCCGAAAAAAACTAAACCTGGCCATCGTGTTCATGGCTGGAATTGTGTAAGTTGGGAGTAGAAGAAAATTCCTTTATTCTCTAGTTGCTAATACACATATAATGTCTCAGTGGAATCGCTATAGGTATCGTCTCTTTGTATTGGAGGGCATTAGCTCTCAAGAACAGGCTGATACCCGCGTATGATACTATAATGACCAGCACGTATGCGAATAGCCTCCCGAGCGACATAGAAAGTTTATAGCTGACGTATCATCTCAGTATTGCGGAATGCTGTGTAGCAATTATGATCAGCTGTGTACCCGCCATCCCGCCATTCTGGGCCAACCATTTCTCAAAAATGACATTTTATCTACGAATACGGTCTGCGATATCAAACCTACTTGCACGCAAAAGTAAAACTCCCATGAGTAGTTGTGAGAACCTTCAAGAACACACCAGCAATGAAGAAAATAACAGCCATCGCCTCGCCCGGCTCAACGATGAGAGTGCCACTAAGAAGTCTCGCGATATGAGATTTGAGAGCTCTGGAAGCTGGTTGGCTGTTTAATGCACCATAAATATCCCCCTGTCATCGCCAAAATACAGAGAATCTTTAGATTGATAATGGCCTAAGACAGCTTTAACACTTGCCGTGATCCGGAGCATTATCGCGAGGTAGAGCAAGAAACATCGAAACAACGGAGCTGTTTCGTGAGGAACTCTGACTAGGTAGCCACTTAGCTCCAGGAACTAGAGCTAGATATGCGGAATGTATCCTCCTAGGTAGATATCTCACCTGAGGCTATGGCAAGCAGCACGTTCACCATTAATCCATTTAGCTAGGTACTAGGTAACTCGTTAGTTTGCCCCTGAGCACCCAAACTACGGACAATTCAATGTTATCAAGATTTTGATGGGTCGTGTCGAGTAATTCATAGATGTCTTTAAACTTTACTTACCCGGCAGAAACATGATATCTAAGCTCTTCTCTTCTATGATCATCTAGTATGCGCGACTCAATAGTTGGCGTGATCAGACGGGACAGGTACCATATCGCCGTGCCACTTATCCGTCGCTGCTTTTATCGCCCGGCTACCGAGCTTCCGCATTCTGATATAGAATTCCTGCGCGTCGGAATTGGAGACAGCCTCATCATGGAACGCATAAGGTTTAGGAACCTCCAGCCCTCTCTGGAAGCCGGGTCTCTGAAGAAGCTTGTCGCACCACGCCTTGACATTGGAAAACTCGTCTATATTGACGCCGCACCACCTTGCCGAATAAGCGAAGATGAAGATTGCGATATCGGCAATCGTTAAGCGATCCCCTCCTACGAAGGGAGAAATAGACTATATGAGCAATCAGTCATACAAGTGCAGCCACTACCTACACCTCAAGTACCATTACATCCTAGTTTATGGGTAATAGCAAACGTAAGACGTAAGACTGACCAGCTCCTTATCTAGTACGTACCTAAGTTGAGCCTTCGAGCCTCAGCTGTGTAACGCCAAACACCATACGGTACTGGCTCGTACGAATAACGGTTGAAATAGCATGCTTGGCCTAACATAGGACCATAACTAGAGATCTGCCACGAAAGCTAGGGATGCACAAGATGTATTAACCGACTGCTTCGTGTCTGCATGGACGATTCGAAACAGTGCTTGCCCAGGACACTTGTTTCCAATACTCGGGCGTGCCAAAGGGGTAAGAGATCTTGTACTCCTTATCAAACTCGGCAGCAATGTAGAGCAAGCAGGCCCCGCTTTCGAAGACACTCACAGAAGTACCATCCTCTTTGACATGAACAAGCGCGGGCACGCGGCCATTCGGGTTGATTGACGTGTACCATTCGCTTTGGTGCTCATCTGCGCCCATGTCCACGTGAACATAGTTGTACGGAACGCTGTCAACCTATAAGCCATTATACTTGGGTAGCTTATGATATTGAGACAACTGAAAGTTTACATAGGTACTCAAGCTCCTCAGCGGCGATAGCCAATTTGTAAGGTTTTACCGACGCAAAGCCGTAAATGTTTAGGCCCGGCTTAGGGGCTTTTTCAGGCGGAAATGTGACCATTTTACCAGAGTTTCAGGTGATCAATTACCTGATATTACATAGAGGACGTAAGTCTTAACAAAAAGGTTAGGCCGTAAGTCCGACAAAGGCGTTATTAGGTTAGGTCAGATTAGGTAGGGAAAGCAAAAAGCAAGGGATCACGTACGGAGTAGGGGTCGGTGATATACACCCCTATCGATAAGAGAATCGTCAAGTATATAGAAGAGCAACAGTGAGTGTGCCACTCATGAGCCAGTCTTGAACGTGAGTGATGGTTTTTTTTTCTTTTTTTTGGGGGGGGTGGGGGTGGGGAGGGGTTCTTTTTTTTTCTAAAAAAACAAAAAAAAACAAAAACATCTTGTTCTGTTTACATACCAGGTAGACAATACACTCATCCGACAACAACACTATAGGTAATAGGTACCTCCAGGAGTGGTAGGCTCACTTCTAAAGTTTGAAGGAGCATCTATAAGCTAATAGTGGCCAAGTATCATGGTGATAGTTTTGTACACGTAATGTTGGTAATATAGTTGGTTATAATATTACTCACCTTGGATACCTAATGTTAGATATAAGAGTCCAATACCCAACCTACATTATGCTAGGTTTCTCTTAATGAACCTTACTAAGTACCTGTTTTGATGCCACAGGTATTACAGGTAGGAGGTAGGTAGGCATGTACCTAAAGGATAGGCCATTACTTCGCTATAATTAATTTTCTATGCTTGGACAATGTGTAGCTAACTCACACTAAAGGAGTTTCGTCAAGTCAGCTGGCGACGTGGCCATTCGTCATAGCGTTACAATTGTAGTCTGCCTACGGATATATAAAGGCGCCCAATCCCCAAAGACCTCTGGATTCCCTTTTTCTTTTTCCCCATACTTCATCTAAAGCAGGTAAAATGGATTCGAAAGGACCCAGAGCATACCGCGGTCATCCTTTCGATGGCCCGATGAAGAAAACCCTTCTCATCTCACTTCACTAGCACATTCACACACACACACATTACCATCCTCCCTTCTTCTTCACTCGTCAATTACTTACACGAAATGACACTACACTAATACACCTCTCCCCCCCTCCATACTTTTTCTTCTTTGAAGCCTTGCTTATAGCAAGAAAATCGATGAAAAAAAAAGCGTGGCCATCAAAAATTGTGCGATGCTTCCACGGTCTCATATCCTCAAGGGAACAAGACCGAGTAACCCAGAGTGCCGAAGCAAAGGTGGTCCTCTGTAGAAGAAGTAATTCTTGAGCTACTTCTTCTATCGCGTTGAGAAGTTAGGGAAGAAAAGGAAAAGCAAAAGCAAAACAGGATTGGGTGGGAGTACTAATCCAACGAAAGAAACAGGTATTCGAGATTGATGACGCAGGGGTAGGCGTTGTCTACACACGAATCGAACGACCGTACGAGGCGAACAAGAAGAGATGGAAGGCGACGACGAAAACCTTTCGCGAAAAGGAGGTTGCAAACGAGTGAAAAGGGGGTAACGAGGAAAGACAAGGAGGGAATTGTTACGCCATAGGCATTTACCGGGCAGGTAAGCCTATACAATTGCACTTGTTCTTGCTTTATACTATAGTTTGAAACTAACAAGCAGAAATGGCATCGCAGATATTGCCTCGAGATAGGCGGCAGGTCCACCGAGATAAGGTATTATAGAGTTGATGGCGCGATACTCTTGATTCACAGAAGCATCGCGCTTTCTGATGGTTGGGCAACATATGAGCTTGGGCCTGCAGAATCTATTCAAAACGAACGTCATATACAGTACTATACTATAAGGCCAGGCGGGGGACATGATGAACACGACGGACAAGGTTGGCACGATGGGTACGATTCTTACGATGGGCATGATGGGCAGGACGGAAACGGCGGGAGCAACGACATGAAGGACACGATATTGGAATACCATTTTATATTGCAATCAAGACCTGAATGGTGCACGTGGATATATTCGAAGGCCACCTACCTAGCTACCTACCTAGGCGTTTGTGAAGGCAACTACCTAATAGGCAATGCAAATCAAGTCGCATAATTCATGAAATACATGCTCTTAACCTTGACCTGAGTTTCCCACTTGGACACGTATAACTGTTATGCTTACCTTTTGTAACGACTTAAGAGACTCTGGTGAACCTTACCTACATTACCAACATGGTATGTAATGTGATACTTTAGCAGTTCTTGGTGAGAAGGATCGCCTCTCTGTATAACTTAACAAGTACCCAGTACCTTACGTAGGTGCCTAATGCAGCCTATCAATAGCTCGCTAACGAGGGATAATTGGTATATCGTAACCACAGCCCGAGCTTACGTACCTCACATAGGTAGGAGATATTCCCGTAAGCAACGAGTTACTCGTAAAACTAACCCCCCGTTGACATCGTAGGATCAGTGTCTAAGGGGGACCGTCAAGGCGCTTGGGTCTACATATAGATGGTTGTCCCTGATAGTATTAAAATAAGCTCATTAATTAATTTCTTTCTATTTGTATTTGAGTGTCAGAGAGCAATATCAAAGAAGTCAAAGAAGAGAGAAGATAATAATATGTGACCAGTCTGACGAATAGCTTCGATTGACATGACGATATACTACCCGCGCGTTGTCGTCGATGACGCCTAGCCTTCTTTATCTCCTCCTGATCATCCTGGCCTCACTAGTCGTCACCTCACAGCCTCATCCCTGGATACGCATCTTGATCCCTGACATTGAGAAATCTACCTATTTTGAGGTATCATGCAGCAAATGTGTTCTTATTACCCATTTGTCGGAGTTACAGTATCTACCTGAGAGGAATATCAAGAAGAAGAGGAAATAGTAGTAAGTTATCGGTTCTTTGAACGTGCGTACGCAGCAAGTTCGGTACAGGTTATTCGCATTATAATGATGATAACGCTTACCCCCCCTTCTTCATCAAACCGTCCTCTTTATAGACAACTTATCAGCAAGCTCATAGCTAACTACCGAGCTATTAGAACCCTGTTTTCCAAATGTCCATAAACCTAATTAATTCCTCACTCTACAACAAACTTTTAGCTTATTAGCTGTGGGATTTTTATATTTTAGGTGTCCTCAAACTTAACAAATCTTGTTTTCCAAACATCCTTCAACAAAATTCCTTTCTTTCCGGAGATCCGTAATAAACTTAATTGACAAAAGTTAGTATCAAGCACGCTGCGATGCCGGATGATCCAACTGATCTGTTCTCTTTGTTCGAAGAACGAATCGCTGAGATGCCAGCTGAGAGAGAAGTTGCGGCTGCAGAAGTGTCTGCAAAGGCTCCATCTAGTGTTGCTAGAAAGGCGTCACAGGCAACACTTGGCAACAATCGTCATATTGTTAAGCCATCTGCTCCGCCGGAGAAGCCTTTATCTCCTTTATTCTTTCCATCGCCGGCCCCCGAATCCGCTGCTAATGCCGATCCCCCTTCCAACAAATCGAAGCCTTCTCGCCAGAAGTTACTTATTACTTCACGGCGTGAGGTACCCTGCCAACGGTGTCTGGTTCATTATAGCCAGTGGGCCGAGGGGGAGATACCGTGGTGTGGGAATGACAACAGCGCTTCGGCAAAGTGCACCACATGCAAGAAGCATGGCAAGCAGTGTATCACGGTATGAGATCTCGATGCTTGGTAGGTTGCGTGCTGACTGCTGACTTATTATGCTAGCCTACAGGGATACAGCTTGCTGCTGGCTTAAAGTTGCAAGATGCGTTGGCCGCCAGTAAGGGAATTCTTAATGCATGATAGTGCGTACACGCGGCTAGGTCGCTGCTAATAAGTGGGCAGGTTGACCTTCAGGCGGCGCAGCTAGAAATGCGCCGTGCTCTTACCAAGGCCCGCACCTCCGACATGAAGGCAATGGAAAAGGCTGTCAAGATTGAGTCTCTCGCGAAGGTCACTGCGAACGAGCGTGCCGAGTCACTTCTTTCACTCCGCACGGAAAGTGTGTCGCAGCTTAAGGTCATTTCTGCTGCACTGAAGCGAAAGCGCGAGTGGGAAGACGATTCCGTGGCGGCGACGAAGCGTATGGCCACCGCCCTTGAGAAGTTGACGGCCTCCCAGGAGGAGTACCAGAAGAGCGTTACCGAGGCTCTAGCGAGGTCGCTGACCAACCAGACGCAGTTGACTACCATTGTTTCGCACCTGATTTCCATTGTGGGTGTAGGCGAGGGTGAAAGGGCTCCTGAACAAAGCCCTGCTGCTACCACGCTAGGTGAACCCACCGAACAAGAGGCTGATCATGAGCTTGAGACGATAGGGGATGGCTTGGAGTAGTAACGGAATCTTTAAGGAATAGTATATACCGGGTACCCAAGTATTAAGCTTTATCAGCTAAATACACTCATTTAGCCAAGTAGCCTACACCCGTCTTCACGACTGGGAACCTTGAAGAAACTTGCATTCCACCGCTGTAGATTCCCAGCTGGGCGCTTCAACATGGGCCGAGCGACGCATTGTTCCCAACGTACCACCAAAGTGTAATGCTAGCGGATTGAAACAGCTACCCAACGGCTTAACAGCGGAAAAGGAGACACTCAGCATAACCATAAGCACTTACTAATTAATGCCATTGGACACGTGTATCATAAAACACGTTCGTAGAGCATACTAGGTCTACTTGAGTAATAAACAAAGCATTTCAGTGCATCATCACTTTATTCAACTTCCTTAATAGGCAGTCTAGCTAGGTACGTAAACCTCCGGGCCTCTTCAGCATAACTAGCCCCACAGAGGCTCATTCTGTGATGGCATAGTTTTCTTCATAGAAAACATCAACATCACATCACCCATCCCCAAGCTCTGCCGTACGTCTTCGTAACCCTCCAGCTAGACCATGGCTAAGTCATAGGCGTCTCAACATCAACAAAACCCCCTTCGTTAACCTTGATCCAACTCTCCCCCTAATGCCGATACCAGGCGGTGCTCATCATCCCGGATTGTGCCGCTGAAATGAAGAGAAGGTACCAAAGTTGTCAAACTATCTGCTTTCCAAGGCTGGTTGGAAAGAGATAAAAAAATGCCACCGCCAAGAATCAAATTTCACTCAGTAGAAGAGTGACATCATCTATCTTGTGGCCGCAATAGCAAAAGGCACTCCGAAAGGCCGACAAATGACGACCTTTCGCAGAATCAGTGCTGATTGGGAGAATGAACTTCGTCCCAAAAACTAGAAATTATTGACAAGAAATTACCAGATTAACCCGATCTGAGTAATATGCAGTAACTCCGTCCAGGTGAAACTGGAGTACCGCTCCATCGGGGTCAGTGCTGTAACTTTTTTCGACGGAAAACGACGAAAGGAACAAGGAGCAGTGAGAAGTGAAACTAAGAAAAATTGCAGAAAAAAACACCGAGGTTCGAGATGTATAAAGTAAAGAATCGCAAGCGAGTGTCGAGAAGATTAAATCATTCCCAAATTCATTAAGGTTCGTCAAAGTCGAGAGGATCTATAGTTGGAGGCAACTGATGAACCATGGTCTGAGAGAAGTACCCCCATATATGGTCCAAGTGAACAGTAAAATCAAGGCCATGGTGACTACTTGTCCCTATTTTAAATCATTTATTTGGTGCAAAATCCACTACACCTTAATATGCTTGACCCGGAACGGGCTTCCTGCCCACGGGTGCCTGGGGAGGACCCTGATATTGCTGCTGAGGAGCACCACCGTTGGGGTTCATCGGGCTAGGTCCTGGTGGGGTCATTCGTCGCTGCTGTCTCGGTCCCGGTGACTGAGGACCCGGACTCATCCGGCCATTGGCAGGGGATTGAGGTCGCACAGAGGCGGGAGATTGCGGGCGGCCTGCCATGGGATACATAGGTGACTGTGGGCGGCTGCCAGGCGTCATGGGTCCGCGTCCAGGAGGGTAGTTCGGGCCAGGACCGCGTGGGCCACGTGGACTGGGAATGACTGGTGGACCGGAACGACTGCCAGGAGGCCCACCAGCGGGGCGGGGCTTCACGGGTCGAGTGGACAAGCAGGTTCTGGGGACAACACCCTGCTGTGAACGGTCGAGTCGGATGCAAAGAGACTAATTCATGTTAGTTACTATTTCCTCCGCAACGCAATATTTGTTACTTACCCAGCCATCGTCATATTCATGCAAAAGTCTAACGAGCTGACCAGCTCTCAATTCCATCTCATCCTCCAACGTTGGCTTGAAATCTAGCTGAACACGATGAACAGCCGTGGCCGAAGGACCACCAGCTGCTGCGATAGCTGCTGCGCTTCGGGAAGGACCAGGGGATTGACCAGGAGCAACGGAATGGATGCTGAATTCAGTCTCAGCTGGACTAGGCGGTCCGGCAGACATCGTAAGGTCCAGAGGTGCGGGAGCCTCCTTTCTAGTAGATGCCTTTCGAGTCAAAGAGGTACCTGCGGCGGTGACTACGCTTAGAGTGGCAGCGCTGGCAGCCGGCGAAGATCCCGGGGGAGAATCCGTGGTCTTAGCGACGCCGACAATATTCTCCGGGTTGTCAAACGGATTGGGTTGCTGCTCAGTAGGTGTGTAGGCACGTTCCGCGTTGTTTCCAAAGGGATTCTCGGGGCTATTAGTGTTACTCGAACCAGGTCGTTCCCAAAGAGATTGATTGGCATTTCCAGGTTTCACGGCAGCTCCGCCCATTGCAAGTGCGAGAGCGGCTCCTTTGCTTGATCGTCGTTCACTAAAAGTGGGCATAATTTCGGTTGTTACGGGCCGTAGACTTAGCTGGGGTGCGGTAGCACTGGTCTGGGTCGAGAGAATTGACACACGACGATTGCTGGTATCGGCCTTCTCATTTTCGATTTCCTGTTGGTCAAGCTGCTTTCGGCGCCTGGCAAACAAAAACCAGATGAGTAAACCAACGACTAATACACCACCAAGTACTCCAATCGCGATACCCGCTTTCGCTGCGCCGCTAGTGTCGGGGACAGAAGAGTCCGCGGTAGACGTAGATGTCGGAGAGGTAGTTGCTGCTGCGTTGGCTGCTGCGTCTGTCACACCGGCAATTTGGGACGATTCGGCATTCTTAGTGGCTTTCGTCAGCAGTGTCGTAGGAGTGCTAGTAGCAAGAGCTAGTGCTGATTCATTACTGATATCGACGGAAGTATGCGTAATTGACGCGGGTAAGACCTCGGTAGCCGACTTCTCAGAATCCTTTGTAGCTTCCTTTGTATTGTCCTTCGTAGCCGAGGGCGTGGTCTCTGCCTTAGCGATCGATGCCAATTGCGTGGTCTGCTCATTTTCTTGCGAGGCAGTCGGCTTCGCCTGCACAACCGGGATTGGCGTCACGGTAGGTTTCGTTTCGGAAGCATCCTCATCTTGTCCCAGAGTCCTATATCCTCCAACTGGACCGTCAAATGTTTTTGGCAAAGTCTGGTATACAGTCATGATAACTGTCGATGCTTCAGCAGCCCTTACCTGAACAGTAGGCGTCTGCTTGAACCGGTTAGAATCGTTGGCAATGCTCTCCGCACCATGGATGAAGTCGTCCAAGTCGCTGTTCCCTTGCCTTCTGTGAAGGCGATCATGATAATGGATAGGCATGATGAATAGTTAATCTGCAAGACCACTAGACACTTTATGTTACTCCTATAAAAGGGCAGGTCTTTTCGTTGGCCACATGCAGCAGGGAGATAAGTATGTCGCGCCGCAAAAACTTGAATAATCAAGTAATGATAGTCAGTACGATCAAAGAATCGTCGTGCAACCGTGCTAGTCTCGGATTTTGGAATGAACGTAATCCACGGAAGAAGTGCTATGACTAGTAATGGAAATGCGATTCGATATCGGCGGTAGTGGTATAATTTTCACTATTTCTTTTTTTCTTTGTTTACCGTAGAGGTGGATGTCGAGGTCGCGATTCGTGGGGCAACGAAGGTGTAAAGCCTCGATAAAAATCGAGATGCGACGGCTGAAATGAATGTAATTGAGAAAGGATTCAACGAAAGAAACCCAATTCTCGTGAAGAGAGAGGGGGGGAGACCGCGTGTGCGTAGGTTGCGACGTGCGAGGACGGTGAGGAAGGGAAGGGAAAAGAATGGAGGGAGGGCCGGGAGAGAATGAATTGAAAGAGTTGAAGCGCCAGTGGGAGGAGTGATCCGGGATTGGCCAGCTGCCAAACCTCTAGCGCGTTTCCTGTCTTTAGGGTACGAGAGTAGGTACTCCGGATAAAACAGGTAGGGAATTATGAGGTACAATACCTAAGGTAGCAAGGTACCTAGCAACTGCCCTGCTGCCCGGCAGAGACAAAGCATTACCCGTGTCTCTTTTAGTTTCCTTAGTTTCCTCTGCTTCCCTGTAATTCAAGTCCTCAAACGGTAGTCACTGTTGCTCATCACCTGTAACCTTGGAAGCAACTGGTTCAACTGAAATCGTACCTTAGTGTACAAGGTACTGAGCTTCTGTAGTTCTCCAAGTCGCATTAGAATATTAGAATATTTGTTGCGTTTCTTCGTCGGCTACCTATTCCTGGGTGGTTGCATGAACATAACAGTCGCATTCATTCTACTCGCAAACGGGGTCGCATCATATCAATTTAGTATCCGTCCATTCATTTGGCGGCCGTTTATCAGCCTACCTTTTTTTTTTTTTTCCTATTTAACTACCCAAGCTACGGTAAACCCGTGGTATTTACAGGTATCTAAGGCCCGTAATGTTTACTTCAAAGGTTTGACCTTTGGTATGTATTGTATCTTAGGTACGTCAGGTACACGGAAATACCAAACATACGAACGTCGTCAACTCGTATTGTCCTGTGCGCGCGAGATCGTATCTACCCCAGGTAGCCGATTCAAATGCGCAAAAACCCAGTTAGCTATAAAAGTTGGGCTGCAGTCAGCACCGAATCATCCTTCCACCCAAACATGCGAGAGAGACGGCTGAATGGGGGGAGGGGGTCTCTGGGTCGTTCCTAAAACCCTTGCAAGTTGCAATAACCCCCCGATTGATCAACGAGCAGTCAACTCATCTCTCCCAATGAGAGGAGAACGTTGATCATTTTCGGTCTTTCTCGTTAGTGCGTAGGGTCCAAGCTTCCCTGCAGTAGTCAGGCACAGAAGCGCCACTTTCAGGAACAGGATAAATTTGATTGGGTAAACCATATGCACCTACGTATTAGGCGAAATTTGTGCAGCCAGGGATCTGCCTGGGGCCAAGGATCCTTCATCGAACCTCCATTGGCTAGGATTGGCTAGCATGAAAGCAATAAAAGCCGCTGTCAAGCACTACAGGCATGGAACAGCTGGAGGTACGTACGCAAACCCCTTAATTCGGCTAGAGACTTTTACGGGCTGGTCCTCGAACTTGAGAAGCTACCTGGCAAGAAGCAAGAAGTTCTTTTCAAGTCGAGGTGCTCGTAATAGAAGTGCGCGCAACTAAAAAACAACTCATTGATGTAGTTATAGAAATTCTTAAAAAGAGATCCATACGGAAAGGAATACCGACCGTGCCTCGATCGGAATTTGCTCATCAACTTTCAATCCTTTATCTCATGCATGTTAGAGGCGTATCTATTAATCACTTTGTCCGATATCAGCATCGGCAGAGAACCACTGAGGGGAATCAGGTCTATCAATATCCTAATTTAGAATGTAGAATGTGGACCCGCACAAACGACTCCAATAATGATTACCTAAAGAGACGATTCGTCACCAATAAGCTTACGATAACTCTCTGCCGTGGAACCCGAAATGACGTCTTTGTCCTTTCCTATGGCAGTATGGTGAACTTTGTGGTTTGATGTTTGCGCCGATATCACGTTTTCTTCCCGCGTGGTGGTGAGGGATCTTTTTTATTTATTCCCAAGAACTTGGGTATTACTGGTCAGCCAGTCTACCAGTTTTCCACCACCTTGTTCCTGGGATGCTCTTAGTACCTTGCTGTCGATGACCCCTTTTTCATTTATATTTTCCTTCTCTTCTTTATTCTCGAATCCCAACTTTTCAATCCTACGAAGTATTAACTGAATGAACAAATAAACAAATACCTATCTTAGGTACCTATTTAAGATTGTTAAATCGATTTGGGGCCGTGTGAAACATCCGACCTCGTTGACTGTTTTCCAACTCCGTCCGTCCGCATTGCAAATTTTCTTACCACCCCTCACATTATCAGCCCTTCCGGCCCCTACCACCCTTGTCACCTTTTTATCTGGCTTACAGGCCGATCCCTATTTTGTTTCCCAATCGATATGCCTCAGTGTCAGTATGGGTGGGAGAATGACCCGTTACACTAAGCAGTTAGGCAGTTGAACAGCCTGGTTCCTCTCTTGGTCACATCGTGGAAATGTCCAAATCTTCATCTCCTGTGTGTGAGTATAAATAGTTTGTTGCAGCTGTCGTCACATCTTAACATCGTGCACGCTATTTGTTATCTCCAATCGCGCCCGGCCAAGAAGGGAATGAGAATGTGACCCCGTTGCTCGGACACAGTACGGTACCAAAGGTCAGGTCTACCTACCCCGCGATCTACAGTATCGTTTGTGTGGTCGGCGTGGCTAGTTCGATCAGACCGGATCTGCGGTGTAAGGCGGTATGGTATGCCTTACTAGCCCTAAAACATGCAGCCTTCGGTCAAGTCGTCGCAGTAGTTTCCTTGCTTCCTCGGAACTTTTGCTATTTCTATGAGCCGAAAAGAAAATAAACATCGGATTTTTAACCTCAAACAATACCCATAACCTAGGTAGATATTTTAGTCTCGAATTGCGTATCAACTACCTAGGTACGTTGCTTATGAGGGTCCACTTCGTTGAGTCAGAGGAGGAAGCTATACCTAAAGTACCTCTACTCTATATTATCACGCATTAGTGGATATCGGGGGAGATTCTCCTTGCGGTAGGTGAGCAAAAAAGAAATCTACCTAGGGTAAACCGTATGCATATCAAAATTATTTGTACTAGCGTGACCGCGTCGCTGAATGGTGAAAAGAGTCGATGGCGCTTCTGCATCCACGGGTGGCTGGAAACGGTGGCGCACATTTTCTTCTTTTCCTGGTTTCACGACCGACAACCCTACATTCGAGAGGTCGTTCTGTGAGGTTGGAAATATTGCCAAGTAGACATAGACCGCAAAGGGCTTAGGTATCTAGAGGTAGGTACATATCCGTGTATGCCCGTGGCCCGGTTGTGACTGTGGAACATGGCTGTCCAATGCCGAATTCTTTCACGGCTGTGACGACGCAGCAGTAAGTCTCCGTGTCGAGATGATACATGATGCTTCAAGGTAAACCTACCAAGCACTTGTCTAGGTACTTAATGCATACCAGAAGCATAGAACAACGAGAGAGGGAGACTATGAAGTTAGGTGGAGTTGACATTAGAATGAACTCATAACTATGCTGCCGCAGGAATACCTACCTTAGGTACCTACCTAGGTAGATGATGAAAGAATGGTACAGAGCATAAAGACAGGCAGGCGGCATTCAGAATCATATAGGCAAGGTAACAATTGGATTTGTTCATTTCAGGCTATTATTAACACGTTCCGATCCCTATAGTAGCACGATCAATTAAGAGATTATTCCCTCGTTCTCTGCAACTACCATATTATTTTACATGCTGGTATAGACACTAAGCTGCTGTTAATCTGCTAACAGCATCTTATTAGCAAGACCAATTATATATAAGTGGCTTGATGAGCACTGAACTAGGGCCTTCTAAGCATTTCTCTTCTTGCCATTTTGACCCCTGCGGCCTTTCCATCGAGTCTTGCTCCGGGGCTTTTGCACACCTGCTCCAGTATTTTTCTCTTTTGCCATATTCTTTTGGCTAGGCCATTGCCTAGAACTTCGTTGGGCAGGATGTGTCTACAGAGTTATTAGCATGGATCTGGCCAACAACAGACTGTCGAAGTCTACTGACATCTGCGGCAACGGAACCATTAGCATTAGCATTCAATTCGCGAGACGAATAGACACCGGGAATATTCGAGCCCATATGTCCATTCATGGCGTTAGGATTCTACCCAGCACCGCCGTGTCCGGGCCACTGGCCGTTTTGCTGATTGGATTGTCCCTGCATCTGACTTTGTAAGGCAGCGAAGAACTCCGGGCTATAATACGCGCCAGGTTGCTGCCCAGTAAACTGCGGTGGTGGAGGCGGAATGAAGCCTTGTGGAACGTTCTGTGGCCAAGGGAATGCGAACTGTGCATTGGCCTGTTGATGGCCATTAGGCGTGCCATAGAATGGCAGCGTTTGCGGGGGGTATGTTGTGTTGGCGACTGGGGGAGGAGCTGGTGGATAGTTATATTGCTGAGTCTGAGGTTGATAATCTTGTCCTCGTGGTGGCCTAGGTGGCAAAGAATGACCTCCTCGTGAATCACCACGGTTGCCCCGCCCACCACGACCATATCCGTACCCACGCTGGCCTCGGCCTCGGCCTCCTCTGAATGAGCTGTTATTGTTGGCATGATGGTTTGAATATCCAGCTTCTGAAGGGGTAGATTGGCCCTGTGCAAAGCTCGTCGGCCTTGCAAGTTTTCGATAAGGCCCGTCCTCATCGTCATCATCATACTTTAGACCAGTCATCGGAGGAAGGGATAAGGCTTCCACGTTACCTCCCCGCCCCCCTGCACCGCCCTTGCCACCGCGGCCCCCCCTTTTCTTAGCCTTTAGCTGCCTCTTATGTTCGGCTTCTTTTTCGTCGTCCGAAAACTCAATTTCATCATCACCAGCCTCTTCATCATGCCAATTGCTCGCATCTGTGCCTTTCTGCTCGCGAAGTGGTTGTGTGAAGACGTATATCGCATGTGAAGGCGGGTAGAAAACCTTGGTCCCTTTTTCTAAGCCGTATGATTTGATTTCTTCTTCGTTTGTAAACCTCGCGGTATAGCATGGCTGTCTCACGTTGCCGATTAAATCGGCAATGGCTGCGATAACAGTACGATCTTCCGTACAGAGGACTGAGCCGCTGTCAAGTACTTGGTACTCTCCTGTAGTAATCGCCTTGATTACAACCGTGTTCTCGACAACGTGCTCAACTACGCCAAGTTCGGTGATATCCATTTCGGGCGTTATAACGACATCTGGCTTAGGAACTACTTCTTCAGGCAATTCATTCTTTGTGCGAACCTGTGCACCAGAGCCGTTTCCCTTCGCCTTCCCCTCGCCTTCGTCGTCTGATCCACCCTCCATCTCCATAAGAATGCGGGCGGTCTCCTCGGGGCCGAGAAGTTCGTAATTTTTCCCATCTTCTGACTCGTCGTCCGAATCATCTGAACTACTTGAATCGGATGAAGATTCGTATGGAGATGAGTCCTCTTCCCATTCCGGGTCACCTTGTTCACCTTGCTCATCTTGCTCTTGAGCCTGCCCATCCTGCTCAGTGCCATTAGGTTCAGCAGATAGCGCATTCGACTCTTGTGGTACCGGGGCATCTAAACCACCAAGAAGAGCTTCCAGCGCTGAAGTTAAGGAGGGAGGGCTGGGTGGTGCATCTTTGATAGCAACATCAGAGCTCTCAGGTTCCTCAACTTTTGTCTCGCTGCTCTCAGGTTCAGGTAATGACGCATTCTCTTTAGGAGCAGGAGCATCAATGTCCATCTCAGTACTAGGCTGAGAAGTAGTAGGCTGAGAAGTCACGGGCTGGGCCTCATTAGGAGCACTTCGTTGGGATTGGGGCTCATCTATTGCCTTCGAGATGGATAGGCCTGGAATTTCAAAATTCCCAGACATTTTTAAAGGCTGTGGCATTGTCAGTTCTTGTCGTCATAAAATTCCTTGCATTATAGAAACTTGAGTTAGATAATCGATTGCTAGGAAATCAATCACCCACCAGGTCGAGACGGCGTAAACCGCCTGAAGACACCTGAAGACAGAAATTCGTGTGAAACGAGTTGGATGACTATAAATAATTTAGAGACTTCTTTTCCAGAAATCCAAACGCATAAAGTCCCAACTCCGCGGAAAGATGAACCGAGGCTCTTTTTGGTAAAGTTTTGGTAACAAATCAAGTCAAATGTGATTGATAACAAGGCGATTAAAGATTTGGATGAAATCTGCAAGTTGACGGCTGGGAAGCTTCTGCAAGCCCCAGTTCTAGAAAAATAAAGTGGACCCGGAATATCCTAAGCATTAGGTACTTACGACTCAGCATTGGCCAATCGGCATGAACAATTTTACGCCAAGACGCTAATGATTATCCGAAAGCAGGGGTCTGCACATTAGTGTTGAAGAAACGTCATCTTCAAGGGAAGCTTTCGGTTAAGGTACGAGGTAACTTTCAACATTTGGGACAGATTTGGGGCAGATTTATTATTTTAATACTTGTTACCTTCTACCTTAAATTTCATCTCCCGCCGCATGAGCTGCAATTTTTACGAGCTGCACCACGCAGACTTGATACATCATGCCTCCTACACGGGCTCAACCGCAACAGCAGCGGCGGCATGAGTTTGTTCATCCAGAGGCACAACATGCGAAAAAGAAGTACGCGAACCCACCTTGGACCGATGAATAGCAACTAACAACGAAACGAAATATAGAAGCATATCTCCTTTCATGATAGAACCCATAAAGGCGCTTTATATCTTCTTGATTGTAAATCTCATATCTGCCCTATTTGCACCCATTCAGGATTGCGATGAGACCTTTAATTATTGGGAACCGACCCATTATCTCTCTCACGGCTACGGCCTCCAAACCTGGGAGTATTCACCCGAATACGCTATCCGAAGTTGGTCTTATATCGGTTTGCACGCTATAATTGGCAATATCAGGAGAATATTGCCCCAGACTACGAAGGTATTTCTTATTTCCCGTGCTCTCATTTTTCCAACCATCTTGTTCTCACTCTAGGCAGCTTTCAGAATTTTACTTCATTCGCTATGTCTTGGCATTTGTTTGCTCCTTATGTCAAGTGCTTCTATACCGGGTCATCAGCTTTACTCTAAATCCTAGGATTGGTCTCTTCTTTCTTATAGCGACCGTCATTTCCCCCGGGAACTTCCATGCTAGTACGGCCTACCTACCCTCCAGCTTTGCTATGTATACGTCCATGCTTGGGGCTACCGCATTCATGAACTGGAGAGGAGGACTTAAGACGTCCTTGGGCATATGGTGGTTTGCCGTTGGGGGTATCCTAGGATGGCCTTTTGCTTCGGCTCTGTGCGCCCCTTTCTTGATCGAGGAGGCTATACTTGCAGCCGTAAGCTATCCCCAGAGTTTCAACGATACAGTCCGCCGATTTGGCAGAGGTGTAGTTGCTGCCTTAATGCTACTTGTAAGTAACCAGACATGAGTTATATACACAGTTCTAACTCAAGACAGGTCGGCGATACAATGATTAATACTTTCTTCTACAAGAAGATTGTGATTGTGTCTTGGAATATCGTCAAGTACAACATATTCTCTTCAACAGGCGGCCCTAACCTCTACGGAACGGAACCATGGACATTTTACTTCCGGAACCTTGTCATCAACTTCAATATTTGGTTCATCCTCGCCTTACTTTCTTTACCTCTATTCCTCACTCAAAAGATTACCTCCTCCAAGCAAGGTAGCTTTCAGACAGGGATGCGTACAGTTGTATTCCTCTCCCCATTTTACATGTGGCTCGGTATCTTTAGCATGCAACCGCATAAAGAGGAAAGGTTCATGTACCCCATGTATCCATTCCTTGCTCTAAATGCCGCCTTAGGATTACACATTGTTTTGTCAGCCTTTGGCAACCCCGATCCGAAGACCCTGGCCGGCAAGATTCCAGCTCGCTTAAAGCTTTTCACTGTTATGGGCGTCTTAAGCCTGTCATTCGTGCTAGGTTTAGCTCGCATCATTGGCATATACACTGCTTACTCCGCACCTTTGAAACTCTACGAACCATTGGGAGCTGGTGTACTAGGCCAACAAGGTCTTGGTAAGCCTAAGGATCATGTGTGTTACGGTAAGGAATGGTACCGGTTCCCGAGCTCATACTTCTTACCTCGCGATATGCACGCAAAGTTCATTCGCTCAGAGTTCCGCGGGTTGTTACCTGGAGAGTTCTCCGAAGCAGGACATGAATTTGGCCTGTGGGGCGGTACCTGGCTACCACCGAAGGGTATGAATGACCGCAACGAAGAGGATATGACCAAATATGTGGATATTAAGACTTGTGATTTCCTAGTCGACACGCAATACCCGGAGCATCGCCACGCCTTGCCGCCTAACGAGCCAAATTACATCGCGGACAAAGCTAACTGGGAAATCGTTAAATGTGAGCCGTTCCTAGATGCGGCAAATACACATCTCCTCGCGAGAGTATTGTGGATTCCAGATCTGAACTTTATTCCGGAAACATACAGGAGAAAATGGGGACAGAACTGCTTGCTGCAGAAAAGAAACCACACAGAGGACTCCCCTCTCAGGTTCGGGTCTTGAATGATTTGAATAGAACATAGAAGACGATAAATGAGTTGTCTATTACAGCTTGAATCTTTCTTCGGAGACAGGTAGTTAGTCGTAAATAAGCCTCCAATTGTGGAGAAATTATGGAGCTAAGAGGCGAGGTCTATACCGATGGGGCTGAAAATAGTCTATTTCGAGTTACGGATTTCGGCAAGGGACAGCTATTGTTGTGTTGGTACTTCTGATCTGCATACAACTTAGGTGGACGCTGACAACGTAGTAGTCCAGTCAGCCTTCCGACATGACCGGATTTTTAAACGTCGCCATTGGACGTTGTCTATGGATCGTCGGTACATCTACGGTAGCATATACATTATGCAGTCTAGACTTTGGTCGGGTCGGGTCCGATTGCGCGTGGATTCGTTGAGCTGCAATGCGTGACAGCAGACTAGTCTCAATTACGCGTCAAACGCAATACCGGACCTGCTTAAGATGTAACCCTCCTATATCGAGAAGAATTGATGTAAGAATTGTTGTACGGGGAAAAAAAACCAAAAAATAAAATTATGAAGAACTCGACGTTTGGTCCTTCACCTATTACGTGTGAAATGGTATTTCAATCGTTGCCACCAATGTTGTCAATTTAAGCTTAAAGAACCCTTATCCAGGTATTCAGTAAAAAGAGATGATCAGTGATGATCGTTGTTGATCATTAACAAGCTTGGTGTTGCGACCCATGTCAACCACGTTTGAATCCTGGAACTTACACCAACGATCAACTGCCCTATGAGCTGCCCTACGAAAGCATGGCATACTGGGATCTTTTCCAGAAGCCTAGAAATATCAGATCCTTAATTATAGCAGGAGAGAGATTAACGGTCCAAGTAAGGCCGGATTAGGTAGGCGAGCCTTATTTTTATTCTCGGTATAAAATAATCTGATTTTATGGGAGGAATTAATGCCATGTAACGTTAATCCTTATGGTTAAAACATACCTCTTGGCACTGGGCTTTGCAAACGCAAAGGTCCGCATTGAGTTTACGAGATGGGCTTAGCGAGATCTATACACCATATGACAACTATGTGGTAGGGCTTCAGGCACTGGTACATCGCGATCTTATTTTTGGGGGCCCCCTTACGCTAGAGAACCTGCATCTCCGCCACCGAAACGATGCAAAAGATCCCGGCTTACGGAGGATTTTTTTCGAATTCCCATTGGACGAATATTCTAGATGGTTTCTTTCATCCCGTTGTAGCACCATCCGACTGCGCTCCCTGTGATGCAGTTTACTCGACTAAGTCTCCAAAGGGCTAAAGCGTGTTTCTCGTTTATTGGTGTAGAAGCCCTCCCTCGTGGCGTTTCAACTCGCTTGGGAAAACACCCTCGCTGACAATTCGTTCCATTGTCCCATCAGGATGTTAGGAGGCTTACCCCCGAGAACAGCCGAGACAACTCCCTAAAGTACCCAAAGCAAAGGGGCTCTCTATTAGCAGCCCTAGCCTAGCTCAGATGTATAGCTCTTTGCGCAGAGACGCATTCGTCTCCCAGATGCTGCTCCGTTACTTCGTAATGATCTAGGAAGGTCCGAATAGGTAACGCCGAAAGGAGGTAGGTTTTATAAATACCGACCATCATGGCCGTTGAGCAAGCGACGTTCGTGTATAGGAGTGGTCTGTCACATCAAGTTCTTAGCCCAATTTCACCTCCTTAGCTTCGATCAACATTATCCATGAAGAGCTTTCTCCTTCTATTCAGCGCTGGTCTGGTTGCCGGCCGTCCATCCGGCACTGCTCCTCGAGCTGCGGCTGAGTTACCAACCCTTGGCCTGACCAATGTGACCAAGATTGACATGGCCAACGGCGGCGGCCTTAAGGGCCGCCGTCTGGCTGGCCCGTTCATGGGCGTCGATTTCCCCGACCCGAGTATCATCTGGGGTGATGGCTCGTGGAAAGCGTATGGAACTTCGTCGAACGGCAAGAAGATACCTGTCGCTAAATCATCCGATACTTGGTCCTGGACGCTCACTGGTAACGACGCTCTGCCGAACCCTGGATCCTGGGTTGACCCTAACGACCAGGGAATCTGGGCTCCCGACGTGCAGAAGAATGTAAGCTTTCCTAGTCGCCATAATACCATGTAGAACTATCAGAAGAGTCAAAATAATAATAACTGTAGGACGCTGGCGTGTATGTCATGTATTATACCGCTCGCCAAAACGGTGGGAACCACTGTATCGGCGCTGCAACCTCAAACTCGGCATTAGGACCCTTCACGCCTCAAAGCCAACCATTAATATGCGACGGCGCCAACGGAGGTGTTATTGATGCCTCGGGTTACGACGACGGTGCGAACCGGTGGATCTTATGGAAAGTCGACGGAAACAGCCTCGGCGGCGCGACCACGTGCCAAGGCGGAGCGCCGTCCGGCGACTACCGATCGACACCGATCAAGATCCAGCGCGTGGCGCGGGACGCGCTGACGCTCCTCGACAGCCCGAAGACGATCCTCGACAACGAGGGCGCCTCCAACAACGGCGTCGTCGAGGCCCCTGCGCTGTACAAGATCGCCGACGGGAACTACGTCCTGTTCTACAGCGCCCACTGCTACTCGAGCGACGACTACGACGTCGAGTACGCCTTCTCGAGCACCATTGACGGGAGCTACACCAACCGCGGTATCCTCATCCGCACCGTCGATAACCGCGGCGTCTACGGCCCCGGAGGCCTGGATATCGACCCCAACGGCAAGACCGTCGTGTTCCACGGCCGGCTGCAGCCGAACCAGGGCAATGCTGCACGCGAGTTGTATAGTGCCGAGCTGACGATTAACGGGCGATCAATTGGCCTGTAAGAGCATCGACGCGTGAAACAGTTGTCGTCGGATTTTCTTTTTGCTAGCGACGAGATATTTATGACGATGTGACAACTACGTAAGTGGCGGATTTACTCACTGCCGGAGAGTTGAACCGCCGTGTGAATATTGACATCGGCAGTTTTGTATATATACATGCTCACTTGCATTTTCTCTTGCATATGCATATCGATTTCATTTTATATCAGACTTGTATATAGTTAAATTTCATGTAAATAATATAGAAACTGGTTGTGTTTATAACATTTGACTATTACATTGGGTTTGTAGATGATGTGATGTGGCTGTTGTGTCTATAAGTCTTGGGAATCTCAATGAAGCAGGCAAAATGTAGCATAATGTAGCAAAATAGGAAACATTATCCAACACGAAGAGAACAATTTCTTAACAAGACCGCAAGAAAATCCTGGGGTATACTTAATAGAGAAAAGCCACCAATCCCTCCCGTCTCACACCATTATAGCGAATGTAGTTTGGAGTCCTTAGTCCAGCGGCGGAACTGCTTCCCCCAGGGCATGAAGACGGCCAGGCCAAGGATTGAGAAGCCACATGTGAGCGCCATTAACAACAATACCGGCGGAATGAACCCGGACCGTGTTGCCCAGTCGTTGAAAAAGAAAATCATTCCGAACTGTGCGTGCTCTCGTTAGAATCGATCAAAAACAGACAAGGGGAGGATCTAGGCAGGTAAGGCGATCACTTACACCGAAGGTATTCTTCACGATCGTAGCAGCGATCATAATCTCGCCAGGAAGTGTTTTATACTATTTGTGTGACATGTCAGCAAAGTCAGCCCGGCTGTGCTTACAAAAAGCACATCCCAAAAGCAGGGGGTAGGTAGTTACATAGAGCTGAAAAGAAGAAAGAAAAAATGTATACTCACCGAATCAACCGCATACGCGATAGCCACGGCCGGAATCCCCACAACCTGCAGCCCAACAAGCGAGTATCCCAACACAACAATGACCTCCCACGCCCACGCGCGCTGGTACCCCACGGCAGTGATAACCATGCCCACGAGGTTCGCGCAGATATACGGCACCAGCGCGGGCAGCCTCATCTCGGCCTCCAACACGCCGGCGTTGGCCCTGGCGCGCCTCAGCGCGATCCAATCGGACAAGGGCCCGGCCGTGACCAGGGCGACGACGGCGCCGACCACGAACGCGAAGTTGACGTAGCCGATCTGGTCCGGGGTGAACAGGTACGGCGGCGCGCCGAACACCTGGGTCTGGGTGAGGTTGAGCGCGAGCAGCGAGTTGGCCGCGAAGCCCATGGACAGGGACGCCCACAGCACGATCGGGTAGCAGAAGAGGATCCGGACGGGCGCGGCCACGTCCCGCGCCAGCACGGCGGCCAGGCGCCGCGTGTGCTGCTCGTACCCGTGGCCGAAGCGCAGGCGCCTGCGCAGCGGCAGCAGCGAGAACTGCGCGCGGGACGGGCGCCCCGTGGCGTTGTGGTCCGCGGCGGTGAGGGCGGAGGCGGAGGCGGAGTGCATCTGCGCTTCGGAGGAGTTGGAGCTGGATACTATGCCGTCGTTGGGCTTGCGCGTGGCGGTTGACACTTTGACTTCCGTGGCTGGGGGGATACGTAGTGTCGGACGGTCGTACTTGGTTTCCGGGTGGGCGACCAGGAGGAACATGAGACTTGCCTTTAATGCATGTTAGATATCTGTATCTGTATCTAATCTCGCAATAGTCCAATATTATCCTGAATGTTAGGAAGGTAACTTACACTTTGCAAGATAGTGCAGACCCAGAACTAGATTTAAATCATGTGTTAGTTAATTAAAGCTTGGCGGTCTGAGAATAGGGGGGTCGTGTCACTTACGAACCACCTCCAGGAGATCTGCGAAGCGATGGCCCCCGAGATAATAGGCCCGATAAAGAGGCCTAGGAAGTATGCCCAGCTAGATACGGAATTATAAGCATATTGCCTTGCACTCATATCACCTTATAAATGATTATGGGTTCCACTTACAAGTATAATGCCATACTACGTCCCCGTTGATGCTGGAACAACATATCCGCAACAACCATCGGCATGATGCTCTCGTTCGCCGCGGCACCCAAACCCGAAATAACGCGCGCGCCCAAGAAGCTCGGGTAGCTGGTAACGAGTCCTTGCCAGACGTTGGCGAAGATGCAGATGATTCCACAGACCAGAACAACGGGGCGTCGACCAAACATGTTGGCAGCAGGCACGATGAGGAAGTTGGCATAGCCGAGCGTGATGGCGGCCGCGCCGAACAGCATGTTGACCTCGGGGAGGGTCTTGCCGAACTCGGCCTCGAAGATGAGCGTCATGGGCGCGATGGCCATGGGCGTCATGATGCTCACGAACACGAAGACGAACTGGTTGACGATGACGACGGATTTCCATGTTGGACTCCAGTTCTGGAAACAACAGCATTAGTATCAGTAGACATTTCCTACTTCGCTTTTCGCACTGGTGCTTTTGCAAAGATGCTAGATACGTAGAAGGAATTAGATAGAGCAAGCTTACTAGTGGATCGTCCGGGCTCGACGACGGCTGAGGAATGAGAACGATCTCGCTCGCGCTCGCTTCTCGGGCATCTTGACCTGTGAATATGATGTCGGTGCCGGGAATGATATCCGGCTTCTCGCTCTGCGCCATGACTTGTATAATGACCTCCCGGTGGTCGTGGGGCATACCAAACACAGCAATAAAAGGAGCGTTCTTTTCTTTTTCTTGAAGCGACGTTAGACCGCTAGACGCCTTCTCCTGCGAGCAAAGCGGGTGGGACAAGCCATCTTATCCATTTCCCATAATTCTCAGCATACTTGTTGTTCCTCCTTTGCTAGAGGCCTAGCTCGCCATATCTTAAAGTTTCGTGCTCGGATACCCGCCTTCGTTTCATAAATAAGTCTATTCTGTCATCTTTACCATCTAGACTTAACAACAGAATAACCTACCTTACCTAGGTACCTACCTAGCTAGTAGATGCCTACCCGTCTGTACCCCTGAACGACATGGGCTAGATCCTAAAATAAAAATTTAGCTTCACCCGGACTTTCCCATATCTATCGGAGCGAAGGATCGATGGTCTATGAGAGCAACGATAATCTCGTCTAGTGTATTCTGGGCTTTCTACCGTTGCGATTTCGGTTGGGTGCAGCGATGATTTAGCGTTGAGTAGGACGGCAAGTAGCCTCCCGCACCGGACGTCCGGATTGTGGACTATGGATTGCGGATTGCTTACGGGCTGTCAAGCCATTTAACACTATGTCCCGACGCGGTGGTAAGTTGTTGCCCCCAATGCTTCTCGAAGCATTGCCAAAAAAAAAAGGAAAAAAAAAAAAAAACAGGGACCAAAAAAAGTTCCTTTGAATCATAGCACAGAATCTGCATTCTTCTGGCCTCTTGTAGCGCAGCTCGCGACATGTCACGGAGAAGTGTCAAGGTACCTGGGTATAACTCAACATTTTCCAATCTTGCTCGCTGCTCAGATCCCGGTACGACGAATTTTTGCACTAGTAATAACTGTGTATCAAAGTGTGGGATTAAAGTGTGAGATATAGCTAATATCATCTTTGTGAAACGTCTCAACGTCTAGCCGTCAGCGAAAGCCAAGGCTTGGCCATATCAATCGTCATATGATAGGTATTTAAGGGAGGCCGTGAGGTTCGAGATGCAAATTCGGCACACACCAGGCGCCAATAGCAAGAATTCTCTACATGTGCTGTGTAGGACTATGTCGGGGTTCTATTCACATCTAACTTCTATTTACCAACTTGCTACCTTAGGTATGTCCCGTTCCCAGCTGAAATGCTTCAACGGATTGAGCTTACCATCCCTTTGCACATGCTTCGCCCTACCTATCTATGTATCACGTTTCAGTAGTGCAATTTGCGGTTGACGACGTTGAGGAGCGGCTTTCCGGTGGCCAACTTCTCAAGATTAAGTTCTAGGATATCCAGATGCCTGTCTAAGACCTGGTCGGCCTTCCAACTTACGTGCGGAGTGATCAGGAGGTTCGGGGCCCTCCATAAAGGATGCTCGCTGGGGAGAGGCTCAGGATCCGTGACATCTATCGCAGCACCGCGGATCTGGCCTGTCTCGAGCGCCTTCTGGAGCGCATCTTGGTTGATGTGGCCTCCCCTCGCAACGTTCACCACGAACGTCTTGTTCTTGCTAAGGATCTCGAACTGCTCCTCGGAGATGATTTGTCGTGTTTCCGGCGTCAGCGGCAAGCTGATAACCAATAGGTCGAGGCTCTGCGCGAGGAACTCGTTGATTACCTCCTTGCGCGCACCGTGGAACCATTTTGCCGGTAGGATCCCATCAGGATCTCCGGTGCCCGGTACGCAGTAGCTATCGTCCTTGCGCGACTCTGGGGCATCCCGCTTGCGGCGCGTATAAGCATAGATCTCCAGACCCAAGGCGCTAGCCAAGCGAGCACATTGTCTCCCAATCGCACCGTACCCTAAGATACCACTACATTAGGGTTAGTACTGTTATGTCACACACTTAACCTTAGGAGGGTGTATTCAACTCATTTGACTCACATTCGCTGTCCTGTTGAATCGTTGACGGCCGCTGCGAAGGGCGCTTCCCAGGTCCCCGTCTTCATATTCGAAAGGTAATGCATGAATATATGCTGATGCGAGAGCCAGGCGCCGATAACCCATTCCGCAATCTGTGGGCTTGGTAATATTTTAGCTCTTAATACCTACTAGAAAAAGAAGGGAAAAAAGGAGAAAACCCAAAAGAGCTAGCTTACGCGTGAATGCCGTTCGAAGTAGAAAACAGGACGTTCCCATTCTGGTAAGTGGGATGGTTCAGCCACTTATCCACGCCGGCCGAGTTTACATGGACGAAGCGGACGTTGGGTATCAGTTCGGCGGGAGGCGGCGTGGATGTGGAAAGCATCGTCACGCCGTCCCATATATCCGAGGCTAGGTCCGTAGGCTTTACGATGGTGTGGTCGGGGTTTATCGCGCTAACCCATCGGACTTTAAGACCCTTGAAGCGATTGGTGATGTGCTCCATCCATTCCTTTATCCGTTCCTTTCTCTCCGGGAGAGTGTAGAAAACTAATAAAATGTCCTTGCTTAGGGATGTGGCATCTCCACCGGTTTCTTGGACGGTAAACATGGCTATTAGTGTTTGTAGGAGTTTTGACCCTGTGTGAGTATAGGTGTGGCAAATCTCGAGCAGTCGTGCTGTATATGAATGGGATTGGTCAAACTCCTACTTCTTGTCAACCTTATAAGATAGGGGTAGGTAGTCGAGGTGCCTGGCTGAGTGTTTGATTCAACTGAATTAATTATACTACCCCCTTCCAGTATATATAGGGAACTAAGCGAAAGTGAGCCGACATATTAGTGTGATAAAAGTTGTGTGATGTGCAATGAGTTTTCGCCTCGATGTTACTGTTCAGCCAAGGAGGGAGAGCTTTGACTAATATACCTTAGGTAGCTCTACCTCGTGGCTGCCGAAAACAACTTCAATAACAGTTTGCAGCACTCGCAGCATGTGCTCTTAACTTTATCAGTTGAAGTACAGGTAGAGCGTGATTGTCAATTAGCATGGCGTAATGTCATTAAGCCCAAGAAGGGGCGATCCCACATCATAGGCGACTCTGAGCTCACTAAAAACTAGTAACTTTTATGTAGATGGAATCATGAAAGCACACTGATACGACTATCGATGTTCACTATTCTTATTTACTGTTCTTATTTTAGATATCCGAGATGGGTACCTTAGGTAGGCATTTTTAGTCTGACATCTTAAGCTAAAAGGCGAAGGAATGCTGCGACATTAACCGAATATTGACAAATGTTAGGTACGCAAATATACCTATAGCTTTGTTGGTACTCCTACAAGTATATATTCCGAGTATGCTAAAACGTTGTACATAAGAGGTACAGGGTTCGTGAAGATGCCTGATCCAACCCGCCTAACCGATATAGGTAATACCGATGCTTGTCGGTCCAGTTGAAATCTGAATACGGGACATATTTACTCTCCTTTCAGCTGAGTAATACCGTCTGTGGCAGTCTCCACGACTTGGAAACCGGCGGCATTGCCGGCACCTCTAGCGGCGCGGTCGAAGGCCTCATCACTTCTACAATGGGGTGTTAGTAAGACAGAAAACTCCAACGCAAGATGTTTACGAAGCCATGGGTAGACGTACCTATCGCAGAGAGTGTCGATATCCTCATCACTTAGGATTCGGTCACCGCCCGAATGTTGGTATACTTTACCATCCTTCAACAACAAGGCTTGGAGGATCTCCTTGTCTAATACCTCGGCATTATCGAGCTTTTGGCCCATGGTCTTAAATCCCCCTTTTTTGATTACAAGCTTCTCTAGCCTGCGCTTTGCGTCAGCGCTGAGGAGCAGCTCTTCTTCTACCGTTCCCTTCGTGGCCAGTCGGTACACGATAACCGGACGCGTTTGACCAATTCTGTGACAGCGATCCTGCGCCTGCAAGTCTTGCTGCGGGTTCCAGTCACTATATTAGATGCGTTAGCTAGCTCTCTGGGTAACCCGGACAAGAATGCACGCTTACCTGTCAAAGAGTACTACGGTATCTGCACTCGCAAGATTGATGCCCTGACCACCTGCTCTGGTCGATAATAAGAATATCTTGAACTCGGGATCCTCGTTGAACTCCTTAATCTGCTGTCTTCTATCTTCTTGGGAGACACCTCCGTCGATGCGACATACATTCCACTTCCGCAGTTCGGCACAATAATCGTGGAGGATGTCCAACTGTGTTTTAAACTGCGAAAATATGAGGACCTTGTGTCCACGTTTGAACAGTTCCGGTAATAATCTGTCCAGAAGAAGCATCTTTCCAGAAGCTGTCACAATACTCTCGTCAACGGGGATATTATCGCCGTATGTCCATGGACTGTAAAAATTGTGAGGACTATTGCACACAAGCCTTAACTGCATTAAGGGATTGCCAAGTTTCTTATCGGCGATCTGGAGCTCTATGTTGTGTTAGAACACAGGTAATTATACAGCTGGGTCTCTTTTAACTCACTGGCAAGGTCGAGCGTGGCGGCTCGCTCAATCTCCTCTTCATCTCGTATGTCTTCATCTGACTCGTCATCTCTAGCAGCAAGCTCAGCTGCTAGTTTTGCTTCGAATGCATCATCGTCTAGCATATCATCATCAGAGTCATTCGGAGTTTTATACGACAAGCGACCTCTACGCGGTCGTCCTCGAGTGCTGGTAGCTGGAGTAGATTGTCGGCTCGATTTGCTACTCTTGGGGGATGATGCTTCGCTAGTAGGCGCAACCTTTCGCTTACTAGCCCCTTTAGCTTGAGGAGCAGGGGAGCCATTCTTAGGGGTCGCCTTCAATGCTGCTCCTCCTTTCTTACCCATCATCATAGCAAACGCATTGTTTGCTACCGGAGATGGTGCCTGGCTTACTCGCGTGCTGTTCGCACGAGATGACTGACGACTCGATCTTCCGGAACCGACTGAGCTGTTACGAGTCTCTATCAATTGCTCGACCACTTTATTTTCCAAATAAGTTCTCGTGTCTGTCTTCTTATCGCTAATCGCATTGTAAAGATCTGTCTGTTCTTTGGTCATTGGCGCAAACAAGACGTATTCTCGCTTCTTTGGCAAGTAGCTGGCTACATCCGCCTTGATCCTGCGAAGAAGTAAGGGTTGCAAAACTTTATGGATCTTAGAGACAAGGTCTTGGTTCTCCTTATCTTCAATAAACTGCGTAGTGCCCTCTTCGTCTTGTAAGTCACTAAAATCAAACCATACTTCGAATGCTTCCCAATCCAGGAATGTTTCCGGCATTAGAAAGTGTAAGAGCGACCATAACTCTTTCAGATTGTTTTGTAAAGGTGTGCCAGTAATGAGAAGACGAGTCGCCGACTTAAATTGCTGTAGCTCTCTAAACAGCTTGGCGTCGGCATTCTTCATGCGATGTCCTTCATCCTGCAGTCTGTTAATGGTTTAGAAGCGGATTTATGGACGTATAATATACTAACGACTACAATGAAAGCCCAGTCAATCTTAGAGAGGCTTGCGCGATCTCTGAGAACCATTTCGTAACTAGTACAGACTACAGGGAATCGCTGGGTTGGACGGCCTTTCTGATAGTTTCTCATGATCTTATCACGGAAAATCTGTTGTCGTTCTTGGGGAGTACCGTGATATAAAACGAATGGTATCGTCGGAGTCCATTTTCGAAACTCGTCCTGCCAGTTTGATAGGGTACTTAATGGAGCAATTATTAGGTGCGGACCGAAGTAGTTTTCTTGTTCTCGTAGTAATGCGACGAGTGAGATGACTTGGATTGTTTTTCCTAGTTGTCAAGTCAGACCTTGAAGCGGATTTGAGGTTGTGATAAACAGATACTAACCTAAACCCATCTCATCGGCTAATATACCACTCAGACCCTGTAAACATATCTCGTACATCCACGTAAGACCTTCAAGCTGGTAATCGCGCATAGTACCGCCACTCATGATTTTCGGTTGCTGTTTCAATTCTAAACCGGCATCGGTCAATGCTTGGTTATCGAAGTCGCGACCAACACGACCAAGGGCTTTCGTCTTTTGCGTTAAGATATCACTGAATACTTTGCTTTTACGGAGGAGTTCGTCGAGTTCCTTGGCTTTGCGAGCTTTCTCCTGCGGAGATAACTGGACCTTGCGTTTCCTTCGAGCAGCAAGACGCTTTGCTTCGGCTCTAGTATTTTCAGCCTTGGCTTTCTTTTCCTCGGTGAGCATTTGCTGCTCAGTAAAGGTTGAAGTGAGTCCCATTTTGGGAGTTTCTAGATCCTCGGCGGGGGGTGGTGACGAGGGAGCACTGGTAGGGAGACGAGAGGAAGAGCGAGTAGAATCGACGTCTGAGGATGAAGCAGACGCCATTCCTGACATTGAGATGAAAGGAGGTTAACTAAGGATTATATGTGAACGATTACAAGCTAGATTATTACGATTGAAGTATATTGGAGGCTTAAGCATCACAAAAAGCAAAAGTAAAAATTTATTAATAGACACCAAAGGGCGGAATGATGATGAATTCACAGAATTACACAGTACAATTGCTAATTTACAACTACCAATTTACTTTTAAACCCGGTCAACTGTTACCTAAGTCTTAGCGCGTCAAAGGCGCTAAGGAAACGATGTAGCGACGCGAGCAGGTTGCGTTATCACGCGTTAAGTGGTTGTGGAGCTGCCCGGAAACGTCCCAGGCAAGGGACGTAATAAGACAGGGATCCGAATTTGAGGCTGCTCTGCTTCAGCTGTGGTGAGAGGTCCTACCTACCAAGTTACTGGAGGTACCGTACTGTAAGGGAATCTCTAGCAAGAACCCACATAATAGGTACCTCTAATAGGTACCTCCTAGTACCTAGATCGTGCTTTGCTTTGTTTCTAGCACAGGTGGGCACTGGGCAGTGCACGTCATTGGTACCTAAGGTACAGGTACTTAGCGCCCCGGCTAATCCCCGCTGCAAGTTCTCCCGCTCGAGCCCTTGCTGGAACCATCCTTGACAGGTAATCTCACCTATCATTCCAATTGTCGCAATCCTACCGATTTCAACAACCATCTTCCATCACGAGCATCTCCCGGTTTCATCGCTTAACGTTTGTCGCGCCGATCGATTTTTTCGATAATATAGTGCGATATCATAACCCATAATCGTAACAATTATCTACGCTAAATCTACCGATTAGATATCGTCAAGATGGCTGCTACCGGGCAGAACTTCTACGAACTATATCGTCGAAGCAGGTACAGCGTCATCTTTATTTAATTGCCTTTTTAACCCTATGCCAATTACGTCTTCATTGACAATGTGGTCTGTTGCAGCGTCGGGACCGCCTTGACGGATACCCTCGACGATCTCATCACCGAGCACCGGATAGATCCCCAGCTCGCGATGAAGATCCTCGCGAACTTCGACCGCGCCATCACGGAAGTACTACAGGAGAAAGTTAAGGCTCGCCTGAGCTTCAAGGTAAACAAACATCTTCTACTCCCACCCGATAGTATCGTGGATATCGGTGTTGATCATCGCATTTTGTGTAATCATATAGGGAAGCTTAGATACCTACCGATTCTGCGACGAAGTCTGGACTTTCCAGCTGAAGAATGTTACCTTCAAGATGGAAAACGGCGGACAAGTGGTAACGGCAGACAAAGTTAAGATAGTATCTTGCACTGCGAAACCGACCGGCAACTCCGCGTAGGTGACAATCTATGTGCTTCCGAACCGATCGAATTCTAGCTCCCCTCGGAAAGTCGACGAAAGAGGATGCCGGAAGCATATTGCGTATTGTTTTTGGAGCTCGCGACCCCCTTTCTACGCCCTTTGAGGTAATGTCGTTGAACCTATGCGCTGAAACGACCTGAACGAATCATTCTATCATCCATCGCCATATACGATACGACAACGATGCAAAGCCCACACTTTTCGGACTAGCTCAAGTCGGAAGTCGGCCTCTGAGGGATGAAATCAACGGGGGGATATGGTAGCGGCAGGGCGTGAAGTTTTTGTAAGATTATGCCTTTTTTGAAGATGGCCATCTGGGATCATTTGCATGTGGTGGCGTTATTGCGTTATTGCGTTTATGGCGAGATTTCGCGGCGTTTTAAGGAGAACCAGGCATGTCAAATTGTGCAATTCAGATTGCAGTTCGATTTAGTATTCGCATAGGGTAAATGCAAAATTATTGGTAATGATGTTTGTGATAGACTACCTAGTATATCCAGTCGACTGTATGTGATGTTGGGTATCAGTTTCTCCAAGAGCAGATATACACTCTTTCTATCCCTTCTAATCCAAGTCATCGCTCTATTCTAGAACGTAGGTATCCAAGCTCATCTTAGCTCAGCTCAACTCAAGTCGCCCAGAAGGGCAAAATCTTCATCCTCGTCGTCCTTCTCCACGGGCAAGACACCCTCGACTTGCGGGGCCACACCAGTCGCACGGCCTAGTTCAGCTGCTGATTCAACGTCGAAATCATTATCATTGTAACCACCATCACCATAATCATCATCGTCGTCGTAGTCGCGGTATTCTCCGCCATCATCATCATCATCCACGGCATCTGCCGCCGTCTCGGGGCTTTCGTCGTGCTTGCCGCCCCGGCCGATGACGACGTTCCCGGCGACGAGCAGCGCGGCGCCGACCCACCACAGGGGCGGCAGCGACTCGGAGAAGATGGCGAGGCCGAGCAGGGCCGTGACGACGAAGTTGGTGGACGTGTTCATGATGGAGACCTGCGTTGTGGAGTTGCCCTTGGCGAGGGCCTGCGTGAAGAGAGTCCACATCTTTGGGGTTTATGTTAGATGGAGACGATTTCTGAATGTCACTTCGGTTCAGGGGGTCGGGGGAAAAAAGAAAAAGAAGAAGAAGAAGAACGTACCACTGCATTGAAGGCTAGATTAAGGCCGAAGAAAGTCTGTATAAAAATGGTGTTAGTACCTAAGGTAACTGGCTTATCTCACATGTGAGATGTTAAAGGTTGAAATAACGATGGGACTTACAGCGCGCACAACGACCTCGACAACGCCTTGTAGATGCGTCAATCCGAATAGCCCCGAGATACTCCGGGCTATATGAGTAGAAAGCTCATTTGTGGTTCTATTCGCGAGTCAATCTTATTAGTGTATATAATGTAGGTTATAGTCTTTTAGGGAAAAAACTGAATTTCTTTTAAGACTTGATGTAACTACCACTGATACGTAAACCTCCCGTTTCTGAGACGGCTAGAGGAGGAAAAATGAAAAGAATATAAATGAGATAATAGTGAACAAAAGGTAAGAAGAATGGATATATGTGTAGGTAGTCTAGGAAAGTTGAAACTCACAATTTCGCAAAGACGCCGTTAAAAGCAGCGCAAGCGCCGCTAGCAACCGCGAATACGATCCACCGATTCCTCGCGGTCCAGGAAGGCGGCATAGCGGTGGATTCTTCCGAAGATGCCGGTCCGTCGGTGCTGCTGCTGCTGCTGCTGCTGCTGCTGCTATTATCGGGCTTGGTAGAGGCGGTGGTGGTGGTGGTAGTAGTAGTAGTGCCGCCTCTCTTCTCCGCGGCAGAAACGGCAGGTTTCCTCTCTCTGACGGTAGCGGAGGAAGTAGTGGGGACAGGAACGGAGGCGGAAGTAGTCGAGGAAGAATATTTACTTTCATTAGTGGCACCTGCAGCGGTCGCAGTTGCTGACTGGGTTTTCCCGGGTCGGGGCATTGTGGGTTTGGTTTACTAAGGGGTCCCGGATACGTCGGTACGGGGGCGGCTTTAGCTGCGTAGCACAAATATAGAAACACAGGAATATTGGAGACCCAATGGAATGGGCCACGGGTTCTGGTGCTCTGTCTCAGCCTATGATCTGCAGGATCTGATAAGTGCTCAGGTGCTGTCCTCCGGATGCATCCGATTCAGGTGTTTCTTATCACTGAATTTGTTCTGAATGAGTGGCTTTTTTTTGCCCTCCTTATATCTTGGCTATTTGTATTTATATAATATGTGGACACGATTCAAAAAGGTGTATCTAGTCGTGGGTCTTCTTGGGGCCTGGTACTCACACCCTACATGCATACGGATTACGTGCGGTAGAGATCGATCTTAGTTCGGTATTTATTCGTGTTCCTGCAGCGGAGAACAAAAATAGGTAATCCCCGCAATTCATCTATCGGGAAAACTTGAATGGTTAGTTGGTGATCACGGGATTCTACGATTCCCCCGCGATTGGGAATAAGAGCTGTAGTTTGGAAGCTAAACCCATAAAAAGGGGGGATAAGACAAGTAGGTAGGCCCTTTAGTTTGACCATGTTGCGATCACGTCTTTCAGGGGCTCAATGAATTTTCACGTGTAAGGAATCAATCTCATAAACCAGTAACAGGTAGTGGCTGAGAGACAATTCGCATGAGGTATATGAACTCAACAAATCTCTATCTGTTTTCTAACTCGACACCATCATCCGCAGCCACATCCTCGTCGCCGTCCATGATCTGTCCGCCCACTCTCTCGTCCGCTGCGCCTCCGAGCCTTATTCGGCCGCCAGTTGCGCCGGAGACCTTTGCCGAGACCCAAGTACCTGCTCTGCTCATGAAGGCCCAAAGCTTCTCGTGAAGCTCTCGGATCTCGTGATCGTCGCGGGGATTTTCGGCCGCCTCCGCCTTGAATTGGTATCTCAGACAGTCCTTCGCGGTCACCAGACCCGTCAGGCGCCCGTGATACTCTATTAGAATTACTCGCGGTCCGATCTTGCGGAACAGCTCCATCACCGTCTCCAGCGGTAGTCGCGGGTGCACCGTAACAGGTGTCGGATCCACGTATCGGCTGAAGTCAAGAGGTGCGGAGGCCGCACTATAGTCCACACTGCTGAATGTCACAGTTGGCGTGATGGGCGCAACTGTACTTAACTCGAGAGGCGAAAAGTTGCATTTGGCCTCGGGGCTGATAGGAATGGCTCGCTCACGACGTAGTCGATCAACCGCATAACGTAGTTCCGTACGACCAATGTAGCCGACCAGAATCTTCTTGTTTAAATCTTCAACAATAGGAAATCCCTGGTACTTAGGCTGCTTCAGGATGTTTTCGATGGATTGCAGCGTCGTGCCATGAACTGGTATGACTATCACATCGCTGGTCATTGCTGCCGACACAGGAACACCAAAGTTATGCTCCTCCTTATTATCCAGGAATGGAAAGCCGCTAAACCAAATCATCCGGTCAGCGATTCCGCCTTTGCCGAATAGGTCAGATACCATCTTCGTGACACCGACAACAATCATAGTAGGTAAGATGTAGGTTAAGGCCCCGGTGAGTTCGAACATAATAACCACAACCGACACGGTAATATGCATTATTCCGCTGAGTGAAGCAGCCGCCCCAAGAAAGGCGTACGTCCCGGGAGTAATACAAGGTTCGTCCGGCTGGCAAGCTGCAAAGAAAGCGCTCTCCGGGTTAGAATGATAGATAGCTTGCATGATAATTCCAACAGTCCGACCAAATGTTGCCCCTACTGCCATAGATGGCACAAAAATACCAGCGGGTACTTTGCACCCATACGATATAATTATTAGGAAAATCCGAACAGTTGTCGCAATAGCCAGAGATACGATGTTGGCCCATCGTTTATCATGGTCACAAAGTCCGTGATAGTCCTCGGTGCCTTCGCACTCGAGGAACAGAATCTCCATGCTCTCAGTCATGTCGATCCGTAGAAATGCATTAGGATAACAAATGATGGCGGTCCCTGCAGCTAGAAGAGTAGCTTCAAGGACAGCCCACTTCGCGAGATACTTCTTTCGGAATGCCTGAGCGCGAAGATTCCACTTGATTACGAACGCGCCGTATAGACCACCAAATATTCCGATGAAGATATACGGCACGATTTCGAAGAAATGCCATGACCGGTCGTATTTGACCTGAAACATGACTAGCTGACCGGTCCTGAAGGGGTTCATCGCCGCCAAGACTGCTGTTGCGACAAGTGCGCAGAAGTAACTCCTCCACATAGTCTTCAGGGGAAAGTAGTTGGACATTTCCTCCAGAGAGAATAAAACACCGCCGATAGGACTGCCAAAAGCGACTCCGACTCCGGCCGCTGCACAGGCGCTAAGTATCTCCCGTGTCTTGGATGCGTTTCTCTTATACTTATCAAACATTCTCGAGATGACATTGCCTGTGCATACTGCATAATGAACGCTAGGGCCTTCCTTACCGACTGAAAGTCCGGAAGAGATGGCCAAAGGTAGGGCTACAGATTTGATAATTAAAGTTCGAAGACCTAGGAACCCTTTCATAACGAATCCCGCAATAATGCATTTGATCTCGGAAATTCCAGAGCCGGCGGCATACGGCGCAAAGGACTTGACAAGAATGGCCGAAGTGAAGGCAAAAGCGGTCTAAATGGTTTAGTTTCAACCTTTCGAATGAGTGAAAAGGAGAATGACTTACTCCGAAAATGATGTAGAGAAAATAATTAACGGGTTCGAACCCCGTCCAGCGGTGCCAGTCATTGCATCCGTTGTCTTCGCCCCAGCAGCAGAAGTTCTCGTTGAGGTAGAAGCCCGTCGTGCAATAGCCCATCTTAATATCGGATAGCCATTCGGTTATTATGTTTAAGAAGGCGGCATTCAGGCCAATGGCAGCGCCTATCAATGTCACGACGATCCAGCCCTGCGCGGCGTCATACGACTCCCATAACTTGTACCTCCACGACACTCTACCATTGCCAGGATTCCTCCTACGGCGAGCTTTCCGGCGAAATCTTTCTTGGGCGGCATCTTGGACCCAGTCTAGGTTTTTTGTCTTAACATTCGGCCTGCTATGAAAATGGATCGGGTCTCGATGGCGCGCATACCTATAGTAGTGAAGTCCTAGGAGTGGTATTGTATTAGCTATAGGCGCAAAAAGTGGTAGCACTTTTCAAAGCAGCGCCGGAAAAGAGAGAGCACACCTCATATCTCTTGATCTCCGCTATTTCTTCGTCGATCTGATTCTCCACCGGCGCATTGCTTCCAAGCCCCTCTCCTTGCTCGGCATTCGATACCGCAAAGGACAATCTGGAGCTAACGGAGGGTCGGTGGGATAGCTGGGAGCGCGACACGGAGAGGGAGGTGGTACGGGAAGACATGGAAAAATCGTGACCATTCTCAGCTATTCATTTGCAGGGTAGTATACTACTAGATGGTATCTAACGTAGAAGATAGGTAGGGTAAAGATTGGATCGATTTGTTTGGCCAAGACTAAATGTTTGAATACTGAATGTTTAAATGTTGAATGTTGAATGCTAAATGCTGATCTGATCTAGGTAGAGTTGGGAATAATGTTAGTGTAAGTGATCGCTCCAACCGATCGTTCAAGATACGTAATTAGTATGAGGCTAAGAAGCAAGGGTTCCTGTATAATAGCGGGCTTCCAAGCTTCTCCCAGCCTTGGCTACAGGTAGGTGTGCTGGACTATGACCCCTAAGTACAAAAAATACAGTGTGTAATTTGTGGTTAGACACGTATTTCGCACGGTACCTATCAATGATAATGTACCATACCGGCAGATAGTGGGTTTGTGCTTCCACATTTAGAATAATTCCACAAACCCACCATCTGCCGGTATGGTAGGTACTATGGTACTATCAAAAGTTCTCTTAAAAGTTTAATGGAATCGCGTATCCGCAGCCTTAAACGCGTCCACGGGTCTATGTACCTAACCTACATGTACCTACCTTGAATAATCTTATCTACCAAGCACCAAGCACATGAAAGAAGCCTGGATGAGCTACAACAATTACCAAATTCGACCTTCCAAGATAATACTTTTTTTTTCACGTAAATTCTTGGTATAACAACTGCTATTTGGACATACTCAACTCAACTAACTTGAGGTAAGTTTGGCTACTGACTGAATACATGTATATACACCTTACCTTAGGCACATATGTATAATCTAAAACTTCAACCACGCAAAGCATATTATTCTATTTATCTGCATCTGAGACAATTGCCTTAGGTAGTCACTCACTTCGGGTTAACAGTTACTTGTTCTTATACGTCCTGTCTCGAACTTGGCCGGGTTATCTACATTCGTATTGTCTGAAAGCAACTCTCATCACAATGCCGTACAATACAACGGCAATTCCGCCTCGAAAAGAGGTCACAGGCCAAACTCAGCTTCCCTGTGAGTTCACCACTACATCTTACTACATCTTATTCTCCATACACCAATATGTTCTAACCGTCCACCTTGACAGTATCTCGAGTGAAAAAGATCGTAGCACAAGACCAAGATATCGGCATATGTTCCAACAACGCCGCGTTCGTAATCACCCTCGCAACAGTACGTCTAACACCCCCCTTTTCCCTCCAACCCCCTCTCCCAACCTCAATCCACTAACACCTCACCCTACCCCACTCTCTAGGAGATGTTCATCCAACACCTCGCCAACGAGAGCCTCACCATGGCCAAGCTCGGCAAGCCCCGCCGCAACATCCAATACAAGGACCTCGCCGCCGCCGTCTCGCACCACGACAACCTCGAGTTCCTCGAAGACGTGATCCCCAAGACGACCCCCTACAAGCAGATCAAGGCGCAGGCAGCCGCCACCCGCAACCAGCTCACCAGCGGGACTTCCGCGGCCGAACGCGCCGCCGAGAAGCAGCAGCAGAAGGAGGGAGCAGCAGCAACGACGACGAATGGGGCTGCTACTGGTGGTGGTGGTAGCTCGACTAAGAAGCATAAGCCTAACACCAGCCGTTCCAGCTTGAACGGGGCTAACTTCGTGGGTGCTAGTGGTGCTCGGATCATGAGCGACGACGACGGCGGCGTCGAGATGGATCCCGCGGAGCAGCTGCGCCACGAGATGCTGCAGGCGACTCGCGGAGGGCAGGAGGATGTCCACATGAGCGGGTAGATGGGAGGGCGTTGTATAATATGTACATGTCTCTGGGGTTTGAAGCTGGCGGGAATAATGGCTTAATTCAGATACTGGAAGGATAATCACCCGATTCTAAGTTACTTAGTTACTTTACGAGCCTGGATCTAGTTGTATAAGGGGATGAGATGGTTGTTACTAGATGATAGGTTCCCCATAGCACGGTTATCTTCAGAAAGAATTGCATTAATGCCTATATCCATGGGTATACCCGAACGTTTTATTTTGTGACCATGCATGAATGAATTATACACCAAATGACCAACCACAATCTAAGCTCCACACACCCTCAGATATATACTCCCCGCCTTCCTCTCTATTCCTCCATCTCGTCATTCAAATGTACACCAGCCGGAATCCTGCCCTCTCGCAGCATAGCCTCCAGCCTCGTGATCTCGTCCAGACTCGTAGCCTTCTTGATCATGTCCTGCAGGCGCTTCTTCTCCTTCTCCGTGAGCTTGATGCGCGACATGCGCGTCGGCAGGGCGCCGGAGGAAGAAGCGCCGCCGTTCGCGGAGAGCGACGCGTCGAAGGTCTTGGACTTGACGCCCATGATCTTGGAGGCCAGCTCCGTGGGCTCTGCCGCGGTGCCGAACAGGGTCGCCGCTTGCTTGCGTTCTGCGTCCTTCACCTTTTCGAAGTCGAGGAATCGGACCGCCGGGCAACGCCATAGGACCCAGTAGCGGTAGTGCTATAGCGCAGTATGATGCATGAGCATGCCTAATCTTTCTGGCGTTCTATGTTCTACTTGGGAATCGTGAGACCTTACCTCCTTCTTCGTGACGGGGTTATCTCGTAGCACCAAGTGTGTCAGTCTTGGGAAATACCCCAGCGGATCTAGATCTGCCAGCTCGGTCAAGTTGTTCGACTCCAGCTGTAGCATTGTGAGGTTCGGGATCGAGTTCGCGAGGGTAGGTTGTATGGAGGAGATGCGGTTTCGCTGTAGGAGAAGGGAGCGTATTCGCGGCGATAAGGGGAAGTTCCCCAGCACCTGGATATCATTGTCGACGAAGTCTATGGCATCTTGCGGCTATATACCAGTCATGTTATCAGCACTTGGTTCCTATATACAACGAAAAGTAAACAAGGGAGTATGTATCGCTTACGCCTGCAACGCCCAAGTTCTCGATGGTAGGGATACGATGTCCTGTTCACAGCCGGCAAGGGCATCGCTATCAATTCTGCTCTTCTAGATCAAAATAAAAGTGTAGTATCTGTTCTTTTCCGACGTACCTCGAAGCTCGAGCTCACGTTCTTTCAGCGCGTTGAGCCAGGAGGGGGAGTTCTGAAGGAGCTCGACCGTGAGCCTCATGTTGGGCGAGCTTCAGCGACAAGTTTTACCGTTGTATTATGAGGGGTCAGATATTATTTGGCAATAACCTATTTCAATGTTTTAATGTTGTAATGGAATTTGTTGCCGCGTGTTTCCAGCAGTTTACGTAGTAACAAAAAAATAAGGTAAGGCTGAAGGTTTCTGCCAATGAAAATTTACGATGCGAGCTGTGGGGAATGAGGTATTGTAAGGTACCTTAGGTAGGTACCTCTGTATATTACCTACCTGGTACCAGGTAGCTTAGGTACGGTACCTAAGTACCCGGTACCTTAGGCGGTGCTACCTGAGAGGTACACTTATACCTTAGGTAGAGGTACACTTATCACTTAATACACGCCAGAAAAGGCTCACAGCTCTAATAACAACTATTTATACAGACATCTAGATAAACTAATTCGTTTATTGACAAATATCACACTCCCAATCAGATTCGTCGTATTTATCTTCCCGATGGGGATTTCCGCCGTATAGAATCAAAAACCCTGGCCGAGATCGAGTCGATTCATTACCTGTCCAATATAGATCTAATGAATTCATCACAATCATCTCCTAGGATTTCCTTCGTGACCTGGATTATTTCACTTGATAGTAGAACTGCAAGTAATAAGGTTTAAAGGGGGAGGGCATAGGAAAAGTTCCCCCGCCTGGTATAACGAGGTCACGTTAAATAATAGCCTCCCCAATATCATCATCCATTAACTTATCAGCATGTCATAGGGCGAGCATGATGCCTGTTGAATCGAAGTCCTTTTGCTTGAAATTTGAATTACGAGAGCTGAGCTGCAGATGACTCCGCCATGCGTGGTGGCGTTCTCCAAAAGGATCAAGCCTGAGTTCCGGAATGTTCGTCCAGACTCAGCCGCACAAGATGGACGAAAAGCTCAGGTGATATCTGGTTATCCTCTGTAACCCAAAGTAATATCCAGTCAGTAGTCTCTTCGACCTACTCCTTCAAAGTTCAAAGTGTCTCCTCATCGATTGAACAAATAATTTCGGCAATTATGGCAAAGCTCAAGCTTGGGCTTATCCAAGAATATCGGGAGAGGCATTTAATGCCACCTTTTGAATTCAAGCCCGTTAGTGTCAAGGTTATTGAAATAGAGGATTTCGAGGTCTGTCGCCGTTATAGAACGCTATGTTAAGGTGTGTTGACTTGACTATAGGCAGAGAAGCCCATCATACGTTCGTTTATAATCCGCCCAGACGAACTTGAAAGCTGGCTGGTGAACATGACATGTTAAGATGAAATTTACTTGGGTTGAAAATGCTAACACAGTCTTTAGGACCGAATAACTATTAGGAATCCCCACGGCCGCCAGAGACCTAAGTTTCGTATCATGTAAGCCCCATACATCTATTATTATGACCTGGGAGTTCGGATTTGCTTAACATTCCGCTCTCGTAGCCTTGGGTATGGGGGACAAGGGGCAAAGTACGAATATTTGATGCCCAGTAACGAGTATGCCAATGGAAATTTAACCAGAGAGTCAATGACTGCACTCCCTTTCTCTAAAGAACATTGTCAACTATTAAGCGAAAGGCTTGGGGTACCAAACATTGTATCACTGTTGCCGTCGCGAAAAGCCTCCGCGTTAGTGGGCCATTTTCAACTGGTACAGCTTCCGTGTCAAGGAGAAAATTCAATATACGGTAGGTACCTAGTGTTAATGCCATGATTCGTCTTCGATAATAACTGATTTGCCGGCTTGTATAGGTTTGACTTTGAATGCATTTACTAGCTTGCTTATCGGCGTTAAAGTTGGTATTTCGATGTCATACTGTCCTTCTACGGGTGTCACGAACGCGGTGTTAATGAGAAGCGGCCCTCAGAATGGATTCGCCTGGTTAGAACAGGACTTGGAACAACTAGCTTCTTTAGCCGACAACCCTTTCCTCATCCCCATCTTGGTATGTCAGCATCTCACCGAAGCGTTTTGTTCTTTTGTGGACGATAATTACGACCGATTGCACCAAGTAGAGTTCGGAAGTGGCCAAACGGGCATCACGATGATTGGAGAGAACGGAACGCCAATTTCACGGGGTAACTGTGAAAACCCTAATCTCTCAGTTACTGTCCTTGGAGTTGCCCAACATTCGCTTGCTGTTGAAGCTTATGTCAGAGGTCAATTGTTAACTGTAGACCTCATCAAAGACGAACTATTAGCATTCCCATGGCAACAGGCTCTATCTACGGATAAGCGCCGTGTACAGGAGCAAAATGCGCTTCTCCTGAAACAGCTTGATTTTATCAATCGGACACTCAAGATCGCTCTTATTCGCATTGACCACCTAAAGCAGCGGACGACTGTGCAAGCAACTGCTGTAGGTGCCTTCTTTGATTTTAATGCTCGGGTGTTAATATTGACGTATGTATACAACTAGATCGCTAATTTATTAGCTCAACGCAACAATGAGACAAATCGCAGGTTGGCCGAGTCAAGCACGAGCATAGCTCATGATACTAGGCGAGATAGTCTGGCTATGAAGTCTATAGCGATCTTAACAATGATATTTCTCCCGGCGACGTTTACAGCTGTAAGCTAATTTACCTAGCAGTACAGTTACTGAACCTATGAAACGATGCTAACAACGGTTGTTTGTGAAAGACGTATTTTACTACGCCTGCTATAGCGGCCTTAGATCCCTCGCAAAGTCTCTACTGGATCGTTACAATACCCCTAACCCTTATCGTCGTAACCTTGTGGGTTTTCTCATTCTATTTCCTAACGAGGGATAAACCCCGATACCGACGCAAAGATGGCCTAGAGTAACCTGCGCACTGGTTAGTTCTATGTGGTGTTTCCATATTACAGGTTGCTGTTGTTTAACAATAGTCTTTATTATCTTATGAAAGAACTTCGACAAAGAAAGTCATAGCTACCACCGAGATACTTAAGGACAAGCCACGCCTCATTCACTTACTTCAATATTCAGTCATACACTATAGTTGGTACCATACGCAGTCTTGACTTTCTTCGTAGATTGGTTTTCTTGTGTTACTGGAACCAGTCTGGTAGAGTGACAAAGGGGAAGTTCACAAAGAGCCGGGAAACATAATGCATTATTTCGCTTTCAACATCAGAGTCGCCGTGGCTATAAGATTGTCTTGTAAAATGATATTTATATTCCTTGTTGCATTGTATTGTAAAGTGATTGTTTATATCGTGCATTTTTACGAGTCAGATCCAGTAGGAAAACCGCGCAAAAGGCAAGATTCATCTGCTCCGTGCTCCAACAAAAACTGCGCTCACGATCAGCACCGAAACAGACACTGAAATTCTTCTGAGTTCACTGCTAATAAAATCACCGCGGCCCTGCTTGAGTAGCAATATCAAAATGCACGTCAAAGTCATCACCAATAATAACGGCAGCATTCTTGGAAGAATTCCAGTCAGAATGAGCGAAGAACCCCAACCCGAAGCCAACCGTGTTGCTCGAAATAACGCTAACTATAGGTCTCCTTGGCCGACGGACAGTGATATAAGCCCTATAGCCTTGGATGACGAAACCCGAAACCGAACTCTAGAAGCATTGGCAGAAGATAATGAACAGGGAGAGGTGGCGCAACCACTTCAGCAACAGCCTAGTCAGGCCGAGAGACCCATAGAGACTCAAGAACACGATAGAACAGACCATTCTCCCCAGCAAAGAGGGTACTGGTTTCGTGGGAGCTCCATTAAGTCTCTTGTTAAAGGTTTCCTAAGCCTCGAAATACCAGAAGACTCGCCTGACTGGGGACGTAACTCTGTAGCAGAAGGGCAGTCATTCTTCCCAGATCCTATGATTACTTTCCTCGTTGATCAACCTAGAGATCTTCTGTGTCAGATTTGCCAAACAACGACTCTTTCAATAGCGACCTCGGCCCATACCCCGGATGAGCATACCCCAGGTATTCTCCCGTGTGGTCACATGGCTTGCCATACCTGTCTATGGTCTTGGGTTATTAGGAACAAAACCTGCCCCTTCTGCAGAAAGGAAATGAAGCATAGCGGCTGTGGGCATACCCTGAAGCCGGCCTTAATAACACACGATACTATTGCCAGGCTGCCGAAGACGCTTTCTCGAGGGGGCACTATAGGCGAGACCTGTCGCGAGTGTCGGGATCGGGAAAATAGGGGGAAAACCTACATACTGTGGGGTATTGCTACGAATGCCGTTCGAATAAGCCGGCAAGCTCCTCCGGATGCTGATCCTAGAAATGCCAGTCGAGCGGAAGAAGTCGCCCGGGAGCTCTTTGAAAGTGTTCCTCAGGGATACCTCAAAAATCTCAATCTAGAGAAGAACGCCTGGTAGCTTAATTGCATTCGCTTTATAAGCTCGGATTCGCCAATCCGTGGCTAGGGTAGGTACGTAAAGTAGATACCTACTGCCTCATACCTTAGATCGGAAAATAGATATCCTCTAATAGGTCCATGGCACTCGATATATGTACGGTAGGTCCCTAATGTACTTGTGGATCGACTCTCTAACTGCTATTTACCTTCTCACGGAAAACTTCCGTGTACGTCCTTTTACTGTTTATCCTTGTTTCATCAATTCGCAAGTTTTTTCTTTTTTGAGCTATTGTTTTTGTTAAAGCTCGTTTTCTTTTACGGACATAGAAACCTACTTCTCCACATTCCGTATAATACACAATTAATACACCCCAAGCCCCTTTATATTTCATAGTTAATATACCAGAGCCTACGTGCTCTAAGGCATACTTGCAGCACAATTGAAGTATACTTAAACATCTATAATATCATTAGCTTTGTCTTGAAACAATAGAAATGTTAACTGAGTGAGAGCGTACAGAGAAAATACAGCCCTCCAACCACAGGGTAGGTTAGGTACAGGTACCTAGGTAGATAGATAAACCCAACTTGATCAACTTCGACTCGTTACGTAACCCGGGGCTTCATGAATCTTTCCTAATGAGGATAGGAACCGGGACTTGATTGGCTACTTTGCCCTACAAGTATATAGTTCAGAAGCTACCCGACTGTTTTCTTTTTCGCGAATTGAACACGTGAGTTTTATAGCGTACGCCTAGAAGTATAAATTGGCCCAGGCATAGTTTCTATGGCAACTCCTAAACCTATACCCAAGCTCACATACTGATCTCAGATATGAGTGCTTCGGCAGTCCACTCCGGCTTGCTAATGAAGGGAGAGTGGCCTGCGTCAACCTCGACAACCTTCTCGATCTTGTGCTGTCCACTCACTTTCGCCGTATCAACAAGGTATCGTATAGCTAGCACGGTCGAAGGGTTGTCCTGTAGACAGATAATACAGGTGGTTGGAATATAGCGCCACGCGGCGTACGTCGTGGAACTCCAGAACGACCCAACGCTCTGAGGGCGCAAGTCCTTGACTAGTTCAGCGATGGTAGCGTCATCTAGATCTTGGTAGAACATATCCTTAGCATCTTCTGGTGATACAGTAACAACGCCAGCCTAGTAGACATGAGTTAGAGAGCATCGAATCAATAGATTAAAAAAAGTAGATAACAACGAGTTTGTCTTACATCAAGATCAGTTTTCATCTCAGGAACCATGTTACTGCGTGTTCCATGTGCCGAGTGTTGGGAGCCCTCCGGCACAAGGAAAGCCGCAAGGTAAATCAACCGTATAACGCCGCCTTTCAGTCCCTTTGCGGCCCGTGTCTCCTTGCCCAAGCCTCCCAAAGCCATACCTCCGGTCATGCCACTGAAGCTGTGCATGACTACTACTACATCGTTCTCTTTTACTAGATCCTCGACCGTATTACTAATCGTTTCGACATCCTTAGACCAGTCAGGCGTGGGTGGTATAGACCCCGACGAGGGTAGAGCCGGAGCAACGGCTGAGTAGCCTAACTCGTTGAGTGTATAGATCAGAATATCCCAGCATTGAGGAGTGTGCCACGCACCGTGGAGAAGGACAAAGATTGGCTTAGACATCTTGTAAGGGTGAACAACACCGGGGGTTATATGGAGAGTCTATGGGGGTAAGGATTGGTTTAGTCCACGGTATCGAACGAGAGTGCGAAGGAATTTGATGATTGAGCTGCTACTCCACGACATGAACGAGCGATGTTCATGGCGACTCCAACCCACCCTTGTCACGACATAAGCCGCATATGTAAGACTCAGATTAGATACGCTCTTAGATCCTTCTGCAGATGATACCCGATGTACATAGTAACTAGTCCAACCGTTTTATCATATTCCCGAAATCAAAACACAGTATTGTGCTTACCGTTTTATACGAAACATCTAAGAAAAAGCAGCGCCTACTATGGTGATTGATATAGGAGGCCAAGCTATCATAACTACGGATCTTTATCAAGTCGCTCGTTGGTGGCATGGCTCGCTGCCCAAATCATTAGGCTGCTAGGTTTGAAAATGTCATTGATGCACAGGAAACTTGACCGCGATATAGAACCGTAAGTGGTAGGGGTTTGATTCACCGGAGTATCCCTCCCGACTGTTAGCTACAATTTAGTCATTCTTTTACATTACCTGCCAGAGTTTCTACAAAGATACCCCCCTTACCTACATCTCTCACCTTCATCCATCAGCTGTAACGCCTTCGCCTGTCACGATCTATCAAAATGCCGTCCCTAGCAACTGGCTATGCTTGCCTAAGGGCCACGACACTGGGAGTCTTCTCTCATCTAATGATCGCCATTGGGGGGTGAATGACATATGCAAACACCTACAATCTTTACACTCTACTCTTTCCTAGCCTTCGTCGTCTTTTTCGTCGTGCAGCGGCTCGGAGTTGATAACAAAACTAGCTTTAAGATTGCCTCCTTACTGGTGATCTCACATGCGACTTCATTGTTCATGAGTATAGGTAGTCATATATCGAAAGTTCTTCCACCGGCTACAACACTTCCCCGTCCCTTGACTAGCGAGTGCTACGAAGTTGCGGCACGTATGGAAATACCGCACGAGGCAACATTTCCTTATCATCGAAGAATTACGAAGAGATATAGCCTAGTTATTCACAGGTCCAGTGCCAGGAACAAAGGAGATGTTTGTATATAGCTCCGGCTTCCGAGCTATCTTACAATAACCTACCATTCTTATGCGGACACCCCACTATAGCCTCACCAAAACATATCAACTTTATAAAGTAATAAAAAAGTCAAATTAAATGGTAAAAATATGAAATTATTTAATATTAATTAGATTTCTTCAAGATATCATCCTTACTATATTATTTTTTAATTCTTTGAGTTTATCACTCGATAAAACGGTACTGAAGTGGAAAGAAATATCTCTTCTAACAAAAAGTTACACTTTTTGGTGGAAAACGAATTTTGTCAAATATATCTTAAAATACAACGTAAACGTCAAGCTCTTTTCCTTCAAAAATTATATTCTTATAAAATCTAATCATTGAATATTATAAGACAAGACGAATTTTATTTTTACCATTTTTCTAAAGGCTGTAATAGTATAATGAAGTTGCTAAGTTTTGGTGGGAAAATAGTGGGTGTCCGCATAAGATTGGTAGATCACTGTAGTTAGAGTTTCCTTGCTGGAACAACGAAGTTGTTTCCCCTACCATATGCTCTGCGACGCGATATCCAGAAGAAACCACATTTATTGATGCCGCTGTCTCCCCCCAGACAGTCGACGGTCCTCGGAGCAAGTGTACCAAAGCAGGTATCTAGTACGACTTCCTGCTTCCTGAGCTTTTTAGTCAACAGGAATCGAGACATAAAGAAACACGGTGCACACTCGCGTCGTAGAGCGAGGAGTTTTTCGTACAAGTGACACTTTACCGTTCGCCTGCTACGAAAAGCTTTGAGCTTGCTGGAGTAGTACCATGGGTTGCCTAGATTGGTTTCCACATTACACCCTGAATGTATATTGTTCGTGACTGGCCCCGTCAGAGGCCGTAATATCGGTTTTCTTCAGCCACCCTCTTATTGATTCGTACCTAGGTATCTATGAAACAAGAAGTCGCTGAAAAATTGCAAAATATGATTGGACCTTGAGGTCCGTCCAATGAGATTGCTTATATACATCTTCCATTGCCCATTTAGTGGACTGACGTCATGACTTATAGCCAACTGCGTGAACCTTGACGAAGATGAGCGTCACAGGTGTCTAATACTACGCCATCAATTCCAACTTCTTTGTCCGGATTCCGAAGTTCTTGTGCGCCTTTACCTTTTAGCTAGTGACGTAGTGAAGACTGTGGCGGTTCTCTAAGAGAGTTATAAGAGCTCGGCCAAACGCATAGAGTTCCATAAGGAGCAACACCATATCAACAGCGAAACATTACCAAATACACAAATCGAAACCAACAACGAAGGAAATTATCTAGTTTAGGTACAATTATAAAAAGGACAACTCTTTCAAAAAGTACCTAACCTAACCTAATAAATCTGTATTATGGGTATCGCAGCGGGAATTGGTCACTTCTTCCAGTCAATCGTGGAAGTAATCCAAGGTCTCTTGGCAGCTGTCGTCAACTTCTTCCAATGGATCCTTAACTCAATCATTGGCCTATTCCAGGCCTTTGTCAATTTTATTGAAGGTGCCCTGGGCTTCGCAATCCGTAAGTTTAACTGTGCCTCGTCTCATCTTCCTTTTTGTAGTTTAGATCAGGCACTAATTTGTTGCAGACAATTTCTTCATTTTGGGAACGCTGGCTGCCGCTGTATTCGCATACCTCCTCTATTCCCAGAGACAAGGCACAACGCCAGTTAGCCGGACAATTAAAAACAAACGAAATTAGCGCGTTGAAATGGGTTAGGCCTGGGAATATCGGTCCTATGAAGCGAGCGAAGAGTTATGATTGAATGATTATACGAGGGGGGTATTGTGCTCGGGCGTTTAGGGGGACTAATCTTCTAAGTCGGTGTGCAATACACAGTGAGATGTAGCAATAAAGGGGTATAGGGGATGACGAGCAATATACCTTGGAGGAGTTTTATAGGTTATCTCATCAACACCGGAAACGTTATAGTTTATCTACCTACCTAAGGTAACTACAAATTTTTGACAAATATCAACATTAGACGGCGGTTTTAAGATGGATATTACCTTAGTTGCCCCGAATTTTGAGTGATTTATTCGTATGAGTTTCACGATAGTTCAAAATTGCTTATCACTTTTGAAAGACCCCTCCCGAGGAAACGCCATCATAGAAAGGACTTGGCATGTTTGAAGTTTCTCTGTTAGTTCTTTCGTGTAGGAATTTCGGCATGTGGCGCGACTATCTCATGTCCGTGGAGTGGATTCCCAGAAGCGCCCCTTGAAAATAGCCCCGCATCACGATCAGCTTCAGGGGTCAACAACCCCTTCTTATCTGTGGTGATGCGTGCGCCAAGACCAACTTTACCAAAATTTGATCGCCTCAAACGATCGGCTACCCCGGGGAAAATTGTGCATACATGATCATCATCTCCTCTATGCGTGCCCGCCCTAAGGCTGATATCAGAATTTCAGGAGTACACCCCCCCTGCTCCGCACCCGCATATGAAACCTTCTAAGAAGCCATCTGCATGGTTTTCATTTCGCCTACTAAGACTCTACATCAACTCCTTCATTTCTAGCCGAGAACACTAGCGTATACTCTAGGGGAAAAAAAAGGGATATTCCACCAATTCTAGAGCTTCTTCGCATCTGAACCCTGCTCATGGATAGCGCCGACCCAACTCTATGGTGGATCGACGTGATCTTCGTCTTCCCGCGTGCGGCTCTTGGTAAGCATGGGTAAGGTTTCGTGAAAGTTGTTATAAGGAGGGCAAGTCGTCCCGATCTTCATCCCACCTCTCTTGGTTTGTCAGACCAAACGCAAGTCTTCTTCCATTCCCTTGAAGCCGCTCTTCGCACAGTCGTTCTTTTTTAACTACTTACATTCATTTCTCGACTTGAAGTCAATTCACATTCGTTACCGCAAGCCGGCCTTCACGCACAGCACATACTCTAGTATCTATATATACAATAGTCCCAGTTTCAATATGCCTTCTATGCTCAAATCCAGCTTGTTGGCCGCCGTTGCCGGTGCCGTTTCTGTTTCCGCCCACGGCCACGTTACCAAGGTAACCATTGACGGCAAGTCGTACCAGGGATTTGATCCCACCTCCGCGCCTTACGGACCTCAGCCCGACAGCATCACTTGGAGTAACGGAGCTAAGGACAACGGATTTGTGCTCTCATCGGCGCTCCAAGACCCGGACATTATCTGCCACTTGGACGCTACCAATGCTGCTCTGTCCGCGCCCGTCAGCGCCGGTGGTGACGTCGAAATCACCTGGAACCAATGGCCCGACTCCCACAAGGGCCCGGTTATTGATTACCTGGCTGACTGCGGCGGCGACTGTTCGACTGTCGACAAGACTACTCTCAAGTGGTTCAAGATTGCCGAAGCAGGCCAGCTCGCGCTAGGTGCTGGTAGCGGCCAAACCGGCAAGTGGGCCGACGACTTGATCATCGAGAACGGCCTTACCTGGAAGGTCAAGATTCCCAGCTCGATCAAGGCCGGAAACTACGTTCTTCGTCACGAACTTATCGCCCTTCACGAGGGTGGCACCGAGGGTAAGGCCCAAATGTACCCTCAGTGCATCAACCTCAAGATTTCTGGATCTGGCACCCAGTCTCCGGAGGGTGTTGTCGGAACATCGCTGTATACCTCTACTGACGCCGGAATCCTGCACAACATCTACAACGACGAGAAGCTTTCGTCCGTCGCTGATTACAAGATTCCCGGACCTGCTCTGGTGAAGTTTGATGGATCTTCATCGTCGTCGAGCGGCAGCACTGGCTCCTCATCTGCTGCCCCCGCCCCTACGACCACAACCGCATCTCAGGCCAGCACACCTACTTCTGCGACCAGCACGTCTACTTCTGTGGCCGAGCAGCCCGCTGTCAGCTCCCCCGCTGCTAGCTCGCCCGCTACCCCTAAGCCGACGAAGACTTGCTCCAAGAAGCGCAACGCTCGACGCCACGCCCGCCAGGTCAAGAACCTATAAATGGAATTAAGCTGTGCTAGGAATAAGTTAGGAAAGGGGGGAGGATGATGAGGTTCAATTCAATGTATATATGTCTTAGGTATCTACAGAGTTAAAATGCCGTGATGAAATTTCATGTTGCAGAAAAGATCATATTGAATATACTAAAAGAAGTACACGCACGTTTATAGTATCTCAACTCTGTTCGATCAAGTCCCTCCTACTTATTCAATAGTTGCGATATATGAATTGATATCTTGTGAAATTGAAACACGGTGTATGAAGATAAAGAGGTTATCTTACTAGGTAGGTGTTACCTATGTAAACCGTAAGGATTAACAATATATCGGTATTATCAGCTCAGACCCATTTTAAGCTTCATTCCTCACCCCCACCAAAGCTGCAGCTACAATTACAACTATAACTATAACAACAACAGGTTGTAAACAAACTAGGTACCTGTTATATACGCGATGACAACAGCGTCATAGGCGTGATAATGGGTCCTTCACCAATTGGAGAAGATAATAATACAGCTGATAATAGCACCTCTTTCGATATCGTACAGCACGGCCACAAGGATCTGGTTCAGGCAATTGCTTTCAACGCATACGGCGACAGATGCGCCACCGGTAGCGTGGACGGTAAGATTCGCGTCTTCAATCGACATCAAGATGGCATCTGGCGGTTGTGCGATAATTGGAAAGCTCATCCTGGCGAGATACTAGAGGTTCGTTATTCTCATCTCTCCTCTCTCTTCTCTACGCTGCCCTACCTATCGGCGGCATTAGGTTAGGTACCTAGTCTAGCAATGTGTCTCTAACATTCCATTCAGCTTCAATGGCTACCGCCCACCATATATCCCAACTTACTAGCATCCCTCGGCATTGAGGGTCGTTTCAGACTATGGGCTGAAGACCCCTCGGCTGCCCCGGGGAGACGTTTTAGTGCTAGAGACGGGAACGGCAAGAATGTTTCTGAGTTAAGGTCTGGTCGGTATCCCTATAGGTCCTTTTCAGTCAAGCATGATGAGGTTACCCGGACTACATATGTCGCCCTTCTTGCCTCCGACGGCCATCTCACAGTATACGAGTGTGAGGAACCGGAAACCTTGACGGATTATGCAAAGCTTGATGATTTCCAGGCTTGCACAAAGCCCAATCGTGGCGAGGAAACGTGCTTTAAGGTCCTCTTTGACCCGAATCCCGAACCTTGCTATAACGCTCTTAGAGCCGGTGTGCCGGCGGATGCATTGAGTCTGGTAGTATCGGGCATGACCACGGTAAAAATATTTAGAACTCGCGACACCGTCACTAGCTCTTTCGGTGCCGCGACAAGACAAAGGCAGTTTTATCTAGCTATTGAGATCGAAGATCATAATCACTTAGTCCGAGATGTCGCCTGGGCTCCCGGGAATTATAGGGGATATGACATGATCGCTACCGCATGTCAGGATGGCTTTGTCCGGGTGTTCCGAATCGATACTCCTTTCTCGCAAGACGATGGCAAATCCTGGGCTCTGGCGGACATCCTAGGCAGCGCAAAGCCCGATGAAAAACCTGCCGCTACAAGCGGTCATCTCCGCAGAAGTTCTCAAGCTCCTTCCGGTATAAGAGCCGAGATTGACAAGTCCGGGACTCACGGAGAAAGACCATCGACCGACCTACCTGGCCAAGTTCATCACACTGCTAAGCTACTGTCTAAGCTCAGTGCCCATCGGTCCCCTGTCTGGAGAGTCGACTTTGACGATGATGGCCAGATCCTAGGGAGTGTTGGAGATGAGGGCAGGCTGGTATGCTACCGGCAACTCCCCGACGGGTCCTGGGCAAAGAGTTCGGAATTAGGCATGATGAAAGCCAAAATGACTGCCCCGCCCATCCACATGGGTTGAAAGGTTTAATATTTTCGAGACGCCTAAGCTCGATAATATGATGATACCCACCTCTCATAACAAGCGAATGTAATTAAACCGTATACATAGAATATGTCGGGTCGCGTGCTTATGAGAGGCCTTAATTCTTACGGAACCAAACAGACAAGTTAGACACAACACCTCGGCGCTCTACTCCTTTGGTGTGTGATGCAAAAAGCTATAGGTTCGCATTTGCTCATTCCAGATATCTCAAAACATAAGTACCTTTTATCAATCTACAACAAGTTACAGCACCAAGCACCTAAATTATAAATAAACCAATACACGAACCCACGACTTACCGGCAATATTAAGTATCTCTATCTCATTTGCTCATTCGCTCCGATTGCTTCAGCCGTTTAGCCTCTTCCATGCTTACAGTAGGGTCACCACCATCACACCTCAGTGGCCATGCGCAGTTCCACCTGGTCAGTCATATCAGCGGATCCTCTGGCATTGCTACCTCCCGTTCTAGTCGTGGGAATCCTGTTAATTATGATTCCATCCTCATCTGAGGAGCTGAGTTGGTGGTGCTCTCTATTACGCCTGCTTCCATGACCACGAGTGCTACCATTTAAGCAGGCCAGGTCGCAAACCAGTGTACGGAGTACGGGGATCGATGCAGCTATTATAGTGATTGCTATCTCAGCCACGCTGCGAGTTACTAGCTTAACACCGAGGTCTGGGTAGCATCCGTGGTTAGGTTAGCGTCGCTGATATGTATATTAAGTTAGGGAATTTAATAGACCATGCTTACAATTGAAATCGTCCTCTCTTATAACAGGTAGACTGTAGCTTTTGACGATTGCAGTGGCACCGGCGCTACAAGTGGTCAGCGTATATTCCGACTCTATCCTGCGTTATACTCAAGCTTCAAACAATTACTTACAACACCCCCATACTCATAGCCACAGCAACTCCAATCTTTTCTTTTAGATCCATTCGTAACCGCCTTAAGATAACCCATGGTAGGAGAGCAAGGACAAAGTCCATGAACCCTGAATACGCTAAAGAGAATTCAGTTTATATATTAATAAAGGCGCCCTGCTCCAAATTTAAATGTAACTCCCAAACGAGCCCGGATAAGATTCAGAGTAAAGGAAACGGCCTACCAGAGAAAAATATGCCAATAGGTATGACAATTTCCGGGGGCCAACACTCTCCTTTTAGCGACGGATCCCACCATTTGGCAACGGGCTGACATGAAGCCCAACTAAGAACAATACTGGAGTGCATAAATATGTTCATAGAGACGGTGAGAGTCCATATAAGAATGCATAGGCGTGGCGATGCAATGCGGAGCAAGGACACAGCAAACGAGGTCTTGCTCCACGCCGCGCTCAAGGTGCACAAGGAGCCCACGAGGACACTCCGTATGCCGAGCCCGTCCAACTCAGCCGGATCAATGTCCTTGTCGTGTCTCCCGAATCCGACGGCCACGTTTGCGCTTACTATGGCACAGGAGACTATTAGGAGGACCTGGGGAAAGTACTAAGGTGTAAGCGTCGCAAAGAACTAGCACAGTCCTAAAGACCAGGCGACAAGACTCACCCAGGACGCGATTAGGAACCAGTCATCGTACCAGAGATAGGCGTTCCACCTGCATTTACATGCCACGCGAAGGCCAAGAAAGAGTGTTGCGAGGGCGGCGAAAATCCATATGGCGTAGTTGACGTGCGGCCCGTTGTTCTGTATATCCCGCTTTAGCGATTCATCCATGGCTATGGGATTTGAATGTGAGAGAATCATGAGCATAGTATGTCAGCTCTGTTCTCATCAATCTAGGGATCTTGATTCTAATCGTCAAGGGGACTTTGAAATACGTACATCTGATATATAGGAATCGTAATCCAACGACGAGTAGAAAACCGGGGGTCTCAATTCTACCTACGTACGTTCATAGCAGATGTGTTGTGACCCATCCCGGCCGTAAAAACATCAAGCTTGCCTACCGGGCTGGATATCACCATCGTTTCCATCGAACCTAGAGCCTGAATGTAGATACCCAACGCTAATGAGGAAATTGCTCACGACAACACCACAGCGCGAACAAACATCGTAGGCCTCAACGGATCTCCTCTTCAGCTCGGTTGTCCATCACAGTAAGTGTGACAGGGAGGTTAAGGTAAACAGCCCATAATTTCGTGGGGAAATACAAGAGGACGAAGGCGACGCAACCGCCACATGATGATCGAAACTCGCTCATCATAAGGAAAACTCATACACAGACAAGTAACGATCTCGTAGAAACCCCCGACCAGTCAGGCCACGCTCCTCGCGCACGCTCAGGTGATGTCCGTCGCACGCACACACCATCACGTATAACCCTCCCAGGAGGACTTCGGACGATTTTCGAAGATGTCGGCCTGTTAATTGGAAGAGAACGGGACTCCGCAGGCGCAAACATACCTATTCTCCGTATCTGCTGCGCGTGACCGTGCTACATTAGCCCCCCTGTAAGGTATTTGGTTCAGACCGGATAAAACGGCGCGTGAGGCTTCACAAGATAGAAACCGATAAACCCTCCTTCCTCATCGGTTAAGCCGTTGGAGGTCTATACTAACATGCCTTTTTCTTCTTTTTTTCCTACACAGCTACATCGTGTTTCCGGGTGCACCAGCTAATCTGCCCAGGCACCTCGTCGATCTCTATTAAACCTGTTACCATAACTGGATAGTTAACAATATCAGAAGTACCTATTAGTAGTAGGGTCGTCGAAAACCTCAACACGGTTTCGCGTTTGTTAACGACCGCGGTGTCTTAAGCTACGTACCTACCTAGGTAGGTAGGCACCTTGTACAATATCGCCATTCATCGACAAGCTAAAACGAACAACAACATCTGCCTTTGAAACAACAAGCCTCGCCACCTAAAAGAGTTATTTACGACCTAAATTTAGCTGTCCGTTGTAGGGGTTCGCACGCTTACAATGCCGGCAACCCACGTGGATCCCCTGACGTCAAGACCCAGCATAATCGCATACATATGTCGTGATTCTAGAACAGACCGTGACCACTGACTCGGAAATTGATTAACTACACTTCTCTCTACATACGTAGCTTCTTCTAATTACTTAGGCCATGGAATAATAAGACGAGCAAGCAGACTGGAACGTCAGTTCGTCCGTCCGTCCGTCCGTCCGTCTGTCTATCTGTCTGTCTGTCTTATGTATCATCTGTATCATTCCGAGCAGGAAGTGTGTGGTGTATTAACGGCCTACGCCCTATTTCGATCGCGAAAGTCTTGATTAGTATTGTACAGTACCTCACATAAGACACTATTAAGACGTAGTATTAGCGTTAGATTTATAGACTTCCATATTATATATAGCTCCTGTCCCCCAGCTCCGCAGTACCGGTACCTAACTCTATCAAATAGCTCGGCAACCCCCCTGTGATGAGCGCGAAGTCGCTCGTCCAGCACGCCACCGCGGACGAGGACGAGGACATCGACAGCGTGCCCCCGGAAAACGATGATGGCGGGGAAGACGAGGGCCTATCGCGCACCGGAAGCGACCACGCCTCCAGCCCTAACGACGATCCCTCCTCGGATGTCTCCCACAAGAGCACATCACCTAACGACGAGATATACAAGGTCCCCGCCACAAAAAGAGCAGGTAAGAAACTCAAGCTCAAGCTCAAGCTCGAGTTCCTATTATTACCTACCCCTTCCTAGCTAGTAGACATGTATACCTGGGTATATATATTCCCAAACTTAAGTACCCAATTAACCACTTCTGTAGCCCAAGTCGCCTTCGCCATCGTAGCATGCTGGTTTGCCGCCGGCATCGTGTACGGCTTCGCATCGCTCAAGCCCATACTAATCGCGGAGGGTGTGTACGAAGACCTCTGCCCACCGGACGCTAACGACCGCCATAACAACAGCAACAGCAGCAACAACACCCGCGACGGCGACGCCGACGGCACCAGCGACAAGGTACCCTGCGCCGAGCAGGACGTGCGTCTGAACCTCTTCTTCATCGTCGCCTCCATCACGACCAACGTCTCCTCGCTCGCAGCGGGCTGGATCCTCGACCGGTACGGGCGGCGCGTGTGCTACGTGATCTCGGGCGCGGTCATGATCGCCGGGTGCGTGCTGATGGGGCTCGCCTTCCGCATCACCGCGTTCGACGCGTACCTCGTCGCCAACATCCTGCTCAGCCTCGGCGGGTCCTTCGTCTTCGTGCCCAGCTTCCAGCTCGCCAACGCGTTCCCCCGGTGCTCCGGGCTGATCGTCGCGCTCGTCACCGGCGCCTTCGACGGCTCCGCCGCCATCTTCCTCTTCTACCGCCTCGCCTGGGAGGCCTCCGGCCGCACCTTCACCCCCCCGCGCTTCTTCTTCGGGTACTCCGTCGTCGGCGTACTGCTGCTCGTCGGCGAGTTCGCGCTCATGCCGCCGCATGCGTACCGCGCGGCGCCCGCGCACGAGTCGGCGGACCTGGCGGGCGCGAGGGCGAGCGTGATCGAGCAGGTGCGCAGCGCCCGCGCTGAGAGGCGGCTGTCCAAGCTGGAGCTGAACGAGGAGCTGACGGGCGGCGACGGGGCCGAGGAGAGGCGGCAGAAGATGGCCAGCGGGATCTGGGGGGCCCTGCACGAGCTGCCGGCGCACCGGCAGATGACGACGACGTGGTTCGTGCTGCTGCTGCTGCTCACGATAGTGCAGATGCTGCGCATGAACTACTTCATCGCCACGATCCGCAACCAGTACCGGTACCTCCTCGGATCGGAGCGGCTGGCCAAGAGCGTCAACCACTTCTTCGACATAGCGCTACCTATAGGCGGCGTCTTCGCCACGCCCTTCATCGGCGTGCTGCTCAACAGTCTGAGCGTCGCAGCGGCGACCGCGGTACTAACACTGTTCACCGTGGTGGTCGGGGTGCTGAACTGCATTCCCCAGCTATGGGCCGGGTACGCGACCGTAGTAGCCTTCGTCATGTTCCGACCTCTGTATTACAGCGCGATCAGCGATTTCGCCAACAAGATCTTCGGCTTCGCGACTTTCGGCCGCATCTACGGCACCATGACTTCCATGTCGGGTCTCGTTAGCTTTGGACAATGGGGACTCGACGCGCTGGTGCACGGCCCGCTGGAAGGAAACCCGACGCCCATCAACGCCGTCATGGCAGCAGTCGGCACGATTCTTGGTGCGGCTTTAACTGCTTACATTGTCTACCACAGCCGGGCCTTCAGGAGAAAGTTAGGGCAGACCCAAGCTGCCGGGTTGGTCCAGGAACGGTTGCACCTAATTCGCGAGGAGAGGGAAGCGGAAGAAGCAACCTACGGCACTATGCATTATTGATCGTTTAATGTATCGGGACCCATCTCATTAGGTAGAATAAAAGGTTACGGTTGTAATATGTAGAAATCAGCATACGGGCAAAAGGAATGACTTAAGATTAGATATAAAAGATGCCTATATACATATAACCGAGACGCCAAAGGGTAATATAAATGTCAGAACTAGATCATGTCTTGAGTCTTTGAAAATTAGCATTAACTAGATGCAAAATACAACATAATTACCTTAGAAGGTATCCTAAGTGGTTTACTTTCCTTCCTGCATTGTATCTTTCAAAAATTTAACTGATATTTTAACCTCGTCTTGCAGGGATTGTCCGTGTGCATAAGTAAAAAGGAGAGCGCTTATAACTTTAGAGGGTATTTCTCTCTCAGTCGTGCCCCAAATTTGTAGATGATGATGGGGATAGGGATCATGGCCACGCCGACGAAGCCGAGCACGGAGCTCCCCCAGCCCACCCCCAGGTGATTGAAAAGCACAGGTCCACATAGAGGAAGAAAAGCAGCAACAACACTGCGCAAGACAGTGAATGCAGCGATCCCCGACGCAGCGTACGAAGGATAAGCGTCAATAATGTAAGCTTGGGTGGGCATGAAGACGCTGATCACACCCAATCCAAGAGGAAATAGACCTAAGACTGGCACAATCCAGTGCGTTTTTGCCTGTGCTGACCATCCATACCAGAAGAATGAGAGCGGGCATAGGAAGGAATACCAAATCATAATGGTCAAACGAAACTCTGGCTTGAATACACCTCCGTTGGCTCTGGTCAGACGCACTACCGTTTTGTCTGACAGCATTGAAAAGGCCCATAGCCCGACGATATAGCCAACGCCGATAGAGATGAAAACCAAGCCAGAGAGACCGATACCCCACCCGTAACGCGTCTCAAAAATCGGAGGAAGAGAGACATACATCAAATAGACGGATCCGTAGATGAAGGACACATATAGTGACTGTATAAAAATCATAGGTGCAAATATAAGCATTTTCAACGGCCGTAGCATACCAGTCCTTAGGATGCTCAGCTGAGATACCTTGCCCATTTCTTCAGCATCGTAACACGTCTTAAGGTCGGTCTTTTTGAGGTCTTTGCTTAAACGTTTGACCTTCCGTTGTAGGAGGACCTGGTAATTGGTCTCGGGAAGGAAAAAAGCTAAAATGAGAGTAAAGATACCAGACGGGATCAATACAATCCAAAAGGACCAACGCCACCCAATAGATCCAGCGATAAAGGCCCCTGTTAGTGGACCTACTGTTGGTCCTACGAGCGGACCTAATGCCCAGATGGAGAGAGCCATACCGCGTTTCTCGATAGGAAATAGGTCACCGATGATGGCACCTCCTAGTGTCATGCAGCCGCTACCTCCGATACCAGCTGCGAATCGGAACGCTATGAGCAGTCGGAGGTTTGGGGATAAAGCACATCCAATATGCCATAAGCAGAAAAAAGTATTAGCTGAAGTAAGCACGCCAGCACGACCAAAGATCTCAGAAAGGGGGGCCAAGAATAGGGGACCCGTGGCATAGCCCAACAGATAGATGCTGACTGGGAAGGGACCATTTGTGGGGTTGGAGTTATGGAAGTCTTTGTTGATATATTCAACAGCAGGAGCAAGGACAGACGACGACAAGGGTGACATGAAAGTAATAGCCGCCAGCGCCCAAACTATTACCCACTTTCGAGTTGCTGAAAAATTCAGGGGCATCTTTGGGTCATCTTGACTCTCCCACCCGACGATAGAATTCTCAAAATCGGAAAGTGGGAGAATAATGTTTGACATTCCATCCTCTTTTGGGGTAGATGGGCTCTCTTGTCCCTCTTCATCATCGGCTTGTGTAAAACCACCTGATATCTCTCTTGCTAGTCCACTGGTTGCGTGAACCTGTCGCATCTGATCTTTATCGAGGATAAGTCTTCCTGTAGAATAAACTGATCGTATTTGGTCCCGATCAAGGACAAAAGAGAAGCGGAGTACATCTAAAGATGAGCGTACTTGATTCTTCTGCCGCACCACGTCAGCTGGTATGTTCATATTCTTTTCGTCCGTTTTTGACGTCTGACTGCTATCGTCCGTCCCATTCTGAAGCTTTTCTGAATCTGCTTGTTTCTCATCTGGCTTCGAGTTGTTACTGCTATCGTCCGCCCCATTCCCAAGCTTTTCTGAATCTGCTTGTTCCTCATCTTGCTTCGAAGTGTGACTGCTCTTGTCTGTGTCGTTTTCTTGCTTCTCTAACGCTAGTTGCATTTCATCGTTCTGTTGGTGAGTTTCCTGCTCGTCATCAGGTTTTGAAGGAGGGCTATTATGTTCTGGCTCCTTTTCTTCTTCTTTTGGTACCTTTGTATCGGGCTCCTTCTCATCGTCAAGATTTGCAGTTGGAATATCAGTGTCCTCTGTCCCATTCTCGGTATCCTGAGCCATAGTAGCAAGAGTTGGCCTGGTATTTGTGGCGGGGAGCGAAACGAGCCAATTCAACCAGAACATTATTTTCAGCAAGGAGACGCATTGTTGCTTAAGAATTCAGTTTTGGTCTTGAGACAGACTTAAGACAAGAGATCAAAGGTAATAAGATGAGGGCCATCCAATCGACACGAGACATAAACTAGGTTATCGACCATGAGTCTAGGGCTTAAATCGAAAGCTTCTCGGAACCCCAAACTTCCCCGCAACCGAGAAATTGGGACGGCGTTTCAAGTGGTATCCATTCACGAGGTCTGATAACCCGCTCTTGCGGCAGGTATAGAATTAGTTCAGCTGTTCGAATGGAGTTAGCACACGTACAAGAACCGAAAATGGGAGCCGCTCGGCTGGGTGATGCTCTGTATTTTTCGGTAAGGAAGTCAATTATAAATTCGGGAGGTCTAATGTAGTACTCCAAGGCTCCAAAAGGTTGGGATAAAGTTTGTTGTTGAGTGTTGAATCTAGAGATCAGCTGTATAACTTGAGATGCTGGCTTACAAACAAACTCACTCACACATGTCACTGCAGAAAATTTTGCGATTGATAAAGAAAGCGGAATTTATAAGCCATCAAATTGATATGATATGACGAACTGCATCTGCTGAGAAGTAGTGATGCATACCATTCCGAGGTTCGACAATTGTTGATTAATTGATCCTCATAATCATTTTGAAAGAGAGGAAGAGACAATAGGGGGGAAGGTTGTATAAGGGCAAACTAAGGCTATACTAGATAGGTTCTATGCAGGAGAAGGTGAACAAACAAGATTCCATAGGCTTAGGTCGATCTCATGCGTAAACCCAATGATGAGGTCTGATTTTGTGAACCTAATCTTTACTTGACAACTTTATCCAATAATTGGGTGTGAAGAAAAAAAAAGTTAGAAACCATCCGCCCCGCGGTGGTAGCAAACTACCTGTAGGCAGATCTAAGACCCACAAATGAAGCTTTCTTAAACTCTTTGCACAATTGCGTGATTGGCAATTATTTAAATCGGCAAGACCCATGGGCCATGTGCGTTTCAGTACATCTGTTGTACTGTACAATACGTACCGTAGCAATTAGCGTGTACATACCTGTATGTAGGTACCTAACCTACCTAAGGTAATGTGGCTTCTTTTTTTATTTCAATACGCCGAAGTTTAACATCAGGCTAGCCTGCTTAAGCTATTCTTATCGTCCAGCTTTATCTATTATTCATGAACACCACACCACCATTTGAGGCCACGACGCACCTTCTACCACCATCCGACTTTTAACGCCATAACCCAAAGGTCGGACAATGGGGCTCTTCTTGCCGATTCCCTGAAGAAGAAAAAAAAAAAAAAAAAAAAAAGGAAAAACTTGAACTTAGCATAACAGGTATACCTAACGTGATGTAATGTCTAAGTCGCAAAGATGCCGACTACCGCGCAATCCTCCCATCTCTCAAACACCGAAACCCTATACCTTTCTGGCCTCTCATTCGTTTGCGTCGCTGTCCTAATACGAGCATTCGAAGGAGATGGGGAGCCTCTTGTCGCCTCTCTAGCCCTAAGCGGTATTGCGTTCGCTGCTTCATATGCCATGATACGATGGCTCGGCCCTACGTTCATTAAAGCTGGTTTGAAAGGTCGCGATCTTTCCAAGGTGAACAACAACAATTATATCCCGGAATGTATGGGTGGCATATGCGCTGTGGTGTACCTATTGATCATCATTGTCTTCATACCTTTCCCATTCTACAAGGACATTGTGGTCGCTACTAGTGGTGGTGGAAACCGTGATGTGGTGATGAATGTCGAGTTTGTCCAGAAGGGAAGACTGCTTCACAAGTTTCCTCATAGCAAGGTACGAGTTATTCTCCAGAAAGTTAAGAAAGCTTAGAAACCCGGTTAATCTAACACAATTCCTATCACTACACAGCTGGCCTCCTATCTCTCTGCCATCATCTCTCTCCAGTCCATCACTCTTCTTGGAATTGGCGACGACCTGTTCGATATCCGCTGGCGGCATAAATTCTTCATCCCTGCCTTTGCCTCTATCCCCCTTCTCGTTATCTACTTTATTGACTTCGGCGTCACTTCGATTGTGCTCCCTACCTTTCTCCAACCTTACGTCGGCCGAGAGTTGTTCGACCTCGGGATTCTCTACTACGGATACATGTCAGCCTTTTCCATCTTCAGCCCCAATAGTATCAATATTCTCGCGGGAATCAATGGAATCGAGGTCAGCCAGAGCATTGTAATTGCGCTGCTTCTCGCATTCAATGATGCGCTCTATCTGCTCACCCCATATCCCCACCCAGCTACCGACTCACACTTGTTCTCCCTCTACTTCCTCTTACCCTTTCTGGGCGTGAGTTTCGCGCTGCTGATCCATAATTGGTATCCTGCCCGCGTCTTCTGCGGAGATACATACTGTTACTTCGCCGGCATGGTATTTGTGGTAGTTAGCATCCTGGGCCACTTTTCAAAGACCCTGATTCTGTTGCTGGTACCCCAAATCTTCAATTTTGTCTACAGCATGCCTCAACTGTTCGGGTTAGTCCCATGCCCGCGTCACCGCCTGCCTCACTTCAATGCGCGAACTGGTCAACTTGAACCAAGTGTGACCAAGTGGGAGAAAGACAAGCAGCCTCGTCCCGTCATCGCAATGGCCCTGCGATTATTATCGCAGCTCAGGTTATTACGCCTCAAGGAGGATGAACAGGGTCTAATTGAGGAGACGAGTAATCTGACGATTCTGAATCTCTGGCTAGTCTGGCGAGGCCCTATGCGTGAGGACAGGCTCGCCAAGGAAATAACGGCCCTGCAAGCAGTCCTAGGTCTGTTCGGCCTTTTCGTCAGACATAAACTGGCCCTCCTCATCTTTAGAGAGGATAATCTAAACATAAGAAGTGCTGTTTAGCCAGTAGTTTGGCCAGATTAACTTCTATAGATACCCATTGCAAATCGTCGTACAAAAGAAAAAAGAATCCTAAGTAGACCATGTATATAGAACCTCATGCGAGATCTGGTAGTAATCAGATCGTTGATTTCCATGGCAAATCCCACATTCCTAAATGTGTAACCATGACCCTATCTGTAGAAACCGAACTAAGCTAAACTCGAATATCATTTTACCCTGTTGAGACTTGCAATACAAGCCAGACAAGGGGCCGAAATCTCATACGTCGTCATAACCAAGGCTAAAAGCCAGAGTCCTAGCAGGACCCCGGCCAAAGGATCATCCCGACCTACATGTATTTATACATATAGGTAGGTAAATAGGTACTTTAGATTACCATGTTACAATTCGATGCTTGGGTGCTACGTGATAATGCCGAGTTGTACCCCCAAGCCAAAGAAAGACATGCCTTAGGTACCTCCTACGAAGTCTTGTCTCAGCTACATGTCTCACCTTAATAACAAGAGCTATATACTAGGTACCTCGGATAGGTAACGTCGCAATGGCAAGTTCTGGCCAAACGTAAGAGAGAAAAAACATAGTCAGGTACATGTTATTAGGTACCTGTTGTCTATACAATACGTACCTCCCAACATATACTCGAAGGAATATCTTACATCATCCGCGGATCGAAGACGAGGAAGACGATTGGTTTGGAAGGGAAATAGCATACCGGATTTACAAGTATGCTCATATTAATTGAAATAAGTAAAGTACCATATACCTAACGAGGTACCTAGGTTAGGTACTGGGTAAATACAAATTACGACGCCACGTTATTACCACGCGTTGAACATGAATATGACGTCCCCTATCTCATGTATAATACATACATATATGTGGTTGGTAGACCCAATTATGGATATGGATTAGAAAGACAAGAAGCGTCTTCTCCTACTGATCATTTCATGCCTTCTCATCAATCATCTATTCATCCAGGTATAAACGGCGTTCCAGCATAAAAATGCATATGCGAAGCAGTCCATATCATACCACCATCATCCAATCCATATTTCCATCACTGTACATTAAGAGAGACTAGACGAACCAATGAAAGGAGATGCGATCACCCACCAAGAAAAAAAAAGAAAAGAAAAGAAACGAAAAAAGAACAATGCAATGCAATGCATGCAAACACGAAGGAGGTTCAAGGGGTTGGACAAAGCGTAACGCAATTCTTTCATAAATTCCAACCAGCTCAAAGTGATATCCCGTAAATGGGATATACATGCTGAGCTAGACCAGTCTCACATTAATTGTGAAGCTGTAGGTATCACCCTTCCTACTCTCTGCCACCGACTTCTCGACTTTAAGTAGTAGTAGTACATATAGGTAGACATACGAATCTCTACGCCTTTTGGACTCCAACCCTTCCCAGTCCTCATGACTACTTGCTGCCTTGGAGCTGCATTACCCTGCTGTCAGCACTACTTGAACAGCCAGGAGGGCCAACTCATCAACGTTCAGTCCTGCTCATATGAGGTCCCGTCAAACCAAGCCGCGAAGCCCCTTGAGCCGTAACGCGTTAAGAATTCGATTCGTAGAGAATCTAACGATAAAGAAAACAAAACTGATATCTTTTAGGAAGACCTTCATGCCAATGCCCCATTGTGGACCACACCATAACCCCGTGTAAACCCGCCCCAACGCCTGACACAGAAAATGATGTTACCCGTTTGACGTGTCCACCACTTCAATCCCCGATGTCCTATACGGAGACTGAGGTTCAAACATAATCACAACATGCGTCTCGTGAGGGTGTTGTCCAGCATCTGGAATGTCCTTTTGTATATTACAAGTATGCTCAATTCAGCATACATCTACTAGCTGATGTGATCATTCGACGCTCTTGTCAGTAACAGGCGTCTCTAGAACAGCAACATCTGAGCTAGTTGGCGATTTAGCCTCCTCCAACACCGTACTTGGTGGCTTTAAAGAGGCACCAACTGGCTTTGCTGCTGCTGCCTTGTTCATCCTGCTTTTTGTGTAATCGCTCAAACTAAGCTTCTTCTTAACCGGACTGGGGTGGACAACAACACCGTGAACTGACGCCGGTGGGAATGGACTAGGTAAATTATTACCAGAAAATGGTGACTGAGTCGGGGGCCCAGACGCTGACAGCGGAATTGTAACATTAGGAGCTATCGTACTGTTAAACATGGGAACAGGTGGCATTTGAACCCGTAGTTCAGGCGACTTGTTTTTTATCGGCTTGAGTACTGCTGCAGTTACAACGGCGGAATTTTTCACGTCTGTCGGCGATACTGGTGCATCCTCCATTGGTATGTCAGTAGACGAATCCACCCGAGGTGGTGTTGGCTTGTCAAGCTTTTTTACTTCGGGTACTTCAGGGACAGCTGTTGTCAAATTGTGCTCTGCTGCTGGAGAATTCAAGTTCATCTTGACAATCGCGGACGTTACGGAAACAGGAGAAGCAGACTGGGTCTTTCTTTTTCGTTCCTCATCCGCCCGTAGGCGATGTCGAGATTCTAGTAAACGCTTTGACAAGGACACAACTCTTCTCTTCGGCTTGGGGGTTTGGCCATCACCACTGAACCATTCACCATCAACCGGATCTGTTTGTACGGAAGCGTCGCGATATTCAGGGCGGATTCCCTGCAAGGAATGCCGGGCAGTGGTTCGCGTAGAAAGATGGCGCGAATCGTCGTGTTTGAAATGGCTAATGGTGTTGGGTGATACTCCGCTGGATGGGGAGCCAGATATGCTCCTAGAAGTACCTGCATCAACATAGCAGCGTTCTGAAACCCCATATAGAGGACCTCCGGGATGACTGAACGAACCTCTTGGTTTGGGCTTCGTGCTAGAATTGCCAGAACCATCCGAAGTTCGCTTCTTCTTCCGGGGAGGCTGTTGTTGCTGCTCCATCCGGCGGAATGAATCCTCAACCATTTGAACTTTTCGCTTGTCTCTGTCAGTGAGCTCTGTCAATACACCTAGCGTATCGAAGGAACCTTGCCGTGGTGCTGGTGTCATATCTCGGCTAGGAGGTTTACTACGGGAAGAGCCGGAATCGTTATCTACACCATCGTCACCGTGACCCTCACTAGGGGCCCGGCTATTAGTTGAATGACCGGTGCTTGTTGGAGAAATGGCGTTTGTTTTGGTCTTTCGGGACTTCTTTTTCGTGCCTTTGGTTTCTTTTGATTGCTGTTGTGGCTTGAATATATATGTTCGATGAAATCGAGCGAACGCGCAATCGGCCCCTAAATCGCATGCACAACCACCGTATTCTGACAGTACAGCATGAACCCAGGAAGCAATACTCTGGTACGTCTCGATCTCTGTTTCGTCGTACTCTGGTTGCGCACCTGCTTCCTCATCTCCAAGACCAAGTAATTGTTCCCATCTCTTTGCTACATCCTTCTGAAGGTTGAACTCCCATGGGATTGTGACCTGTTCACCAGGCAATATCCGTCGATCGCTAACCAGCCAGAAGTGATACTCGGAGCCATCTGATAAGTAAGTATCAAGCACCGCATTTGGCTTACAACTTCGGCGCACGTAACGTGCAAATGAGCCTTCTTTTCGAGTATCAATGTAAATAGGAAGTAAGGGATGAAAGAAAACAAATGGGAGTGGCGTGCTTAACTCCTGCCATCTATTTTCGGGGTCCTGGCAGTATTCCTTTTGTATCCCAATTTGTCCGTTCAATTCCATCAAAGGCACATCCTTCTCGATTGTTTCGGACATCCTAAGATGTTGCCACTGTACGACGGTATCCGGTCCAACTGACAACTTTCTAGATTCGACCCGGGGCGCTATTTGGAGAGATTCAATATTGGGCGGTAAGGGTCGGAAGACATCGTCAAATTGACATCCTGTCTCCACCCTTAATTTTTCGTGATCTCGAGGCCATGAAGATAGCACGTTCGATATCAAGAGACTTGCAAACGAATTTGTCCGAACAATAAGCACGTCGCGATCGTCTTTATACAGGTTTAAGAAGGCGTTCGAATATTGTGCTTCAAGTTCGTGGGGAAAATCTGGAGGCGTTGTGACAGGACTAGGCGGATGACCGTGGGGATTCCCAGTCTTTTGCACGTACGAAGGGCTACGTTTCGGATTTTGCAAGCTGATTGATTGAGTGGACCTGTGTGTGCTTTTTGACTTTTTGTGTTGATGAATGGGAGGGTGGTCCTGAGGATATTTAGAATGGAGATCGAGATTAATTTGGCCACTTGACCCAGGGTCTGTTGGTTTGGTTTTCTTTTTTGTAGTTTTTGTCGGTGGTCGTTTGACTTTTCGCTCCGATGCTTCCGCTGTATTTGGCTTGCTCCGTCGCAGTCGCTGTCTCTCGTAGGCCCCTTGGCGGTCAAGAGGTCTGGGTTTGCATTCAACACAAGAGTGGGCAAAATCTTCCCGCAAGGCCTCGTCGATATTAAGGGGGTAGTAGCATTCGATATGCTGCCAGGTATCACATGTTTCGCAATAGATTGTGTTCCCGTCATCGTCAGTGAAGTTGCAGATACACTTGATCGTGTATGGCTCTTCTTCGATCGCTCCCTGGACCTTGTTCGAGACATAGCTTGTCAAGGTAGGGGTGGATTTGGGGCTAAGAACGGCCGTCTGACTCGGGGTCACTGATTGCGTAGGCAATGATGAGGTCCTGTCTGTCATAATCTAACATGCACCCCACGAGGTGATTGTCGGCGAAGTGTACGTAGGGAATTAGAGATTTATCGTAGAAGCCCGGATGGCATGACGGCGAATCCGGGTCCGATGTGGATGTGTTCGACTTCTAGGGACTCGAATGTTCGGAGATGATTTGCAAGGAAATCATACGCCGGTGTCGAAGAGATATAGATCAGTGCGCGGCGCGTTGTGGGGATTTATTGATGTTGTTGTTGCCGTTCCGTGGTAGATCTGACAAGTCCAGACTCGAAAAATAGGCGCAGATGAGCAGACAAAGAAGAAACCCGGAAACAAAAGAAAACTCGACGTATTGACGTAGGGTGGACGAGAAGACCCGGATCGTCTGATCGTAGATACTCAGGAAAGAGTCCTATCTAGACAGCGTGCGTTGAATAAAATGTGCAGAATAGAATTTCGAGAAAGTGGTCGCGAAAGAAGACGTGGCGACAGGAAATGATAATTTCGAGCTTTTCCGTTGTCTTTGGCTTGGAAAGAATGCGCCTCAAGAATGAGTGGAATTGGAACGGATCGGAGGTGAATGTCGAGTTCGGAATTAAGTTTAAGTTTGGGAGTATATTGAAAGAGTCGACGTTTGGGGACCAGGGGAATGTAACTCGTGTCTGACTTGTTCGACAAGATTGAAGATGAGGGACAGAAAGAGAATTGAGGAGTACGAGAAGGGAGAAGGCAGAATAGGCAGAGACAGGGTGGGAAAGAGAGTAGAATGCGCACCAAGCAAAGAGAGTGATTACCTTAGCTGGTAGGCCGATGTACCTACCTCCTACCTACCTCCTACCTAACCTACAGGTACCTACCCTACTTGCCTATTACCTGCTACCTGCTACTTGCTACCTACTATGGACTGACCTGCCCTACAAGATTGGAGAGGTAGCGCGAAGCGTTGCAGGGCACTTGCAGCTTCCACCGACAATTTTGAGTAGTGGTGCGTGCACCGGTACCAATTGGCGCAGGAGCGAAAATGGGAAAATTAGTGCCTTGAAAAAGGCCAGTAAAAAAAGAGTAGTACATACTAATGTACTTGTACTTTAGCGCTGTAGTGCCCCATCGCGCTCTTGTGTGGCTGCTGCTCACAGAACGGGTTATGCGGGGCCACTTTTTCTCTTTTTGCAAGATTGAATTTTTGGTGCTGGAACTACCCAGAAAAGAAGCCCCGTTGAAACTCACTTGGGTCAGCCATCACAATGGTGAGAACTGCGGTACTTTGTAACCTATAAAACCGGGGAGGTATTGGGAAAAAAAGGAGAATACCTCCTAAAGAGCGGAGGCAAGAAGAGAATCAAATAGAAAGCGTTGAGACAGACACACCAACATGCAATGCTTGTGTACATTGGGTGAGTGAACTGTCCTTAAAGAAAAGAATAATAATAAAGATAACGATAAGAGATAGGTATGGGCTATTTTAATATCAAGTAAAAATTTGCGCTTAGCTGCAAAAAGCAAAGCTTAGAGAAGAAGGAAAGGATTGAGGGAGATGAGAGAGTGCACAAGAGCAACAGAAGCTGAAGCTGGGCTGGGGGGGGAAGAGAGGGAAGCAACTCACCTTGCCAGCCTGCACTGCATTGCGTATTGGGCAATCCTCGAGACAGAGACTAATCTGAAAGAGGCATAGTACCACAGCGCACAATTTAAGACCAATCAAAACAGCCGCTTATGCCTGTACTTACTGCAACCTTTTCTAGCCAGGCACTCCGAGGCCTCAAAGAAATGGACTCCGGCTTCCCATCACCGCAGCCCCGGGTGAAAATAGCGTGTAAAGGAAAGGGACCTTCATTTTTGGTAGTGAGTTGATCAAAGTCGGGTTCAATGCTCGACAAGTAATTTCTGAATTTCATATCAGAAACGACCATTCGATTCCCAAACCCATTTTCGAAATGATTTATTCTAAATGAGCAAGAATATTTCCGGCATGATCTAGAACAAATCAATATGACGATAGTAGAATACGTAAAGTGTAAGGAGTTGGGGGGGAAAAAAGGAAATCCACCTCGGTCGTAGATAGAGTGATTGATGGAAAGGGTCACAGATGGACAGCACGCATGGCAGTGGATGATATGTGTTCGCAGGTACAACGCCAGAACGCCTGCAATAAGAGGGGAAAGGAATTTATGTCATGACAAAAGAGTCAGCGGAGGAAGCTTTGTCTTGAGAAAATTCGGGTCTAGGCTATCCCTGACACAGTGCGTAGCAAGGGGGTAGGATAGGTAGCGAATGTAGCAAGGGGGTTTAAAAAAGATATATGTACGAAGTACCTGGTAGCCAATTGTTAGCCACGATGTAACCGGTTTTGATGGTCAACAGGTACTAACCTAGCCGAAACTTGGAAATGGGCTACCTACTATGGTAGGAAAGGGCGGGGTTTCCAAACCGTGCGTTACGAAACGGTTGAAAGCTCAGTGATACGGTTATAAATAAGATAACGGATAGGTACGGTTACTTCCAGGTACCTAAGTTGAGCCCCGACCGTAAAAAAAGAAGAACACAAAGTTTTCAACTTGGAACACGTACGCGTAGGCCGAACATGTGAAATCATATCCCGTCATCCTTATGTCGTCGACTTACCTCTATCAACATCAACTAGCATCATGTTGCCTGTCTTTCACCAATTGAGTATCACGAATATCACGAAGGTTCATCTCTTATCTGCGCACGTACTTGCATAACCTACTGCGCCAGGTCTGTAACATGCAAAAGAGATCTAGCCGGCATGAGATAAAATGATGCTCTTGTGAAAGCGGGGGAAAGACTCCGGGTACCTATGTTACTTTGCTGCCATACGTATCCCACTGGCATCTAATTGGGCTGTTTGCCAGGAAAGGAGAGTTCCCTAAAGCCCAAGGCCTAAGAACTAAGCATTCCGTTTCGCTGTTTTGACCCGGACTTGCGGCATTCTTCCTGTAAGATGGTCGTGTGATAAGCTCTGAAATCTCCCGTGATTCGTGGGTTAGGCCGGCTGAGCCTCGCTTGAGAGGCGTTGTTGCTTGTAGATACTATGATACATATGATACATATAGCTGCTTTGGGTACATTATTGACCGCCAGATTGCCGTCTCTCTCCCATTTACCATTCATCTGTTTGCGTGCGAGAGACGAAGTTGTTTGGCTGCACTATGGTATATTAATCGATACGGTAGCATGCGTTGAGCGTCTCGGCCAAGATCCGACGCTTGGCCTAGACGGTCTCTCGATGGCCCATCATCGGTTGCATCCCGGTTTATAAATGCATGACATCGTGGCTATGCTTGCAAGTATGATCTTGCATACCCAATCATCAGTCGGTGCATAAATCTTATCAATAGATTTGAACCCCCTCAGATACTTGACAATGCTCATTCTTCTGACTGCAGAATCAGGCAGAAGTAGGTACACCTTCACAACCAAGCCTTTCAGATCCAGACTGGCGGTGGTAGCACGACTTCGCAATTCCGATGGCAAATACAGCGTATCAGAAAACATATAAGCCAGGTAGAACCTTGACACACCTACGCACACCGCAGGGAGTGATAGGTATCTTGATGCAAGTACTACGTGAATTACCTGGGTATCGATGGTCTTGTCATACGTCTGACTTATACGTCTCGGAATCATGAAGCTTACCTTACTGGCCTCTGGGTCCTACCTAAGTTTCTTCTCATTCCTATCCACAGGTCCAGTCAACTTTCCAACCATATTTCTATCAAACACAAGAGTAGAAACACACGATCCCTCTGTCCTTGCTGGTCTCAAATGAACGAGAAAGCTTAAGACTTTAATATGCTATATAACACAGCATCTAAGCTACCTGGTTACTGAATATCAAATCGACCTTTCAAGTCTTAGGATACAATATAATCGAAGACTACCTATCTATTGTCGTTTTTTTTTTCAACATACCTATGCATGTTAGAACTATCTGGTGTAACGCGGGGGACTCGATGAACTTTCGCGACTCGTTCCTCTTATTCCCATAAGTATGCAATCTTGTCGACGTAGCTATTCCATAATTTTAATACAGGCCATTGTTACTGTCCCGACTGGACCCTAATTAGAAGTCACACTCTAACAATATGGATCCTAGTCAAAGTATTCACTTAGGAATGTAGCGCTATTTAAACCGAGACAGGCGAGATGACCGAAACTTGTCAGTTGAGGACGGACATGATTGAGATTCCTTGGTGCTGAAAATAATCGAAAACGATATGAAAACATAGTACGTTTTAGCCACGTTGCTGTCCAAACCAGATATGGAAGTGTCTTCCTAGAAACTAGTAATACCATATCAGCAAGACAGATCGTTTTTAGTTCTTCGTTTCCGGGTTTGGGTCAGTTTCAGGGTCGCCAGTTTTGCGCCTAGGCGTCAAGACCTAGACTGTTTTCTTCATAGCACCGCGTAAAGCGACGACAATAATGAAAACATATGCAAGACAACAAAAATTACGGGAACTACGATCCACGAAGGATAATAGAAGAGGGTCAACTCCGCGATGTGCAATGCAGGTTTCCCCCCTTAAGAGTCCTTATTCTTGAGCAAGGACTCTTCTCCCAAGGTAAGTATGAAGAAGAAAAGAAGAAAATTTTAATTAAGGTGAGAAAGAGAGAAGAGCCTTTTGTATGCGACAGTGGATCCGCTTGGACGGGCTGGTAATTGCGACCTCGGCACCAGACTGCCCGATTCTGAATACAAGACCCACTGTTATTATACCCTTTATTACTTAGTTTCATTAAGCTGATTCAAATCTTGAAGCTAACCTAAAGTACCTACCTTAGGTAATTACGTCGATCTCAGATATGTACATGTACCTAACACACACCTTTACAAGCAACCTCGAAGGACCTTCGTCATAACGTTTGAGCCTCCAACCTCCAACCTCAATACTGTATAACTGTAGGTTTATTAACATTAAATACCTAGGTACCTAGCGCATTAAAGCTTTGAAGTCTCTACATCCTAAGCCAAGTAATCAGAAGTTCTTAGACTCTTGTATCTAACGAACCTCGCGACCGCTATGAGTAGTACCGTGTCGACGACCCGGCTTAAGTAGCGGTAACAATCCCGACTTCGAAGAATCCTCAGGTGATGCTGCTGGTTGTCGATCTTGGAACTCTTCGGGCAATGGCTCTACCCTGGGAAGAGTTCCCCAGCTTTCGTTCTTGATTATATCCGCAGCCTGTTCCATCGGCATCAGTATACAATCTTACATCACATACGAAAACGGGGTAGAGAAATACCTTCTCGCCAATGGCGTATATTGTAGCCTGGATGTGGGCGCCTGGTACCAATGGTATAACACCGGCATCTACGATTCTTAGGTTCCTCGTACCATATACCCTAAGCGATGGATCTACTACTCCGCCATATGCTAGTGGTAGCATAGACGTCGTACCGCTTAGGTGGAATCCAGTCGTAATCTTCTACCGCACCGTCTCATCGAGTGCCGTCTTGTTTCGCGCTTCTTCGGCACTAAAGCCTGGTGGCGGCCTTGGTTTCAGCGCTGCCATCGGCGGCGTTTGGATGAGGCGATTGTTGAATTCAACACCGAGGAGTAATAACTCACAATCGACGGGATGCGAACAGAACCGTGGGTCGATGATAGGCTGAGAATTTTCGAACATGGATGAAGAATTCGCCAGGACTGTGCCACGCGAGAACGGCTGCATGGCACTGATTGCCAACTGGCCCCAGGATGTCGACATTACCTCGTAAGCTGGGGTGTCGGTTCGCGCAAGGAGGGATAGTAGCTCGGCTTGTTGCGCGGCATATCCTTCGCGAAGGGCCGCGTCGTACGAAGAGGGCAGCGTGCAGTTTGCGTCGGCCGCGTCATCTAATACTTCTTGAACACGATCCGTTATCCAACTTAAAGCAGGAAGGGCAATAGCGTTCACCATAGGTGCTGTCCAAGGTCCTATTGCGTGTAAGCCTTTTTCTAACGAAGATACTTCTGATGAAGCGACGAACCTGTGCGGTTGACCAGGTATTCCTCCCGAACACCATCGCGTGTACTTCCTACAATGTCCCACGCCGAAAACACATCGGGTGAGGCGTCTTCTGAATAGTTAATAAACGACCTAAAATGCCAGAAGCCGGCAGCACTCACAGTCGTAAACAGGCTCCAGGGTAGGATGATCCTGCAAGTTACTTCCTACCCCTGGTAAATCAATGGCTACGTCGACTCCGAGGCTTCTTAGAAGCTTTGCTGGTCCAATACCGGATATCTGCAGCAATACTGGAGAGAAGATAGAGCCGGCAGCAAGAATTACCTCCTTCTTACACGTGGCCGTGATTGTATCGACCGTCTCGTTGGTAGCAAACTGCAATATCACCATATGATTAGTAAAGACACTACGATCGATATGGATATAAATTTGGGCGCTAATGAAGATACTCACCTCAACACCAGTTATATTTAAGCTGGGCACACTAGGAACGTAAGTTGAACTCGAAGGCTTTCCGCCACCTTTGTCATATAGAATATGGGTAACGGTGTGGCCAGTGATCAGGTGTAGGTTTGGACGTTCCAACGCAGAATCGAGGTACGCAGTGCGAGCATCAGAACGAGATTGGTTTTTTGCCGACATACTACTAGGGACCATGCAGGCACCCGTAGCATTCCCGCTATTTGGGTCTTCGTTGAGGGGTATCCCGAGTTTTTGGATACCGTTAAGGAAGTTGTCTGCCTTTTCACTTAGTACAAGGAATCGATAGAGCACGGCATAACCTACGAGATTGGTTATAGAAATAGTTTGGATAGCCCACTTCGACCGGTCCATGGTGGCCGTGTTCGCTAATAACTGAACGGGCGGTCATGGAGGCGTCTTGTATTGATTTATTGCTGATTGGTTTAGAGTAATTCTCAGACTACATATGTCACCCGTCAATTCACCTGGTTCAAGTTGGGAGGAAAGTGAGCAGATTAGAGAACATAATAACTCACTTTTCGAAAGTATGGCAAAAGGCCCATCCATCCCCAACCAGGATTACCAAGATGCTCCCATGCGTCGAAGTCTGCTACCGAGCCCCTTGTCCAGACGAGGCCATTGACTATCGTGCTACCGCCCACGGCTTTTCCCTGGGTGAAGACTCGGGTCTCCCCATCAAGAAACTCCTGTGGCGCCATTTCTAACTTCACTTCATACCTACGCGGATCTTCGAGCCCAATGTTCCCGGGTATTGAAATATCTTCGGCGCGATCATCACTAAAGCGAGTGGTTAGTCCAAGGGAGAGGAAAAGAGGGTTAAAGAATGCGTCTAGCAGCCTCAATCGAGACTTGGCAACTTACAGATCTCCAGACTCAATTACTAGTACAGATACTATCGCGACGTTAGTTCTATGGCTATTCGCAACCTGGACTGAATGGTTTGAGGGACTCACCCGACGCGTCCTCCGAGAGACGGTTAGCAACGACGAGCCCACCTATCCCTGCGCCGACGATGATGTAGTCGTAGCTATCTAGGAGAGGCAGTGAGCCATTTTCATTTGGAAGGATGCGTACACCGAACCCGAAGGAAAGCAAGAAGCTGCATGCAAAAGCAAGGGTGTTGGTCGACAGCATTGTTAAGAATTTGTCGGGGAACGAATTTTGCAAGCAAAGAGGTGTCGTAAAATCAGACAGGAAGTCGAAATGGGGTTTTCTTTCCCTTTTTTTTTTGGCCGTCGGGACGCGAAATAGTGTTTTCTGACTGTATGGTAGATTGGACCCTCGTTGGCGGTGTTGGAGGTTTGATAAACAAACACGCGAACGGGTACATGGACCATGGCAACCGGGCTGAATCATGGACTTGATTTTTATTTTATCTACCACTTTGAAATTATCAACACTGTCTTTACCTATTAGATGGATGTCAAGCATGCGCAATCAATTATTCTTCATGTTCCCTAAGCTTACCCCTTTTCGAAGAGATTAGGGGCATGTCATGGCTTCTCTATACAATATTTAAACCCGAACATTGAAGAGCAATTTTGTTCTACAGAGGATATATAACGTATAGCATAGGTATTGTCAGGAATAAGGTAAAGCATTAAAGCACTTGGTGATAACTGAGCAGGTACTTCGAACTAAGGATATACCTGTTTTGTTAATTCCTATTCCATCTAGTATCTGTAAGATTTAGGTGCACCGTAGGAGGTTCAACAGTGGAATATCTAGTTGCATTGCTATAATTTATATTGATATCAACTTCTATGTGAAGATAATGTTATTGCATATGACTTTTTCCTAATATTTCTTCCTATTACCTATGTCACTAAAAACTGGTTATGTTTATACACTTTCATACCATCGGCTACCTAACTTTGGCGCAGCATCCTTATCCTTTTTTTGCGAGCCATGCTCTTATCATCATAGGAAACAGATACAGATATAAAAATACTCTTAGGCTCTAAACGAGGCCTATAACCATTGCATGAAATGGCCACGGCTGTTATTCATCTGGTACTGATATTACACACCGGCACTCGGTTGGGAGAGATGCAACTGCGGAAGCGGGTTTTAAATTGTGAGAGTGGTATTGCTTCTCACTTAGCCGCTCAACCATGGTATGGAATGGATGGAGAATAATCCATTTAAGAGGAGAGAGAAAATGCCGGGCAAGATCTTATCCGATTATTGGTGATACCTAGGTACGAATTGTCATTAAATCCGGGGTAAGGATGCGGTGTTACGGGCGGCGAGAACTGAGCCATTTCTTTTAGTAGCGGTAATTGCATAAAAATGACACTATCCAGAGGGAGGCCTCTCACTCGGTGGAAAGACCTTTTGAATGACGAGAGAACAAGACAAGAAAGGAAACCCGATGAATGTCACTTGCAAGAAAAAAAAAAAAAAAAAAAAACTTCACTTTGATGTTGCAATTGGCAGGGTCCAGATTTAGTGCAAGGCACGATTCGAAAGGAGGTTTGGAGTACCTAGGTAGAAGTGCCCAGTAACAGGGGTGATCGGGCAGTCGGGTCGGGGCAAGCACTTTACTTAGGGTCAGCCGATAACGGTCAAGTAACCGGAAGCTACAGATTTTAATGCTTCCTTCTAAATCTAGCGTAAAGTACCTAAGTACGCGCCTTATCGGACTGTTATCGTAAGCCGTACACATCTCTGAATAACTTTAACTTGAGTCACTGGAATTTAAATTTATTATAAGTTCGTTCATGTCTCTTCCCTTTTTTTATTATTAATTCATGTCCCTTCCCTCTCTGGATTCCCCGAGTGGAGAGACTTGATATGTGGTGGTAGCGTTTGTCCTTCGTTGAATTTTCGAAGGTTCAAAATGCTCTGCGCGCTATCACAATGCGACTCATGGCCTGGAAGAGGGCAATTTCAAACTTGAATGTGAGTGATGATATCGCCATGTTGCCATTCTGCGTGTGTTCTGCTGTTCGCTTCGAAAAGGACCAAATGAATCGCAATCTCTTATTATATTAATTAAAAAAGAAAAAAAGAAAAAAAGAAAAAAAGTCATCACCTTCATATACCAAGAATATCTGGCTAATTGTAAAATAGACGCCGTCAACCACGGTCCTTAGTAGGATCAATGGCTCATATCCGTTGTCGTTGCGCTCTACGCTGAGCACGCCCCCAAATTTCTGTGGGCGCTCGATAACATTTACTTCTCCATATACTTCATTTTCAAAATCGGAAAAACAGAAGAAAAGCCTCGACAGGGTATTGAATCTCTCCACTTATAAACCTTTGAAATTATTTTGACTCTATGATAGGACTTCTTCGTATCAGTCCTCGAGACTTCAGTAACCAAACGCGATGCTAAAGCATATATAAATAGATTTGTGCCCCTGTTAGAAAAGAAAGGGGCGACGGGTTTCAGGCAACGTGCAGCTCTGAATCCGCCAGCAAATAACCCAGACGTCATCAAAGACATCAAAGACGCACCTAATATTGAGACCATCCCTGCGCAAACGAATTTTATTCACGCACCCAAACCTGAACCGGACTTTCCAATTCAGGTGCCTCCACATGTTGCGTTGGTTAAATTCCGCGCTCCTCAAGAAGTCAGCGATGCTACTTTAGATGGTGTAGGGAAGACTCTAAGTCAGCTGCGGAAGCTTGGATTAATCAGTATCATCGTGGTTGAAACCGGTATTGCTGGAGAGGATGAGGCCCGTCGACGACAAACGGCTACTGTACAAGCTAATCGCATCGCCACGGCGATAGACAACTACGATGCACCTGGAGCGCGGGTTATCGATTCGCCACTTACCATCGAAACGTTACCGGAGGATGATTCTTCTCCGTTTACTTCGCGCGGCCTCTTTGTTGGTAATGCTCACTATCTGATGGCTGCGTTACAGGAGGAGGTGATCCCCGTTATCTCCTCTTTCGGGTACACAGCCGATGACTGTGCCGTTAAGCCTGTTAGCGCCAACGATGCTATTCTGGCTTTGACGAGACAATTATCGGGTCTTCAATTCCTGGGCCAGCCGGTCGAGGGCTCTAAAGCATTACAGGCATCAAGATCTGCCGAGGTATACCGACTTATCGTCTTGGACCCTCTCGGAGGCATCCCCGCCAAGAACCGGGCTACTGGGAGATACTTATTTTTAAACCTGGAGCATGAGTTCCAGGAAGTTCGGAATGATCTGACAACTTCGGCGTTTCCAAACTCAAATATCTCAAGTTCAATTAATGCACAGCACCTGGAAAATGCCGAGCTGGCAAAGAACGTCTTGTCCTTGCTGCCATCCACTTCCTCTGCAATCATCACAACTCCCCAAGAAGTAGCAAATGAGCGAACTCCAGAGGACAGTGGCATTGACTGGGCACTTGTCGGGACGAGACGAGGGCAAAACCCGCTAATACATAGTCTCCTGACCGACAAGCCAGTCAAATCCTCATCATTACCGCCCGAACGCTTCAGACCCGTCACCTCTTCAACTGGCATGGCTCAGATCGGCTCGTTGACAACTTTGGCTAAACGTGGCGTGCCTTTAACTATATTCCCGGATCCACGGGTTACTCCATGGAAGCCACCTCAGCCTGGGCAGAGACAGCTGAATCTTACGGACCCGTGTATAGATCTGCCTAGGCTGGTGAATTTGATCCAGGATTCCTTTGGCAGGAAGCTCGACATAGACCATTACTTGAAGAGGATACATGGGAATCTAGCTGGCATAATCATTGCAGGGGAGTATGAAGGTGGAGCTTTGCTAACTTGGGAGAAGCCCCCAGGAATAGAAGGTTCCGGAGCAAACGATCCAAGCCGCCTCGTACCCTATCTAGACAAGTTTGCGGTTCTGCGCAAGAGCCAAGGGGCAGGGGGGGTGAGCGATATCATATTCAATGCCATGGTTCGAGACTGCTTTCCCAACGGGGTGTGTTGGAGGAGCCGGAAAGACAACCCTGTCAATAAATGGTATTTTGAGCGGTCGAAGGGCTTTTTGAATTTAAGCGGCATGAATTGGACCATGTTTTGGACGACTCCGGACTTGGCTTTAGATGAGCAAAGATTCAAGGACTACGAAAGTGTATGCCGGGGCATTGAGCCGTCGTGGGCGGATTAGAAGGTTGTTGATTAAAACAATAGATAGAGCATAATAAGAGTTAGATTTAAGAAATTACTACCGTCTACCTAGGAGCGTAGGAGATAGAGGTATACCCGTCATATCGGTATTAATACTAAGAATTTATTTACGCCTTATGATTATTTGGGCTATTACATAGGATCATATGGGTATCATTACCTAACCGTTATAGACGGTAGCTTCAGCTTCAGCTGATTTGTCAAGAAATTAAAAAAATTCTTCTAATGTTGGCCTTGGTCACGTATTATTGTTGATGACATTGTATTGGACAAATATTCAATGTTTACGTACAGGTATCTACCGATTCCCTGATCAACTCACGTGCTTGATGTGGCTGCGTTACATGTAAATAGAATGTTTTTTTTTTCCCCCGAGAACAACCTTTGCACATCAAGGCCTGGGCCTGAGTGATCTCATCGACAAGTCCTCCTTATTGCTGCTGATGATGATGATCGTTAACATCAATACCCGGCGTCGCTATATGAAATGAGCTATAATATTTCTGTACACGTAGCATACAAATAATATTAATTCAATATCTAAGCAAGTGTAGGCTGGCCTACCTAGGTAAGTACCTAGAAGTCTTGTCGGCAAGGCGGCAAAGCGGTCAATTACTTGGAAACCCCACCATCGTGGTTGGCATTACATAGTATCAAGTCATGGTGGGGGAGAGGGGAGGGGACTTACATAGTAAGGTGGGTTTAAAAAAAAGGGGTGAACTAAAAGATGTCCGGGGTAAGAATATAGATTTGCTAGTTTACCTCTCCCCGAAAAAAGATTCAAGTCGTAATGAGAGAGAAGTAAAGTCGAGTGGAATGAAAGCATCACGGCTCAATAAAATGTGTAAGTGTATACCTCTCAACTCTCACCTAGCTGCTTTGGCTCTATTTTGTATACCTTTACGAAAAATAATAATTTACGTGTTTTAAGTAAATGCTTACACAGATTAGGTACTTGAATTACGTGTAACATCGCACACAAAGGATAAAAAATAAGAAATGCTTGGAATTTCTTAGTCACCAAAAGATTTCAATAGGTATTTCATCTGGGTGTGTTTAGTAAAACGAGGCTGGTATGATGTGGCGTTGGATGAAAAGCAAGAAGAAAGCCTTATTTATGGGTTAGCATACGGATCCGTAGATAGAAGTCGAAATGTCCAGAACTTTCGCGATAAACAAATTCGGTTGACCCCCCGGGGTGCGATAAGTGAGGGGTAGTATTGGATACGCTAAAAGTTGGAAAGTCCTTTTGCGACCTCCCACATCGCAGTTTCGGGCAGCTTTTTTTCCTACCTAGAATCTTTTTTTTCCTCTGGGACAAAACCACGATATTTTAAACTAAACATCCACTTGATTTTTTCTTGTTTACTTTTAGACCGAATTCGACAAAATCATTTCGTATCGTATCGTATTCGATTGACGAAGATTCACTCGTAATTCTAATCCGGTACAAGGTAAACGGCTCGCGACGTTTCCTGACCTCCCCGCAATCGAATATCATCATTTTTATTTGTTTATACTCAGTCTTGTTTTACACATCCCGGCAAGATGAGCGTAGTCGGTAGGTTATAAGCCTAGTGCTGCGTGACCGCATGGTGACGTTTTTAAATAAAGAATTGCTAACCCTTGGTTATCACAGGTGTCGATTTTGGAACTCTTAACACTGTTATCGCAGTCGCCAGAAATCGAGGTGTCGATGTCGTAAGTAACAACAACCTACCTTACCTTGTCTTTCTATACCACCTGCCAACTTGGATGCGTCATCTGTTAGTGATCATAAAGACTAATAATATATCTAGATCACCAACGAGGTTTCAAACCGAGCTACTCCGTAAGTAGAGCATCACTATCTTGCGCCACATATGTGTGCACATCAGTCGTTAACATTACTCGCCTTTTAGTTCATTAGTTGGATTTGGCCCTAAATCTCGATACATTGGCGAACCGGCAAAGACCCAAGAGATTTCCAACCTCAAGAACACCGTCAGCTCTCTAAAGCGCTTGTGCGGCCGAAGCATCAGTGATCCCGACGTTCAGATCGAGCAGCAATATGTTTCAGCTCCCCTCGTCGACGTGAACGGCCAAGTTGGCGCCGAAGTAACGTACCTCGGCAAGAAGGAGAAGTTCTCAGCTACTCAGCTGACAGCTATGTTCTTAAGCAAGATCAAGCAGACAGCACAGAATGAACTAAAGTTACCCGTTTCTGACCTCGTCATCAGTGTGCCTGCCTGGTTCACGGACGCCCAGCGAAGGAGCCTCCTCGACGCGGCCGAAATTGCTAGCCTTAAGGTACTTCGTGTAATGAACGACACTACTGCTGCTGCCCTCGGCTACGGTATCACAAAGCTAGACTTACCTTCAGGCGACGAGAAGCCTCGCCGCGTGGCGTTCGTCGATGTCGGTCACGCCGACTATTCTTGCTCTATTGTCGAGTTCAAAAAGGGCGAACTGAGCGTCAAGTCTACAGCCTACGACCGTCACTTTGGAGGACGAGACTTCAACTTAGCATTGGTCAACCATTTCCAGAAGGAGTTCAAGGGAAAATACAAGATTGATATCGCGACCAACCCCAAGGCTATGGTCCGCGTCGAGGCTGCTTGCGAAAAGTTAAAGAAGATCTTGTCTGCCAACCAACAGGCACCTATCAACATTGAGTCGCTAATGAATGACGTCGATGTAACCTCCATGATCACACGACAAGAGTTCGAAGCATTGGTAGAGCCGCTATTAAACAGGGCCACAGTACCATTAGAGCAGGCCCTTGCTGAAGCTAAGCTTACCAAGGAGGATATCGATGTTATCGAGCTAGTTGGCGGTTGCACGCGTGTCCCCGCTATCAAAGAGCGAATCCAGGCCTTCTTCGGAAAGCAGCTCTCGTTCACTCTCAACCAGGACGAAGCCGTCGCTCGAGGCTGCGCCTTCAGCTGCGCTATTCTCTCGCCGGTCTTCAAGGTCCGTGATTTCTCCGTTCTGGATATCGTAAACTATCCCATCGAGTTTTCTTGGGAGAAGGACGTTGATATTCCTGACGAGGACACGAGCCTTACCGTCTTCAACAGGGGCAACGTTCTTCCTTCTACGAAGATCTTGACCTTCTACCGAAAGCAGCCATTCGACCTGGAGGCTCGATACGCCAACCCTGAACTTTTACCCGGAAAGATGTCTCCTTTCATTGGCCGATTCTCCGTGAAGGGTGTCAAGGCGGATCCTAAGACCGAATTCATGATTTGCAAGCTCAAGGCCAGAGTCAACATCCATGGTGTTCTTAACGTGGAAAATGGATACTATGTTGAGGAACAAGAGGTTGAAGAAGAGGTCAAGGATGAGAAGGACGAAGGAGACAAGAAAGACCCTGACGTAAGTAAAATTGAATTATTCTCTAGCGGACTCAACTTTATCCGTCCGCATATAAATGGCGTCCTTACAGAGCATTGTTAACTAACATATATCGTAGGCTATGGAAACCGACGACAAGAAGGGAGACGAAAAGCCCAAGATCCGAAAGGTTAAGAAGCAGGTTCGCAAGGGTGATCTGCCCATTGTGGCTGGTACTACGTCGCTGGATGAGAGCACCAAGAACTCTCTAGCAGAGAAGGAGGCCGCGATGGCGATGGAGGACAAGCTTGTTGCCGACACAGAAGAGAAGAAGAACGAGCTTGAGACGTACATCTACGACCTGCGGAACAAGCTGGATGATCAGTACGCCGACTTTGCCAGCGAAGAGGAGAAGGACAAGTTGAGAGCCAAGCTGACGGAGACTGAGGTAAGCATCTTGTGGTTAATTCGTTCTGAATTTTGATAGTAGAAGCTAACACTATTTAGGACTGGTTATACGAAGAGGGTGAGGATGCCACCAAGGCAGTTTACATCGCCAAGATGGATGAGATCCGAGCCATGGCTGGTCCTATCATACAACGCTATTTCGATAAGGTAGAAGCAGACCGTCAAGCCCTGCAGGCCAAGCTTGATGCTGAAGCTGCTGCCAAGAAGGCCGCCGAGGAGGAGGCTCGAAAAGCAGCTGAGGCAGAGAAGGGCGAGGCTCCGAAGGATGAGGAAATGACTGATGCCGAGGCGCCTAAGGCCGAGACTGAAGAGGCCTAGTCGTAGAGTCGACACAAGAAACTTTCCTCTAGGCGAAGGCGCAATAAACGAAGCCGACGTCTTAATGAGCGGATGACGTGGAAATGACGAGGACCAAAAAGAAAAGATTTTTAATGACTGCATGGTAAGGGCGGTTTGACGGATACTGGACTTGGGCATCGTTCAGGGGGGTGGGGTTCTATTGTTAACTCCGCGGTGCTTCACGAGGAATAGAATTTTTCATTTTGCGGGCGGAGGGGAGATGGTTTTAGCACGCAGACTTTAGATAGACCAGATAACGAGGGTTACTTGATAGGTTTGCATTGCGTCCTTAACATACCTTTTCATTCTGCTCTAATGCGATACGTAAAATACCAAGTATACGGCAAGTCAGGTACAGGTACCTACTTAATAGCAAGGCAGATTATGCGTGCCATTTCTTCGACTATAACTACTAGGATCGCTACTAGAATCGCTCTCGACACTGCCACTTTTAATGTCAATTTCCCGTAGTCTCTACTATGGCATTGTCCCGGCGCGGGCTATCATCGTCAATATCGTCGATGATACTATTTCCGTACCAACTACGATCATTGTCATGACTCATACCCCCTTCTCAATGTGCTTCGGAAGGTCTGGGAGGTCTCCGCCCCAATGATTCAGGCTGTGGTCGATGACGTACTTCTCATTTTCGGGGCTTTCGTCGTAGTCTCGTCATTCTTGACTACCCCTTATCGTATTCCGCAGGTCTTCTATCACGGAGGTCCCTATCCGAATATACATACGTTTTCATACTTTGTCCTGAAGCCCACGCCTTGTCCTGGTGCTGCACTGTTAAGCCCCCTAACTTATTGTTAAATTACATAGGTAAAGTAACCTCTCTAGCGACTTCTAACGAGAAACGGCGATGCTGTGGCGCAGACACAAGCATGCGCAATTCTTCGACAGATGCGCGACGGGTACTACCCGTCGCGCTGAGTTGCACAGTATATTGGCGAAATGACATGACGGCTACTAGCTCGTTATAAATCTCGCCATGCTCATATTAAGCCTCCGCTTCTAGGCAATAATTAGTGCCCTGGTAGCAGAAGCCGAGCCCGCCGCATGTCGCCAAGGGGGGATCTAAGGGATTGGCAAGCTCTGGGAAAGCCATCGTTCTGCCATAGCAGATCCATAGGAGTAGAGAGTCACGTACCTATCTCTCGCTAATCTTCGTCCGGCATAGTTGTGATGTAACCTATTCCATTCGTCAAACGGTTCCTCAAGTTTCGGGGGGCCTAATCCCCGTATTGGGGTGCACGAGGTTCTGGCCATCCTCATCGGCAAACAGCACAGTATTGCGCCAAGCCATATTGGAACTGGACGCAGGCTCGCGAGTGGATCGACTCTCCCACAAGGTCATAAGAACTCTCGAACCACTTCTCAAGCACCATTGTATACCGCCTCCCCTTAGAACCAGTATTTGAATGGCACGTCATGGGACAGGTAGAACCGGAGATATTCCTCGTCATCGGCACGTCTGGTGATAAAGAAGGCATGTTTATGTTGTTTGCGCAATGAAGGAACCCACTCCTGGCAGCATTCGCACTCGTCGAAGTCTGTAACCTTGCGGATAAGTAACACGGCATCTTTCAGCCAAAACTGCCTGGTAATAGCCCCTTGTACAGTATGGTATGTAAAGAAGAAGAAGAAGCCATCTCCCTCAGTTTACATACTGTCCCCGCCTTGATCTGATGCCTCGTCGATCAAAACCGCCATATATTCATTTGCCTCTGCATCGTAGAAGGGTGGAAGGTTTTCAGAGTCTCGCACCTCCTTGATTGCCTCAGCTACGTAATCCAGGAAAATTAGCGGCGTCGAATAAACTCTTGCCATAGCATTTCCTGAGATGTGGTCGGCCTTATAAAATAATGCTTTGAAGTTTGCCACTTCTGGGGAGTTTCCAATCTCATTTTCTTACCAAAGAATGGTGGCATGGCTACCTAAGTATCATACCGGCAAAATGTGCCTAAGGTACCTATGTTTTGTTTAATTATCCTAGAGTTTACGAAAAAGTGTAGAGGCTGGAGTCGTGAGAATATATTTATATGGGATGTTTTTACTATCATCCTTTTTGTAGTGGAATAGATCTGTAGCTTACGAAAAAGGGGTGGTTGTGGTTTGGATGCCTCGTTGGTCATGAAATAGGGGGAACTCCAAGGGCCTACATATTTTGAGGATGCATCCAATAATAATGCCCAAATGCTAGTATCGATCACCCTCCTATTCGGACGACGACCTGTCAGCCTGTTCAGAGTTCGGACATAGTGCTCCTAACTTGAAGAAACGTTTTTGTGAATATTATATGTCAAAATAAGTGTAAAATAACTTCAAACACATAGGCATTCCAAGATAACCTGGAAACTGAAAGACGTTACAACTTAGAACCCCAAGATAGAGATGTAAGTGGAAAAGCTTTGCATTGAATGAAACCCATCATATCGTGTTTACTATCATCCAGTCTGATATGTCTTGATCCCTAAGCTCTACCATATCCACTCTATTGGTTCGAATGGCGCTTCCCTGACGCCTAGCATGTCGTCTAAAATCAGCTGATTTCTGTCCCTTTCCTCTTCATCTATATCATGTGGTCCCAACTGAACACCGGCGGAATTGCTCTCCGGAAAATCAATGCTAGGCAGAGGAGTATTCGACGTGTCCTCGGCCGCTTCAACACTTTGCAACATCTCTATGCCAGACAAGTTTGCTTCTTCCATAGGGTCGATTTGTGTCTGAGATAGGTGAAGATCTTGGGCTGCGACCTGAGGTCTAATGGACGTAGGTGGAATGGGGGGCTGTCCATCCTCAATGGGCTTGCTAATATTCAATAACATTTCTTGCATTCCTCGTATTGCTCTTAACATTTCGCGATAAGCTACTTGAAGAAAAAGGAGGTAACTGCGACGTAACGGTTCGATTCTAAATGGATCAAACTCAAACGAAGAGATGTTCGAAATTTTATTGGTATGGTATTTCCTGTCTTCGACATCCGTTAATATCAAAAAGTCTTCTGCAGTCCACTTTATTTGTGTCATTTGTGACATTATAAAGCCTAATGTCGCTGAATAGCCTCGATGCCCCCAAAAATGAACTGCTGAAATATACAGGAACTGTCGCGGGCCTTCTGTAACAACTCCGGACCCAAGTAGAAGCCCTATGATATCAAGACGTCCATTTAATACAGCTGTATCAATGGCGGTGATAGTAAAGCTTTGCGTAGGGAATCCTTCCCTAACGTTGGGGTCAGCACCGCATGCGAGAAGACGACGAACAATTCCAATATAGCCTTGCATAACAGCTAAACACAAAGCTGTGGTCACATGTCCCGTAAATTCTGGCGTGCTTTTCATGTCGATCCCATGGTGAAGTAAGAGATAGAGAATGTCATGATTTTTGGATACTATCAGTTTCCCGAGTGTTCTTTCGCGTACAACCCAGCTTCCACCAACATTCAATTCTGCTCCCGCATCTAATAAGTATTTCACCAAGTCTAATCTTCCACGCTCAGCAGCTAGATAGATTGGTGGGTCGTGTAGTTTCATATCGACAGCTTCTAAGGCGTTGACATCCGTGCAGTGTTCTGCAAGCCTAGTAATCAAACTATATGATAGGCCTCTTGAGATGGCGGCCTTGAGAGAGTGTCCGTCGGACTTGAATCCCAGATCTAGAAGCGCTTTTATCGTCTATTCATTGCCGCTTTTTATTGAGAGAAATAAGGGCGAGACAAGCCATTTGTCTAGATCATGCCAATGATTCCAGTCTGCTAGATTAGAGTGCGTGCTTTTCAATCAGCCCAGACATCCGAAATATATCCACAAGCGCCTGAGCATCCTTGAGAACAAAGGTAGGCCTAAGATCGTCGAGAATCAAATTGTTTGATGTCAAGAACATAATAATTCTCAATACTTTTTGTATCTCGTGGCGCGTCCCACTTGTTAAGATGACCGCTCGCCTCACGTTTTCGTCGGGAAAAGTAGGGGGAATGAGGTCGTCAAAATAGCCTGCGATACGGTCGACGCTCTTGTTTAGTAAGAGAGTTTGAAAGAGCTCATCAGAGCCTATCACAATATTCATGTTTTGTCGGATGAGCACCTCGAAGGTAGCCCAAACCATATGTCTATTGAGTTGACGTATTTCGCGCCCTCTTTTTTTCCGAGACCTCGATTTAATCTCCTCTCCTGTTTCATTTCCTGTAGTCGCCAATATAGAAATGAGCTGTGGCAATATAGTTTCGCAGAATTGGAACCACGGAAGATTCCTTGGCCATGCACAATCCACGGCCATAACAGGGGAAGCAGCCCGAGGAGTGCAGAGGAAAAAAGGGGGACGTCTTCATTGGGAGGTTCTGGACTCGGAGCTAGTAGCTTGTCAGAATATGTCCATAATAGGTAGATAACTTAGGTAGGTATGTATGGAAAATAACTTACGGGGTCCGAATTTCCCTTGAAGGGTTACAACCTTATGGCGGTTTGTTTGTTTTCTCACTTTGCTTTGAGGAAGCCGTTTCCCAGAGAGTATTACAGTAGTGCCCTTGGCTTGGGATGCTCTGTTTTGGATCGAACGGCTAACGTACCGCCAGTCTTCAGCACATAAGTTTTTGCAAAAGGCCCAGTCCTTAAGTTTGGCGCGATATTGACTCATTCTAGGATAAATTAGCGGATTGAATCAATAGAGATGACAGCGCCTAAATGCAAAGTAATATACACACGTTATTTGAGGGTTTCGTTCCTTTAGAATGTCGAATACTTCCTGTATTCCACGATCATTGACAATATATTCCTCGTATATGAAATCCTTCCATTCGAGCCATAATTGCTCAGAAACGGGAGTCTCCCTTTGACTTATGAGATGTTCGGACTCCATGACCTACAAGATGGGAGCTGGACGCGAAAGGCTAGCAAGTATAATCAAGAAGGCTTGTTGAGCAGGCTATGTGTCGCATGAGTAAGGGTCTTCAGTTGAATATTTATGATGAAGCTATAAATGCTGATGATGTAGAAAAGAAAGTTATAAGTTGAAGATGGTGGAAGTTTTAGTTGTATACCTAGGTAGGTATATAGCCATCTCTTCCTAAGCCAAATCATTTGCTTATCATTTTCATCCTCAAAGTTCAGTCGCCCTCATGGCCCTATGCGTTGAAACAAGGCGTAAATTCTGCCACAGAATTGGTCAATAGCAAAATGTTAAAACAAATCAGCCGGGACCATATTGACTACTGCAGACCTCATTGGCTGTTAACATAATGTGAAGAGTAATCATCCAATCAGCCATCACCCTAATTTAACATTCTACATGCATGGCATGGCATGGGGAGGCTTGTGCTTGGATTTCATTGTCTTCTGGCGTCGACTAAGCTACCTAGTTGCAGAACGCCTCACTGCATCGACCCGCGGGTTAGGCACCCGGCAGCTGACAACGCTCGCAGCCTCGAGGAGTAAGAGGTAAATGGAGAAATTGCTTGTTGCTTCGGGATCAAAGTTTACACATCAGTGCGCGTTTGCGCCAACTTCTGGAGAGTGAGGCCCAATGCTCCTGGGTGACATCAGATAGGTTCTAGGTACTTATCTAAGATTCAACATACCCTCTCTATCAAATCTCCTTGCGGCTTAAAGAAGATCTTGGTAAATAAATCCATGCAGCAAAGCTTTTGTGGGTATCGACAGGGGCGTACCCTGAGTCGTGACTAGCCCTGCCAGCCCTGACGTCCTTCTTCTGGGGTTAGTTCAGCACCGGCGCTACCTAGTTTAGGGTCGAGACGGAAATTGACAGACACATCGCTGAGCCAAAAGTGTATTTCTTAATAGCACAATTGCTATTACAGTCTATCTGACATGAGTGGTATTACCACTCATAGGAATCTGGCGCGGCACTGTGAGGGAAATGTGACAAGCCGGCCTTAACGACGCCATTTTTTTCTTCTTTTTCCTTTGCGTTACTGTCGAGTACCTTAAGTACCTAGGTAACTTCCCCCAGCTCTACTGAATGTATTCTGACAGAATAACTTCTTGATAAACTCTTGGTTCCTAGGGGTTGATCCATTTCGGTAACTCCGCCGCCATCGTCATAGATTTCTAGCATAACCCCACGCCAAGGATGAAAGTTGAATTACCTCACGGTAAGTATCACTTTGCTGCTATATATGGAATACGATCCTAATTATGCACAAAGTTAGGAAATACATAGGGAGTTTTAAGATGAAGATCACGACGTCTATAAGAGGCCAATCATAAGCCGTAACTGTTAATATTGCCTTTCTGGGATGTAGAAAAGCTTATTATTGACCTGATTGGCTAGTATGTGCTCATCGGACCGAAAACGTGCTATGTCTTTACGTAGTAACATCGTCCAATAACGGCTCCGGCTAAGCTAGAGGCGGAGTAACTCCATTCTAAAAGATCGTCTTCTCACGCTAAAGGTAGTGTCTTGTTGATTTATATAGACCAAGTACCTACCTTGGTAGGTAACTAGACCAATATAAATTCATCAACTTCAGGAGGTTTTAGTATAGGTTATTACTTACCTACCTCTACCAACTCTCAATTTACTCCGCAACCAATCTTGGTATATATCATGGCACAAAAAGCCCTCCGTCGCCGTGACCAAGCCGTCGGCAGTGGACTCCGAGCAGTCCTTTCTGCTCAGGAAAACCTTGCTTCACCTTCACCAATTCCCAGCCCGCCTAATAACGTAAGATCACACCTATCACGAGCAATAGACTGGTTAACCTGCTAATTTACCTATTTCCATAGGCAGAAGAAGTAAAAGCCACCTGCGACTCTTTCGTCCTGGAGTCATTCACCGCAGAAGACGCCTGGGAACTCGGGCATCTGCTCTACGCACGACTGCTTCCGTTCTCTTCCCAGAAACCCACGTTGATCTCTATCTCGCTAGCAAGCGGGCAGGTCTTGTTTCAGGCCGCCGTGGGCTCCGGCACGGCGCCGGACAATGAGATCTGGGTGCAGAGGAAGCGGAACACCGTGCTTAGATTTGGTGCGAGCACGTGGTTCCAACACTGCAAGTATGCGGCCGACGAGGAGGCTTTCAGGCTTAAGTTCGGAATGAGTCCCGAGCAGGCGGAAAAGTACGCAATCCATGGCGGCGGGGTACCTAGTAAGCAAACTTCTAATGAATTTCGATCGATTTTAAATGCTCCCTGGCGAATCAAGTTGTTGACCCATATTGCTGCAGTTCGAGTTAAAGGGGTTGAGGGCGTTGTTGGCGTTGTTGTGGTGTCCGGCTTGAAGCAGCACGAGGATCATGGGGTTATCGTTGATGTTATTAATAACAACTGGGAATAATAACCTGAAATCACTTGAGTTGCTTTTAAACAGAGTTATCGGCGGATTGTTGAGGAGTAATGTCGTTATGCCAGCTCATTCGAACAATTTTTCCCCACCGGTGGTGTACTGGTGTACGGAGCCCTCGTGAACCCCCCTTTTCCAATGTGCTCATTACGATCGGAAGGTTTTTGTTACCCTGAGCTGGCCACGGATGTAGAGAAGTAATTAAGCTAATTTATCTACGTTAAGCTCGTGGACTGTTTAGATGTTGCACTACTAAGTGTCTAGAAGGTTGGTACCTAAGTACCTTGATAGTAGCATCGCTTCTCATCTTCAATGCAAAATTGTATCTGCCTTAGAGGGGCCTGCATGTCGACGTGCATTCCCTTATCTAGACCTGCCTCAGAGCTCCTTGCACGGCAGGTGCAGGAATATGCAGTTGATATTCGCCTATGAACTGGCTTAATATTCAAGGGGTCTGGTTTTAGGAGTTACTAAATAGGTCGTCTTGAATTATTTAGCTACCTGCCGTTAATGTGTGAGCACATTCCATTTCTTCCACTGCCTGCTGCCAGTTATTGCCTTCTCAGATTTGGTTGTCATATTCTTTGTTTGTCGTTAGGTACCTACCTACTTGTACCTAGCTTAACGTTAGGAATTTCAAGTCACTGTTAGGGAATCCGGCAACCACCCAGGCATCCATCTTTTCAACGCACAAGGCGTAAAGAAATTTATGTGGAAAGAACACCGTCCAGGCATAAAATATTTAATAGGTACCTAACCTACCTTCTCCGTTCATAATTACCTCTACGTTCTGCACAAGTCACTTCGTTTCCACCTTTCGCAGACTTCTCTCTCGGTCGTTCGGTCATTTGAATCCCCAAAATCGATATTTATTATCCAATAACAGCCTCGTTTCGCATTTCCAAGATGTCTGGTCGCGCAATTCTGGCTCTGGCAGCGGGCGTCAGCTTTGCTGTCGCTGCACTTGTACCTGGCCTCGACCCAGCTACTGCCAACGTTAGCACTGGCCACTTTTCCGTCGAACAAATCATCAAGGCTGAGCATCCCGTGCTTGCAGTTGCCAGAACCTACCTGAAATACGGCAAACCCCTACCTCTGGAGTTGCAAGAGGGTGTGCGAGAAGTCACCGCTTTGACGAAGCGTGCAAAGGGCAGTGTCACTGCCAACTCCAACTCCCACCCGGGTGGTAATTCATGGGATTACCAAGTTTCCGTGTCAATAGGCAGCCCGGTGCAAGAGATTGGCGTAATTTTCGACACTGGCTCCTCTGACTTCTGGTTCTTTGGGAATGACTCAACGGGGTCCAACTGCAAGGCTCACCACTGCTACCGGCCCGAGAAGAGCAAAACCGCCAAGAAGTTAGACGGTTATACGTTTAATGTTACCTATGGCGATCAAACCCACTGTTCCGGCCCCGTCTACACCGACAATGTCACAATCGGTGGCTTTACGGTGAAGGAACAAGCCGTTGGTCTTCAGAACTGGTTGGACGACATGGAAACCCTAAATCTCGACGGAATTGTAGGCTTAAGCTTTGGTAATGGCAACTCGATCGAGCCTAAACAGCAGAAGACCTGGTTCGAAAACATGAAGCCGTCCCTTGACGCCCCCCTTTTTACAGCCGATCTACAACCAGGCGGGAGTAAGTCCCTTCCATTCCATCTAAAGACACCGTCCTAGTCATGAGCTAACATTGGAGATAGAGGGTGTGTACAACTTTGGCTACGTCAACAAGAGCATGTATACCGGTAATCTTATCTACGCCGATGTCGACTCCAGCCGGGGATATTGGATGATCACGCCGAGCGGGTACTCGATTGGCGATGGGAAATTCAACTCGACCAAGTGGAATGCTGTTGTCGATACTGGCACTTCGCTGAACCTGGTGCAGCGGCATTTGTTTGATGCGTGGATCAGCATGGTTTCAGGAAGCAAGGTCTACTTCGGAATAAGTTTAGTCGCATGCGATGCAAAGCTTCCCCCGTTCGTCATCGGCATTGGTGATGCCACCCTCACTATTCCGCCCAAGTATTTGAACCTTGGCGATGTTCTCAAGGTAGACAACTACTGTCTCAGCGGCATACAGCCGGACGACACATTTGACTTCTCTATCCTTGGCGTCGTTACTCTCAACAGCGCCTTTGTTGTCTTTGATGACACTGATCATGCTCCGAAGGTTGGTTTCGCAACCAAGCATTAGATAGTTGGGGGGAGCCGAGGATATCGGATAATTTGAGGATTGGAGATCGTCAGTGTCATTTCGTAAGGGTAGTTGTCAGATAATTATAGGCAGGCCGAGCTGGTCAGTGTGTACCCAGAACTCCCTTCTATTCTATTCTAGCAACTTAGCGGTCGCTTATTAGTCGTTATGAACTACCTAGTTAGAGGTAGATAATTGCTACGCTTATGAATGCCTGCCTAAAGCTTTATGGTATATTATACCAACGCAACAGCCAGTGTGATCCCGATAATGACTTTTTTTTCTTGATTGATCTTTAAAACATATCGTAAACGCGAGCCATGAGGCGAAAGTCACTGCTGCATAGTTGTAAACAGCTGATACTTGCGCAAACGCCTAAAATGCCGTAGGTGAGAACTGCAAGTAAGAACTGCAAGTATGGATTGTGCCGATATAGGTACGGTAGTGTAGTTGTTTCTCTTTCAGTATTTCTCATATTTTCCACCCGGAGGGCATCACAGGAGTTATTAGCGACAGCGCTTCTCCTGCAGTTCTCCATTTGGATCTGCCTATGACATTTCTACCCAAGGCTGGGGGCGGGGTCTAAACCGAGACCCTCTTGTTCATTCGAAGGTGGAAGATGGGAAGCGAAGAGTTAATCCAGGACCATGCTATACGATGGTTTAGAGGGCAAACCACCAATGAATTTTATTAGATATGAAAAAATAGAGATATGCTGGGTATACATCTAAGCAAGTCAAACCATCAAGTAAATATCGAATCTGTCATCAAAGACTCGAAGTCAAAATCTAAATCCATGCCGTATCCAGGGTCCAGACTATTCGGCGTTAGTCCGATGTTGCTAGGGCACGGCGAGGACACGGTGCCTGCTCGTTCTTCTAGCAAGCTAACGCACAATTCCAGGCTCTCTTTCGCACTTTGTGCCACTCTAAGATCGCAAGGGATTCCTTCTTCTATGGCTTCTACCTGAGCCATGATCATGCTGAGAAACATCGGCCCCTTGACGTTGGTCTCGCCTTGTCGGATCCGTTCTATTGATAAAGCAGTCATTTCTTTCACTGCTTTCTTGAAGGTTTCAACATCCTGGGAATTGCGATGGCCGATCCCTTCGCTACGTTGGGCCTCTATTTGGGTCAAAAGCTCACGAGTAATGACGATCATGGCAGATCTGAATGCCTCTCTAAACATACCTCCGCCAGTTGACATAAGACGGGAGAACCCTTCGTCAGGCTCGGGTGAAATAAGAGTCATCGCTGAATCTACCGTAACTTTCAACGAGTAGTAAAATAAGGGATTCGTTCGCGCCTCCCCAGCGAAGGGGCAATGGAGGGGTATTAAGAATCGCCGTACTAGGTTGTCCAGTAGGTTTCGATGAAATGGTGTCACGCCAGCCTTTTCGCTATCTCGTATAAATGTTCTATACGAGCGATATTTATCAGTGAGCTCTGAACTCAAAGCTAGAGTGTCCACGTAAGAAAGTTCGGAATGCAAGCCGTTCAGAAGCTGTAAGATCCTAAGACGTATCGGTAGTAAGTCGAGTAGAATAAGTTGTAGTGACGTTGACGTGTAAATACTTTTCGCATGAGGCGGCGAGGCCATAGTCGTCTCTTTTAGTTCATCATCATTGACGTTTGAGGGCGCTTCCGTGTCAAAATCATCTAACGATATTCTAGGCAGCATCGCGGAGTCTAGAGACGACTGCACAGTTATCTCAAGTATAGTGGCCCACAATCTTCTGCGTAGTTCGGCTTGCAAGATGGACATTCTTGGCAGATGCTTGGGGTCGCGATGCAAGCCTATTTGCATTGCCATATTCATGAGTGACCCTGAGGACACCCAGACTAAATCGCCACCGATCGAGAAGACTTGCCGCGCCAGAATAACTAGACAAAAAATTTGTATCCCGGTGACATTTAAACGATCTTTTTCGAGGGGGCCAGAGAGCCACATCTGGGCAGCATATACCCACTGATGAACTGTATTTCGAAATCCCGGATTGCTTTCTGTATGGTCAGAGACACTTGATCCTATGCCAATTACAAGAAGGGTTTTCAGGCGTAGGCTAGTCGTCACAGTCTCTGGGTGGTCCCAAAATCTCTGATATTCTTCCCAAAAGGTGGGTGGATGAATTATCCTGTGTGTGGACTCAAATGATTGAAAGTATAATGTTGCCATAGCATCCGCAACCTCCCGCGGTGGTGGTGCAAGATCGAAATTAGGGTAGGAGAGCCACCTACTAGGTCGCCCTAGTTTGATACTTCTTCCTATGTTTTTACATTTCTGGAGCAGAGCCCATATCTGGGCATACAGGGCCCCTTTCTCAGTATCTTGGGGCATAGTTCCCTTGGCGGCATTGGCAGCTGCAACATAGCAGGAAACTATAGGCGTAAACTTGGGATGTGATTAGTGAAAGAGAAAAGAAATATTATAGGAATATGGCCTCTACCTCTTGGGTTATGCCTAGTCTTAAAGTCCAGCCCAAGACTCTCGTTTTATTGAGAATTATCTGCGAGTCCTTTAACCCAAGCTGACGCGCAAGTATATCACGTCCATTTTCTGATAAGCCAGTAATGGAACTAGGTACCGAAGACTTATTAGAGGCATTCTGGCCCCGCTGAGGCGTATCCGCAGCACCTGAATCCGCTTCTGGCGTAGGTATATGTGGTTGGATGCTGCTACGGTCAAGACCGAGGATGATGGTGTTTGGCCCGTCATTCTGGCTTCCCTTAGAGGAACATCCAAGTACGGCGCCAGCCCATGGCTCTACTACCTGAAATCCCGCGGCGTTTGCGTCATGTTCCGATGTTGGCCTAGTGGCACCAAGCTCCTGTGCTTGGCTTGTGGAGGGCGAAGGTGCATGACTTGAAGAACTTGACGACTCTAGAGGAGAAACTCCGGGTCTGAGCGGAAATTGGTTAACAGGTTCATCATTATAGACTTTGTAGATGCATTTTAGCTTGGCAGATACACAATGTCTACATGGTTCAGTCCGATTGCACTTGATCTTGCGGCGGCGGCACTCGATGCAAGACAAAGCCGGCCTTCGACGTCGGCGGGGTTGTCGGTCTGATAACATTAGGGGATAAGATATTTCGGACGTATCAATACAATTTACCGTGTAGATACCTCCTAGCGTGTTACTCCTAGAAGGAGATATACACAAGTAGTATAAGATTTTTTAAGATATTGTCCCTGGAAGTTGTAAAGCCTTGGGTTAGATCCGTTCTGTTCGAATACCTGGGGAAAATGCCGAAGTGCTTACGGCCGAGGGCCCACAGATGGAATAGAGACATCGCTTGTTATTGGCCAATATCTGGTTTCAAATGCCGCTTATCTCCGTTATTCCATACTCTTTCGGTGTTAGCCAAATGTGTCTAATAACAAATAACACAACCTACCTGGCGCTGGTGAGTTGGACGCTGATATGGACGCTGCCGCATTAGAAAAAACGTCAAGTGTATTCAAGATATCATAATACTCTTGTAGTACGCTAGTAGGGATATAAGCTGTACCCATGCGCCAAAGGTAGAAACATCTTGATTTTATAAGCAGTATTTCTCAGCCGGCATCGTGGCCTTGTCCGAAATGTGCGTTTGTCCGCTTCTGACTAATGTACGAGTCCAGACCGGCATATCAAATCATCCTTTTGGTATGATTTCGCCATCTTGCCCATACTATGAATATTAAAGACTATTACAAAATGAATTTGGATGACTTCTTTAAATACACGTACATGCCTATGGCTTTGAAGATCAATGTCGCTTGTCCCATTGTTTCTCGACACCTTGGTACAATAATTACTATTATTCATTAGACCAACACAGCACCGTTATTTCTAGCTTAGGTACCTGTTATCTCAAATTTATTCCACTTCGTCATCATGGCTACCCAGGAAACCGACGCAAACCTGGATATAACCGTCTTCCGCGGATTCAAAGAAACCGGGAAGTACATATGGTCGCCGTTTGTTATCAAATTAGAAGCGCGATTGCGCTTCGGGGGCGTGCGCTACAAGACAGATGTTGGCTCGCCTAGGGTAGGGCCCAAAGGCAAGATCCCGTATATAGAATGCCGTGATCTATCCGCATCGCCTTTGCAAGGTGGGAAAAGGAACAGTTCGGAGCAAAAAGTTCAACTCGGCGACAGCACCCTCATCGCTAAGACCCTGACCGAGTGGGGTGTGCTCCCGGATCTGAGCGCCGGGCTAGACCCGTCGAAAAAGTTACAAGACCTAGCGGTGAAAGCCTTGCTGGAGGAGAAGTTATACTTTTTCGAAGTATGTTAGCCTCTTTTCCCTCATGTCTATCTGCGTGGCTCCTATGACTTTCCAATATCGTACTGACCGTGTGCAATAGAATTGGGAGCATTGGATCCAGCACTACTACGACAAAAGAGACACTATCCTATGGTCAGTCCCGTATCCCATGCGCATCATTGTGGGCTTTTTACTTTATCGCTCCATCGCCGCCACGTTACACGGCCAGGGCACCGGCCGGTTTACCGCAAAGGAGATTGAAGAGTTTAGGCACGAGATTTGGGAGACAATCGGTGCGCAGCGTGAGTAACTTTCAGAAAAACATAACCCCTTGCTACTTTGATTGAAGACTTCATTCTCGACGCTTGGTACCTAGTACAAAAACTGACTGGTATGGTATAGTCGTAACGTCGCGATCTAGTAGTAAAGGTGGTGACAAGGAGCCGTTCTGGATACTCGGGGGAGAACAACCGACGGAAGCGGACGCGTGCCTCTTTGGCTTCATCGTGGCTGCTTGGATCTCCACTGCGTAAGTGTACAATACCCCTTATCCTTAGTATGACCTGTGCTAACCGCGATACTTTGTTTCAGCGGACCCAAGTCTCGCCAGGACATTAAAGAGTTTCCCGTGCTTCTAGACTATGCTGGACGTATCCACGAGCGGTATTTCCCAGACTACGAGAAATGGGCCGAGTGATGGAGATATGTGACTTATGTAAATTCTTTCTTTCTTTCGCACCACTATAAAAGCTAGCTACAGTTAATATTATACGCACTCAAGGGCCAAGAATACATGCGAGGTATACACATATTAATAAGTGCTTATACCGCGTTCTTTGCAGTACTTTTCTACTTCCTTCTGCAGGCTTTGCTTCTGCCTGTCAACCAGGTCCATAATATCCCGATGCTCAGGTCCAAGTTCCATAGGACCAGTTCGCCCACCGACATTGTCAGCAATCTCCGTCATCTCCTCCATGACAGCCTGGAGCTGATTCGGAAGCCAGGTTACTATCGGACTGCCTCCCGTGGCCGTGGGGTGCGAAGTCTGTTTCAGGATGTACTCGCGAGCAAAACACCAGTGTCGCCACCTGAAGTCACGAACCTGGTTTAGAGCGTCGATCCAAAGTCGTCGGGACTCCTTTACTAGTTCCAGGTCCTCTTTCTCTGTTTCTGGTTTATGCTCGATACCAAGAGCTAGGGCAAAATCCTTCACATGTAACTCTTCTGCGCACTTCTTCACTTCAGCAAGGAACTGGCGGTGATTGCTCGGTCGGTAATCCCTGAAGTCCTTAAGGATTTCTGTGAGAGGCGTGTCTGGCATTTCGACCTGAACTATATCTAGGAGTTAGTAAACGTCGCCCATCAAATATGAAGTTATTTTTTTATCTTTGGTTAAGATAAGATGTCTTTAACAGAAGTGGGAAGTTTCTTGATACGTACGAAAATTGTCCATCAACGGAATCATGGTGTCGTTTGCCCCACTTTCACCCCTGAAGCTCATGGGTTTACCGTCATTAACGTCCTCGTAAACGACGCCATTGGGGAACATGGACTGAGATGTGATGCCGAAGATGAAGGTGCGAAAACTGGTATACGATCGCGGCTTGGATTTCATCCACATTGTTTCCATGACGCCGTTGACCTTTTTCATAGCGTCTACGATGGTGCGCAGGCCCTCATTGAATGCAATTCTCTGCTGCTGGGCTGAGACAGTCTCCGCGTTGTCGAGAGCGCGCAGGCATGACATTGTACCGCTAACTAAGGGACCCGAGTTCTTCACCATGTCGATGTGTACTAGTACAAAGCCAGCTTCGGACGAGCTAGAGTCTAGACCATGCTCGAAAGCCCGAATGAGACGCAAGTTGGAGTACTCGAGACCGGCTTCTGGATCTTGGAGACGATAGTTGAACAGGGCATATGAGCCTGCGTACTCCATGAAGGGTTTAAAGCCAGCACTATACGGAGTTAGTAAAGTTCCAAGTGGTACGGCCATAGTTATAAATACTTACAGCTCGGCACAGCGGACAATAGGCCGCGAGAGTTGGGCTGGAAGGAAGGGTCTCCCTAATCCATATGGCTCACCCTTGACGAACCTCATGTGACAAGGCTCCAGCAAGAACGCCGACGCAAGAAAAGAGTAGTCGCGATATAAAGCGTTCATCATGGGGAGGTTATCACGGTATTTCTCGACCTGCTCAGTCAGATCTGGGAGGTCTTGCAGTACAGCATCACCTAGCTGGCCAGTAGCAAGTAGCCCAGGATTGCCTGACTGAGTCCGTACGGGCATTGCTTGGAGTAGAGTCTCGATCGACTCGAACTCGGGAGGGAGTGTCACGATAGGATCCATTCGTGCCAAGAAACCCCGAGTTGTTGAGACCATGAAGGCAGGAAGAGAGACATCATTAGGTTTGGTGTCTTCTAGGACTTCGAAGGATGACTTGGGAATGAACATGTTGGGGGATTTTGAAGTGATATGACTTGAACGATTTATAGGCGTTGTGTAAGCAAGTTTGTGGACTCCAAAGAAAGCTTGAGGTATGGGAGATGAGGCCTTTGATTTGAGTAGCGGTCAGATTCGCGTGCTAATATAGACGGTGGCCGGAACAGTTCCGGCCTCAACAGCAGGATGCGGAGTTGGCGATCGACTAAGTTCTAGGACCTCCGGGGCCCTGTTTACACGTGTGTGGCCGGAACGATTCCGGCCTCAAGCGAGACCGGATTTCAACACCCAACCCACCGATCCTCATTCCCTTTAACCTCATGGCCGGAACAGTTCCGGCCATAATGCTAAGAGCGAAGTCGGGTCTTGTACTTGACACATTTCGTAACGCTGGTGCAATTCCTTCTTATCTCTATCTCACCAAAGTGAGTGAGCAAATTAAAGTTTCGACTTATCTATCTCTTAAACCCACTAACAGTTTCTACAACCCCTCCACCCTTGATGAGTTGATTACAAACAGGTAATGTTGTTCAACAGGACGAGATAAGAGGATCTCACCAATCATCTACATTATGACGAGCAGTATATAGTATTAGCCAACGTATTACTATATGAGTTATGCCTTTGTTTTCTCAATAAGCGGTCAACATTGAATCGTTAGTGATCACGATCATGGAGTAACCCATCCATTACTTGGTATAATGATATATATCATACAGCAAAGAATAGTTCTCATCCGATTGTTTGGGTTACGTAACTGAAATTTATTAGGAGGATGAAGCCTAACCTTATCCCCGGTTGGTAGTGGGAAAAGTGGAGCCACCAAGCCCGGTGAAAACCGGCCATGGCCGGAATGATTCCGGCCTTTGACATAATCACTACGGAGGTCCATCCCACAGGTTTCATCAGCTAAATTGCACAAAGCTTTCGTACTAAGCTTGAACCAAGTCTATTTTATGTCTCTACTTATTTCCTCAGCTTTTAAGTAATCCGAAAAGACATGATATAAGAGCTGTCATCTCAGGTCAATTCAATTAACTTTCTTTTCGTTCTACGGCTCCGGGTTTGAATGCTACTTATCTTAGGTAGATAATCAACCAACTAGCCGATGCAATCTCTCTCCTATTTCCGCTTGAACAGAATATATGATGGATCAATAATTATCGGAACGGCGCTACACTTCTTCTGTCAATGTTACTTAGTGCGTAAAGCTATGATAAGTTGTAGGAATAGAAATGTCGCTTTATTAACCGCACTTTAGAAGTCATTCTCCATGGACATGTTTCACTTGGTCTATCATTTGATTTGATAAGTAATACATTGATATGGTACCATCTCAACTTCGCATATCCCAAAATCTGGTTTGTTACCTATAATCCAACGTGAGCATCGTCTTACAAGCTTTATAAGGTGCCTAAACAGGCTAATACTATTATGACTCCAGTATAACACCCCTTACGCTAACTTTATAGATGGATTATGTGACCATTCGCTAACACAAAAGTCCATAATAGTGCGTTATAGAAAAGCTTGGCCTTCCTTCAAAGGCAGGTTCCACTCGGTATATAGACCAATCCGATTCTTTTCAACTCCAGGGATCACGTTAAAGCTCAACCGTATTTGTATAATTCCATAAGCTTCAATTTCGAGGTAACCACCTTCTATTGGTCCAGGTGATGAACCCTGCTACACTTTTCGCCTTAAAACCTTTCAGCTTTCTCTAAAGTCGAAGCCGTATCGTCTTCTCTTCTACTCTTTTGGTAATTCGTTTTCTATCCTCACAAGGTAGAAAATCTCCAGATCTTGTTTGTCGCCTCAAAATGGTTAACTTTTACCATTTTCGGCTGAGTCGCCTTTTGGCGTCGTGGTGCATCGCAGCCACGATAATATCATGGGTGTCCACGGTGAGGGCGATTGACTTTCCGGCAACTCTGGATGTAGACATCGTATATCCGCGCAACGGTACATTCGCACCCACACTACTCACGCCCATCGTATTCACGATCCGGAACCCCCAGCTTGCCGCTCCTCTTGACCTAAATCTTGACTGGGCCATCTATAGGAACGATCGTCCCGTCGGCGACGGCCCATGGTCCGATGGAACTAAGCGTCTCATATGGGCGACTAACCCTAACGCGACCGACCCTTTCTTCGTATACGCATACACCTACAAGCTCAATGTCGAAACCTCCTGGTGGTTACGATGGGAATTGTCCTGGGGAAACTGCTCCCAGTCTGAGACCAACCACCCTAATTTCAGCTTTAACCGCAAGGTGAATGTTGTTGAATTTACCACCAAAAACGGCTCGACGCAGTTCGATCTCGCCACCGTTAACAGGCCTGGCGATGACACCTGTGGAAATGTTACGGACACACGCGTCTCTTTCAACGTGACGGGAGTTTTGGATACCCGTGATGCGTACAAATACGACGACATAGATACGTGTGCCGTCCTTGCGCCGCCGTCCAATATCACCGCACCACCTCCTACAAGGACTTGTGGTCCCGAGATAGACGCGTCGGCAGCGTCCAGCATTTCAGCCGCTATCACTGCGACGGCGTGTGCTTGGTTTCCCGATCCAGAATTGAGCTGCCCGCCCGAAAAGCCGAGCAGCGCCGTGAGGGGCATAGGAGGGCCATTTTTAGCCGGAACAGCGACTTGGCTGAAAGTGTTTATGTCTGCTAGCGTTGCTTATATACTTGTCGCATGAGGTGATAGTTACTTGTAGCATCTATCACTGTCTAATATAATTGATTGATTTAGGAAGTACCCATGCATCAATACGCTCAGATCTTTGATACAGTTATTTGATTCACCCTGTACTTATTTTGATTTAATACCAGCTGTATGAAATTACCGCGGTACTAAGTATTATGTATTACTTGATACCGACACCTACGATTTGTTCTTTTCCAATTCGGCCTTGACCTCCTCGACAAATCCTTGCTTCCACGCCTCCTCTCCCCTCGTCGGCTTCCAGCCTAAGCTCCTCGCCACAGACGACACAGTCCGCGAGTTGCTTATGAAAGCCTTCTCGATAATTTCCTCCGGAGCCTGGCCGTCCATCATATACTTTCTTCCCTCCGCGAGCGTAATACTCTCGACCTTGTTGCTCGGGATCAGACCCTCGGCGAAGGCCGCATCAGCCACCCCCTGCGCCACATCGAGCCATTGGTGTCGGCCGTTGCCGCTGAAGATGATGCCCTTCTTACCCGACGGCACGCCCTCGCCGCCCTGGGCTATAATACGCTCTACCACTAGGAGGTAGAGGTCCGCTAGGTCCTCGACGTGCACGTGGTCCCATACGCCCTTGCCGTCTCCCAGTACGACACCCTTCTTCAGCTCTAGCACGGCGCGAACGAGTGCGGGTACCTGAACACTCGTTTTGTTGAAAAGGCCCGTTCCGCGGCCGTAGATAGTTGGGCTGTTGATAATTATGGATTTAACGCCAAGCTCGATGGCCAGGTCAATCGCACCAAGCTCGGCCGTACGCTGGTGGTACGGGCCCTCCCGCACCTCGCGGTCCTTCTCGTAGCCGTATATATCATCCTTAGCATCGTCAAACTCTTGGTTCTCGGGCTCTACCCATTTCTTCGAGATCGGGGTGTCGCTGAAGTTGGAAGTGCCGGAGGTGGAAACCAGCCACACGTCGCGCCCCGTCGCCGCCTTGCGCTGAGCAAGGCCGCGGACTGCGGCCTGGATGGAAGCGGGATGGAACCCCACGGTGGTGTTGATAACGACGTCATGCTGCGCCGCAGAGGCAACTATAGCGTCGATATCGTCGATATCCTTGTAGAGAATGGGCTTCACGCGGGAGCCGTAAGCTGATGTGATTTTGGCGACCCTGTCCTCACCTCGCAATAGCACGGAGATACTAGCACCGCTAAGAGCTGGAGACTTGGAGTTAATGAAGTGGTCTAAGATGGTACCACCGATGAACCCGGTAGCTCCAGTAAGTAAAATCTGGGGAGTCGTAGAGGATGCCATGTTTTTAATAAGTAACGATTATGAATATGAATATGGACTTAATGGCTTAAGATGGTAGGGTAGGGTAGTATGATCTCTCGAATCATCAACAATAGGAACACAAAGAAGACTTATATACCGTTACCTACCTCCTATATAGGTACCTATATATACGACTTTATTACCACCTTGTAGTTTCAGGAATATTTGTAATACTACTAGCACAACATATTACCCAAGATTGCGTATATTGCGGGCGCAGGTCCCGGTGATAGCGGACTCATTAAATGGATAGAGATATTACAAAGCAACCAAAAGCGGCGCAAAATTACCCCGACTCTCATTAAAGTTACCGGTGAGTTAAGCGGTTTTTCAAAACGACTTGTTTTGTATCTCATCTACATAGTACAAACAGAAGTCTTCGTAGGCTTATCTACCTATCATGTTAGCACACAAGTAAAGAGAAATTAAACTGCTTGTCTAGGTAGTAGGGGAGCGAGTAAATATCCATTTATAGTTGTCTCTTTAAAATTCAACATCTTACTAGGATTTGACCCTTATCCAAAACATCTTAGAGGTTACTGTCCGGTCTCTTTTACTATTTTAGCTTCCAACTAGCTCGCCTACTAGTGCACACCGAACGGGCCAATTTTATAGCCTTTTGAACTTAAGAAAGTACCCTCCTTATATTACTTTGGCATACCTGTTATCGAATATGATTCTCAAATCTAGTCGATACTTAGATACCTGCCTACTTAACCCAGAAGGTGAATGAATAAATGCCAATAATTGTAAGGAGTTTAAGAGGAGTTAGGAGTTAAGATCCACTTTTTTCCGCTCCCAAGCCCACTCCCGCCCTTGGCAAGTTATACTACTTCTCTACAAATACTCTGACTTTCAAATCTCGCTTGGTGATATATAAAAGGGCAGAGTTTTCTCGTTAACTACCTACCTAAGCTGAGAATTATATCTGTCTCATGTTACTTCATAATTCTATTTAGTATTTATAGTCAAGATACAATATAAGTGCAGAGGGGGACACAAGTCTAGTAAGTCAAATAATAGGAACTTCTAGTGGTCATCACCCCTTCTGAGGTAAGTTGATGAATGTTCTCCGGACCTTATAGACATGGTGCTTTACAGCTACTCTATAGGTAACTCATATTGTTTGTCTTCTAACGTAAGTAATACCTTAGATACATACCGGCGACCCTAAGGGAACATTTTGACGTTCCCTAATATGAAGGTACATAAGTATCTACTTAGCAAATTATACTACGATGGTAACTATATTGTAAACTTCGATAAAGGTACCTCATCTGAAAAATAGTGCGTTTTACATAATGAATTTAGTTCCCACGGGTACAGGTAACAGTCTCTCATGCAACGGTCTACTAGGTAAGGTAGGTGGTTTTTTCTATGTCTTATGTTCTTACATTACGACGAGGACATAACCATTGAATCTTCGATATGCGTTGCACAGTATCAGGCAATATTCATATGTTGGTAAGACTGCCACATCACACTTGCTGTATCTGTATCACTTTCTATTACCTAGTGCCAATATTTTGCAAGTCTCGGTAACAGCTTTGATTAGCTACTAGAGGCTAGGTTCCAATTAAGTCAAACCCGTACACCGGTATAGTATAAACAAGCTTCGTGAAATCCTCTTACCTGATAGTTTCAATCGAAAGTTGCTGGATTAACTTTTTAGAGATATTATTGCTACCTACTATTAAGATATAGAGAATATCCAACTCATTAGGGGACTCAAGAGATTTCATTCCAAATAATTCTAATCAATTCCTCTATGGTCTCAATAGACGATTGCCTACCTACCAAGTCTCGATAGCTATATTTTGCCAACAAACTCTTCTCAATTAGAACATTCGATTAAGTGTTATGCTACTAACTTAAGTTCTTCCTGACCCATTTGTCTAGTAGTTTCTGGATGTTGCAATAGGAGCCATAGAGAGACATTAAATCTAATTGGTCGAGTCCATAGTCTTTGTGCTTAATAGCCTACCTAGGTACCTTAGGTAGTCTTGGCACATGAAACCTCTAAGATTCAAGCCCAACCCTAATAAGTTTCGGAAGTCTTGTTAGGACCTAACGCAGTAGTATATGGAGCTGTTCAGCGGAGGTTCTGCCAACGAATAATTCGCAGGTCGTTCAAGTTATCCGCCTTTGTCTCACGACTACCTAGGTACGTTTTTAAAAACATCTAGTTAATTATGGTATGAACTGTTCTGTCTTTACAACACATGTCTGAATGTACACCCATCATAAAACCTCTTTTTCGGTGGGTTGATTTTGGTTGTCTGATTACAATAGACCTCAACAAGATCCATATACGAGAAGTGGAGCTTTAACCCACTGCTAAATCGTAAAGCCGCTCTCATGAGCGAAACAATTTCTTCCGCGTAAATGTCGTATCGCAGAGCATTCCGAACCTCTCGTTTTAACTTGTTGTAATTAGCGGTGACAACGAATACGCGACAACCGTATGCCACATCGAAAAGTCCCAAACAATTAAGCAACGGGATCACGATGAGCTCCAGTGGATCGAGCGATTTGTTGTCTTTACATGCACCAGTCCCAGGCCATATTCACGTCTTAATGGAACGTCGGATGTCGGTAAATTTACATCTTCTCATTGCGTGGGTCCTGAACGAGCCGCAACACTCTCGGATTCGTTGACTCTTCTTTTGCCGTATATGTTCGTTCTCCAAGGAGACTTGGTTAGAATCGGAGCAGCCTTTCCTTATCGTCATAGCTTATAGGTACCTAAGGTAAAGAGACATCTAACCTCTGATCTCGATCACCTGCGAGAGCTTCGTAACTCCCCGTATTAGTTCCATTCTAGATAGTTACATACCCTACGAAACTGATGTAACCTTCCATCGGAATAGGGCTGGTTAAGCATAAATGCCGACAGAAGTGTCAAGCAGTAGCGTCTACACTAAAGCCCCAGTGTCCCAAATTTTCTACCCTTCTGACCCTTCTGCCAAGAAGTCTTTGCATAATAGATCTTTCAGCTGCACCGGCGTGATTAGCGGTGAGGCTGCAGCTGTGGTTACTCGAAGAGTTGATTGGTGGATGGTGTTGAGATGATGGGGAGGGCTCTTGCTACTCGATGAGCTAGCTCTACGTATCGAGATGGTCAGTCTATGCGAAATGCTGACCCGAGATTGCCGAGACACCTTAAACAAAGAGGCTCTTGTAAGATAATCATGTCATCATCATAAGTGTTATTATCAATAGGTTATTAGTGACTGTGTCTCAGATATCTAACTCTATAGCTGACCTAGGTAGGTATCTAGGTATTCATGAAACAAAGAATTTATGTACTCTCCTGCCACTGTCGCATCATGTCACCCTTCCCGTCGTAGACGCAGGTACCACCTAGCATTGCATGCCATGTAGCGTAGTAGCAGCAAACCCATACCTAACAAGGCGAATTCGGTATATATCAGCCGGAACCGGCTCGGAACTCTTATTTTTTTTTTTTTTTTTTTTTTTTTTTGCGGAGACGGGACCCCAGACCCAGAACCGGTTATTGATTGGATCTAAGATCACGACCCCGACCTCGTGTCAATGTAATACGAGAATTGGCATTCGTATTTGCTACCTCATATGGAGCAACGTTCTGACGGGCGGTCGTGACGGCGAGCGGCCGCATTGAACCGGTCAATTTAGGCGTCACGTCGCCAGAGATGAGATCTGTATATAAACTCAGCTTCCTCGTCCGTCGGTCTTATTCTTGTCTCATCATCATCAGCACATCGCCTATCTCGATAATATCTAATCTTCAAAGAACTATCTTACTATCCTAATAAGTAGTAATTCTTTACTAATTCTCCCTCCCCAAAACCGCCAAGATGAAGTTCTCCGCTGCCGTCATGGGTGCTGCCCTCCTCGCCTCCGGCGTCTCCGCCGGCAGGGCCATCGTCAAGAACAACTGCCAGAAGACCGTCTACGTCCAGTCGTACCCCTACGACGGTAGCGCCCCTGGCCCCTTGACCACCGTCAAGACGGGAGAGTCTTTCTCCGAGGACTTCCGTGCCGCCGGTTCCGTAAGTTTCACATTACCTACCTCCTTGATACCAGTTATAATAGGTACCTACCTATAGAAACCAATTGCAGAGCTAACCCATCCACGCAGACCGTCAAGATCGCCACAAACAAGAACCTCGATGGACCTCTCTTCTTCGGCTACTCCTTCTCGGGCAACCCCGACCGCGCCTACTACGAGTTCAGCACGTAAGTTTCGCCTTTGATGCCAAGCAGATAGGTTAGGTACCTAATCTTAAAAAATCCCATACTAACATAAAGCCCTGTAGCGAATGGGGCAACCCCTTCGCCGACTCCCACAACGTCCTCACCCCCGGCGATGGCTGCGAGCAGTTCAACTGCGCCGCGAACCAGGCCACCTGCTACAGCACCACGGCGCACAAGATCGTCTACGGCTGCCCCCAGCCCGTCGACCTGGAGGCCGACCTCTGCGTCTGAGAAGTTTGACGACGAGGCGACGATGCCCTTCCTCTCAAACCAGATAGCGGCAACTAGGCGGAAACGCTTGGCCCCTTATCTGTTTGAGCTTCTCGCTCTCTCGAGTAAGCGGGTGAGAGATGATCCGATGGAATTAGATATCCCTATAAGCGACTGCTGAAGCTTATGCGTTGCGTCTTTGGAGTACATAAGAAAGTGTGCAACGCGTGGTAGAATATTTTTTAATAATAAAAAAAATATCAATACCAGATGTTCTCTTGTTTCCCGTGCCGTCCGCCTAGTTACTCCTCTTCGTCTATTTTTAAGCGAAGCCGAGCCCGTAGTAGACCTCTGTTGAACTTGTATTGGCAGAAGCGTAATACCAGGTTTTGTTTGTCTGTCACAGAGAACCGGTTTGATATCTTATACAAGGTAGTAACAGGATTATTCGTTACCGAGTGAAATCAAACAGCATAGAAACATTTTTCTTGGCCCACGAATAACTCTAGCTTACGTACCCTAGCCGTGGGAGCTCTACGGTTATCCGAATATAGGACAACTAGAGTCGATGGGGTTAAGATGCAACACTACCGTGTCTTAGACATATATTATTAAAAGAAACGGCTTCTTAAGTGATACGTACAACATCCATGTTATTATATCTTAGGTTAGGCAGCTCCTACGTTCGAGGGCCACTTTTTTAAAACTAGCATAACTCCAGAGGATACACGAAGCTTACCCATTTGCTAAGTGCTTGAGATACGGAAGACCCCTATAAACTGGTTAAAGGCCAAACGCTAAAGGCTGATAAGACATTACGAGGCGCCCTGTAGGGAGTTCCTTGCGAAGGTTGCTAGCAATAAAGCAATGTCGAAATAGCTATCACTTAACGCAGACGTAAAAGCATCCGCAAACTCGGTTGAATTTTCCCCAGTACCTACGAAGTACATCGCATATGAGACGATAAATCCCGGTAAGTCGAGATCGAGCCATCGTGCTTCATTCTAGAATGCTTGAGAACCCAGTCCATATACCGCACCGTTTTGTGCCCTCTCTGGCGTCGACTTCAAAAATACAAGCAGAAAAATGCTACGCTCCCATGTGTTCATGAGCCGTCTTAAATGCACATTCGTATCTCAGTCCTAATCTCTCCTATTAACACCACACTCGACTTGCTCTAGTTGATATCAAACAGAGGCTTGAGCTTGATAATAAGTTGCCATTCCTCGTTCGACACTTCCTTGCGGTAGAACTCCTTGAGTGTGTCGATACTGGCTCGGGAAATTAAACTGTAGAGGACATCTTTCTCCTCTAGTTGTCGGCCATATGTGGGTTGGTGACCGCCCATTTCGATCTTGATAGCTACTGAGGGTTGACCTTTCTTGCAAACCGGTATCTGTTTGTGGTCTCTCTCGATTGATGTCCTAAGAAATTGTTAGTTGGGTCAATAGAGAATTCGCTGTATCGTGATGTCACTCACACTCTGCCTAGGCTAATGACCTCCTTGGCGCCAGTTGTTGGGTTTTGTTTCACGGTAGCAATTGGCGTATTAACCTTGAGGTTCCCATCCACCACGTCAACACCAATAACAATAGGGCTTGTCTTGTTGAAGACAGCCACAGTGTTGAGGACACAAGGGAAGACTGCAAGCATCTTGGATTCTTCCTTTTTCTTCTCCAGCTGCTCCTCCATATGCTTCGTGAAAGCATCAAAGAGATGGTAAATGATGTCGGCAGTGAAAACCTTGATACCGTTCTCATCTGCATACGCTTGTGCTTCCTTGTCGATCTTCACATCGAAGCAAAGCATAACGGCATAATCCGGGTTCTTCTCAAGCATAGTTGCACATTGAACAACGTCTCGTTTGAAAACAGGACCGATTCCAACGTTTGCCACTGGGATCTTGCAGTCTTTTAAGAAATCAAGTAACGCTTCAAGAGAACCTAGTGTCGAAGCTTGCACGCTGACACCGCGGCCAGTTGTGGCAACGCGACTGAATAGCTTGTTAAGATCGGACTCAACCTCCTCCGCAAGATCGTCCTCGTCGTCGTCAGGGCCAACTACAAGCAGTCGCGAACCGGCGATAGCACCCTCGAGACCGGGTGCACTGATCTTCACACCCATGGCTGCCTTAACTTCTTTGTTGTGGACATATTGAGACTTGACGCGCAATTCCTTCATGACAGCTGGCGTCAATAGTGCGCGGATGTTGGTTACAATGGCTCCCTCCACACCGCACACTACTATCCGATCGCCTTCCCGAAGAATACCGTTGGATAGAATAACATCAATAGTCATACCAAATCCTTCGATAGCCTTGACTTCAAGAACAGTTGCCTGAACTTCGGATAGGTACATGAGGGATCCCACCATCCTCTCTTGAGTTAGTTGGATGATTAGCTTCAGCATGTCGGGAATACCCTCTCCGGTGTGAGCTGAGGTTGGTACTAGCGACACATATCTGGCCATGGACTTGTTCTCGTAGTAGAGTTCAGCATTGAAACCCTGCTCGGCAAAAGCAAGCTTTGTCTGCTCTAATCGGTTTCTGAATTCATTCTGAACACCCTTGTTCTGAAGTGCCAAACTTTCTTGGAAGCCGTTGTTATCAACCTTCTTCCATCCATAGAGTCGATCGATTTTGTTGAGTGCGACGATGAAAGGGGTCTTTCGATCCCGGAGTAGTTTCATAGATTCAAGTGTCTGAGGCTCGAGACCGTGCATGATGTCAACAACCAAGATGGCAATGTTACAGAGCGAGGAACCTCGGGATCGAAGGTTAGAGAAGGACTCGTGACCAGGCGTATCAATAATCAATAGACCCGGGACCTTGAATTCGAATTTACCATCCGGATTGACCACAGCTGTCTTCTGCTTGATGGCATCGACAGGGAAATATGTGGCACCAATCTGTTGTGTAATACCACCAGCTTCGCCTTCTTGGACGTTGGTCTGTCTGATCTTGTCCAGCAACTTCGTCTTTCCTGTATCGACGTGTCCAAGAATACAACAAATTGGAGAACGGAGGTTATCCTTGGACCTTGCAGCCAAAGCGGCTTGATGGGCCTTCTCCCGTCGCTCAGCAGCCTCTTTCTTTCGCTGAGCTTCTGCAGCCTGTGCCGCAGTCTGTACTTCGTCCTCAGAGGATTCATCCTCAGATTCAGATTCTTCAGATCCAGGTTTGGGTCGAGAAGGTATAGCCTTTCCTTGTTCGGCTTGTGCTGCTGGCGTCTCCCCTTCCTCGTCTGTTTCAGCATCCCAGCTATCCTTTACCTTCTCCGTCTCCTCAGCAGCAGCGGCGGCTTCCCAATCCTCTTCAATATCTTCTTCTTCGGCTTGTTTTTGTTTGGCAGCTTTGGCGGCTGCCTCGGCCTTGGCAGCTTCTTCAGCGGCCTTTTTCTCAGCCTCCCTTGCTGCAGCTTCAGCCTGTTGTTTAGCTCGTTCAGCAGCTTCGGCTAAGGCCTTTTCCTCGTCGACCTAATAAACATAGGTTAGAAACTGCTAGAGGTGCAGACACAGGACGGACGCAATGGCACTAATAAATACCTTTTGATCATTCTTCTTTCCACGCTTCTTGTCGTAGACGACCTTCTTCTTTTTCTCCTCGCCGTCTCCAGAAGGACCAACCTTAATACCAGCAGCAAGCATCTGCTGAAGCTTTCTCTCATTTCTTGCCTTCTCTTCCTTTTGTGCCTTGGTAAGGAATTTTCCTTCCTTCTTTAGCTGTTCAATCTTTTCCTTCTCTTTTTGCTTCTTCCGAGCTTTCTCTTCCTCTTTTCGCTTGGCCGCTTCAGCTTCTTCCCGCTCGAGAGCTTCTAATCTGGCTTTTTCTTCAACCGCAAGACGCTCGGCCTCCTCTCGCTGCCGTCGTAACTCTTCCTGCTGTTTCTGAAGAGCTAACAGGTGTGGGGGGAGTTTTTTCCCCTTCTTGCCTCCAGCTGGCTCGGCTGCTGGCGCTGGTTCAGGGGTATCTTTCTTCTCTTCCACGACAGGCTTCGTGGCCTCAGCAGCCTTAGGGGCAGGGGCGGGTGTAGGTGTCTTCTTCTTCGCGGCCTAAGGAATCGCAAGTTAGACAATAAGGTCAACTTAAGACTCTTGAAAATTTTGCTCACCTGTTCCTTTTTCCTCTGCTTTTCTCTTTCCTTCTTCAACTTTTCCTTCTCGGCCTTAGTTAGTATCCTTCCGCCTTCTCCCGTCTCTTCGCCATCTGCCGCAGCCGCAGCCGCAGCCGCAGCCGCAGCAGCCTTAGCAGCTGGTTGTTTATTTTGCTTTCCACCCTTTCCTTTCTTTTCAGGTAGTGCGAACTCATCTTCTATGTTTGCTTCTTCGGGGGCTTTGGCTGCCACATCAGGTGTGGGTTCGGTGGTGGAAGCGTCGCCGCCGTCAACGAAGTCCTCCGACAGGCCCTTCTTCTTTCTCTTTTCCCTGTTCTTCTTCATCATGGCCATCAGGCCACCAACAGGTGCATCGCCCTCCTCATTATTCTCCTCGGGGGTTCCAGCAGCAGGAGCGGTGCCGTCTCCATTTGCAGGTGCTATCGACTCGCCCAATTCCGCTTCCCAGTCATCAGCTGCTTTTTTATTTCCCTTCTTCTTAGGCGGCATGTTTGCGGTTGGGTATGTCGCGGCTTGTTGATATTAGAGGAATATAAATATTTAATAAAATAATTGTCTAATACCTAGATAATTATTAGACACTAATAATCCCTCGTTACAATCGGCGAAGTTGTACGAGAGAATATGAATATGAAGGTATGAAGATGTGTGTGTGCTTCACAATATGACTGGAAGTTAATTAAAGATGGTGGAGTTGGCCGCTGCAAAACGGTGCAAAACCCACGGCGAGGGGCAAATTTTAAGTCGGCAGGGCCTTAACATAGAGATGCCGGAGGCACAATATCAAACTAGCAAGACCTAGTCGGAAGAATGCAATCACTAGCGGCAACAAGCAAATCACTTTTTCGCCGTTTCACCAATGTTGACTTATTTTTATAAAAGTCAAATGGAAGGAAATCTTTATTTCCTTGCAACGTGATTTCCAATTGTCGGACGTAAGATGTAAGAAGGGTTAGGGCCGTTATTGCCTTCTTTATGGCGGGGTAGCAGGCTAAGCAGATGGAGGCAGTGATGACGCCAAGCGCTGTACTGAAATGCAAATATTTCTGTGAATTAAGGCTGCACAATTACAAAGAACTAGCTTACTAAAAACAAAAAGTTTAGCGAGCAGGCAAGTTCCAAACTTGGTAGCCAGGGTACCTGAGTACCTACCTACCTGTACCTAAGCTGCTAAGGTAGCTTATCGATAACTGCCGATTAGATAACCATTATCGGCAACCGTTTTACCCCTTTTCTCAGGACTCATCATAGGTATGAACTTGATTCTCTAATATCAAACATAGCAAGCAGTGACACTACACTCACTTTGAAATTTACCAAGTAATAATAATTTTTTCATGCGTATTCCACCATGGGAAAGTCTGACTTAACTTTACTCAAGCGATAGCATAGTCAAAATGCTTCCACTTGAAAACTTCTCAACGGTTTCTGATCTGATATTCTAGAGAGTATGGTCTACTCTAAGAAGTCTTTCCTCCCTCCTTGCCCGCCGCAAAACAAGATCCTGACTGGGAATAAGAGGTACACCGCAAGTGTTGAGATTTTAAATCTACCTGGGCCATTCTCTTTTCTTCCACGATAGCCAACCACTAACATTCAACTATGCCGATCTGCATCAATTCCAATTAACATCGTAAGAAATGTATTTGGATTCGGATTCACGTCAGTTCAAAGCTCCTAACCTAATTGCAATCAAATCGAAATCAAAGGACGGGAGAAAGATAATACTTCAGGATACTGTAACCCAATTCATAGCACGCCGTGTTGCTATCAAGGTCTTGTTGTGACGACGATATGGAATCATCCTCGTCTAGGGGTTCCAGAAGCTCTTGAAACCGTCGTAAGTGCTGCGGCTCTGAAACAAGCTCTTCCAAGGCACGTTTCTCAAGGCATCGCTGCAGAATGTCCCCGTCTACTTGCATATTCGACTTAGGATCAGCTTTGGGCTCAAGGTCAGGATCATCAACTCTATCCGGCGAGGTATGTGGACAAATTGCAGGAGACGCCATGGCGAGGTTTTGGATGAATCTAAGGAATCGCCAAGCGTCTTCTCCCAAGAGGCAAAAGTGCTGAAGTGAGCCATCAATAGTAAGTCCTACGATATCCGATCCGGAAGGGCTGCTCTGAAGGCAACCGTAGCGCGCTCGCTTCTTAGGCGAGTTCCAAGGAGCCCTTATATATCCTTGAGCAAACCTCCTCACAGAGCCTTGGAGCTCTGCTTGAAATACCAAGCTCAATGGCCGCTCATTCTCAACAGGAGCCCACAAACCATGAATCCCACACATCGGATCGGATAACATAGTTATAGCGCTCAGAGGTGTACGTACTTCGATTGAGTGCAGCCCGATCCTACAGGTGTCATCCGTATGCAGCCGGACCATCGGACCGCTGTCGCTAAGCGGTTCACTTTGATAGTCGAGGATTACCAGTGAGTGTTTGGTAGTAAGTGCATGCAGCCGTCCATTTACGACCTGCATCCATGAGGCTGGGGATGGCAGCTCGTGTTGTCTAATAACTTTGAACTTGTTATGTTCAATTACGTGATACTGAACGCAATTTCCGACGCATAGGAATACTCCATGTTCATCTGTGGCAACCGACCATATTGGACCGTCCCGTATCTTCCGGTCAAATTTGGTCCAGAAACGTATACGCCGGGGTGAATCAGCTCGAGTCGGAATATCTTCAAGATCGGCTGAAATGATTAGTAGGAGGCCCTCATTATCTCTCCTACGCATAGCAAGGACGATCCAGTCTCCGTGGAAATTTCCAGCTCTATAAGACCACGTCGTGAGAGACATAGCTCTTGTGTCTGGGTTCCCAAGCCCCGTGATGTAATCCGCGCCGTAGTAAGTGTAGCCTTCGCTCAGTTTTGCTCTTTCCAGGGGTCGTGACAAATCACACCCCGTCACGGGATCCAGAAAATGCAACGAAAGAAGCCCGTCTTTCGAAACCACAGTAACCAGTGCCTCCAATCTTTTGTAGTAGAGAACTTTGACCGGTGTCCCATGGACAGGGAAATATCGTGGAACCAATTTTGGGCGAAATTGCAATTCGGTAACCATTATCCGTGGGCCAGTAATCATCACCATCGTCGACTTTCCGTATTCCGGAAGCTGTTCAAATAACGATGCCACGGAATTTATCGGCGGAGAGGGCATAGAGGGCCGATCACCGTCAGTCGGCCAAACACGATTGATTTGCTCAAAATGACCTCCTTGGCGTCCCGTTACGTAGCTTGTCATGAGCGTAAGCTCAGCGTCAGTGCACACCAATACCGAGTCAGGGTCTCCAACAATGCTACCGGGAAAAATTTGAGAAGGTGACACACCAAGTCTATCCTTATAAATCTCATAGTTTTCCGGTTGCGACTGGTCAAATCGAATGGTAAGCACATCTCCATTTCTTGTCCCAGTCACAATAACTGATTTGCCAGAGCGTTCGCCAAGGCTGACTATACTTGTCAAGGCCCCAAGCGCATTGTTTCCTATGATATTCGCTGTGCTGATATTCAGGCTCGGATTTGTTGTAGCTTAAGATATATATCAGTATAAAACCTCTCCGAGCTTTTTGAATAGGACCTACCAGAACGCAATTTCAGTAGAATGGGTGTTACTGACGCTTGTCTGTCTACTTCAGTGGGATATATTGCAAGGATTTGATTCCCACTTTGTTGAAGGCCTGCCAAGACTACAAGACTATTTCCAAAGTCTTCAGCCGCAAGGCAAGTAACTTCACCTTCAACATCGAATACTTTCCGTAGGGAAACTTCAAGGCCGATAATTCCAAGCAGGACAATACTGAACCTTGATCCAGAGTAAACAGCCAGGGCGATCACGTCTGACCTTACAGTTGCATATGCAACAACACTGCTGTGGTCTCTGATCACATCGCTTATCAAGCTTTGGGAGCTAATATTTAGATTTTTGTTAATAATTATCACGACCCTCGTACCAGGAGTTAGTGGAGGACTTACCAGCCTGTTGGGGTGGCAATTGTGATATAGTTCGTCGTGATTTGTATCACACCGCCATCAGCTTCATAGACAGCTAATGTAGTCGAAGAAAGGTCGTACGGTGTGGCCTCGTGGTCTTTCTCTGATGCCTCGGCGAGATCCCGGGTTAAGTGCAGAACAGCAGATTCATTAGGAAGGGCTAAAATAAGGTAGAAGCCATCTTCCGCGGCGCCGCTCAATTCAGAGATAGCCCAGCACTGTCTAATGTTAGAGGAATACGTGAGGTCCAAGCCAATTCTGGCCTGAAACCCATATCGAAATTCCGTAATAGCACCACTCATGCCTCTACCACTGCAAGCAAATATCTTGTCTTGCTGTGATAGGACTATACTTCCATTGCTTGCCAAGGAGGAAGAGCTTGGATCCTCATTATTCTCTTCGACAATTCCTCTTGCTGAGTTAGTCAAAGTGAAGTCTACTATTGGAGACCAATTCTGAATGGAGCCAATTCTCTGCGGAGACTGCCTTGCTTGAACCTGTGCGTGATAATAATATTAGCCAAGGCGATTATACCCATATTAAGAAAGGGGAACCTACATTCCAAACCGCACCTGGGCCGGAGTCCCCGCCAGTGACCAGAATATCTCCAAATGGATGGAATAGAGAGGCGAAGGCGGTGTCAATGTTGCAGTCCACAGATCCCATGCTCACGCTGGTTTCAATTTCAAATTCATCACCGCATTCAAGGAAATTGATGAAACCGTCTTCTCTTGCCAAGTATATAACGTCCTTGCTGTCGTGGTATGGGGGGTGGCGTATAGGTCTAGTCCATGCTGTCCATAGCGGTTCGCGGGTGCCATGGTGTAATGAAGTATCTTCCCGATTTACCAGTTCAAATTGGACAAATACCGGGGATCCACTCAATATATTTGAACAAGTTGCTGTAATCTTCTCCGTGATTACCAAGAATGCATTCCGCACTTTCAGAGGTACAACTAGTAAAGGCATACGGTAATCGTTGTCAAGACGATAACCAAACTGCTCATCCATAAAGGTCTCTGGGATGTCAAACCTACTATCCCATTCATATATTGCTAGTCTTGAGATTTCAGGCTGGACCAAAATAACCATCATGATTACTTGTATTTCATTCCCGTGAGTTGGATGTAGGAATTCAATCTTGTGGATTATACCCCTGACCGATCGCGCTGCCTTGTTCTTGATGGGCTGGAAAGGCTGCTTGAGAGCGTATTGGGCTTGCAGGTGTTCTATCGAATGAAGTTGAAACATGATAAATAGGGTCTCAGAACATGCAACAACTAAAAAGTTGGAAGAAGGGTCGATAGCCATGTGGAATCCAGGGCAAATGAGACGTTGCGCAGGAATTGTATGGGTGGATGTAAAGAAGACCCAGCTGTCGGCTGGGCCCTGCTGCAAGAACAGAAATACCAAGTCGCCCCTTTCAAGCACCAAGATTAGAATTTGAGGAGGAAGTCTGGTGTTGACATCTCGAGATCCTCGAAACGTGGTTCCCATGGCAGCCGTTTCCGAATCACCTTCCTCGACTTTAACGTGTGTATTGTCCTCGTGAATCTCGCTGGCTTTCCGGTAATACTGAGGCGAGCCCATGACCACAGCATTTCGTATCCTGGAGCCGAAGTCATTCTTTCTGACGACATCATGGAGCTGTCTATCGCGGCCAAGCTCACATATTTGAACACAATTATCCTAATCAAAAGTCAGAATACCTTAGATAAGTGAGAAAGGATATAGCATAGTGAAGCAAATCAGCATATAACAACCACTCCTTAAACCAAGTCGTATAGCACTTGTTCCTGAAGGTTATCTAGACATTAATCCTACTGCAAACAAAGTTGGCAGAGGTCATTTAGATCAATGATTGTTTGGGCCTCTAATGAATGCCTTCACAATAAAATAAGGTAAATGAAATGCTAGAGAGAAAAAGAACTTACACCAATTAATGCAACATCATTGTACCGGGCTGAACGAAGCTGCACAGGCAACACCCATCTCGTAACAGGGCTCTCAACAACAGTTCTGGTGAGTAGGCCACAAGTTGGCGGCTTCGAGAATGACTGCCTCCCCGTCTTACGATGAGGTGTGGTATTTTCCCTCATAAGCTCGTCGGCAGTGATCGTACGCGCCACCCATTCATCATTTTCCAGAACGTAAGTTTGTAGCGACATTTTAAGTTGTTAAAACGTACTGCTGGTCCTGGAAACAACGCAATAAGGCTGTATATCGAGCTGTAACTGTGAACCAAAATGGCCAGATGCTAGAGCCAAGGTATAATCAGGCTGAAGCTTTCGGCGATGTTGACGGAAGGATGTTCATTAATATCTAGTCAGGAGGGATCCGCAGTCGGCTCGAATAGCACTTTGATAATTCTCAAATCTAGAATCGGAGATCCGGAGAAGACCATGAAATGTTGATAGGTGATCTGTAGTAATAACGTCCCAGACTTGAGACAAATAGAAGTTCGGATTCGTTGAATTAGAATTAGAAGATGTTATAGGGTAAGGGCTTGAGATATGAAAGGTCTTCAAAGGTAATGTTATGCTCAACCAAGGTTCCTGTGTATCTGAGAAGGCGGTTATGCCTAGAAAAAAAAAGAAAAATAGATATATGTAGACCAACCACAGGTATATATCTAATCTCGCATAGGAACCGTTTGGAAGTTTGTTTGGTTCCCCCCCCAAACCCCTAAAAGGTGGGCGGGACACGATTTCAGATGGTGGATAGAAGGCAAGTAAGTGGTGCTTGGGATTTACTGTATTGCATGTGTCTGTGTCTGTTCACTAGACACTAGACACTAGACACAGTTAGACATGAACCTAGTTCGTTTAGTAGGTAGTCTTTGGTGCCAGCGTGCCAGGGGCTAAAGGATTTGTTCAGAAGTCCAGGCGTCCAGGTGTCGTTAGTACAGTAATATGGGAACTTTGTAAACCTACAACTTTGACTCAGCGGTCTTGGAAAGCTGCAGTACCCTTTTTAAAAAAACGATGCGGGGAAGCGCTTGGTCGTGTGTCCTTGACCTTGCAGGTGCGTTAAAATGGTGTTTGGGTCTTTCCTCACGCCAAGTAACAGTACTAAGGTTCTTTGCCTGTTCGCATGTAGACAAGTAGTACTTACCTCTTTTATTTTATTTTATGTTATTTTTTTTATTTGGGTCGTACAAGACGGTCTGCATAGCATTATCCTAAACTCTGAGAGAAGGTGGAATCTGGACGGCGTTGCGGGGCTAAAGCTTTCAATTCTACCTAACCGGGCACTTAGCTAAGGCAGCTACCTGTATTATATCCATCAACTTCCATATTTCCGTGACGCCTTCCATGCAGGACGATTAAAAGTGCTTATAAAATAGAAAAAAAAAAGGTTGAACCAAGTAATTCACTACCCAACCCAGCTTGGCTTATACATGATTTAATATAGGTAAGTATGACGTAGGAAAAAAAGCATATACTATGTACTTTTAATTACATAGAGAGATACAAGTAATTTAGGTGGAAATGCAGGTAATAAGGTAAGGTTGTTTCAACATAGGTATATACCTAGGTACCTAACCTAAGGTATATTTCCTGCATTAAATACATGTATCCAATGAGGTAGTACCGCAGTATCAAATGTAAAACCCAGCTTACACTTTGCAGTATTACTACTTCCTTAAGGTATTCCTTAGTATTAGGTACCTAGCATGCATGTGTGGTCAACCAACATAATACCTACATGTATTCTTTTCCAATGGCTATCGTACGGTACAGTACGCCTTAATTTTAGTTAGAACTATGGGGATTTGTTGCATGAAGGAGGTAAACAGTTCCTGAAGATATCGACGGATATATGGTAAGGTTCTTCTACCAAGAAAAAAAAAATATATATAAGACGTCGTCTCGGGACAAAGAGGCGCCCGCAATATCGAAACCCTTATCTAGATGATAATTATAGAAGCTGGTGGGAACACAATAGCCTTGTCCGGCATTTCTTTTACCTGCTACTTCAGCACAGAGCAAGCTAAGCTACAGGTACCTGTTTAATTGCGTTTCTAAGCAGCAACTCTCTTCTACTCTTTCGGTTAGATTATCGGAATTAAGATATAAATGTACCCGAATGAAGCAATACAACCCTAAAATTGCTTATACCTACCCCATCCACTACCTATTACCTAAAGTCGGGACATGTGAATGCAACAGTGCACCCCGTGGGTACCTCCAGTTGTGGTTGTGTTGTGTACAATAGGTACTTTCAGGTCCTTGTCTGCACCAAGTCCTTTAGAGTTTAGGTAAGCGGCTTTAGCGCAGTAGTTTCCGGGATCACCCCCTGGCACCTGCACATGGCGCCGCAAGGGTAGCTCACCGGACGGTACGACCCACTCGACTTCCCAGCAGCTGCCAGCATTCGAAATGTTGAATCTTTTTGAATCTTTTTTAAACTTTATTTACTCTTATTTTACTTATTCTTTTCAACTCCCTCGGTTCAAGCCCAATATCAAACATTACGCACTGCGCCTGTCGGATTCCTACTTTGTTAAGAATTACGGTGATCTATATCGTTCCTTTTCAACGCGCGTATTTGGTTTCGAGCGTTACGTGGGCCCGTATAAGAGGACACCTATCTAGAAACAGACATCCAGGCAGGCCTGCCTAATCCGTGGAAAAGCAGTTCCTAGGAACTCAGGCTGCACCTAGCGAATTTTCTATCTTAAACAGCGTTGTAGAGGGGGATTGAAAAGTGGTATATCTTGGGACCTTCTTCGCTGCATGGTGCCAAATGCCAAAGTTGTGACCCTCATAGGGCAGCAGCATGTCATTTGCCCATATAGACGCACAAAGCACCAAGTAAGGCAACTTGACGCGCAGCAGGAAACGGGCGAGACCGAGGTGTAATCGATCCTATGGCCTGGGATTATAAGGTCATCGACGGCAGCGAGGAGAAAACCGACCTGGGTTTTCGTGATGAGCCCGCATTAAACCACAAGCGTACCCGCATCCTAGATGCATGCAAGCGGAGAGACATCGACGATCTCCAAGCCTTAGCTATATCGAGGGGTGGATTTCTCACCGACGCCATCCGTTGCCAAGCATGTGAGTGTCCCGCGCGCCGCGCCCTGTCAATACCACTCACGCCCATCAAATCGGGATCATGAGGCTCAAGGTTCTTCAACAGGGCCGATATTACTGGGCGTTCACGTCGACCAGCGCGGGGAGCAGGATGGAATCTCCGATTCATGGACAACGCTAAAGAAGCATCGAGACGAGGGCCAGGTCAAGCTGGACGTCAATCGGAGTTTCGTTTACTACCCAAATGGTACAAGATGCATTACCCCCCACGAAGCACCCCCCGCCCCCGCCCACGCCCTTAGTTAAGCTGACCGAGGTTTGGCCAGATGATACCCAGGCGCAGCTCGACGAGAAGAAGTCGCAGCTCTCAGACCTTATCACCGAGGTGCTCCGACGGCAGCCATACCTCTGTTACTTCCAAGGCTATCACGACATATGCCAGGTCTTCTTACTAGTTCTTCCACCAGCCACGCGTGCCGCGGCTGTCGCCCGCCTATCCGCGCTGCGCATCAGGGACTTTATGCTACCAAGCCTGAACCCGTCTGTTGCGCAACTAAGGCTGATCCCAGACATTCTTCGGGCTGCAGACCCGACGCTGTACGCCCATGTATCACGAACGGAGCCCTTCTTCGCGCTGCCAGACACGCTGACCATGTTTGCTCACAACGTGCGACGGTACAGCGATATCGCGCGGTTGTTTGACGCCCTGCTGGCCCGCGAACAGGCTTTTACGCTTTACGTCTTCGCCCAGATCGTCCTACGTCGCCGGGACGAACTTTTCCTGCAGGACGAGCCCGATATGCTGCACTTTACCCTCTCTAAGCTCCCCCAGGATCTAGACCTCGACGCCCTTATCGTTAATACAGCCGCTCTTTTTGAACGCTTCCCGCCCGAGTCCCTACGCAGCTGGCGCTCGGTATCAAGTTCCAGCACCCTGAAGACCGTTCGCGACGTGAGTGCATGCGCGGCGCAAACCCTCGAGGATGGACATAGATTCTTCGAGAAACATCACCGCGAGCTCATATGGGCACAACGGCGGGACAAGGTGCTCCGGACGGCATGGGCCAACAGGGCATTGATCCTGGCCGTGGTTGTCGGCGCCGGCGCCGTGTACTTCCGGAAGGCGCCTATCTGGTCGAATCTCGCTTGGTCGGTACCAGACCATTATTTCTAGGATACCAGGATGGTCGATCGACGGTTCGTGGGATGTCAGGATGTTTTCTACTTTTTACGAGAGTACGTGAGAAAGTGTATGACAGCAGGTTAGGTTAGGTTAGGTTAAGGTAGGGTAAAGGGCTTGGGTTTGGGTTTATGATATACTTGCGCGCAACTCGAGGTTTTGGATCACACTGGTAGGCACAATTATAGAACAACATATATACTCTGAAGACAGACATTGTTACGATCGGGTTTTAGGACAAGACGGAAGGGCGGGTGGTAATTGTGATACGAAAAGAACATACTGCAGTAATGGGATAAGAACAGCCGAAGGTATTCTCAAAAGGTCAAATAGACGGCTGGCTAGCTCTTATCAAGTAACTAGGGAAGCCCCGTCTCAAGATACAGTCCCATTCAATCGTATCATGTTAATGCAGTTTCCATAGACGTTATCACAATAGTACATAAGGTACCTACCTAGGTAGTTTATCTCTACCTGGTAGTAGTAGTAATCCACCATCCCAAGCGCTCTACTCCCAAATCCCACAGCGGCAAAAGTCCCACCTATACCTTAGGTACCTATATATGTAAGGTACCTAGGCAGCCTCCTGAAAAGCCGTCTTCAACCCCTCAAAATGATCCTGCTCCTCGTCCGCCAACTTGCCCTGCGTATCGCTGATGATAGTCAATATGAGGCTGTAATTATTATACAGGAAGCGCTCCCTCTTCCTCTTGTCGGTGCCGAAGGCGGCGCTGTACTTGGTCAGGAAGGCCTCGATCTCGCTGCGCAGCCTGCGGAGGCTGGTGACGACAGGTTCGTCGTCGCCGCCCTCGGCGCTGAGCGCCAGGATGCCGTGGAGCAGCTGGCCGAAGCGCTGGGTGCAGACGTGCGGGGCGGCGGAGAGCTTGCTCTGCTCGGCCTTGGAGGCGAGCGGGCGCGTGGGCAGCGCCGTGGTGAGGGCGCGGACGGACTCGCAATGCGCGTTCATGATGGCCTGGAGGCGCGGCCACAGCAGCATGGCCGTGCCGTTGAGGTACCCGTCCGCGGCGGGGACTTTGCGGCGCTGCAGCTCGAACTGGAAGTGTTGGTTCAGACGGACGGCCAGGAGGACGCCGATGGCGTCGTACGTGTCGCCCACGAGGGACTTGGTCAGAGCCTGGCCGAGCTGGAAGGTGGGTTCGAATATGTAAGTGAAGTGGCGTGAGATAGTGGAATAGCTCAGAGCGGGTGAGAAAAATGATGCTAAGAACGTATATTCGGCCGTTGCGTTGTCGATCAAGGCGAGGTTAAAATTCCGGAAGGGAACCTCGAGGTAATGGGTAGATTGGTCTTCTTCGGCTAGGTAGGATGAGAGCGCGCTTTGGTTATGAGTGCGCAAAAGGTCGATCCGCCGACCTAAGTTGAAGGCGTCGTGGGGTGGTCCAGCAATTTTGGAACTAGAGAGGACGGTGCCTTTCCTAGAGGTGTCCTCGTTACCTAGTACATCCGTCCTGTCCAAAGAGTGTAACTTAATTTTTCGAAGAGCATTTTCGTAGCGCGTAAATTGGTTGGCGTAGTACCACCGCATGGTGTTCATATACGCCTGGCATATTTCATCGCCCAATGTGGCATGATGTTTATGGAGGAAGGAGTATAGATCTCTGAATTTCAGGAAATTTTGCTGTTGGATGATTTGGGCGTTGATATGTGGTGATCGTAAAGCTTTAATCTGGGCGACGAGGAAATCTCTTATTCGTTCGGTAGCTTTTAATACCAGCTTCTCTAATAGAGGGCCAAGGTCTTGCAGGCCCTTAGCACCTTGCTCAGTCGAGGCATTCTTCTTATGAGCCGTAGCTCTCTTATCAATCTCCGCGACAACCTTCACCCATCCTTCGTCGATATGACCATCGGCGATCTTGGATACTACTGTAGGTGATACGCTGATCTCTTCAACCACCGGTCCTAAGCCCTTCTCTACCGCCTTTCGGTTTTCTAGCCGTACATTAAGAGCCGTAGACCGCGCTTGTAATGTTTCGATGTCTGCGGATACAGTCGCAAGGTCATTTCGAAAGCTTGTGAGATTGGTTTCTACCGAGCTTAGTACCTCGTCACAGGCTCGTATTGATCGATGTAGTTCCTCGAACTTGGCCTTATCTCGGTCATCTGTTAGGTAGAGCAGTTAGCATAACACGGTGGGAGTAAAAGTCATAGAAAGAAGAAACAAGTGCGTACACTTTTCGGCTGCCTGAGGTCTATACACAACGGTATCGTCTAGCGCTTCCTCCTCTGACAATGCTAGCTCTCGAAGGGACAACCCGGAAAAATCAAAATCCAATTGGAGGTCCTCGGGCGATATCGAACTGACCGAGCTGGTCGCCGTCTTTGTATCGGAGGCTGCATGTTGCTTGTCGTCGCCCAAGAGGTTATTTAAAATATCTACGGGATCGGGCCCGGTGTATACCGTTCTCGACTCCTTTAATGTCGAGCCATTGGCTCTTCGGGAAGATACCAAGAGGGAAGAAGCTGAAGATTCGGTCGATGCTAAGGATAGGGTTGATGATCTAGGGGTGGTGGCACCGAGTCGTTGGGATGTAATATACGGACCTGATCCGCTCGGAGTTCGACGAGGCGCGGGAGAATACGAGCGGCTGCCGGGCTGGGAGGGAGCGGGAGACGATGACTGTCCGGCAAGCCGATCGAGCCACATATTCTAAATGCGAACGGAGATGAGATGAGCTATGAGTCGAGTCGCGTCATGACTCTCGCTATGTATTAGGTTAGGTTAGGTATAGACCGTGCCGTCAAGCTAAAAATGAAAATAAATAACAAATAAATTGCGATTACAACAAGAAATTTGCGAATTAAAAAAGGAGTGTGAAGAATGGAAAGACAAAAATTAGTCACGATAATACATCAAAGTCGGAAGTTAGGCTAGGTAGTTACTTGCCCAGGTGGTGAGCTCCTAAAGAAAGCAGATGAGGCCGTGTAACAGCCTCCGGCCGAGTCTCGGATTGAAAGCTAATGATTGATTGAAGCTTGAGACACATTCAGCAACATTCAGACACATGTCATGGCGAAGTATCAATACCCTATCGGGTTTAGACCAGCATTATGCTGCATAAGGTACCTAGGTACCTAAGTTTATCATGTTTTATCCGTACCTAATCCACAAATTTGATAAGATTCAAAAGCGGGTCAGCCAATGTACAAGGTAAGCCTACCTCCTAGGTGACGGTGTTCCAAAGGGATGAAACAGCCTAGAAAGATTGAAAAAACACTTGGTCCTCGTACAGGTGCCGATACTTTTCATGGAATAGTGACGCATGACAATGGCACAGGATGAATTTCAATGTTTACATGTTTAGGTGGCTGCACTGATGCAGAGCATAGGCACCTAAGTATTATCATAGAAATTTACCTACTTATAACTTCCATCCCAAGGATAAGTACCTAACCTAGGTAATGTAAAAGACCAAAGCTTTTCGCCCCTTCAGATGAGTCCAGTAACCTAACCGTACAGGTAGTGAGTGTATTTGCAGCTGAGAGAAGAGGGGCACATTCGCCCAAAAAACCTTAAAACTCTCACTAAAGTTTTTAAAACAGAGCGCTGTTAAATACTTAGGCCAGAAACGCCCTGTGAGTTGAGAAAATTAGTGATCGGCTTTGTGCGAACCTAGCCGCCTAGACTGGCCTAGGCTACCTATAAAAACCCACGAAAGCCCACAAAACTCTCCCCGCCAAAGTGCTAGAGAGAGAAAAAAATATATATATAAAAATACAAAAACCACTGGGGCTCTATCCTAAACACGGACCTAAACAGCCAATCAGAAACGGTACAAAGCGCGCGCCCAAATCAATTTTCTGGGAAGAAAAAAAAAATCCGTCTTTTTGCCATTTACGGTTCCTCCACTCCTACATTTTTTTTCAACCCCCCTCCCTCAATCTTTCACATATCTTCCCAGTCCTCCCCCCTCTACAAAAAGTCCACCAACTCATACTCGATCTTGGACATCTTAGTTAGGCCATTTGCGCATCTTCCCTTCTCTCTACCCTCTTAACACTTTCACTTCGGTCAATCCTTCAAAATGGCGGACGAGGTACGTTTTTTTAAAAGAAAAAGAAGCAACATTATCCAACACGTCCCTCTTTTTTTTTACACTGGCGATCGCAAAGGCGGGCAATGGCGGGCTGGCACCTAACCACCCCGCATCCGCATCACTACGCAATTACATAGCACGCATCTGGCACGCATCGCCAATGAACCTCGTGATATCAGATGCGATGCTAGATGCTGCTGCCTTCGTCATTAAACACACCTGTTTTTTTTTATCTGCCCAATATTCGTGGCGGCAATTTTCAGGTTCCGATTCTTGGGTAGTAGTCCTAACAAAATTTCTTACAGTTCGAGATCGATAACCAGGGAGATGCTGGTGCGTCTGCCACCTTCCCCATGCAGTGCTCTGCTCTGCGCAAGAACGGCGCCGTCGTCATCAAGGGCCGTCCCTGCAAGATCGTGGACATGTCCACCTCCAAGACCGGCAAGCACGGTCACGCCAAGGTCCATCTCGTCGGCATCGATATTTTCACTGGCAAGAAGCTCGAAGAACTTTGCCCCTCCACCCACAACATGGAGGTCCCCGTTGTTAAGACTAAGCAATACAACTTCGTGAGTACAACTCGTTCTACGCGCATTACTAGAGTTTGGGGACCGGATTACGCTAACAGACATGTACCATTAGTCCCACCTTGAGGACGGTTTCATCGTTCTTCACGACATCAACACCAGCGAGGAGCGCAGCGACATCAAGGTCCCCGAGGGTGAGATCGGCAAGAAGATCGAGGAGGCCGACGAGAACGGAACTCCCCTCAGTAAGCCTACTACTTGTCTCTTCGATTAGTCGCAAAATAACTAACGAACGTTATCTAGTCATTACCATCCAGTCCGCCATGGGCGAGGAGGCTGCCATCAAGGCCGACGAGCCCAGCCAGAAGGACTAAATTTCCAATTAGGGTAGTTGGGACTTAGGAAGAGGATGTCACTGGATCGAGCGTTACGCATGAGCCTCGGCCAACTTGGACATCAGAAGGGAAGGATTGTTTAACTAGCAAACAAGTAGCTAGGTTCGTATTGGGCGCTGACCCGCGGGGTTTTGCGTACAACTGTGCTATCCATTGTGGAGGAATCAAACATATGGTATGATAGTCCTCGAACTTGACATCTATTTCCATCTCTTTGAGGAACAAAAATGATGTGCATTTTGAGGATTTTTAGCAAAACAGGTCTCCTGTTTTTTATTAGCACTTGACTTGTCTTACAGAATCTACAAGGTCTCCCTATAATCTTTTTTTTGTACCTGGTGATATCGGCGATCTTGCATGTGTGACTTAGAAGCTATGTAGTCGAAATTGACTTGTATGAAAATTAACGTTTTGATTCTATTATGTATGTGCTTGCAAGTTTAAATGGAATTAATAATTATAATTATTAGATGATCATTGAATCCCAGACACAAAAAGTTGGGTTTGTCTAATAACTGTTCAAAATATATAACAGGGAGCGTGTGAATGGTAGTGCAAACCTAAACTTTCCAAAAGAACTTCAGGGGCTAACAAAGATATTATTTAAACCTGTAAAATAAGTGTCTTAAAATAGTGGTAAATATCGTAATTGAGAATCTTAGGTGGGTAGTATCAAAGAGCATATCCTCTCATAGGAAAAAAAAAAAGGTATAATTACTGTTTAAAAACGTACGTATTTCGTAGTAGTATTGGTTGCTTCTTCAATAGTTAACTATATTAAAAACATAAAAGCCGTTTCCTCGGACACCCCCACTATTAAGCACTTTTTTCCACTCTTCAACATCTATTTCAGCAAATAGTAGGAAGTCCACATAACGGGTGATGGCGGCCACCAAATACCATCGCTTTCGCGGCGGCGAGCGGTGCGACGAGTGCGGCGCGCGACAGTGGTACGCGCAGGACGCGATTCGGTACTGCCGAAACGGGCACCGTCTCGAAGGGTTTGCGGAGCACGAGGGCGACGAGGACGCCTTTGGGACCCAGGGCAAAGTGTCGCGGAAGAAGAAGGAGCCCAAGAAAAAGATCGCCGTCAAGCTCGCCGGCGACGAGGGGAGAGAGCTGTATCTCGAGGTCCTGCAGCTCATATTGCTGAGGCAGGTCTGGTGGCTCGTCCGGGAGAAGGGCTTCCCCGAAGATTTCGAGGAGATCGTGAGGGCCCTCTGGGCGCTGAGGGTGAGGAACTTGCCGCTGAGAGAAAGCGGACAAGGAAACCGCAAGCGGAAAGGGGACGCGAGCGAAGAATCGGATGGGTACGCTTCGAGCGCGGCGCTGTTCAGTTCGCAGAGCGAAGGGACGGGTGCCGAATCGTCGGATTTCGATCTCTCGGATACCACAACGGCTACTTGGGCCCCAGATGCCCGTAGGCGATGGAAACTGCCGAAACTCGTGGACAGCCTAGCTCTGTGCTACTTGGGCTGCTTGGTGCGACGACTTCCGGCTACGACGGCAGATTTCTGCGGCTGGGCTCAAAGGGGGGAGTTGGAATTTCTCGCGGCGGTACGATCCCTATCTAACAGTTCTCGCCTATACCTCATATACCTATCATGCAGGAGAAGTACTAATATAGCTATCTACTCAAGTTCAATAACATCCCACGTAATGTCCGAGACCGCCTACCTGCAGAGTATCATCGTGCTCTGCAAGTCAGAGACCATATCCCAGCAGGCCGACTGCAGACAGCCGTGCAGGAACTCGTGATATCATTCAAGGCCAACTTCGACACTATCTTCCCGCCGTTGAACTATCCACCTATACTCGCGAGACTCATAACGGAGTTGGCTCTCCCAGGTAAGCGCGGATGAACTTGTAAGAATTTAGATATCTCTTAACTAATCCGAACTAGTCGAAGTCTACCTTGTGGTAAAATGCATTACGGAGGTTCTAAAGGCGGATTACTCTTATCCTATCGGCGGGAAGAAGATTCGGGCGATGGATAATCCAGAAGTACTCTTGGCCGCCTTAGTTGTCGTATCTGCGAAGCTTCTCTATCCATTAGACGGTGTTGAGCGGCCTCCTCGAAGCCATTATGACCCCCGAGCTACGAATATTGACTGGGGAACGTGGCGGGAGAGTATGAAAGATGACAAATCGGTAGAGTCTTCTTTGGTACGGGGTGAAGAATACAAAGTTACCCCTGAAGACGCCTTGACTATGGACAAGGAGAAGCTGGACGATTTCATGGACTGGTTCGAGAAGATGTGGATTGGAGACGGCGAACCAAAGAGTATGCTATATTTATTCCATTCTATATTTTGTTCGTTTCCGCAAAGCTAACTAACTCTGCCCCCTTTTCCCAGCTGCTGAGAGGATTCGAGAGCCTTTTCAGGGCCAAACGCGCCCCTCTAATTCAAGCAACCCGAGTAAACAACCAGAAAACACGGACGTGGAACGCATAAGAAGGAGATACGAAGCTGTAAATAACTCGGTAAAAATACTCGAACCAGTTCCTGTCGATCCCGAGGACTCGGGGAAACAGTTCAGGCAAGATTTCTGCCCTACTTGGCGGACCCCGGAAGAGCTCCCGGACGCCGCGAGAGTTTTCTACGAGAAGGCAGCGAGTATTGCGGCTATACCGCTACATACGCTGGTTAGAGGTGCTACGCAAGTTGAGAGGCGGTTGGAGGTGTGGTGTATTGAGAGGGCGAAAGAACGAGATAGAGAAAAGGGGAAGGACAAGGGGAAAGGCAAGGCGATTTGGACTGGGGATGACTCTGTTTGAATTAAAACAGGTAGTTATATTTAATGTTGAGTTGAGTTAACTTGATTAAACCTCGATGATATACCATATTGTTATAATCAGCGCATCGAACACTTGCTCGTCATATCGATCAGCTTAGGTAGACTGAATAATTCATGATACAACGTAATATGGATTAGGTACGTACCTAAAGCTGTGACAGTCCGGCTGTCTGGGTTCGAAACACAGTGCGCTAACTTTTTAGTCTGTAAATCAATCAGGAGTGGGGCTGCCACAGAAACAGCTGGCTTCGGCTGTCAAAAAATCTCGGACATCCCCATGCTACCTTAAAAAGAATTTGATCAGGTGACTTCCAATCCACTAGGGTTCGTTTGCAGTGGAATTTCAAACCCCCACCGAATTTCCCAAGCCGACATCATCTTGGAATTCTCCTCCAACACATTTCGTTCACGACAGACAGCAAAAAGTAAGTCAACACCCCGTCTACGAGACTCATAATTTATTCCATGCTAATTAAAATGCGTCTATAGTGCAGATGTAAGTTTTTCTAGATATCATATCGCAATGCGCGCATCGCAAAATTCCCCGACCCCGAATCGACACTACCCAAAAAAGAGAAAGAAAAAAATATCTAATCCGAAAACGTGCCAACTGACGAGAAACAATATAGCTTCGTGAAGACCCTGACGGGCAAGACCATCACCCTCGAGGTGGAGTCTTCCGACACCATCGACAATGTCAAGTCCAAGATCCAGGACAAGGAGGGCATCCCCCCGGACCAACAGCGCCTGATCTTCGCTGGTAAGCAGCTCGAGGACGGCCGAACCCTCTCCGACTACAACATCCAGAAGGAGTCCACCCTCCACCTGGTCCTCCGTCTCCGTGGTGGCATTATCGAGCCCTCGCTCAAGGCTCTCGCCTCCAAGTTCAACTGCGACAAGATGATCTGCCGCAAGTGCTACGTGAGTCGCCCTACGATGACCAAAGCTGATCCATTCGGCTTAAGGATAACTAACCAATGCTGACACTTGCACTTCTCAGGCCCGCCTCCCTCCCCGTGCCACCAACTGCCGCAAGCGCAAGTGCGGCCACACCAACCAGCTTCGACCCAAGAAGAAGCTCAAGTAAACGATTCGTCACAGCATGTTCCATCTCTTCGGCGTCTTTGGTTTGGGGTGTTATCATGAGCACGCTACGGACAGGGTGGATAGATATTTACCGATAACCACTGCGATGGGAATATTTGTTTCCTTTTTTTTCTCCGCGAAAACTAAGAGATAGCTGAGCCTAGGCTAGTTTTAGTGGCAATGAAGTTGCGATGCACATGAGTAAAAGACGAGAACATTAGTATGAAATCAGTGAATGTGTTTATGGCGAGTAATTGATGTGTTACTTCAAGTACTCCAAGTATATATCTTATATTACTCTCAAGTTCGTAATCTTTCATATTGCCCTTTGTAGCGCAGAGTTGTTACCTATCCTAAGGCCTTACTTCTTCACTTATAGGTAAAGAATTCACTATTTAGCAGTTGCATCTAGATACCTAGAGACTACTAAAGCCAGTTATAAGTTATATCCTTCGCTAATTCGAATATGCCTTACGGTATTATAATTAAATATTTATATTCTAAGATAGCACCAAATATTTACCACTTGTACAAGAGTAAATTCATATATAATTATTTCTTCAATGTGAAGACTTACATGCATAGATCTTACAAAGGCGTTCGATTACATGCAGGTACATCAAATAGGTGATAAGATATGATGGTACTTAGGTACAACCCTCCTGTCCCACCCAACCAAACGTCTTTTTTTGGAGCTTTAAACCTTGCAACTTAGAAAGAGCTCAAGGCACTTAGACGCGGCTAAAGATCGGCGGTGCTTCCGTGTCCTCAAACTACCTAGTCAAGTTCCACGCCCGTACAGCAGCAGCTTCACGTTAATGAATCGTCGTCATCGTCGTCATCGTCGTCGTTGTTATTCTTCGCAATAATAATCGAAGCAGCAGCAGATTGATTTGCTTCATTCCACCTTTATACATCAACAACTATTCCGAAGCGGGCGCAAAAAAAGAAAAAAAAAAGAAGAAGAAGAAGATTATATCAAGATGGCGAACGCGGGCTACGACGCCGTCGTAGATATTGACGATGAGGTATGTTTGACAGCTACCTACCTTAGGTAGGTACCTACCAAATTAGGTACCTATTATGCCATCAACCACACGTACCTACGAAGAAGCCAAGCGTACAAAATACTAACTGACAAAACCCCCCAATCACTCCAGGGCGACCTAGGGCACACCGACCTCCAAGAGGACCTCGAATTCCACAACTCCAACTTCCACGAACCGGGCAGCAGCACGCGCAAAGGCGGGGGCGGCGCTCCCTCGTCCGTGGCCGGCAGCGGACTGCCTCTCCCCGCGACGGCCGGGTCGGGCGTGGGCGGCGGTGGTCCCGTCTCCTCGAAGCGGTACCTGTGGACGCTGTCGTTCTACGCGCAGTTCTTCGACGTGGACACCTCGAGCGTGCTGGCGCGGTGCTGGGCCGCGCTGTACCCGCGCGCCAACTTCCTCGACGTGCTCGAGGGCAACCCGGACCTGTACGGGCCCTTCTGGATCGCGACCACCGTCGTGCTCATCTTGTTCCTGGGCGGCACGATAAGCTCGTACCTGGCGAGCGAAGGGAAGGGCTCGTTCGCGTACGATTTTAAGCTGTTGAGCGGTATGTCTGGTTTTGTTTTCTTGTTTTTTTTTTTTTGTCTTTTCTTTTCCTTCCTCCCTTTTTGAGAGGGGGAGGTGGGGAGGAAAGGGGGAGGGGATAGAGTGAGAGATAGAGATGGAGATGGAGGTATAGAGAACGATAGCGGGAGAAGCTTGTGCTAACGAACGCCATATCTATATAGGTGCCGCCGGCCTTATCTACGGATACACGCTCGTCCTACCGGTAGTCCTGTTCGGCGCGCTGCGGTACTTCGGGTCCGAGTCGGCGAACCTACTCGAGTGCTGGGCGCTGTACGGGTACGCGAACCTGATCTGGATCCCCGTGGCGCTGATCAGCTGGTCCCCCATCACGATCCTCAACTGGGTGTTCGTGGGCGTGGGCTTCGGCCTCAGCGTCGCCTTCCTGCTGCGCAACCTGTACCCCGTTCTCAGCGCCACCGACCGCCAGACCAGCAAGATCCTGCTCATCCTCGTCGTCGCCCTCCACGCCGGCCTCGCCATCGCCATCAAGGTCCTGTTCTTCGCTGCCGGGAGCCCCGTCGCCGGAAACAAGCCGGGGGATGCCCCGTCCCCGCCCCCGGCAGCGGGAGGGGGGGATAAGCCCGAGGGAGGTGCCATGTTCCTCTTTTAGTTATAGTTAGTTGAGGGTTTTTACCAGGGATTTATTAGGTTAGGTATCTTAGGTACCTATTTGTATGGAGAAAGAAAAAAAAAAGGGAAAAAAAGAGAAAAGAAAGGAGCCGAAACGAACGGTAAGGAGGTCAAGAACGAGGTGACGAAGATTCGACCTGATACTGTATGGCTTTTTATGGGCGTTGGGCAGGACCGGTGCACGATAGTGTTATGTACAATACATAGCTGATATTTTCCAGTTCTAATGTATCATGAGGCCAATTCAGATTTTTTTGAACCTTTTAGCTCTTATCTAGGTCAGGTACATTTAGAGGTATATACCTTGTATCTCTTCTCGTGATATCCCGCTCCCTTTTATATACAAACACGGCGAGAGTAGGGAGTAGGGGTCATCACAAACGACTAACTACCTAACCTACCCTAGGTCATCGCAACTAGTTATTGCCATATAATTCCCAACTTCTCTCCTCTTCGTATCGAGCATCGGTCCCTTATTTATGTACCTTAGGTTAGGTTAGGTATTTATTTATCCCAGCCCAGTCGTGGGTATCTATCTCTCTTCCCAAATCACCGCTCGATCTTCCCCCCCTTGGCCACCCAATCCAGCCAGCTGCCGGGGTACTCGCCGACGTTCTTCCAGCCGGCGTCGCGCGCGATCTGGGCGGCCGCGCGACTGCGCACGCCAGCCTTGCAATAAAACACGACTTCCCCGGCGCCGGCGGCGCCGTCGGCGGACGGGGGCCGCTCGAACCCGTAGCGCGCGGCGAACTCGGCCGCCGGGATGTGGAAGCTGTCTGGCGCGCTGCCGATGGGCACGTTCAGGGCGCCGGGGATACGCCCCGTCGCGACGAGCTCCGTGGGCTCCCGCACGTCGATTATGGTGACTTTGGGGGAGGAGGAGGTGGTGGCGGCTTGGATCTAGAGGGGGGAGAAGAGAGAGAGAAAAGTAAGTAAGTAGGTAGGTAGATAGGGTAGGTATAGGTATGTAGGTCGTCAACGCACCTGTTCGAAACTCCATATCTTGCTCTGGCCCCCGAACGCTGCTGAATCGGAGGAGGACCACCGGATACTTCTTCTCGGGGCAAGGCGCGGTAGGACTTGTGGTGGCGCAAGGGCGCTCGGTGGTGTACCACATCCCCTCCTCCTGGTTGCTCGCGATGTCGTGCCGAAGGAATCTCGTAGGAGTAGATGCGAGGTAGCTATGGGTATACTGGCCGAGCTCGAACCCGAACGCAAACCCATTAGCCGGGAGGTGCTGCCGCGTAGAGCGGCACCGGCGCCGTTGAGCGCAAATCGTCGTGTCGCCATGGTGGGATGTATGTAAATGTTTTTTTTTTTTTTTCTGTTTTTGCTAATGCGTTTCCTTTAAGCTGTTGTGCTTGTGTAAATACATAAGGTACCTAAGGTAAGTACCAATATTTAAACAACGTCCACTACAAACAATTCGTCTGAACTTGGATGTACCTTTTGTATATATTTTGATAGAGGTTGTATGTATAAATAATTGATGTAATTCAACGCCTGCAATCTGCTCTCGATTAGGTAAACTCGATTGCAAAGCTCCAGCTAGATACTAGGTACCTAGCTCCCATGTGATGTCACGGCAGAAGTCGGAGAAACGCTCCGTACCGCATGATTGGAATTTCCAACCAATAGGTACTGCCCCTTGGGTTACCTAGGTAGGTACCTATGTACTTCCTACGTATAAGATCTAAAATCTACCGTAGATCAGGTCACCCATCACGAGTCAACGTTAATAACACACCATCTTTGTAAGATCTATGCCTACCTAACTTATAACGAGTTTTTAACCTCTTATTACGTTCTTCCACCCAAACTTTGTTATATACCTCTTAGAAGGCATAGGGAATTATTTCTCAACCTCAACATTAACCCACTTCATCCCATCTCCCAAGCCAACTTAACGTCACAATTATTACCTAGGTAGATTCACAACGGGACACCACGTTTGTTCAAATTTAGGTCTGATTCGACCGCTATGGACATTTAACCCTTGTTGATATAAACATCCTCCAGCAGTAGCGTATATACAAGACCATTATTACTATTACTATATTCTACTTTCATCTCTTTCGTTAGACGGCCATTTACATGGCTATTATGATCCTTTTCCATACCCATGTCATTCCCAATTGACGACACTACCACTTCCTCTCTTCAAACGTAAGAGGGCAGTCATCCTGATATCAGTTAGCATCGAATACATTAAACTAGTCCAACATGTGAAAACTTACCTTGGGGAAGATGGTGGCAAACACCTTGATCTCATCCGACTCGGGAGTTGCGTGGTGCTTCCAGTCGAGCTCAACTGAAGCCTTTCCAATCATGAGGGCCAAGTTAAGTTGAGCATAATGTTGACCAAGACAATAGTGAGGACCAGTTCCGAAAACGAGGTAGTTCTTGGCCCCCTTCTCCTCAGCGTCGCCAGTGTAGTATCGTTCAGGGTCGAACTCGTCAGGGTTCTCGTATACCTCAGGATCGCGAAGAGCAACATACGTGGTCGGAATGATCATGGCACCCTTGGGGACAGTGTAGTTCTCCGTGACAGGGAAAGGCTTCTTGGCCTTGTAGGGAACCATGATGACAGGAGGGCGCCATCGGAGAAGCTCCCTGACGACTGCGCGGGTGTACGTCATCGATTCAAGTTGATCCAAGTTCACAGGGGCGTGGATGTCACCATTTCGCACGCGGTAGTTTTCCTCGCGGACACGGTCTAGAACGTCAGGTCGGTTGGCCAACACCTGGAACATGTTGGTGGCTGCGCTCGAAGTAGCATCCTGAGAAGCGAACAAGAACGTGAAGAGGGTTCGAGCGATCTCCATGTCGCTGAAATCGCGCAATAGAGGTGACGGCTTCACCATACCTTCGGTTGAGAGACCCTTTTCGACAGCTTCATTCCATCTCTTGGAGGCAAGTATGTCCTTGATCCAAGCATCCATAATACAGGTGATTTCGCCGCCAGCAGCCATGCGGACCTTAGACTTAGCGGCACATTTAGCCAGCTCGTCCATGACCATGCGCGCAGCTCGCTTTCCGTACCAGGTTCGGGTGTAGGGAATTATGATCGGGAAGTTGACAAGGTCGAGAGCAGCAGTGACCAGATAGTAGTCATCAGCGATCTTCTTGCAGGCAGAGTCGGGCATGTAGTATCCGGCGAAAGTTCGAAGCGATACGGTACACATCAACTCGCGGAACTCGTGCATGAAAGGGATGGGCTTTCCTCCAGCCTCTTTTGTCAATCGGAGGAATCTAGCGAAGTACTGCTTATAAACAGCCTCCTGGCCGGGCAGGTAGCACTCAAGAGCTCGTCGGGTGAAGAGACCGTTCAGGCCTTTGCGGTAGTCGACGTGGGCCTTTCCATCTAAAAATACCCAGCTGTCCTCTCCAAGGATTTTCGTGGCAATATCGACAACGCAAGGCTTCACATACGTAGGGGAGTTGAAGACTTTGCGAGACAAATCGCGGGAGGAAGCGATAACGACGAACCTGGGAAATCAAATTAGTGATTTCCAACAAGGCGAATGTTGAAGAAGAAAAAAAGGCGCATACTTATGGAAGACAGAGACGCAGCTAAGGGGACCACTGGCCCATTTTGCTTTGTATTCTTCGAATTTAGGGTTGAGAGATTCGAGAAAAGGGCCCATAAACGGTAACTTGAACGCGGGACCGACGATGGAACCTTTTTGTACGAAATAGCTGACTATTTAGAATTTTATTAGCCAATGCGGTTCGCTTTACGCCTTGCTCCAGATATTCCACTCCTGAGACATACCCTGATCATACGCGACAGCTACAGCAAGGAGGGTAAACACCCATGTCATCAAACTCGCATTAGTGATGGTGTTGATCATATAATCGACCTGAGGAGGCATGCCCCCGACCGAAAAATCGGCCAATGGCGACGTAAAACTCGTCGCGTTTGCAGCCATGGCGACCAGACTGCCTTTGGTGTTGGGGTATTATTATTGCGCCGCGGTCTTCTGTGAAAGAGAGTGGTGGGAAAAGAAGCGCCCAGGATATCCCGAAATCCACCAAGAAGAGAAGGAGAGGAGGTCAAAATAAAGGACAGCGACGACCCCTTCGATACGGAGAGAAGGTTGAACCAAAGTTGAAAAAAAAGTGAAAGGGGTGAAAGGAGGGTGAGGTGTGAGGTGGTGGTGGATATTTGCAGGAATCCAGGAACAGGGAAAACCCCCCACTAAAATTTGTTGGATTAGGATTGAATATTGATTATCGGACAGAAAAACCATGAACCCTTCTTTTACTGAATGGGTTATGGGTTCACAACAACCTGCAACCTGACACCCCTGCCGAAAGGCTAATACCTTGGGTACCTGGTATTCTAATTGACATTATTAGGTACTCCCGCAATCTTATGCACGGATAGTACGATATCCGCACCTTCGGTACATTGATGACATAACGTCAGGTACCCCATATCACTTCGCTGATTGGCCTATCCGAATCTATCTATATGCACCTCTTCGTTCCTACCCAACGTTAAAGGTGTTGCAGAAGTTACTCCCCGTTACTCCCCGTTTCAATCCCGCATAAAAAAAAAAAATAGGTAACGTCTTACAAGTGTAATAAGGCAGGGGCAGTGACAGTTAGGTACCTACCTAACCTACCTCTACCACATGCAGGAGGTACCTGTTTAGGTAGATTAACGCCGTTTTGGTCTGCTAGTCGCTAGCTTACACTAGGCCCCATGAGGAGAGCTACCCTTCTCTTCGCGCCGTGTTCTTCAACGTCTTTTTTTTTCAATATTAGACATTACTAATTTGTTTCGTCAATAAAAAAAAAAAATAAAAAAAAATATAAAAAAAACTATTAGGAACCCACATCAGTGCGCAAGTGCCGCACATCTAAAACGTACGAGCTCATATCGTTGTCTCGTCTTCATTTTATCTAAAGAACGATAGTCGCATCCGCAATGGCTTGCCAATCGAATCATTCACATACGTCGCTATCTAATATCGGTTGATTCCACGAGTCCGGTCTTTTGGGGGGTTTTTTAGTCCTTAGGTATTGACAAAAGGCGGCCCGTACCCCTGTTCCTAGAGGTGATGCAATGCAAGTCACCTTTCAGACGAAGAGAGAGAGCTACCAGGTATGTTAGGTACATATCTCGCTCCCAACTCGGGCAGGTCGGGTTTAATTTACTTTTGGAATTGGCCAATCAGCCGAGCTGGACGCCTCGTTCCGCTATTCACCGCTCCTCGATTCGTGGTCCAAGCTCGCGAGCTTGAATACGAATACGAAGCCGAACCGAATGCGGAGGTTAGAAGGTTAAATTGATGATGCACGATTTGTTATGCCGATCCTTTTCGTTATCTACATAATATTCCGATGCACATATTAAAGACATGCATGTAAAAACCACCAACTATTATTCCCGTAGGCAATGAACACTAACAACCCAATTTCCACCCAGAGATAACATGGAGTTACTATCATCGGTCTGATATTAAATAGAAACAGATGCTACAGTGAATGGCTTACTTCTAAGCATACTAGCTATCTTCTCCTTTCGGTAATCCTCGACGACGAGAATGGATTCTAGGCATCATAGTGAAAGCGAAAGCCCGATGCTGGGTGGACTTGGTTGCGCAACAAACTTGAGGTAAAGTAAGTTACCTGTTATATTATAAATGAAAAGTGATTACATATGTGATCAAGCTATCGACGTGAACTGCCTGTTTTAGATGACCATCGGTGAATATACGGCTCTAGGTATTTATCCAAGCGTTAGGTATGGTTGAGTTTGTATCTCAGTCTCAAATCCAACAAGGCAACTCATTAGATTAAATGGAAATATATATTTAAATATTATGAAACAGCATTGGTCGTCACCCATAATACTTTAATAACCGTGACTTAAGATACCTATCATTTCCATATTCGAGAATTGTTGGAAACCTAGAGTTGGAATATCTTCCGAAGTAACCTACAGTACATTGTATATAAGTCAGGAGACGTAGTGTATAGGTCCAAGTAGAAGAAAAAGAACTTACTAGATGTTCAGCATACATGATTCAAGGCTTACGGTTCGTCGATTCACAAGTAAATTTAGGTAGGTATTCCATTAGCGTTCACCACATCATTTTCCTCTTCTGCGATACTGAATGCTAAAGTTAGGTATATTAATCAGAACCTCAACCTAATCGTGTTGTATATCAGATATCAGATAACAGATGAGTTCAATAAACTCCTCGTCTAGCAAGCGGCTTTGAAAGCTACTTCGTTTTTACAATGCCAATCGGCTACCTAGCCTTGTATATGACTGTCGGAATCCAGTCCTACAATCCCAGATCAAGGACTACCGTCTATTCAAATGATGAATTCGTGTAGCTATGTCGAATTCCAGAATAGTGTCGACACGGCTTCGAGTCTCTTTTAATCCCGATCTTGTGACAACAGTTCTTTATAAGGTAACTTTCTTTCTCGCGTTAGGTTACCTATGCAAAGAGTAGTTCGGCTAGGTATGACCAACTAGTCTTCTATATTAGAACACCAGTATTATATAACGATAATGAAAATGCTAGCCTACCTACCTACATAAGAAGCGGCTTACAGTCTCCACGAAGACATCACGAATAGAAACTCGAACGTCGTCGTCAGCGCCATACGTATTCCGCATGTCTTGGCAAGGGAAGAAAAAAAGAGCAAGAAAGTAAGACCTAAACTCCAATACCTACCCAGACTGGGAATACCAATCGGCAGTTTCTTGATGCTAGCCTTAGGCACCTGGTGTGTGACGGCAGCATACTATACTATACCATACTACACTAGGTAGCGTGGATGAGTCAAGGCCGAAAAAAAAGGTCGTTGCGTTTCCCCCCGGGGAAGACTCTTCGGCCGTGCTGCCTAGGCTAATGCATGCGAAGACAAGTTACTAGCTAACCCAAGGTAAAAGAATCTAGTCTGAATGAGGCTCAGCTTACGATATACTACCTACCTAGGTACCTACCTGCTACTACAGCCAGGTATGCTTTGCGGGGCATCGAACGCGACATCTAGGCTGCCTTTATGATTACTGTTATTTTTCAATGCGCCTCGGAGATAGACTTTCGGCATCCCGTAAGGCAGCAATGTTTCAACGCGCGCCGGGTGGGTTGGTTGGTTTATCTTTCCCATGGAAGGGTTCCCGGGATCGGGTTTCGGTGTTCGGATATGTCCTCGAATAGGATAGGCGAGGTTTCTAGAAGCGGCTCGTCGGTAGCCGAAAGATGTAAACTACCTACCAGTGAGTGATGTGCCAAATGCAATGAGGACAATGGAGAGAGCCTCGCCAAGAAACAATACTATCCACAATAGAGATGGGTATACGTAAATCGTCATGCAATAGCTTACTTCCTAACATAGCGTACCTGCGCGTACCTACGCGTCTTGTCAGCACTTGTTAGTTGTCGAATATGTTCGAGTGACGAATCCCCAGAATATAGTCGCTGGAAACTATAGCGTATTCACGGAATCGCCCTATTCAATGAGCCAAGCTTCTGACTCATCCGGGACAGTGTAATGTACCATACATGGATCGGTATGATCTTGTATCAAGTATCGATGGAAACCGAAACTACATATTTCGCCTGCTTACAATACGGCGATATGCATTGCCTAAAGCGGCAGTATGCCGCGATATAGAGCGTGACTTTGTATAAGCGTATGTGGATGGCTATGTTGACCCGAGCACTTGAATTCAAGATATAAGACGTTCCCTTGCCACCTGATTCCAGGTAGCAATCATACCTCTTTTGTGTCTTCATAGATATCACAAAGCCGTCAAATCATCAAACGAATCAATCGCATCAGATCGCGTCAACGACCTTGTCCTGCAAGGGATTCGCAAAGTCCAGCCGACCTAGCCTTCACAACCATATCGACAGAACTATCTATATCTACCTAACCTAACCTATTATCCTCTTGTTACCGTTTCCTCCGAGTAAAAAAGCTGTCGTATATCTACCCCCTATCTACCTAAAAGCAAGATACCATGAGCCAAAGTCAAGACAAATCCGTCCTCGACGTCGAGAAGGCCCAGCCCGCTTCCTCGTCCGACACAGCCTCGGTATTCTCGACGAGTTCGTTCGGCAGCGCCAAGGCCTTGCTCAAGAAGCACATCCCGGGCAAGTCCAGCAAGCCCGATAGCTCCAGCACCGGCACCGGCTCCAGTCCGAGCCCTACCCAAGCCGAGCTGAACCGGATCGCGCAGCGGAACCAAATCAGGATGAACTTCTAGGTAGCCATTGCTATGACTACTGTTCATACCTCCGCGGACAAATGGGGAAGACGAAGATAGGCTAGTGGGAAAGGAGTTTCGTTGAGAAGATCTGGCGTTTTCTGGGTCATGGATGATGAGTACGATGGATATTATTATGATTGACGGCAATATCTCAGTTAGGTACGCTTATGGATGAGAGACGGCGTAATTTGCTAGGGACGGGAAGTAATAAATAAGGGGGTATCTTCTGTTTTTTGTCTAGTTAGGCATTTACTCATAACAGGTACAATAGCAACGTATCATTGTTGCCACTCTATCCGACTTGATCTCGTTAACATGCGCTGTGCTGCCGAGGACATTATTTGTTACATAAATCGCTAGAACGTATCGTCTAGGATATCCTGGTTCATCTTGACCATCGTAGGACTATATTCAGATGAATCTTCTAGTGCGGCGCCGGCTGTGATTAGAATGTCGTCGACGATCCGTTTGCTTGCTTCTCGTGCTGTTCGTTATTATTAGCATTCGTCGCTAGTAGGTACTTCTGAAAAAAGATGGAGTCAATAACAGAAGGTTAACTTACCGGGCGTCTGCATAAGTTTACTTGGGGGCAGCGCAAACTGAATCGTCTTCGGCGGGCTCATCCCGCCAAAATCGTCGTCGTCGTCGCTGTCCCAGTTGATCTCATCGGGATCCCTCTTGCCTTTACCCTTACTCAACCCCTTATCTCTGGCTTCCGCGAATATATCCCTCGTCTTCCTTGCCGTACCTGGCGTCTGTACGCTGATGCCGGGTGTCCTCGGTGTATCGCTTACAACCGGGCGACCTCGTGCTAACCGGATGGGCGACATGTATAAGTCGCTCCGCAGCTTCGGCATTGCTATCTCGGGCGAGCTCATCGGACTCTCGGCCCATAGAGCCCTGCGAGTTCTGTCTTCTTCTCCCTCGCCGGCTTTGACAGGGGATCTACCGCGAACGGCGCGCGCGTGTGGTGGTAGAGCAGCGGTCTTGTGCGGCGTAGCTTGCAGCCGGTAATTCTTATCTAGGATACGATGTAGTAGCGGATCCTTGTTCTTGCTGATTGTAGACTGAGGTGCTGGCTCTTCCAACAAGGACGAAGAACGCGGTGTCATAGACATATCCGGCAGTCTTGATTGGTTGCTTGTCCTCGTATGGGCTGGCAGTTCTAAGGTGTCGTCGTCGTCATCGGCAAGTAAATCGTCCTTAAAGATAGTGTTCTCGCCTTTGAGTTCGCGCCGTAGTTTCTCGTAAGGCGATTCGAAGTCGGCGAACTGTGGCTTCTTCATGTGCGGTAGTGACTTGGTAGACGGCGCCCGCGGTGTACTTCCAGTTATCTCGGCATGGTCGAGGATAGAGTCATCGGGCATGTGGTGTTGTTCCTGCTGTTGGTCGGCGTAGGCTGACTGTTCAACAGTTGTATCGTCTTCGGTAGCTGTGTTGTTATAGTTGGATGTCGTGTCTTCTAGAGATGTTTCTTCTGCCGTAGTAGTTTCGCCATCGCCGGCTAATTCTTCGTAACCGGAAAGAGACACGTTGGCGGATGCTTCGAAGAATTGCTTCCAGAACTAAGGAATAGAAAGTCGGTAAGTTAATAAGTGTATACTAGGTACCTACCAAAGGTATATGAAGGTATATGTGAACCTGTTTAGAGGCGTGTACATACTTTGGACGCCTCCCAGACGGCTTTTGAATGCTCTCCATATTGTTCTACGAGAGGTAGGATGCTGGTGGTAACAATTCGATGCGCCTTGCTGAAGTTGTGGTCAATTTCTTGTAGCGTGAGGGTAATTGACTGTTCCAGCTTCTCCAATTCCTCTGTTAAGGTCAAATTCCTTGCCGACGACGGCCCGGGTCGAGACATGGTTGTTGTGTCGATGCGAAAGAGTAAAGAAAAGTTGGATGACGAAGAGAAGGTTCCAAATATTATGCGCTGGAAACTAATTTACATGTACCTAGGTACTTTTTGATTTAAGATAGTGGGGTTTATAGTCGCGTCTCCAGCGCGATGCGGGGTTACTTGGGTGCTATGGTACTGTACTTGTACTTAATAGGGTACAATACAATAAATACATCATGCTAGGTACCTCTCAGGTAGGAAGGCGGTTTAGGGGCAGAAAAGGGTATAAATGCTAAACCACACCTGCATTGATTATATAGCATCATTGAGAGGTACCTATGGGTAGGTACCTATTCATGTTAGGGGTATCTATTAGTTATTTCTATTCCATCAATTCCTCAAGCGGCCGTAATAACCTGACATCTCAAGCTTGATTAAGAGTCTGTCAATGGTATTTTCCTCTTTCATTTCTTCATCCCGTCTTCCCTCATTCGTCATTATATCCCTTGCGAGCAGTTTGCCTTTAAGCCCCCCCTTTTCTTGAAGAGCTCGGCATACAGTTATGAAGATATCTACCTTCTTCTTGAAGGCATCATAAAGGGTCCTGCAAGATATTTCCCGAGCTTTGCTTCCCTTGCCACCTGATGCTTCAAAGCGAGCCATCTTAGAAAACTTTAGAATGAGACTGAAAATGTCTTCCAACAACTTCATGACTGGTTGTTGGCGTTTTCTGAGCAATAATGTATGCATTATATGATCCAGAAGTCGCTCGTGTTCCTCCCGTAACTCGTCCGGACCAAGAATTCGTGTCTCCCGAGGATCGATGTCAGATTTCGAAAGGTCGTTTTCTATATCTGTAAGCCGATGCTCGAATCGTTTCCATGCTATCTCAATACCCGTATCGAAGAAATACGCGCTTATACTTGTAACAAGATGATGTGCTTCAAAGCGAAATCGCAGCGAAGTATTGTCAATATGGTGCCAACCAGATGTTCTTGCAATAGCATCCCGGTATAGTTGTTCTACAACGTAAAGCATTCGAAGCACTTTCAGCAGCAACCTGAATATCTTGTCGTATTTAAGTAGAATGACCGGACCAAACACCGGCGAGAGAGGAGCGGGAGGTTTATACAAGAGTCGAAGGAAATCCAATGCTTCCAGAGAGCCCGGGTCTAAGCATTTATCGATTTCCTCGCTTGAAAGGTCTCGTACACCAAAGCTAATGTCGCCAGGTAACTCGTATTTTCCATCTTTTGAAGGAATAACTTGAGGTGACGAGGGTAGGTAGCTTTCTGCCAAAACGCCCATCAGAGTTAGTCGAAGTTCCGAACTTGCTGGAGGCCAAGTATCTCTTCCACTTAGTCGGAGTCCCATTGTACCGCCACTTAGAGCAACACCCGTCTGTCGTTCGGCAGTGTCGAGGTTAGGATCAAATAGTGCATGAGAAAGACGACTACAAAATACACCGTTCCCGAGCAAGTGAAATTGCTTTTGTAGGGATAGATGATCTCGTAGGTGATGTGCACTGAAGAGCAGCTTCATATATTCCCGATTAATCACGCGTGCTTGTGCTGCGATAAGCGGACCGAAAGAATAATATGGTATTAACGACCAATGAGGTGAAAAGTTAGAGGTATCCTGTTCGACAACGGCTGCTTCTTTGAACAAGTTGTCGTTGAGCAATCTTGCCAAATCGTCTTCCTCGGAAATTGTAGCTGGTGCCTTATCCAAAGCTGCGATAGATGCCAGTAATTGCCCTTCAAGTTCGGTCTCCCCACGCCCAAAGAACTGAAGGATGCGATCCTCATTTGGTATAATGTTAGTCATACTCGTTTGTTGAGATGTGGTACTTTTCTCTGTGACCCGACCCTGTAGGCTCGTAGATAGGCTTCTTTCGTATTTTCTTACTTCCTCTTGGAAACATTCTATGGATTTCCAATTGAAATACCACTTGAAAGGAGGAGGATTACTTTGAGAGATAAGCTCCGTCTGGCATATTGGATGCTCTGGATGATGTTCTCGGAGGAGTCGCAGAGTTTTGCCAGTCTCGAATATAACTAAAGCCATGTCGCTTGGGATGAACGTTGGCATACGCTCTCCGTCAAGGGCGTAATCAAGCTCATCAGCCTTAACCCCTGAATCGTCAACAATCTGGATATTTTCGACTTTAACAAAGCTAGTTCCAGGATCCTCTTTGGTTAAGTGAACTCCTCCTTCGGTTCGAACCCCTATCCATTTCTCTGCAAATTGCGTCCAAGGCGTAGAAACACGGGATAAGACCTCACGCATAACTTCACTCAGAAGCGCATTGCTATGTTCTTGCAACTGAGCCTCCTCAAAGATGAGAGATAATGCACGCTCATCAGTTTTCGTTTTCGAAACTTTCAATATTAAAGTTTTGAAATAGGTGAGCACTGTCTGAACAGGTTGGACAAGCGATTTCAGTTGTAGGAGGGATCGTATTTGCCTCGCCCTAGTTCCGAGGATTTTCTGAATGGTTAATAAAGCCATATCCACCTCTTTCGCAATAGCTACTCTGACTGCGCCTGGTCGTGTAGTATATATAGCTTGTACATAGGTTGAAAGGAAACGAGTCGTATTTCCGCATTCTAGACAACACTGCTGGATGCCTTGTAGGACTTGCAAGGAATAGCCTGAGAGTCTCATCTTATCTAGATTGGGAGTGAAGCTACTTTTGTTTGCGTCCCATGTATAAAAGACCGAGCCTCTCCCAAAGGCGAGGCCTAACAAGGCCGTAAGGTATGGGCTGGTCTGGATAACATTGCCCTCTGCACTCCTTATCTTAAGAGGGTCTTCCGGATGCTTAATTGCAGCATCGTATGTTCCTGGCCCTGCTTCGGTAATGAATAATGGCGCCGGCTGGGGAATATCAGGCACTAAGAAACCGTCCCACGTTTTATACTCGAATTCGATTTCTGCTGGTTTGCTCTTTAGAATCCATGTGTCATCAAACACATCAAGATCATGTAGATTTATGTCATGAAGTGTTTCGGGAACTGGAACAGGCTGTTGGTCTATCTCATCAGTCTCATTAAGATCTACAGGGAGTAGCGAATCAGGCAGCTTGAAGAATCCATCGGTGTCTGCGTTGGCGGGCTTGACAGTAACAGGGCCTTCAGCTGATTTATCGGAATTTAGGATGTCGGTATTGAAGAATTGACTATCTGATCCTGATGAAAGAGTTAACAGCTTTGAGGATAGGCTGTAATCCGGAAAAGCGAATACGTCGGCAAAGTCTTCGTCCGCCATCCTGTCGACTTGGGAATTATGAAACTCATTTAGCTATTTTGCTTCCCCAGATGTATCCCCGTGGAGATTGTCTAGATACCAACTGCCAGGATCACGAGACAGTCAAGCATTAATAAAATATATCATGCATTCATGTAAAGTTAGGTACATGTTAAGTAGGTAGGTACTTAACATCAAACGCGTAAACGGCGTCAAATTCAAATTGAATGTCATTCAGTACAAGCCACACCTACTTTCTGTATCGCGACTGCCCCGCTGCCCCGCTGCCCCGCGATCTGCTAAGCCACACCGGCAAGCGCAACACTAGTCTGAGTACCTACCTGACAGCTTGGAGGCTTCTTATCGGAACATTGAAGCTACCTAACCTAAGGTACTTCCAAAGTTAAGCTCTGAATTCATTTCGCATCTTTAAATTTAATCACCATCTTTTAGAAAGTTACACTCGCCCCACCCCGTTTCGTCCCTGGCACATTGTATCTTTTAATCCCGGCTTGAGAATATACCAATGATACTACTTCATTGAAAGAGTATTTCTACAATCAATTCTACCTCAGAGAACTAATCATGCCGCCGAAAAGGAAGTCCAAGGCCGGCAGCTTGGCAGATGTGTCAACGCCAAAAGCATCGTCAACTTCCGCGCGCGACGACGACGCAATGGACGTAGACACACCCCAAGCTGCAGATACCCCCCGCGCTGCCGACACTCCTACAGCTTCCAAGCCTAGTTTGCCTCCGGCATCCGAAATTCTCAACAACCTGTGGACCGACGATCAAGAGTCTTCCCTATTTAAAGCAGTTATTCGCTGGAAACCATCGGGTACGTCTTCCCACTTCGCCGTGCCACGCACCATAATATTCCGAATCTCATTCCTATTTTTCAAATACTAACAAACCTGCGTAGGAATACATAAACACTTCCGCATGATCGCCATCTCGGAACACCTGCGCAACCACGGATTCGACCCGGACGTCGAGACGCACACGCGCATACCCTGCATATGGGATAAGCTGCGGCTCTTCTACAATATGGACGCCATAGACGAGCGTGACAACGCCTTCGACTATGTTAGGAACGACGGCCAGGACGAGGAGCCCCCCGAGCAGAAATACAACTACTTCGACCTACCAGCGGACGAGTTCCACGATCTCATATGGGCCCGTGCGGCCCCGGGCCCCGGTGAGGAGTCCGACCCGTCGGACGTCGAAGCCGAAGGCCACGAAAAGCACATGAAGAAGCGCAAGCGAGCCAGCACAAGAGGCGGTCACGATGCGGCAGCCGACGGGGCAAGCGTTGCCGGTAGCACCACGACGAAGACGCGTAGGTCTAGCACGATCGACGACACCGACCGGGAAACTCCGTTCCCCAGTAGTCCTGCGGGGCGGCCGACCGCGAGAGGTGCCAGGAGCCAGAAGCGAGCGGCCGCGAAAGCCAAGGCAGAGAGCGCGGAGCCAGACGTCGAGGAAGAAGCAGACGAGGATGACGAGGAAGCCGAAGACAATGAGAGTGAGGAAGAGGAAGACGAGGACGAAAGCGAGAAAGAAGAAGCGGACGCTGCCCCGACCACTAGATCGAATCGAGGAAGAGGCACTACTTCCAGAGGTCGGGCAGCCCACGGACGAGGCCGAGGGAAGCCAGGACGAAAGAAGGGCTGAGAGAAACAAAGCCCATTGGCTAATACCGCTTTGCGCAATATTAAGCGAAGGCGCAACAAAGAGGCTCAGGCTAGGCCTGGCTTTTTAATGTTTGGATCATAGCAGATCGGCGTGGAGTGGCGTGGGGATTACAACCTCCACGGAGAAACAGGAAGGGTCTGATTCAAAAACAAATACGCCTTTGTTACAAAATACACGACCCCAATCGTGCGGAAAGGGTCCGCGGCTCGTAGTTACGCGTTATCCCGAACGTTATTCCGATCGATATCTGGCTTGCTTGTTGCTTGGGAAGTCAAGATGTGTGCCATGGCTTTTCAGCTTGGTCAAGTGCGCTAGGTATGGATAGCCGAGCTGAAAGCAAATAAGCAAGCAAGTCCTACAGGTCTGGAGGGGAGGAGAGGGTATTTCCGATAGGGCGCCGCTGGATGCCTCGTTATGGAAAGGGAAGGTGATCGAACGAGTCTACCTTGGTACCTCCCAGGCATGAACTTTTATTCAATGGAACTGGCGTACAGCCTGCGAATGTGTTCTACTACGCCCAGGTACACCTTAGGTTAGGCAGGTAGTATAACCACCTGAATTAGGTTAATTGGAACCATCCACCTTCTGGTCCACGTTATGATGCTGGCTTCTGTAATGATAATGTATAATAATAATAAAAAAACCGCACGAAATGTGGAAGTGTTCAGTTGAATTAACGTTTATCATTAGAAATATCGATTGAGAGACTGATTGACCCGTCAACCATTATAACAGAGGCGACTATACTATAACCATACTATACTTTATTGTAAAATTTCATATCATGCATCATCCCATGAACCAACCCCCCCCCCCCCCCCCTTACCTTAAAACCCTGAATACCATACCTCACTCACATCCTCTCCCCTCTGCGCATTTCAGTCATCCCACATCCCAGATGACGACGCACAAATCCCTCTTCTCGCTTTTTATAATCCAGTAGTACCTAGATCAGGTCTGGCAGTTAGGTAGGTACCTAAGGTATATATACGAGGACCGTCAAACGCCCGTCCAACATATGTCGTCCGTCCCATTCATCCATCAATCCGTCCATTGAAGGGGAGTGTGTTTCCCACGTCGTGATATCTATAGCCAAATAGTAGTGCAATTTGAATGTCAATGAAAATACGTGATCATCGCTCTTTCTGCTCCGTTTTTTTTTCGTAGATACCTTGTATGCTTAATTTGTGACGTTACTTTTCAACCCCCCTCATCATGTATCGTGCGCTTACTTTGTGTAGGTACCTAGATAGATGATACTCTGGCCGAAGGTAGAAGCCGTTATCTACCTACCTTCTCTCCACTCGCCACTGCCGTGGTTATGAGTGAAACCGGCTAATCATCATCACCGCTGGCCACCCTCTTCTAGACCATCTTCGTTCTCGCGGAATACGCTTCGTCGCGGCTGGCTGGTGCTGCCGCCCGTATTACCTCCTGTCCCCAATGTCGCTCCTGGGTTCTGCGGCACGCTGACGTAGTCGGACGCTTCGTGGGACCCGTCTACGCCTGTGACGCTGGGCGGGCTGACGGGTAGCAGCGGAAGGCTCGTTTCCAGAGGCGATTCGATGATATGGTGCGACGACGCTTGCGGCGGCGGCGGCGGTGTTCCCAGCGCTGTGACTTGGCTGGCTGTCGACGTGTCGCTGATCTGTCGTAGGTGCGCTATCTCGCGGTCGCTAATGCCGCTTACGCCGCTGACGACTGCTTTTCGGGTCGCGGGGGTGCCGGGATTCGCAGTAGCGTTTGTGGGGACGTCGGTAGTGATGGCGTTGGCGATAGAGTCGAAGCGCGCCTCGTTGTTTCCTAAGGATGGAGAGTCGGGTCTTTGGGCGGTGTAACTAGGGGGTTGAGAGCTTATGCTTGAGGGGTGCTCGTGGGATGAGCCGAGAGCGGTTTGGCTAGTCGGCGTAGAGATGGCATGGGAAGTCTGATGGGTCTGCGGGTTTGAGGCAAAAGGTGATTGCTTATTTGTGTTAGAAGTAGGTGTCACGCCCATGGCAGCATGCGTGTCTCCTAATTCGACTGCAGGTGAAGTATCTGTGAATGCACCTGTTAGCAGACTGAAAGCTATTTTCTATGCTTGATGTTGCAACTTACCCCAGAGCTCTACAAGATGCGTGTCTGGCATCTCAGGGACTACTTCCATTTCCGGCTGGCCCGTGAAACGCGCCGGCGTGACTCCTCGGCTCTCCAACTCATCACATTGCGTGCGAGTGTCGTCCGTGGTGACCGTTGGTGCCTTCCCGTCGCTCTGACCATGCATCCAGGACAATATCCTGTTGCCGTTTTCATCGGTCGAAGGCTCGCTGCCGCTATTCTTTTTCCAGAGCTTTCGCCTTCTATACAAGATGAAACCGACAACAACTGCCGTAACAAATATAAGGCCGAGAACCACACCCAGCACAGGCGCTACCCAAGAAGGAGTGCCTCCACCGCCTCCATCACCGCCGTAGATGCCCCGAGTATCATTGCCTGGACCCACAGAGCTGTATGGGTAATGGGAAATTAGCTTTGACGTCGGGTACGCAGTTGCGAAGACTTTCCCAAGATCTGGTGTCGCCCAGCCCGATGGATCCGGGGTGGTCTTTGTTGCGCCACCAGAGGAGTCTCCTCCTATCATAGCGTATATCATCTGAGGCACCCCGTAGTAATTCCAGCTGGTCGGATCATACGCCTCCATCCAACTATTATCTGTAAGATTATAGACTTGGAGAATTCCCGGAGGGTCTCCGTCAAGACATGGGACACTAGTGCCTTTATTTGCCTGGCGACCCCCAATAACTATCATCTGGTCTGGGTAAGGCATAACGCAATGGTGACCAGCTCGACCATGTGAAGATTTACCGGAATGCACTTTCATCCACATGAATGATGGTAGCGAAAGGATCCACACATCGTTGTTGAAATCTGTGGTGTCATGGAGGCCGTCGTAGCCCCCATAATAGTAGATATTGAAGCTTGAGTAATCTTGAGCGGGAGCAACCACCGCGCATCCCATCGCCGACTGAGGCGGAGTACCTTGGGCCGGCTGTTGATACCATTTTTTGCTTGCAACATCATAGATGTCAATATTTGACATGAAGCCCGGGCTGTCCTTTTTCTGCTCTAAGGTTAACCATGATATCTTTATAACATCGACTAGAAATTACTTACACTCTGTGCTTCATTCGCTGATGTCAAATTCCTGCCCAGATAACTGGGATATGTGACACCACCCAATACCACTAAAATGCCCTGTTCGCCAACAGGAACCCAGACAACGGAAGGATCTGCACGACTCGAGATGTTCCCAATAGTCTCGTTCTTCCATGTCTCTTGTGTTTGAGTGTCCATATCTAAAGTGATAAGGTAATCGGAGGTAGTTGTCGGATTCGTAGTGTCATTAAAAGAATTTTCGTAAATTGGACCACCAGATTCCGAACGATAGCCCCCAAAATACCACGCTTTATTCTCGGACGGTGCGTTGGCTGCCCCTCCGTTGGTGACATACCGAGTAATGCCCTCAGGGAGCCGACTGTAGCGGACCCCCACCTGATATTGAGGCTTCTCGGCTCCGTATAGCGACGCCACATATTCGACCATATCATCGGCGTCTGGCTCAGCATCTACGCTAGATAGTGGTAGCAAACCACCGTACGTAAAGAACTCGTGGTCATTGCCGAGTAATGCTCCGCTATGATAATTGGGAGCTAGATTATTGGCGGAGCCACCATTGAGGCCCTTTGATATGCTGTTGTGGGTAAGTATTTCTGAGAAATTCGAGCTGGAGTTGAAGGGCGTGCTGAAGTTAAGCGTGTATATTAGACTGAGAGAATTTTCTAAGGATGAATAGTCAGAATACAAGGGGTACTTCAGTAAGGTATCTTGATTCGTTATGATATGCCTTACCGTCTATGTCCGGCGTGCTGTATGATCCATCGGTTAAGCCTCTGATCCAGTATATTTGGCCGCCGTCTAAATAGACTGTGTCTCCAATTGTAGAAGCTACCCAAATGTTAATCATCTAGATCTGCGTATCGTTATAGGATAAAAATAATACACATCATAGAGAATCTCACCTCGAAATAGATTCCATTGACACATGGTAGCATTCCACTGATTGTCCGCCCATCCTGAGGATTGGCTACGGACAGATGCAGCGAACCACCCAGCGGTGAATGCTAGACAGGATATTTTAGACCAATACATCGTGTGTCTTGTCGCGGTATGCCTATGCCTATTACAAGAAAAAAAAATACGACGAAGAGTTTATTTGAGGGAAGAATTGGGAATATGGCGGAGGTTCATTTCGTAATAGGGATTGGATTTGCGGGTTGGATATCTACCACACCATCTTGAGGCAAAGCAACAACAACAATGAAATACTTGGTACGATATGGAGCCGAGAATCAATGACGACGATAGGTCTAATTTGCCGAGAGCTTAAAGCCAATGTATCCGTCTGGTGAAATGATGGTCGACGAAATAAAGATCAAGACGAATGGGGAAAATCGAAGAGAGCTATTCTTTGTGTAAAGTGCCAACAAAGGAGGCTCGCACTGCAGTAAAAACGTGATAAATCAGGACGTGCCAGAACAAAAAGATCTTTCAAAGCCGCTTGAGTTTGTGGCAGCTTGTTGAAATCTTGCTGGAGTCAAGTGATGCTAAGCAGGATCGATCTCCGAGAAGTTCTGTCTGTACCTAATGATTGGAGGACTAATAGTTGTGTATTAATCTGAATAGACGGCCCAAAGAAGAAAGAATATTAAGAGTTCGCCTCTCCCACACAACGAAGCTCAAGAACAACTTTCCCTCATTCACATGGCTACTAACGGGTGGAGGTGGGCAGGCAGACGGCAAGCAGACTAGACGGGCAAGGTCAGCTCACTCGAGTCCTCAGCCTTGTCTTTGGTCGCTGATGCTACAGGTCTGCTGGTTTGATTGAATACGTCGTAGTATGAGGAAATGCTTAGTATAAGACTTATCTTTCAGCAGGAATGAGCTGTGAGAGAAGCTACCTAGCCTAGTATCAATATTAGCATACCTCTTCTTGTCCTGGCATGTGATGTAACACTGGCACACAACTGAGCTGTGATAGTTCAGGTACATTAGGTATGGAAATACGGCAATTGTGCGAAGCCGAATAGAAGATGCAAGAATTGGAGCTGAGAATATCAAGTACGGATAGTACGAACCCGGCGAAGAATCTGTACGTAAGAGTCAATAATACATAGTATGTGAAATAGTTCCAACGCTGGACAAGACGACCAGGGCGGCTTCCAATGGGGCCTTGAGCACAAATTGAGAGACACACTTGTAAGAAAGACCCCTGCAAGATACGGAGTAGCCTTTTCCAATTCGTATGTAAGTAACGTGAGAATTTTTCTTATTGTATTATTATTATTGGATGAAGTTATCCTTGGTACAGGAAAGCTTGATGAGTGGCAGGCCAGGCCGGGTGGGTAGGACCATATTGGTTTAGTCCGAGGGGGTATGAGTTGTCGATACGACTCTGAAATCAGAGTGAGGGGATCTCTGGACACTCGCCCACGCATATTTAAGGTTGACAAATTCCCATATCCTATACTCAACTGTCTACATAGAGTAGAGAAGAGGATATCGCAAACCACGTCAGATGTAAGACCAGTAACAAATATTCAAGTTCTTACTCGTATGACTGTGTGAAAGACGTTAACTGTCCCAAGGTAGAAGTATCTATATCAGGTAGGTAATAAATATTATTACCAACTTTCTGGGACTAAAGTAATCCTGTATTGAGACAATATAAATAAAGTGAAGTTGTAACCTTGGCGAAGATTCCACTTTGCTAGGTTACATAGTGTTGTTGAGAACCTGGAAGATGGTGGAGAAAATATTCCTTTTTTTTTTTTTTTTTTTTTTTAGGTATTCTTTTTTTTTTTACTAAGGTCAGTGCCTACAAGTACCCCGCTATGGATCTATTATCTCATCTAGCTGTCCAATCATAATGCTGCTTACCGCAACTTAGACAGTCCACGTTCTCTGTACCACCACGCTAAACTTTTTACAATGTCAATTTTCTCTTATTTTATTTTCATATTTTCATCTCTATTCTTTTCCTCCTCACATAATCTGACTTCGCTGCTTCGTTGTCTCCACAGACTTACCCATAATCAACATTTACAAAAAGACTTACACTGCTCGAAAGAGAAACTCCCTTCGACCTAGTCCATTCTCCACGGTAAGCTTATCATAGCAGTATAGTGTACAATACACTTTTACCTGCGCCTCCCAACGTCTGACCCCATTCCACATGGCTGGGACTGTACAACGGGTACTACGCACCTACATGTAGGTGACGAGATTTCAACCTACCCCGCCCGGTTTCTTCGAGACTGGGCATCTCTCAGAAATAGCCTTCCAGGTGTCCGAGCAGATCTCGCCCTCTCTGGAGATGTATATGTGAGGTGATTTCTGCTCAGTACCTTGCTGATAGTCGGTATTCTATCAAGATACGACTACGGCTACGCTTTCCTCTCGCTTTGCCGAGGTATACCTACGTCGATTGTAGCAAGTCGACGAGGCTTATATAATCATAATTTATCGTGATGGTTACCTGGTTACTTATTTCAATCCAAGCAGTCCAAGCAGAAGAAATCGCAATCACGCTTTGTGAACCAAGACAAGAAAACAAAAAAAAACAAAAAAAAAAAAGGAAAGAGAAGAGACGCAATATCCCAATCTCTCGACGACCTACATAGCGGCCTTGGGTCATAAAGTCTTCGATATGGTCGATTTGTGTAACGAGCGACACGTCTATCAAATTTGTTAATGCTTTCGCAAAGATGATGGCGTTGCCACTCTATTGGCTACATTCGATAGTCGGTCTTCTTTCGGTCCTGCAAATACTGCTTTAGCAAGCCTCTTGTTAGCCTCTTATTAGGTATCAACAAGTGGCAATGCTACCCAAGATACGTGAACGATGGTACTGCGCATTCTCTGCTCACTCTTCACCTCGGGATACGTTGCCGTTGGCTACGGAAGACGTGACAAGATGCGGTGGACGTTGTCTTTGTCCACTCATCCTTCGAGGACCCCTGCAGATATATCCTAAGAGACCCGCCTCACGCACGATCTCGGGCTTGGCAACTACCTTAACAAGAGTGCAGAAACCACTACTATGTACTGGCACTACGTTGTATAGGTAGTATACAATTACAATACGCAATGCACGATGGTATACACCACATGCCCCGCTTTCGTATCCTGACCCATGCCTTCTACAGCATCTTGACCCGTTATCGTCTCTTTCCCAGGTCCCAGCTAGTCAGATGATTGTGCGGCTGCTCTCTGTTGGTTGCGGAAGAGCCTCGTCTCTCATACCTCATACCTTGCACTAGCATCCGCTTCGCCTATTGCGGATTCGGTCACTTACATTTATGCTTGTCCACCTTTCTGTACTGCCCAAGTTTTTTTTATTACTATTATTCGAGGTCGTATGTAGCCTTGCAATTTGCCTTCTTACTAACTTGAATTCTCTATCGTCTACTGTCATTTACAATATCCTAAGGTTGATAACTCGTATCGGCAGTAGCTCGTTCTGGATACTTCCTGCTCGCCGCAAAGGTTAGCAGAGAAGGTGAATATGAATATGACAGCTTGGGGTAGTAGTACAAACGCTAATGTACAATACATCGTTACCCTCCGCACTATCTCATCCGGGGGGTGCAACTGGTGAGCTGACGGGCTTTTTCTTCTTTGCAGGGATCCTAGGTTGTACACGACTGCCGTGGGGATTTGACTCATGCAGACCCGGTCCGTATTCTGTATTTGATATGCAACCATGCTTGGTACCTGTTGATTCCAATGGTTTGTGTTGACAGTCTTACTCCCGCCCACCCCAGTTCTCAGCCTTATCCATGCTGCTGTCCCTCTTTTAGAGCTACCTGATAGCTCCCTTCTCATGGAGCCACGATTCTCCTTCTGTTCCCTCGTAGATAGGAGCTCCATATACAAGTAATTAGGAGACACTTTCGCTTTCGGCTAAGAAGCGTGCCCTAATTGCTCGTTCCTGAGCTTACGACGTTCGTTGAAGTTCGGCCATAAGAGAATGATCTGGGATTGGCTACTACACCCCATGATAGTCAGCTCACAAGAGCAGTGCCTCCGTTGGTTGCTTGGGCCTTAGCTGAAGGGGATTTTGCGCCTCGCTTACCTCCCTAAGCTGGCGTTCCCTTTACTATAGATATGAGCTGAGAGCTCCAGAGAGCACCCGCCCAATCGGTCGTTCCCCCCCTCAACTTTCTGTTACGCTCTTGGCACAAGAGTCGCTCGTTATAGACGGACGGACGCTCGCTACGAAGACGCATATTAAAACTAGGGAGTCGCTTAACATTGCGAAGAGCGAACGCCCATTTTTGAACTCTTATACGTGCTGTGATGGTTTCCATCCGCCGCTTCGGGGCCTTGTCGGCTGTCGCCCTAGCTTGGCTCACAAGAGTGCAAGCTTCTCTCTCCGAGGCACATTGGTCCATCTGTAAAACAGTTACGGAAACTTGTTACGAAACGACCACTGAAACGACTACAGAGACCTGCTACGAAACGGAAACTACTACAGTATAGTAAGTTATATATGTTCCATACGGAGCCAAGAGGTATGTAGCTAACATCCGGTCAAGCAACGTTACTACTGTATTCGATACCGTCAGTTATAGTTATACGGTCACGGATACAGTGACAGATACGGACACAGAGACAGAGACAGAAACAGAGACGGAGACAGAAACGAAGACCAAGACCAAGACTATCAGCGACGTCAAGACTGTCACCGCCTTTATTACGTATACTAATAACCGGACTATTACTCTTATCGACGAAAAGACAACGACTACAACCGATATAGAGACTACAACCGATATAGAAACTACAACTGATGTAGAAACTACAACTGATCTGAAGACTACGACTGATATAAAGACCACGACTGCGACTTATACATCTTTTGTCCCTACTGTCACCACGGCTACTCTAACCTTCACAACTGAGATCCCTATCACAGTTATCTCCGACCGTACATTGACCACGACCGTATACAGCACATCAACCTACACAACTATCTCGACATACACAACAAGCATCCTGACTACATTTACAGACACCCTAACGACAGTTTCTGTGTCGGTTTCAGCTTCGCCAACTACAGACACCGCGACAGTTACTGCAACCGAAGAGGTGACCGCAACTGAAGAAACTACAGCGTTTGTTACTGTCATATCTACTACTACATTCCTCACCGTCTCGGAAATTTCAGTTACCGATTCGGTGGTAAGTACTACAACCTTTCTTACGACGCAGTCTATCACCATTACCGAACCAATATATATAATCACTACAGCAACTAGCACGGTTTCGTCTGTATGCCCCACGCCGACCAACTCCCCAAACTTCAATGTACCAGCGTACAACGCCTCATCCGACTTGACTTGGGGATGCCCGCCTGGGACTATTTGTTCTCCACCAAAGCCGGATGGATGTAGTATCTGGCCTACTCTTCCGGATAAAGAATACGTCTGTGAGAGCCAGGTTAACTGTATACCGGCCCCGGATTATGAACCAGTGGAATGGTGTGATGACGAAACAGGATACTACCCTCCTACGGAAGGATATTTTAACCTTGCACCGCCTGCTTTCGGTTTGAGTTATGATATATTCAATCCCCCTGCCGTACCTAAGAATATCACGATTACCGCATCGGGAGCGACCATCACCACCTTGGTCTCAGGTAATTACGGATCGCAGACAAGTATCACCGCGTACCCTCCTTCTAGTACACCAGAATCAGGTTATCCGACAGCGGTAGTGAGGAAGTACCTTCCCTTTAACAAGCGTGATGCGACACTGCCAGCAACATGCTACGCCCTCTGTAATAACGCTGTCGTGGAGGCGCAGAAAGTCGGAAAGATACCTCAACTGTGTGAACCAGATTCCGTATTCTCGCAGGACCGCCAACTCTGCCAGGAGTGCGCCGTGGCGCACGGGGCGGAATGGAAACCGAGCACCAAGAACTACGCAAAAGACCAATGGGCGCAATGGCTCACATACTGCGACTCACAAGACCCTACTCGAGTCACTTCGAGCACTAGTGCTCCAGAGGGAGAGGTTACAAGCACCCCTGGAGGATCTACCGGTACTGGAAGGCCGCCAAATACCGAGACAGGTGTGGTTTCAAGCCCGCCAACCTTCTCAGCTACGCCGTCTTCTACATCTGAAAGCTCGTCTTATACTTCCGAGAGTACGTCTACTTCTAGCTCTTCAGAAAACATCTCGTCGTTTTCGTCTACCTCTAGCTCCTCTCGGAGCGTGTCTTCTAGTTTAGGCTCGTCATCGAGAAGCATATCTTCTAGCTCCCTAGAAACAATTTCCGCTACTGGCTCTTCTGGTAGCTCGATTTCTTCTACTTCTAGCATTTCGGAAAGCATCTCTTCCCGATTTTCGGGAAGCAGTTCTTCTCTGACTTCTTCAGAAACAGCCATTTCATCGTCTTCAGAGGCTAGCACTTCTACGGAGACGTCGGCTAGAACGACCGTCACCAGCAGCAGTGAAGAATCTAACTCAACACCAGTACCTGCCTCTACTTCTTCAGCGAGCATTAGCGCCACGTCTACAGAAACTTCTACTGTAACATCGCCTGCTACAGTACCAGGTAGTACGACGACGCCGACTCCAGTCTCCACTGCTGGAGCACCGGGGGCCTTAAACGGAGCGACGCCCGGCTCCATCCTCGCCCTCATACTCCTATTGTTCTTTTAATATTCTCAGGGGCGTAATTACTATTTAATTCTAGTATGAAAACAAAAAAAAAAAAACAAAAAAAAAAAAAAAACGCTTATAAATATTCGATTCACATCCATCCTTAAGGCCGTTATATATTTCTCAGCCGTATTGTTGTACTGTTTTAATAATTGTGTCTGTTGATGGCATTGGTATGACATCGGTAGATTCGTGGAACGGCGCGTGGACAGATTCACTCATTCTCACGTTCATTACGGCAGTATGGGAATAACAATTTCATCTGGTGCTAGAGGGGGAAGGAGGTGGGGTTTGGTTAACATTGGCATAGTACAGGAAACGGATTTATTCGATACCCGAACATTTTCACGCTCATTACACGACAGCTGTCACGACGATACACGAATGATGATTTCAGGAGTATAGAACGAGTGGAGGACTTTTTTGCCTTATGAGGCAGGCTTAATGGGTTTTCTATGGATGCATATTGGGGCCAAGCCGGGAGAATAACCTGTTTAAACATACGGATTAAGGATACATAATAATGATGTGAGAGTCTAGAGCCGACTGCGTATACCAGGTGATTTTCTGAGGGGGGAAGGGGTTGGGGTTGACTGGAGGATGATGCAGTTGTCATTCTGGCTGATTAACCTAACTAAGGCAGATAGAGCAAATTCAAATGAAACAAGTTTCAGTTCAATCTGAGTCGTAAAATGTGGTAAGACTTTGGGTTTGCACTTGAATACCTAACAGGTAGTATAGAGTGTTTGGATAGGTAATAATCGAGTTATGATATTTTGTAGGAAGTCATACTTAGATTCTTACAAGTTGTTCTGCTGGTTTGAAGTTCTTGAACGTGTCAATTTTTGATTTTGTGTGTTTTTTTTACTCTTATTTTACCTTCGTTTTTCTTAACCTAAGAGAACATTTAGGACAACTTATATGTTATCATTTGAAAGGCGTCTATCACCGACGCATTAACGGTACGCATTGTACTATGTATGTAAGCTGTAAAATACGTATAAGAGGTACCTTACTAAGAACCGTGGTTACGCCGTACGGTCTACCTTAGGAGGTACCTAAGTTAATGGAAGCGTGAAGAAAGTTACTGATACGCCACACCCGATGTACCTGAATGTGCTAGCTGCTAAGCCACAATTTAACCCCGCCATGACGCCGCATGATTTGCTGAGAAATCATGCCCCAAGGCTTCAAGTGAAGCAGGCACCCGGCGGGCAGACTGCTACTTACTGACTTAGTAGCTCTTTGAAACTTGCAAGAGCTTTCTACTTCATCCTCGCAACTTTTCCCATAAAAACGCAAGAACTCAAACCCTCTCCCCAAAAAAAAAAAAAATAGACATCAACTGCTTCTATTTAAAGCTGGTCTTTTATTTTTTTTCCTCACGGTATCATTCACCAACTCTAACCTCCCTTTTCTCTCTCCTTTTCTTGGGCCGATTAAGGAACTACGTCATTTCGTATTTTACTGGCCTGATTTGGTCTGAGAGCCTAGTGTCGTTGTCGTTGTCGTTGGCCTTGCCATTGCCGTTGCCGTTGGCGTTGGTATTGGTGGTTGGGTTTGTCGGCTTCTTCCATTTGGGTACATTTTGATCCTCTCGTCGCCGCATCGTCTAACCTTCACTCACCTACCTCTTCCTCCCTCCTCCCCTCTCCCCACTCTCCATCATCCAGCGTTGTCGCATCTCATTCATAAGTACCATAGAAGCAAGCTCCAGTTGAGCTAATATCGCCAAACTGGGGAAGCGCAAGCACGAGAACGGAGAGTTACCTTTCTCCCCCAAGAGAACTATGACCGTAAGTAGACAACAAGAGACCACACCCCGGCACATACATGCCATCTCGAATATCTGTTTGCGTTGACAACCTAGTCATATCTGAGTGCTAATGTGTAACTGCTATTGTAGGATACAAAAATGGCTTCGGGCATTCCTGAGGTCGACCTGGTCACCCGAGTCCAGGTCGACAACTCCGTCGTTGGCCAAACCGAGATCGACGAGTCCCTTTACAGCCGACAGCTTTATGTTCTGGGTCACGAGGCTATGAAGCGTATGGGCGCATCTAACGTGCTAGTCGTCGGTTTGAAAGGCCTTGGTGTCGAGATCTCCAAGAACATAGCTCTTGCTGGTGTAAAGAGTTTAACTCTCTATGACCCTGCGCCTGTTGCTATCGCCGATCTATCCTCTCAGTTCTTCCTCCGCCCAGATGACATTGGAAAGCCACGTGATGCTGCCACTGCTCCTCGTGTTGCCGAATTAAATGCTTACACACCCGTTGGCATTCATGAATCCTCTAAGTATGTGGAATAATTATGCTGTTGATAGTACTACGGGCTGACCATAACTTGAACAGTCTGGGCGAGAACTTCTCCCAATTCGATAAGTACCAAGTTGTCGTCTTAACCAACACCCCTCTCCACCTTCAGTTAGCCATCGGTGATTACTGCCACTCCAAGGGAATTTACTTCGTAGCTGCCGATACCTTTGGACTGTTCGGTTCCATCTTCTGCGACTTCGGTGACAAATTCACCTGTCTCGACGCGACCGGCGAGAATCCTGTCAACGGAATAGTGGCTGGTATCGATGAGGAAGGTCTAGTTTCCGCATTGGATGAAACTCGTCACGGCTTAGAGGACGGTGACTACGTCACATTCTCCGAAATCAAGGGTATGGAGGCTCTGAACGGTGGCGAGCCCAGAAAAGTTACGGTTAAGGGTCCGTATACCTTTTCTATTGGTAATGTCTCCGGACTTGGTCAGTATGAGAGCGGAGGTCTGTTCCAGCAGGTCAAGATGCCCAAGTTCCTCGAGTTTAAGACAATCTCTAAGGCTATCCGCGATCCTGAGTTTGTCATCTCCGACTTCGCCAAGTTCGACAGACCCCAACAGCTTCACGTCGGATTTGAGGCGCTCCATGCTTTTGTCCAATCCCAGGGTCGCCTACCGCGGCCCATGAACGAGGAGGACGCTACTGTTCTCGTCGCATCGGTCAAGGCCTTCATTGAAAAGGAGAAGCTGGAAGTCGAAATCGATGAGAAGCTTATCAAGGAACTTAGTTACCAGGCTCAAGGAGACCTTAACCCTATGGCCGCTTTGTTTGGTGGTCTCACCGCGCAGGAGGTTCTGAAGGCTGTCTCTGGCAAGTTTCACCCCATCAAGCAGTGGTTCTACTTTGATTCGCTAGAATCTCTTCCTACTAGCAGTGCCCGAACCGAGGAGCTCTGCAAACCAATCGGATCTCGATACGATGGTCAAATCGCGGTCTTCGGCAAGGAATTCCAGGACAAGGTTGCAAATGTTAAGCAATTCCTTGTCGGTGCAGGCGCGATCGGCTGTGAGATGCTCAAGAACTGGGCCATGATCGGTCTGGGTGTAGGGCCTAACGGCAAGATTATCGTTACCGACATGGACTCGATCGAGAAGAGCAATCTGAACCGTCAATTCCTCTTCCGACCTAAGGATGTTGGTCAGATGAAGAGTGACTGTGCTGCTAAGGCCGTGCAAGCCATGAACCCCGAGCTTGAGGGTCATATCGAGTGCTTGAAAGACCGCGTCAGCCCCGAGACGGAGCACATTTTCAACAAAGAATTCTGGGAATCCTTGGATGGGGTTACCAATGCTCTGGACAACGTAGAGGCGCGAACTTACGTTGATCGACGATGTGTCTTCTTCCGTAAACCGCTTCTTGAGAGCGGCACTCTCGGTACTAAAGGAAACACACAAGTGGTCCTCCCCATGTTAACTGAATCTTACTCCTCTTCCCAAGACCCGCCCGAGGTGTCGTTCCCTATGTGCACTTTGAGAAGTTTCCCGAACCGGATTGAGCACACGATCGCGTGGGCTCGTGAGCTTTTCGAGACATCGTTCGTGAAGTCTGCGGAAACAGTCAACCTATATCTATCCCAGCCCAACTATCTTGAGACAACCCTTAAACAAGGGGGCAACGAGAAGCCTACTCTAGAGACGATCCGTGACTATCTTGTAACAGATAAGCCTCTTAGCTTTGAAGACTGTATCATCTGGGCGCGAACGTTGTTCGAGAAGCAGTACAACCACGCAATCCAACAGCTTCTTTTTAACTTCCCGAAAGACGCCGTGTCCTCTACCGGTACCCCCTTCTGGTCTGGTCCCAAACGTGCTCCGGACCCATTGAAGTTTGACCCGAAGAATCCTACTCATTTTGAATTTATCGTCGCAGCTGCCAACCTGCACGCATTCAACTATGGCATCAAGACTAAGGGTGTTGATAAGGATCTCTACTTAAAGGTGCTGGATAACATGATCGTTCCCGACTTCTCGCCTGATCCGGGCGTCAAGATCCAGGCCAACGATAACGACCCTGTAAGTGTAAATTCCTATTATATTAACTCTTATCCTGCGAGGACCCTAGGTTGACCATTTTAACAGGATCCCAACTCCAACAACGGTTCTTCTTTTGACGATAACACCGAGATAGAGAAGCTAGTTGACAGCCTCCCGGCACCCAGCAAATTGGCTGGATTCAAGTTGACACCTGTTGAATTCGAGAAGGATGATGACACCAATCATCACATCGATTTCATCACGGCAGCAAGCAACTTGCGAGCTGACAACTATAAGATCGAGAAGGCCGACAGGCATAAAACAAAGTTTATCGCCGGAAAGATCATCCCGGCCATCGCCACCACGACCGCGTTGGTCACGGGTCTTGTCGTCCTAGAGTTGTACAAGATCATTGACGGAAAGAAAGACATCGAACAGTACAAGAACGGATTCGTCAACCTTGCGTTACCATTCTTCGGCTTTAGCGAACCTATCGCCAGCCCCAAGGTGGTGTACAAGGGACCGGATGGCAAGGTCACGCTAGACAAGATTTGGGACAGATTTGAGATTGAGGATATAACTTTGAAGGAACTGCTAGCCGACTTCGAGAAGCGTGGTCTGAACATTAGCATGCTGAGCTCAGGAGTAAGCCTGCTTTACGCCAGCTTCTTCCCGCCTCCAAAGTTAAAGGAGCGATACCCGCTCAAGCTGAGTCAGCTGGTGGAGACTGTTTCGAGAAAGCCAATCCCGGAACACCAGAAGGAGCTTATCTTCGAGATTGTAGCGGAGGACTTGGATGAGGAAGACGTGGAGGTGCCGTACATCAAGGTGAAGATCCGTTGAACGGGGCTGATTTATTAGTTGCCTCGTGTATACCAGGCATTGTGTAGTATCCTCTACGCGTTGCATTTTATTCAGTTCTACCTTAGGTAGGGATTATGAGGATAGATGTCTTGTATGGTAGGGATTAGCATGCACGGTTAGTGCAGCATCTGCTTTCTGCTTTCCGCTTTCCGAGCTTAATTGCCAATTCCTGTTGCAAGTGCTCAGAGGAATTCTAGTTGCAACTATAGGTACCTAGGTAGACTTTAGTTTTTACCCAAGTTACTTAACTCTAGATACCTTACCTTACATGTTGGTCGGTCTAATACCAAGGTTGACTTATTAATCAAATACCTGTTACTTGTTACTGCACAAGGTCGTTACTCTATTTCCATGTAAGTTGTACAATTGTGGGTGTACCTAGAATGAATACATGCTTACCTAGCATGGGTTCGGGTTATACACATTGGAAGTTCTCCACTTCCATACCTCTTAGGGCTGATTACTCAGTTTACGTCACGATCCGTAATCGTAGGATAATCCACGAGGACTTAAAAGAGGAGTTCTGACAAAGCCAAAATACATTGTAAAGCTTCGCAATTGGGTACCTACCTAAAGCTTAGGTACCTTAGGATAGGTACTTACCTCATATATTATAGCGCACGTCATTTCTGCAACATTTGATTAAGAAACCCCTTGCATTTCAACTAATTAACTATTGGCAACCTAGCTAACATAGAGAGAACTACCTAGGTAGAGAGAACTTCAATACTAAGAAGTTACAAATAAAGGGTGGCTAAGATTTTGGAGTGAGTTAGTTGTGTAGAGAGAGGGAATTCCCCCACATCTCTATGAATATAAGAGGTATTCCTGCATTCGCGGTTCCTCGTGTCGCGAACCTATCGTCTCTATCGCGATCGTACTCGGTCCCAAAAGGATCTGGGATAATACATCAATTAGGAGGGAAATACTCAACTTCGGATATAAGAACTGCGAGAAGAACTGTTTCGACTTGGGGAAAGATACAGCAGCAGCAGCAACAACAACAAATTAGAATGGTAAGATGAGAGACTTATGAAGTTTGGCCCCGGGTGGGTTTTGAATTTGAATACTTTTCATCTAACACACGAGGAAAAAAAAAACAGGCTTCTTCTAAGATTACCGAATGGGTCAAACCGGGCGACACCAGCGGCGAGTTCAAGCGTCAGAGCAGCACGTTCCGCAACTGGATCTCCACGGAGCCCGGCGCGCAGTTCCCGCCCGAGAAGGGCCGGTATCACCTCTACGTCAGCTATGCCTGTCCTTGGGTATGTGAAAGTTGTTGGTTATCATCTTGTGTGTCGAAGGACGATAAATCAACTGGCTAACTACTTTATCGTTAGGCTACACGGACCCTGATCGCTAGGAAGCTCAAGGGATTGGAAGAATTCGTCTCCTTCTCGAGCGTGCATTGGCATATGGGAGAGAAGGGTATGTTTTACCTCTCACTACCTCTCACTTATTCTATCTCTTCCGGAGATGCCTTGAAACCCCCATACCACCCACCTCTAGGTTAAAGTAGGGTTGTATGTGTGCGAACTACACGGCTAACCCAATAAACCCCACAGGATGGCGATTCCCGACCCCGGAAGACAAGGACGCAGAGGGCGAAAACGTGATCCCAGACCCGGTCCCGGGCCACGAGAAGTACACGCACCTGCGGGACGTGTACCTCGCGGTGGACCCGGGGTACTCGGGGCGGTTCACGGTGCCCGTGCTGTTCGACAAGAAGGCCGACACGATCGTCAACAACGAGAGCAGCGAGATCCTGCGCATGTTCGGGACCGTCTTCAACGACCAGCTCCCGCCCGAGTTCGCACGCGTCGATCTGTACCCCGAGGCGCTGCGCCCCCGCATCGACGAGGCGCACGAGTGGACCTACGACCGCATTAATAACGGCGTGTACAAGAGCGGGTTCGCTACCACCCAGGACGCGTACGAGAGGAATGTGAAGGCCCTGTTCGAGGCCCTGGATAGGGCGGAGAGGCATTTGGAGGAGACGGGAGGTCCGTATTTCTTTGGGGATAAGTTGACGGAGGTGGATGTTAGACTGTAAGTTTTTTTTTCTCCTTGTTACCCCTGAATATTAACCCCCACCCTTTCTCCCCCCCCCCTTTTTTCTATCATTCTCGTCAACATATTCCATACATCTACTAGGTACAAGGAGGGTGTAAAGAGTTAAATCAAAGATCCATTCTCTAACCTAACTGGCCCCGTCCAGCTTCCCTACCCTGATCCGATTCGACCCGGTCTACGTGCAGCACTTCAAGTGCAACCTGCGGGACATCCGGTCGGGGTACCCGCGGCTGCACGATTACACGCGCAACCTGTACTGGAATCACGCCGCGTTCAAAGACACCACCAACTTCTTGCACATCAAGAACCACTACACCCGCAGCCACACCCAGATCAACCCGCACTCCATCACCCCGCTGGGCCCGGTCCCGAATATACTGCCGCTGGACGAGGAGGTTAACGCTGTGAAGGATAAGTTGGGGAAGAAATAGAGGGATGATGAAGGATGAAAATGAAAAAGAAGCGAAGAGAAGAGAGAAGAGAGAAATTTATAACTGGGTGGGACAGGGTGGAAGAGAATGGAATAGGGGATGTGATAGGATTGGTTGGTTTGTATTGTATGCTACTGGCATGTGCCTGTGACTCTTTGGTCTGTGCTCAGGTTGATTGGTAAATAACTAAATACATAAAGTGTTCGATGAGTTAGACGACATGCTACATTACTATCTCTCTGTTTTGTATGTGATATGTGCTTATGTGTGTGTGAGGTGTGTCACCATTAAGTATTATGATTGTTAAGAAGTTATCCAAAAAAAAACATCAGGTGGTACCTATCATCTAACTACCTCCGGATCCTGGACCAAGTTATTCAGCTCCTTGATTCAACCCTCGGATTCAATCCTCCCGTGAAACTAATATTATCGGCGATGCCCTCATGGTTACTCTGTTTTTGCTCTGTGGAAGGACGGGTATCGTACATGAAGAGAGGCGGCCGAGTTTGCTGCGCAGATGTAGTATGCTCGTTGCCAATATCCGCACTACAAGCAGTTACACAAGCCCAATTCCCAAACTGGATCATTGGTTGGCCACCATATCAAATAAGCCTGAGGAATGCTTCGGAGGTATGGAACTATCCAAAATAGAGCAGAACGATCCTTCAGCACTCGTTGAGACTCTTCCAAATGGTATTGCTAATCCAAAAAGGTCCAAAAATAAGTATTTCCTTTAGACTTCCGAGTGAGTTTGCAAGACAATAATAATAAGAACAAGCCCCAGCCCACCACCAAGAAATTACCGAGATTGACGTTGTTGAGACGGGAGGCTAAGGATACGATCATAGGGTTGAACTGGTTTCAGGCATCCGCCCGTACAGGGTGTCAAAGATAGGTAGGTGACAATCAGTGAATCTGGCTAATAAGAAACAAGAGGCATGCATGTTCCCCTTCATCACATCATCTGGGGTTTTCAGGTTGTTGTAAATTCGCTGTACATCTGTTTGTCATATTGCCGGAGTGACAGGACTCAGACAAGCTATCGAGACTCCATATCATCGTCCCAGGACAAGGAAACAAGATGGCGGATGAGCCTGATCGATCACGAAGACAGTGCAGCCCTGCCAACGGCACGGCTCCGTGTGGAGAGGCATCACTCCGGGTAGGAATACTCGGGCATCATTACGATCTCTCTCTTCCGGACCTGCTTCTCGGCCCTCTGTCCGGAGCAGGGAACGATCAGCACGCCTTATATGGTTGGGCGACGTCTGGATCCGTTGTCCGTCATGGGTGGACCCAACGCTCAAAGCTTAAGTTTGATGGTGGTTTTGTTGCAGTGAGATTAAGTCCATAATGGGGGAGTGAAGCTGGTGAAAGTTGGGGCTGTGGTGATATGAGTAATAACAGTGGTGGTGAATATGGAGCAACGAACATGACCGATAGTAATAATTAGGGGCAATGAATCAATAGAATATTCTAGGGGTTCAAGTGTTATATCTCACAACTTTCAGAGTTGGTTGTGCAGCTAATGAATGTCTAGTGGCACTTGAATTCGTTGCCTTGAGTTGTTGTGGTTGTCAGTGGTCATGAGGAGCGTCATGAGAGGAGCGTCAGGTTGGCGGAAAGTGTTGTGAATTGTGAGGCAGCAAGCACCCAGTCGTCCTTTGTCTTGATGCTTTCCCAGCCACACGACGTGTGTGGTGATACACACATCTATAGCACATCACAACACACCATGGTAGGTATGATGGTAAACACAGCTGTTTTGTGTCTCAACAAGCTATATAGCGACGTAAAATGACTTAGAAAGACGGCCTCCCGATAAGATGGGATGGGACGTCCAGTTGCAACGGTATCATTATTGCCCATGACGGGGAGTGGTGGCTTGGATATGAAATAGGGAAATCCAAGGACTTGAGTGTGTACATGACAATAAGTAATAGAGAAATTAATAGGACTTGAGTGTAATATGTAATGAATAGTGGATGAAGGTTTGCCGCAAGTTATTGTTGTTAATGGACACTTCGTTGGTTAATAGGTTGCGTGTTCTGTGTTGAGTGCGTTTGAGTGACGAAAGTAAAGAAAAAAAAGTATGAACTTTCGCGGGGGGACGCCATGTTTAAATAATAATTCAGTCGGCGGTCTGCCGGGCGGTAAAGAATTTTTAAGACACTCTTACAGTCGTTCTGCCGCTTGTAAAAAGCAGGAACTCACCCAGAGGAAGGAAGTCGCGTAGAAAAAGGAAGCAACGTAAAGGCAGGTAGTCACCCTGCACCTGCCCGTTGCTAAGGTCGTTGCTACCTTTGTTACTGCTACTTAGCCCCTCCTGCCGTTGCTACTGCCTTTGCTATCTCCGCTGCTGCTGTTTTTGCCAGGTTACTTGCAAGTTGTATCCTTACCTAAAAGCACCGTTGGAAAGTGCAAAGCTACATGACTTAAGTACGTACCTTTTCTTTCTTCAACATGACTACCTTATAATAAATTAAATTCTACCTAATGTTAGGTACCTACTAGAGGTAGGTAAACAACTAGTACCTGTTGTAAATGCCGTATTACGATAAGCAGAGGCAAAAATCCAATATAGGTAATTGGGGTTTTAGTTATCTCTACAGGTTTTGTCCTATGAGTAACGGGTGAGTGGTCTTATTATCAAGAAGCGTCTATGTTTTGTTTAACAGTCGTAGAGGTTTTACGCATATCCTCACCAACAGCTACAAACCCTCAGTGATGAGTCTATTTAGACATAGAAGCCGTAAATTACAATCAGTATTACACCTGGTGGGCCGGAAGAACAAAAGAGGTATGACACAAGTGATTTTGAACCAGTACGCAGAACGCCAACCCCAAAGCACCTACAAGAATCAGAATCAAAAAATGTTTACCCTGGGCAGGTACTTACTTCTTCATTGCTAATTTTGAAAGAATCTAGTTTGCTACCGTGGTCGGAACTCCTTGCTCTTGGCTTTGATACGATAGTCATTGAAAGCCAAGGCGGGCTGCCCCAATAGAGCCCCTATTCGTTTTCCCCCAAAGAAAGCAAACTATTGCAAATATCGTAAATTCTCTCTAAATCAACCTCATCAACTCCATACAACTTCCCGAGTTACTTACTCCACATGAGATGTGCTTCTGTTCTTCTCCTCGATGACAGCTGTTCTCACAGCTTCTGTGCCTGTGCATATATATCTCTTGAACTTTCGGGCTGGGACCTTAGCTTCAAATATCTCGTTTATTTCTTCCAAGGTTCGGTCACGTGTCTCTGGCATAAAGGCCCAAGTAAAAAGAAACACCACAACGTTAGATCCGAACCAGATATATCTATTATATCAGATTATCAGCAAAGAGTAGGTAATTCAACGAACTTATCCTTACTAACCCGTATTTGGCACTCCATCCAAGACTGGCCGGGTTAATGAAATATGGCGCCGTAAAGACACCAAGCCAGTTACCAAGGAAGTTGAGCGCAGTAGCTACGCCGTACGTATGGGCTCGGAGGTGGTTGCTAGGCAATTCACCTCCTAGGAGCCAAGCATACGGAGCTTCTCCACTTAGCAAGTTCAATTCTTGCCGCGACTTGGACATAAAGGGGACACTTACCGTAGGCAACATAAAAGAATATAAATAGTGCGATAAAAGCGACAACTGCCTTTGCAGTTACCACAGTCCGTGGGGCTACAGTCCAGGCGACCGCAAATGCAAGTTGGCAAAAGCCGCACGCTGCTACTCCGATGAGAAGGATGACACGACGGTCAATATGACGGACAACAAAGAGGCTAGCCAGGACGCCGACAAGTCCCATACATGTTATCATGGTGGAGTATGAAAATGCTTCTTGTACACCAGCAACAGTGAGAAAGTAAGTCGTATAAATATTTAGCTGGAGGAGTTAGTAAAGCAATCTGATGTTGGTACAGTTATAGGTTTCCTTACCCAAGAAGAGCCTACACGGAGTGTTAGAACCATAGATATTCCATTTCTTGAAAGAGTGTCATTTCACTCACCATTAGCACAGTGAAAGCAAATAACAGCGATAGAAAGGAGGGATCGACGCCGATTAGTACCCTTCCACATCTCGACCCACAGGTGCTTCCCCTGAAACTGGCCTGATTGCGCTGCTGTGGAGATTCGGATTTCTTCGAACTCGGCTTGGAATTCCTTCTCTTTAATATTCTTGTTTCGAAGTCTTCGAAGCGCTGATTCAGCTTCGACTTCTTTTCCTTGCGTCATGAGCCAACGTGGGCTTTCGGGGAAGAAAAGCATGGCGATCGACTGGATGGTCGGAGCAACGAAGAAAATGGCAAGTGGTATTCTATAGGCCTCCTTGTCGAGCATAGTGTGCGTGCCATAATCTATGGCTGCTCCCACGATGGATCCTATGGAGAGCTGGCTCTGATACACGGCGAAAGCGATACCTCGGAGATGGGCGGGAGCAGCTTCATTGATGTAAACTTGTGCGAACGTGAGGAACCAGCCTACCGAGATTCCTATCGGGCATTAGACATATTGATCCCTCAGCCAAACTTGGTGTATGGTTACGCTTACCGAGAACGAAACGGGCAAGATAAAGTGCGCCAAGATTTGTCGTTCCGATCATTATAGCCGTAGCGATATAGTTCAAAACAGATGCCGTCCATAATCCTTGTCGTCGCCCGAACTTGGAGCTGAACGGGCCAACCGAAAGCGAACCCACGAACGTTCCAATCGTCATTAAAGAGGATATAAGCTGTTGGACAGTCGGGTCGATTGCCCACTTGTCAGCCGATTCATCGTAATAGCCAAAGACCTTTAGGAAACCAGGCATGGCCATGAAGCCACCGACGAGAGCATAGTCAAGGCCATATTGAAAACTTGAAACTGTGACAATAAAACAGATTGCAAGACATTTTGTATGGCTGCGGATATCTAGCTGCAGCGGGTTTGCTGAGATAGCTGCGGCAACCATAATTGCGGAGGTATATGTCTCGCTAACGCAGTGACGCAGAGAAAGAGAATGACGAGGTTCCAGACAGCGGACAGGCTGTCTCTTGAAGAATTCCTTAGCACACAGAAAGCCAATTCGCATTCCAACGAAACAGGTGCGCTACTCTATATCCCGGCTCTCTGAACTTCACCTGATGTTCTCCTTTGGTGAACTATTGATACGTGATCTCCGCATCCTAACCCCAAACTTCCTCAGATTCACATTGCCGACATCCAGAATTGACATAACCCCCTGGCTACCCCCGCATACCCCAGACGGCAGACGGCAGACGGTTAAGAGATTTACGGGGGCCTAAGATTGGAGTAGCTTAAGAAGTCTCAAGTTTCATCGGGCGGTAAGCTGTAATCTTGTTAATATAAGTGGTCGGTTCCTCCTTCGCTTACCGGAATCTACCTACGTTCCCAGTAGTCACTCAATAATTTCAAAGAGTCATTATCAGCTTCAAAAGGCGAAAATAGATTTTATAGTACGTGCCCCAAAATATGGGTTCTTTGTCTACAACCAAGCTCAAACGAGAGCCGTTGAAAAAGGGGTCGTCTATTGATTATCTCGAATATGTTGACACCACCCCTATCATCGGTCGGGAATACCCTACCGCAAAACTTAAAGATATACTTAGAGCTCCCAATGCTGAAGAGCAGTTGCGCGACCTTGCAATCACCATCTGCCAGCGCGGAGTTGTCTTCTTCAGGGCCCCTCAGGATGATCTTTCCGTCGAGGAACAAAAACACATCACGGATATGCTTGGTAAGCTGACGGGACGACCTCCTGCGAATGGGTTGCATGTGCACCCCCTAAATAACGACCCCAACAATCTCCCCATGGCGGACGGAACCACCGATAAGCACATGTAGGTTAGGTTGGAGCAATATGGTATTCCATATACCGACGCTGACGGGAGTTAAGTTATGTCATCAACTCCGAGGCAGCCAAGAAGTTATATGCCACAATGAAGAACCAGCCCGGCTCAGGCAACGAGCCCCGAGATCTAGGTCGGGAATGGCACAGCGATAGTGCGTTACCAATAACCCCTTATGTAACCTATTCAATCTCCATGAGATTCCCTTAACTAACCCAAATAAATATCCCTCTAGGTCTCTTCGAAAACTGTCCATCGGACTTCTCCTTCCTCCGTATGCAAGACACCCCTCCCTCCGGCGGCGACACCCTCTGGGTATCCGGCTACGAGCTCTACGACCGGCTCTCGCCGCCGTTCCAGAAGCTCCTCGAGACGCTGACGGCGACGTGCGCGCAGCCGGTGTTCGAGTCGGCGTGCCGGGCGGGCGGGTACGACGTGACGTCGCCCCGCGGGTCGCCCCTGAACCAAGGGTTCGAGTTCTCGCCCTCGCACCCCGTGGTCCGGACGCATCCGGTGACGGGGTGGAAGTCGCTGTTCGCGGGCGTGGGCCTGCACGTCAGCCGCATCGACGGGGTGCACGCGTACGAGGACCAGATCATTCGCGACTACGTGCTGAGGCTCGTCACGCGCAACCACGACTGCGTCGCGAGGATGCACTGGACGAGGGGGGCTTGCGCGATCTGGAGCAATGCGTGCACTTTGCATGCTGCTACTGTGAGTTTGCTTAACCTATCTAGAGTTATCTCTGTTTATCTCCAAGTACCTACTTTAGGTACTAGGCAAGTAATGTGCTTGTTTCTTTCCGGTGCTAATGTAGCTATGGCAGCCCGATACCCACCTTGTAGAAGGTGTGAGAATAGGAATCAGAGCTTCGGGGACGGGTGAAGTGCCGTACCTCGATTCGGCGAGTACGGGACGGAGAGAGGCGCTGGGATTGCCACGGTTTTGAGTATCTTATAAACGGAGAAGGGAGAGATTATATCAGGTGTTCTCGAATACTGTAGAATTTTCCTAAGAGAGCATCAATACTTCTTTGGAATTAACTCGGGTATCTGATGGTTTTTTTACTTGGTCAAGTTCTTGTACCAAATTTGACTTGTAAAGAAAAAAAAACCCAAACCAGGATTCGCAAGAAGTGGCCAATCAGACTTCGATTAGGACCTTACGCATACCCTTTGCGGAACCATGCCAGTTGTTTCGACCAATTGGATTTAAAAGCCCCTTTTTATGAAGTCTTAACTAACCACAAGTTACTATGTATCAGCATCTGATAAACACATTTTATTAAGAGCTTTTAACTCCAAGTTTGATAATACTAATCATATAATATAATTGAAAATAGTCTAAATACTATAATATCTCTAGATGAGTTAATTAAATGCGTATGTCTTCATTCGTCATCTTCGTAGAGTAGACGAGATTCATTGGTTAAATGCACCCGTACCCCTGATGGATCACATACAGACCAGACCTGCTTCAATTTTGCGACAGCTTAACCTTAGCGTTGGAATTGTTTAGATGCCCGGTTTCCCAAACCTACGACCTTGAAAACTCTTAAAAAATTGCCTACCCCCTATCGTCACGTTGGTCGTTGACACAATCAAATCAGGACTTAGTAAAAATAGCTACATCACGAAACATTGAGGCATCGAAATGGATCTTATTAGACGGACTTAATTCAAACCAATTAAAGAAGACTATTACGCATTACAACTACCGAATTGAGGACATGGGTATCACTCTATGTGGGTCGGATTCGTCAACCATCCACATCCAGTTTCAAGCCTTTTCAGCTTTAAGTGATCTGACGACGCTTGAATTGTCGAATCGTCCGATGGATTTAAAAACACTGTAATTCTCATTGGCTGGTTCGATAGCCAGGATTTCCCTATTCCTTGCGAACATAACTCTTGCGGACGAGGCTCAGCTTTTTCTCACCGTATCTCGATATTCGCCTCTGCGTAGGGGACGCGTAATGGCATCTTTAGAAGCTAAGACTAGAGCATACTAGAGAAATCGATGGTATCTATCGTGATGGAGAACCCAACAGGTCTTGACTATGCAATGAACTCACCGAGGACATTACAATGCCAGGATACACGACAAGCATTACGAATAGAGATCTCCTTAATGGTTGTCTGGTGGGACTAGAGAAGAGCCACGCAACTGGGTGAAATCTTTGCGAAAAGGATTAAATAGAAGACCATTGTACCGCTGTATTTCTTTACATCTTCTCTCATATCCAACCTTAGACAGTTTGCCCTCTATCCAGTCGTTCTGTAACAGTCAGTCGTTCACGAAGTCATTCCCTATTCCCTCATCACCATGGTTGCTTTCTCCAAGTTGGTCCTCGCGGCTCTAATTAGCCACACCACCGCCCACCCCGGCGAGAAACACGACGCGCAGAAGATGAAGCGTGAGCTCGTAGCCCGTGACTATGCGGCTCAAGTTGGCGCTCGATCCCTAGCTTCGTGCTCAAACTCGGCTTCCGCTCAAGCCCTGAAGGCGCGCTCAATCGCGCGTCGTGCCGAAACCGTCAGCAAAATCCGACAGAAGCGTGGCATCCAGGCCGGTAAGTAACGATCATCAATTTCTAAGGTGTATTCAACTAAAAGGGAACCTCCACAGCTGCGAGAAAGAACAAGCGAGAACTCGCAGATCTCCAGGCCTGGGAGAATGTCAACCACAACATGACGGGAACTTACGACTACAACATGTTCACCTCGCTCAAGGAGGTGTTCAGCGGAAACACAAGCTGTATCCTAGCCCCTGAGATTACCGACGGGCCCTACTATATTGTTGGGGAGAAGATGCGGTCGAATGTTAAGGAGGCCAAGTGGTGCGACGGTATCGACTTGTTCCTCGAAGTCCAGTACATTGACGTAAACACCTGCGACCCCATCCCCTCTGTTGCGGTCGACATCTGGAACTGTAACGCTACCGGTGTCTACAGCGGTATCTCTACCAACGGAAACTACGCCGACGGCGGATACAACTCTACTTACCTCCGAGGTATCCAGTTGACAGATTCCGACGGTGTCGCCAGCTTCGAGACGATTTTCCCCGGCCACTATAGTGGACGTGCTGTCCACACACATTTGTTGGCACACACCAATGCTAAGGTCATGCCCAACGGTACTATCTCCGTCTGGTAAGTTTCCGGTAGAAGAAGCTCAATCTATTTACTCAACAGTCCAATTTCATCGATATGCCGTAACTAACTCCAGTCGTAGGAACGCACCAGTCAGCCACATCGGACAGCTTTTCTGGCCTGAGGACTTACGCCAGGAGGTCGAGAAGACGTACCCGTACAATACCAACACGGTGGAAGTCACGACCAACGACGAGGACATGTGGTCCGTCCTCCAGGCCGACGAGGCGTACGACCCCTTCCCGCAGTACGTCTACCTCGGCGACTCGATCGAGGACGGCCTGTTCGCCTGGATCCAGATCGGCATCAACGGCTCCGCCGATTACACCGAGAACGAGTATTACGGAGTTGGTAAGTCTGTCCCGCGATCCACGAAAAATTAAATGAAGAATATGAGGAAAACGAGAATATTGGAAAGCTAATTCATACATTCATTGCAGCTGCGTATCTCGACGCCGAGGGCGGCCACTCGACTGGTTACAGCGTCGGAGGCGGTGCTCCGGGTGGCGGTAACGGAACCGGCCCCGGTGGAAACGGAACTATGCCTAGTGGATTCCCGAGCGGTGCTCCCCCTGCGGAGACCGGTGCTTAAAGAGACAGGCTAAGATTCCGTTCAGTTAATCATACGAAGCCACCATAGTTACCACGTTCTTTACAAGTTCCCGTTTAGATAGCAAAGTTGGAGATTAGAATTCAGATCTTTAGACAGTCAATTGTCCTACCTAATATAAGGTACCTAAGATTTGTGAAATGAACAGTTCTAAAACCAGTAGACCGTCCCAGGTGATATTCTATCAATCTATATGCTAAACCGAAGTGAGTTCGTTGGTTGTTAGCGGTCTTGCCTCATGGCCACCTCAGCGCTCACTAAACGGCTAGGCTTGTGGCACAGTTAGGAGGTTAAATAATTATGGACCGGAGCTTACCTAGGTAGGCAGGTACCTCTTATATGGATCCTATAATAGGGGTTCCCTCCAAGGCTTAGGAGAGACGGTTCTCCGTAAACCTAGAATCATTTCCATAGGAGCAGATCTACATCCAAGGGATAATTATACAGTTAATGGAAAATTATGGTCAGTTTATTATAGTGTTAGGCTAAACGACGGATATAATATCTTCGTTCTTACCGTACATCTGACAAGCCATGTGTTTAATTTGCATGATCCTCACGTCTCCTATCAATATTTTCAACTTATTCTCATTTATCTGTAGATATTACCAGATACCGGTGTGTGTTCAAATCCCAACTAGTCACAATCTATCACTAAGATGAAAATGAAACTTACCATAGATCCGATAACTAGGTCTTTCACGTAAACCTGGTAGGTAAACCTGCTCAAGGCGATGGTGTGGCTGGGGTACCACCAACTGTATTGCAACAACCTCGCGTGTCACAATATCGCTGTTGAGTAACCGCACAATTGTATTTGTTGATGTAAGATCCTGCTAGGAATTGTTACAGATCAAATCAAATCATGTTAAAAGTCATATCATCTCTATACGGACAAATACCTAACACGGCACATTGGGTTGCCACTCATTTCAAGGATAGATCCTATATGAGAGGCACCTAACGTACGGGCAACCTTTCCGAGAACAGTTAACTTCTAGGACTCTCCTCTTAGAATACTCTTTAACTATCAAGTTATCATTAATCCACATCAAGACTCGGTTAATCTTATTTTTAAATAAGTGTTCATTGCCTCCGTGAGATATAAGCATCTATTCAAATGATACGGTAGGTAAGAGGACGCTATACTACCGGGTGAAGATAGATACATCTTCAGTTTAAGGTGATTTTAAAGTGTTCCTAACTAATCTACTTATCGTATTTATATTGATGCCTTTTAAGAAATATACAATTCAAGCACTAGTTTCCCCTAACAACTGTTTAGCTCCTCCGAACTTGCAAAGCTCAAACAGAGGCAGGCATCTACCTAGAAAAGAGTTTCTATCGTAGGCACAACTGCTCTTAGGTATTATCTCACATGGGATTTACACAGCTACCTAGATTATATTTCTAACAGGCAACCTTTTATGATGACGGCATATTTTCATGATCTTCTATTATCATCCCTTTGATATACGGGACTAACAGGTATCTTGTACCTATATCTTTGAACAGTTTAAGTAGTTCCTAATTAGCTCACATGACACCTATGATGCCTAAGCATTTTACTCTTTGTCCAATCTACAGTCTCTTCAGCGCCTGGGTGAATAGGCTATGGGTACCTAATACGATATAATAGGCTTTTCAGCAGCTCATAGACTACCAAGTCATCCCACCATAATCAGTCCAAGCTGAGGTTTTTAATTAACCCAACCCAAGGGTAATATTTGATAACCTAAAAGGAGACAAGGTTAGATTAAATTGCATGCTAGGTAACCATCCAGCTCTGCTGGATGAGCGGGTAGTGGGCATTCAGAATTACAAGTCGTACAATGACACCCCATGATAAATGTCCAACGGTCCCTACGATGTATAATCTTGGGCTAGCTGATGCTGTCTTGAGACCGAGGTTATGTTTTTTCAGCGTTGATGGGTCGTCCACTAACATATAAGTCAACCCCTCTTAATATATCTTCACATATAGGTAGTTGCCACTGGTAAAAGTCGCTCATGTGGTCCAACAAGAGACAAAATTTAGACCGAAGGTTTGGAAATCGACTGGACGGTTCACCTCTGCTGTTCCGGTAAATTTCGAGTTGGTGGCCGAGAATGCCGCGGAAAAGCTGAAGCCTGTCAAATATGATGAAGTGGTATTGGAATAGATAGGAATGAGACGCTCCATCAGAGCATAAATTTGGGGGAGGGGGGGTTTGTTCATTCACTTTTCTTTTCAGTCGTCAAGTTACTTTAGGTACTGCCGAGTAAAAGAAATAAAATAAATAAATAGATGTGCCCAACTCGGATATTGAGGTTACTGTAGCTCTGTAGCTGTGTAAGGTGGTAGACTAGGAGGTAGGTAACAGGTAAGTTAGGTACCTAAACTCAGGTAGTCTCAGGGTAGTTCCAGGGTACTCTGGGGGTGTCACGGGGGAAGAGACTTCCCCACAATTGACGTGCAGTCGGGGGTAACATCCAGGCACTGTCCCACCGTTAAGTAAGAAAGAAGATGCAATAGAAAGTTCGGAAAGCTCGACACAAAAGATGCAGGGCGCTGGGTTAGGCAAAAACTAGGTAATGGCCAATTTAGAAATCATGTGAGCCTGTAGCCCGTACCCCATGATCAGCTGTCCGGCCGTCTATCAATACTACCTCCCTAATATATAATACTGCATTATGATTTTTTGATTTTTTATATTTATATTTTCATTTTTATTCGTGCGTCACCGCATCTGCTTCAGACGGTGCTGTAAAATGACGCCGTTTGAATCATCTTTCGCTTATCGCCAAATATAGACTTACACGTGTGCGGGAGGCTCTTTCGGTTGTTGAGGGGTAAAGTTGGGGGGGGAAGGGAGGGGGGGTTTCGGTAAAGATCGTCAGGCCATGATCACATACAAGTGACGTAGAGAGAGGAAACTCTCGGCGTGTTTCTAGGTACATAGGTAGTACCTTAGGTAGTTATCGACAGTACTTACCCTAGCCCTAAATCTTCTATAATTCATTCAAGTACCAAATTACCTTAGTTAGGTACCTCCCATACTATGTAAGTACCTAATGCTACAGACGGAAACGGACCTTTTTGAAAACGATGAGGTATAAGAATTAGGTAGGTATACATTAGGTAAGTCACGTCCAGTCTCCTATAGCGAGCTTCTCTTAGGTGATACAGCATAATACTATTGGGACGGCAAGGCTTTGGTTTGCGTTTTTCCAATGCAATAATGATTAAATGCGCGTCATCACTTTACCTTTTTACATAATTCATGTATAGAAAAATATTAATATTAAGTAGACACAAGGGCCACAAATATAAACGCCTTTAAAAGATACTGTAAAAAAATAAGAAATAAAAAAAATAAAGGCCCGATGCCCAATATACTAACTAATGCATTGATATTCCCGGAATCGAACATTCGGTACATGTATCTGACTAATAATATGACAGGTAAATAGGTACCTACTTCGTAAAAATAAGGGTTCCCACCGTTCGAAAGCGTCTTTACCGGGAACCGGAACCAAGTCAAGGTACACCCGTGGTCGCTTACCTCTAGGTTAGGGTAGGTAAGGGACGGCGAGAAGGAACCTGCAGCGTTCTTTGTCACACAGCAGGATACGGTATGTAGGTACTTTAGACCCTAAGCTTAGTCAAGTGCGCTAACGATGGGACACGGCAGGTGTATTGTACAATACCATACGATACGTGGGTACATGCACCCGGCCACTTCTTCCTGCGGGGCCGGAACAGCCGTGGCCCTTACTTGCTGACCCTGTTCTGCCCCGTGATTTGTTTATTCTTCTACAACATCCCACTCTCCAAGTCATAGCCTGGTTTAACTTGCAGCAATTTATGACAGAATTAATTCTGACTCCTCAATTCTCAACAAGTCTAAGCTATCCAAGTTCCGGGACACTTTACTTTGCGTACCTCGCCAAACCCTTCTTGGCAATCCGAACTACCGTACCATTGTGCCGTAAGCAGAGGCGTCGATAGATACTATGTACGTGCCCCGTCCGCGTTTCCACGGTTTACTTCGGATTCTAAATACATCAAGCACTTATTACCCTACTATGTACTGTGTATGTGTTATGATAGCCAAATGACAGTGTATATCCACGATGGCCAGCATGGAATGCATCTTGTTTGAACGCCTTAGGGCTGACGTCCCCGATAAATTATTCGCTGAACCAACCACACATCTAACTGGGGCTGGGGACTAAGAGATTGGTCCCCAACTGACATCACCATTATCAATCACCCTTGCTTCCTTTAGGTAGGTACTCCCATTGTTAGCGGCAGAGAATATGGCCTCGCAGCTAAGGTTTGTCCGGCTTCTCATCATCTACAATATGCTTTGCACTAGGTCTAAGTTGGTACACATTTCCGTATTGTAACTCTCCTGTTACACCTTTCAGACTTTGCAACCGTTCCTTTTGAAGTTTATATATACCTTATATATTACCTGCGATATCCTCACCCCTGCAGAATCGTGAAAATAATTACACTCTAAGCTTAGCAACCACCATCTCTTTTGTGTGATAGGCATTTCGATCAATCATCAGCAGCTATGCCATCTGTTGTCGAGTCCCCCTATAAGCCTCAGCTGCCCAACCAGCAGCACATGTTAGAAAAGGGTGCTAGTCTAACCCCGGGACGACGTCCCAATATTGATATCACCGACATACGGCAAGCCGCCGTTGAAATTAACCTAAAAGAGGAGATCCATAACTTACTACGTCCTCAAGAGGGACCCCGAAAATTACCCACCTTACTCCTCTATGATGAGAAAGGTCTACAGCTGTTTGAACAGGTTAGCCAAACATGCTTATACTTATCATCCGACTCTAACCAAGACTTCAGATCACGTATTTAGAAGAGTACTATTTAACGAATTATGAGATCCAAGTCCTGCGGCGTTCGGCTGCTGCAATTGCTAGGTCAATTCCGTCTGGATCTCTATTGCTTGAGTTAGGCAGCGGGTGAGTGTTATATAGCCGTCCCCGTAACACAATAGCAGTTGATTGACCTCCTTGACTAGCAACTTGAGGAAGGTGACTCTTTTGCTTCGAGCTCTTGAGGACGCCGGCAAGAAGATCGACTACTATGCTCTTGATTTGTCAGAGGATGAGTTGTCAAGGACTCTGGCTCAAGTCCCAAATTTTCGTCACGTACGGTGTCACGGACTGTTGGGAACGTACGATGACGGCCGTGAATGGTTAAAGAGGCCGCAGATCGCCTCCAAGCGAAAGTGTATTTTATCTCTCGGATCTAGCATTGGTACGAACTCAAGTATACTCCGTATACATATAGACACCATCAAAATCCCTTGCAATTGACCAGCCTAATTAGGTAACTTCCACCGCGACGAAGCAGCCTCGTTCCTGAGAGGTTTCGCCGATGTTCTCCAGCCGGCGGATAGCTTTTTGATTGGATTGGATTCCTGCACAGATCCTTCCAAGGTCTAGTAAGTCCCGGAACGTCCCATACCAATCCTCCCTTGAAGGACTATCAGGCTTCTGACGCCCAACAATAGTCACGCATACAACGGTTAGTATTATTGAAAATCCGCATTGAACTATGCTGAACCCTATATGCTACTCTGAAGACAGACACGGCATCACGCATAGGTCAGTTAAGAGTGACGCAATGCACACATCCTTCCGGCTTCCCCTTGTGCTAACTAGCCAAGATTCCTCTTGAATGGGCTCTCTCATGCAAACAAAGTGCTTGGGCATGAGGCATTTGACCTTAATGACTGGCAAGCCATTGGTGAATACGTCTATGACATCGAGGGAGGACGCCATCGAGCATTCTATTCGCCACTGCACGATACAGTGGTCTTGGGAGAAACGATCAAGGCCCAGGAGCGTATTCAAGTCGAGCAGAGTCTAAAGTACTCGGAAGAGGGCTGCAGTAATCTATGGCGGTCAGCCGGTATGATCGAGGCTGATCGTTGGATGACCGAAGATGAAGACTATGGTGAGTGGACCACGAATTCCTTGTCCAACCCCGGGAGTAACGGGTTCGTCCTACTTCTATCACATCCTATCCCACGAATAAACAGGGTCTGCTCCACGTTTTGGAATACCATGCAGCACGTAGTCCACGTGAGACCAGTCAGGAGACCTTGCCGTCTTCGAGGCATGCCTAAAAGGTCCCTGCGTACATCAATCGTGGCTTTTAAACGCGGGGCGGCCCTGGCCCCCGTGAGTTCTTGAGTAGATGTCGAACCAGGTTTAACTGATAGTCTGCTAGGTCTTCACCTTCTAACCAAGCCAAACATGACTCTCAGTCCTAACCCTTCAGAATATGCACGCTCCCCTGTCCCATCTTTGAGGGACTTCGAGGGTCTATGGGCTACATGGGACATCGTCACTAGGCGTATGTTACCTAATGAGGAGTTGTTAGACAAACCCATCAAACTTCGGAATGCCTGCATTTTTTACCTTGGTCACATCCCAACATTCCTTGATATCCAATTGACCAAGACCACCAAGAATCCTCTTACAGAGCCGGCTTTCTATTCGTCAATCTTCGAAAGAGGAATAGACCCAGATGTGGACAACCCCGAAATATGTCATCAGCACTCAGAAATTCCAGACGAATGGCCGCCTGTCGAAGATATTATAGAGTACCAGGGGCGAGTACGGGACAGGTTGAAGAGCATATACTCCGTTGGTCTGGAGAACATTCCCAGACACGTCGGAAGGGCCATATGGGTGGGCTTCGAGCATGAGATCATGCACTTGGAAACGTTGCTCTATATGATGCTGCAGAGTGGCAAGACTCTACCTCCACCCCACGTAAAGCGACCTAATTTCGAGGCTCTAGCTCAAGATGCATATGCTGCAAGGGTCAGCAACGATTGGTTTGACATACCTGAGCAGGAGCTCACAATAGGACTCGATGACCCCGACGATGTGCAAAACTCGACGAATCATTTTGGATGGTTAGTGACGACAGCATTGCTTAAGCACATTAATATGCTGACTAGTTCGTAGGGATAATGAGAAACCTCCCAGGCGTGTAAAAGTGCATAGCTTTCAAGCTAAGGGGAGGCCCATTACCAATGAAGAGGTGAGCTTAGTTGAGATCGAAGAAGATACGGTTCTAACTCATCCAGTACGCGCTATACATGTACAATACCAAGAAAGAAAAGGCCCCCGCCTCTTGGATTGACGAAGGCTCAAGCCGCAACGAAGACACTAATGGTCACCAAGCCAAGGAAACAAATGGTAATACAAACGGCCACACCAATGGGGCTAATGGCCAACAAGCTCTTCCTCTATCTTTCTTGGACGGCAAGAGTGTGCGTACTGTCTACGGGCCAGTACCGCTTAAATATGCGCTCGACTGGCCGGTATTCGCATCGTATGATGAGCTTTCAGCGTGTGCGGCCTGGTTGGGAGGTCGAATTCCTACGTTTGAGGAAGCTCGAAGCATCTATTCTCATGTTGACAGCATGAAGAGGAAGGAAGCCGAGCGCCAGTTAGGCAGGACAGTCCCAGCAGTTAATGCGTAAGTTTTATCCCCCATACCAAACGGATGGTGTTCACCAACTAACTACGGTGTACATAGTCACTTAGTCAACGATGGCGTCGAGGAAACGCCACCGTCAAGTACTGTCCAAGAAGTCGGTGGCAGCTCCTCCACAAATGATGAGCCGTTTATCGACCTCAGTGATGCCAATGTTGGCTTCCGCCATTGGCATCCAGTAGCCGTGACTCCCCACGGCAACCGTCTAGCGGGCCAGGCTCAGATGGGTGGCGTATGGGAATGGACCAGCTCCCCACTTAGGCCACATGAAGGCTTCAAGCCGCTAGCCCTCTATCCGGGGTATACCGGTATGATAAGTTCCCTTAGATATACACTTCTTCCTTATTTTATGAATACGTATACTAATCCTAGACACTTAGCCGACTTCTTCGATGAGAAGCACAATATCGTGCTCGGCGGCTCGTGGGCTACGCACCCTCGCATTGCAGGAAGGAAGACATTGTATGCCTACTCCCCCTTAACTCTTCTCCGTTCCTATCGCTGTGTAGACTTGTCTTCGCACATACATAATACCTTCAAATTTCCGAAACGGAACTGATAAACTAACATCGTGCACGTAGTGTAAACTGGTACCAGCGCAACTACCTCTACGCCTGGGTCGGCGCGAGGCTTGTCCGCGACCTATGAGCTAACAATACCACACCCACCTGTACTACCAATCCGCGGAGCTATCACGAGGCAAGCCTTTCTACAGCTTAGCCCCGGCAGTGAGCCAGGACACAAGCTCAGTTCCAACAACTAGCGAAGCCAACCACAGTCCACTCAGTCGTGCACCATTTTGGTGCATCTACTCATGGTTGACCTATCTCCCACAGAGACCAGGACGGATTCAACATCCGTCTGCCTGCTCACTACCTATCTTGGTAGTACAGTACAGTACGGTACAGGACAGGACAGGACAAGACAATATCTATCAATAGTAATAACAACATCCCCTCCTACCACCCACCCCCAATACACACACTTCCTTCGGAATCACGATAGGGTTAAGAAAAGGAAAACTGCTTTCGCGAAGGAAAAGAGGTGGTGATAAGTCGTACATGGGCAATTTCCAGTGTGTCTCCCGAAAAAAAAAGAAAAAGGCCTTGCATTTGATCGGTGTATCTAAAGTGGCAATAAATCTACTCACTCACTTATCAATACACACTTCAGTTGCAATTACATAATTATCCGTCCCGTTCCTTAGCTGTCATAAACGTATGTGATTTTTTTCTTTCTCATTCATATACGGCCATAAGCATTGTTAATGCTATTCATACATCGTGACATGATGGCTTTCCCATCATAGCTTTGGTATGCGCGGGCACATCATCTAAAGGTACCTATACCTAACCTAAGCTCTTGGTGCACGGCAATGGCATGATATCTACCCTCTCGTCCAACGTCAATAATAATAGTCCATCGTCCTCCATATACTAGGTACCTAGGTAACTAACTGCCAAATGCCAACGCCGTAATAGTCCCTATATAATTGCACATGCCTCTGAAGCCAAGTGTTACAAAACCAGGTCCGTATAATATCGTTTATACCGCGACTTTGGCTGAACCTCAATACAACAGATCTATAATCTGCTTGGCTACAGCTGTTGGTGTGAGGACGCCGTAATCCGAAAGGAACGATGTGATGAATTCCGGTGGCTGCGTAGTAGTCGGATGTTAGCAAGTGGACGCACTTCTCTAGACGGAAGTACCTAAGATAAAAGAGAGAGATTACTCAGCGTACGGTATAATCTACGGGGTCGGGGTTCGTCTGCGGATGTTTCCCATCGCCACCATTATCCTGGTCTTCTCTTGCGTCGAAGTCTAGTATTCCCTGCTCAAAGCCGAGGTCGAACTGGTCCAGGGGGAAGGTCCTGCCAAACTTGTGCTGTTCGGCCGCGACGTAGAAGTCCTTCTTGCGAGCCTTGGCTATTAAGGCGAGCTGGTACGTTCCCATACGCGAGATAACCCCGCCGTTGGCCGTCACCGCCTCGGCGCCGACTATGATCATATTGACCTTGCCCATCGTGTACGCGGCCGCCGACTCGGGTATCGTCGCAACCTGGACGCCCTTCGCTCTGAGGGCAGCTACCACCCTCAGACTCTCGGTCCGACGGGCCTCGTTCACCACGTGGATAACTTTGAATCTCCTTCTTGCGTCTCCCGCGATGCGCTCCGCCGCGCGCCCCAACAGCGTGCCGACGACGCGGGATCCACCGTGCGTCAATATGGTGTAGCCGTCGCGGACGTACGGGCGGCCGACGGTAGCGATCTGCTCGCGGGCCTGCTTGGCGCGCTGGGCGAAAAGGCGGCCGTTCTTCATGAGGTGCTGGCGCACGACCTCGAAGTTCTCGTGACTGCTAGTCTCCTTGCCGTCCGGGCCCGGCTGCTTAAGCGATAGGACGAGGTACTGCTGGAAGAGGTCGGTGCCGTGGGTGAGGGCGACGGGGTTGCGCACGGCGCCGCGGAGCTTCGCCGACTGGGTCTTGATGAGATCCATAGTCTCAAAGACCGTCTTGGCCGACGACTGGCTGAGGGCCTCGATCAAGGCCTCGATGGCCGCCACGGGCATCGTGAGTTCCGGGTCATCGGCGAGGAGCTTCTCGTAGGTGCTAACTATACTGGTGACGGTGAGGGGTTAGTTTAGAGTATTGTCAGACTTACGCTGCATGGACTGGGGATATACGCGGTATACGCGTGGGGGTGGAAGAGAGCAAGTATATAGCTTACTCGAAGGACTCGAGATCTGGATTGTCGCGAATGGGTATCTCGCGCTCATTTTGGCTAATAGCTGTTGCCATTGTCGCAATATTCGGGCGCACTACGAATAGTGCGAATATTTACACCAAGACAAAGAAAAAGGAAAAAGGAAGAATCTAAAGAAGATGGAATGTTTGTTGTCTAGCAATGTTGAAAGTTAAATGATGGATGTTGTTATGTAAGAGTAGGTACCTACCTTACCTAAGGTATCTAAGGTACCTGGTAGCTAAACGGTAGTAATAAGTTACGATCTTCAACTTTTTTTTTTTTTTTTTTTGCTTAAAGTTCAAAGTGTGAGTCAAATCGCGGGGCATATCGCAAGCTATCTTCACCCTCCACGAAACTCTATCTGCAAGTGCGGCTAATTGCATGGTTACTGCCCCACATTTACCCCGATGGCAGGTCCATAGTACATATTGTACCTATTGTACGTACTAGGTACTGCAGTCTATACATCTATTCAGGGGGGGGGGGGGGGGGCTTTCGACACTCGAGTACAGTTTTTTATAAAAAGTACCAAAGTGTTTTTAAAAACACAAAAGTGATAAAATCAAATTATTATATTATAACGTAGATCA